TTTTCTCTATCCTTTGACTTCTCTGTGGTCACTCCATGGGCTGAGCCAGGAAACAATTTTGCAAGCACTTATATGGCTATGAGCCACGTATGAGTCAACCATTTTGCATATTAAGAAAGTTCCTCTCCATTTCCTTTCAGCAGTCTAAAACCTTCCTATATCTACACACTGTGCTGTGCTTCTCTGATTATATATTTGTTAACATAAAAATATTGTGAACCTTTTTAGATCCCACTACAAGAGATTGGGGGGGGGGAAGAGTGAGACTTTTATTTTCAGTCTGCTTAATAAAAAGTAAAATAAAATCCCTTCTCTTACTTTGTGCTTGTCCCTGTGAAAAACATTGACAAGCAGGGAGTCCAAATTATAAGAACTTGCAATTTCTGTGAAATTATGCAAATGAAGACTTTTGCTTAGATTGTCCCGATATTTTTGTGTGCAGCAAGGCATCTTGATGCCTGAGGCAAAACAGTCAATGGCTCTTCCTGCAGTCCCCTCACTCAAAGTAGACAGTACTCAAGGCTGGACCTGAGGCTGAAAATCTTACAAGCATCCCTCCCACTCTGAGGCAGTAAATATATAAAAAATTTAAATTAAATAACCAACAACTTGCTGCCCTTTTATTAGATCCCAGATCTGCTGCTTCGGGCGGCTGCTTCACCCTACCTAATGGTAACATGCAACAAACATTAATGCTGCAATCCTTAACTGAGAGGAAGCCCCACTCAATATACTGGGACTTGCCTCTAGTAAATATGCTTAGGGTCATGCTATACAATGTATACAGCAATAGAAGAGGGAGTGGAAGAGGAAAGACCTAGGAGATGTATTGCACATGAAATCCAATCCTCTGACCATGAAAGCTCTGCTTTGTTTGCTGACAGAGTTGCAAGTTGCCAAGTCTTTAGCAAATAGGCATGCAGTATCTTTTCAGTTGTACTCTGCAACCCTACCAGTACAATGAGAGCCGGCCCAAGACATTCTGGCACCTGAGGCAAATCACAAAATGGTGCCTCACCTCCTTGCCAGGGAACAAGGGGAGGGGGAATTAAGACCTGCATTGGAATCTGCTGCCCCTGTGGATCCTGCCACCTGAGGTGGTTGCCTCGCCTTGCCTCATGGGGGGCCCGACGTACAATCTTATATATTTTTATCATTAAGAAAACTGCACCAGGCCCAGTGATGCTTCCCTTCCTGCGGCGGGAAGGTAAATGGCGTTTCTGTGCACTCTGGCACCAGTCACAGTCCTCCATGCACCAGTAGCGGTATAGTCATGCTGGCCACATGACTCGGAAAGCTTTCTGAGGACAAACGCTGGCTCTCTCAGCCTGAAGCAAGATGAGTGCCACACCCTATAGTCACCTTTGGTTGGACTTAACCGTTTACCTTTACTTTTTACTATTTAGTAAAGCGTCTTTAGGATTGGAGCCTAAAGGCTAGAAACTTTCTCATGTTTCTGAACTGAGAATCACAATGTTTGTGCAACGTGCACCTACTTGCTTTGCACCAAAGGCCACCATTTTATGTTTTAAAGGCTAAGCACAAGGGTCAGGCAATTGAATTTAAAATATCAGAGCCCTTAACGATGGTTCAAGAGAAAGGCTCTTAGAAGACTAAAGACATTAGCACAGTAGATAACTGAGTTGCTGGGAAGATGATAATTGGAATTAATGTTGAGTCAGATTTACTGTCTAACACAGATATGTATGAAGTGCAATCTAGAATAAGTGTGGAGGGGATTCTAAGATTGTATTACCTGATATCATTCTTATATTTCATTTGTTATCAAGACAACCTTCATTGAAGTGTATCAGGCTAACAGGTGCTAATGCTTGATTCAGTAACTGCTCATGGCAATACAGTGTGTTTCTATATTTCTGGGACCAGGAGCATGACCACAGAACTAATAGGATTATGAGAGAAAAACTGAGACTAAATTATTGAGTAAATATATTTTCTAAGCTGTTTAACACTGGAAAAGATAATTTTATTGTTATGGATATACTTCTTTATATGAACAGCTACAATGGAGTAGTTTTCAATTTTTGTGCAGCATCACAAAAATTATGTGCAGTTTGTCCAGACAGCCATTCAAAACTGCATGGCAACATTTGTCCATAGACTGGAAATCTGTTTACTGAGGAGCTATAGGGTCTCATGGAAACTCTGCTATGGTGGTGGAACAGAAGATCTACCATCGCAACACATACACCTAAGATATGCTGGTAGAACACTCTGTAGACAGAGCTGTACTACAGCTGGAGATAGGGCAGCAGAATGACTGAAACAGTCATGGGTGGTACACAGACAGCACAAGGAAGGAGCAGACTTAAGCCATATCCTAAGCTGTATTGTGGTCGTGTGCAGTGCTTTAAAAAAGAAGAAGGGGGAAAAGGTGCTGGTACTCACCATGAAGCTGTTACAGTAAGTGTCACACTTTTACCATTGGGGGTGGGGGGTAAGGTGCCAATACTGTATACCCTTGAGCACCCCCGAAAAAAAGCACTGGTTGTATTCCTGTATATACTCCAACTGAGAAGAATTTCCCTCTCATTGGCTTCAGGGGGAAGGGAGAATATACCGGTATTTTAAAAGGTGCCTCTGTGAAAATGAGCACACTGCCCATCTCACCATGACAGAGCGGAGGATGTGGTGTAATCAATACACAATCACAGCACACCACCATCAGTAAAGAATAGGCATAGGCAAACTCGGCCCTCCAGATGTTTTGGGACTACAGTTCCCATAATCCCCGACCACTGGTCCTGTTAGCTAGGGATGATGGGAGTTGTAGTCCCAAAACATCTGGAGGGCCAAGTTTGCCTATGCCTGGTATAGAAACTCCACACAGGGCAACCCCAAATAATGTGGCAGAGATGCAACAGGTCACACACTCCTAGGAGGAACACTCTGGAGACGATAAACTACAATGGTACTTTACAAAAAAACAGCCCGGCCTCAGGGCACAGATCAGGAATTGAGCATATTGGTAGTACTTCTCTTCCTTGCAGACTCAGGACTCCAGACGCAAATACCTATCAGCAAACCCCACTCCACTCCTACTCCTACATAAAGAGAGAGAGAGACAGAGAGAGAACAGGAGCTATGGGTTGTAATCTTGAACCTGTTGACAGTGACACACTGACTGCTTTGTTTCTTAAGAATTTAACAGTCTATAATGCAAAGCATGAGTTAGAGAGACAGTATGAAAGCGCATACTCAAAAACACCAGCACCACTTTCCTTTGCGGCATCAGCGATTTCTATGAGGAAGAAACATGCAGGGTGCTGAGACAGAGAACTTTATTTACTTATTTATAAAACTGATGTATCACCTTTCTCTCATTTTGGCATCCATGATGATGAATGAAATATTAATGAAACATAACGATAACAGTAATTAAAAATCACAAACCTTAATATAGGCAGGTATAACACCTGCCTATATTAAGGTTTGTGATTTTTAATTTTTAAAAGACAGCAAAGAAGTATAATTAAAAACACCAGTGCACAGCAAATGAAACATAGCTATCTTTTTCAAGCCCGATAGAAGAAGAGACTTTGCTTGTTGCTAAAAAAATAAGAGTGAAGGTGCTGGGCAGATTGCCTAGCCCAGAGCTTCATAAATGAAGGGCAGCCAGAGAAACGGCCCTCCTTGTTTGATACCTTCCACAGGTGGGGACACTGGTCATCCAAGCTACTTGGGCAGGCTCATAGTGGGGTTAGTGGTCCTTTGGTTAAACAGGGGCCAAACTATTTAGGACAGGGATACTTAACACCCTCCAGATGTTTTCAGGCAGCCTCTATAATCTGTGACCACTGACCATGCTGGCAGGTGCTAATGGCAGTAGGGATCCGATACTGGGAGGGAAACATGTTAGGACCCTTAACTGTGCCTAGAAACAAACTGGAAGTCACTGAAGCTCCTTATGTATTGGTATGAAATTATCATATTCTGTCCCAAACCTGGCTGTCTGGTTTTTAAAAAGGTGGGCTATAAATAAATCAATTGTTCAGGGTGATGGTGGAGGAAAGTCATTAAAGTCTATGTGAGGGATGATTTTATAAATATTTCTGATTTGGATCTTAGTAGTCAGTGGCTCCACAAAAAACTTTAATAAAGTAATATTTTTCTAGCAGGGGAGAGGTGATGAGAGACTGGGCAACTCAAACTGAAATGAGGCTACAAACACATTAGAAAAGAGCTATAGCTGTAATATGTATTAACTAAATTAGAGTCTCTTCAGCTATTGGCCTGCCCAGTGAGTAGTTTACATTCGCTTACTCGATTGTTCCAAACATTTATTTGACAACCCAATTCTGGTCTTGTCCATCCAAGTACTTATATGCCCTCTGAAGAGAGTCTCCCCTGAACTGTTCAGCACAGCAGCAGCTGGCAGTAAGGCTGCAATGCGAGCCATGCCTACTCAGAAGTCCCATTGAAGTAAATGGGGTTTACTCCCAGGTAACTGCGCGAAAACAGTATTCAGGGAGAGACGGGAGAGAGAACCACCCGCAGGATGTACTGAGTTTCCGTATTTCACTCCTAGGAGCAGCATGAAATATGACTACGCCATGCAATCAAGGAACTTAAGCCAGGGAGTCCTTGGTTACTTGACGGGTCCCCCGCAAGGCACCGAAAAGAGCAACCTCAGCTTCTAATCCCCAGTCCGCAAACCACCTCTGCCTGGTGCAGCCCAGGACCGGAACGGACTTGCTGCTGGGATGTCTTACACACCCATCCTTTCGTGCGGTCTGCAGGCAGCACACGGCACTCCGGCTTCAGGAGATTGTGGCTTGTTGCGACAGCAAAGGCTGCGCCAGCAACTCAAAGCTGCCGCCGCCGCTGCAGCAAGCAAGCAGCTCGCGGCTGCCTGGCGTTATTACCTCAGCACTTCACGAGCACAGACCGGCCGCCACGCTCGCGCTCACAGGCGGCGGCACAAGCAGAGAAGAATCTAGACAGGAGAACCCTGGGCGGGAGCGGGGGGGGGGGGGGAGAGAAGAGAAAAGAAAAAAGGAGGCGCGCGCGCGCACGCGCTCAGATGCCAAGTAAAGTCGCCGCGCGCTGGCTTTCCGCCCCCGTCGTCCGGCGCATGCGCTCCCCGCTTCGTTCCCCTCAGTCTGTTTGAACAGGAAGGCGGACATATTTGTGAGAGTCTGCCCTCCTTGACTAGCTGCTGAGGCAGCGGCGGGGCCTCGCCGTTCTTCTCTTCGCCTCGTTCGGTCCGGCTTCCCTCACGACTTGGGAGCAGCGGCTCCTCCTCCGCCGGTCGCAGCTGCGGAACAGGGGCGGCAGCAGCAGAAGGGTCGAGCGGAGTCGGGAGTCCAGCGGCCGCACCAGCTTCTCTACCCTCCACCCCACCCCACCCCCATCGCCCGCCCGCCCCGCGAGAGAGAGACGTGAAGCCCGGCGGAGTGCGAGGGAGCGCGGCTGCTGTCGGGAAAGAAAGAGCGGGGAGGAGGCGGAGAGAGAGAGAGAGAGCGGCGCAGAGGCGACGAGCGGCCGCGGAGGACCCGAGGAGGGGGGGAAAGGAGGCGCGGGAAGGGAAGATGCCTTAGCCGTTACGCGGCCGTTGCTGGAGCCGCGCGTGTCCAGAGGGCAAGGCGGAGGCGGCCGCCCTTCTCTTTCTCTCTCCCTACCCCCACCGCCGTGTCGCGGCCTATTCTGCAGCTGGCAACCTCCCCCCGCTGCTGCAGCTCGGGCAAGGGAGGCCAAGCCGTGCCCTCCTCCTCCTCCCTCAGGCCCGCGTCTTCACGAAGGGAGCTGCCCCGCCGCCGCCGCCGGTGACGCTCTGCTGAGAAAGTTTCCTGTTTTCATGCTAGGCCTCTCCTCTCTCTTTTTTCCTCTTTCCTCCCCTTGTTTCAAAGAAGTTGCTGCTGGGTAGCTGGCATCGGAGAGGAGGAGGAGGAACCGCTACGCTGGCTGCCAGGGCGGCTGGGAAAATGTGGCTGCAGAGGCACGGGGGCCCAGGCTGGAGGCGAGAGGAGACTGGCAGGGCTGTGGCTGCAGCCTAGGCGCTGAAGAAGAAGGGGCAGCGGGGAAGGACTGCTCCGCACCCCCCCAGCCCCCCTACAGGAGGGGGTAGCGCCTTCGCTCCCGTTTTCGGCTTTAGCTCTCTTTCGCGCGAGGATGTGTGGCAGGGAGAGCATGAGGGACAACCCCAGCGCATCCCCAGACCTCCTTTGAGAAAGGAGGACTAGGAGAGCAAGCTCAGGGAGCACTCCTGTTTCGTTTTTTTCTTTTCGTTTTCTTCTGTGGATTAATAAAGCGATCACCTCTTCAGCACCATGTCGACGGGAGAAAGCTTTGACTCTCGGTTTGAGAAAATCGGAATGATGATAAAGGATCCCAAATCTGAAGTGAACTCGGACTGCTTATTGGTGAGTTGTATGTACTACTGTTTTTGATAAACGAACATTACTCAGACTCCTCCTTAGAGAAGAGAGCTTCCTCCTAAAGGTTTTGCTTTTTTAAAGCTTACTGATGTTTGCCTTCTAATGAAGAGGAATAAATGTATTCTGTGTGCTATGTGAGATCTGTTTTTCCAAGAGGCTGCTGCTCATCTCCTTATGTCTTTCTTTAAGCTGCTGCTTTGCTTTCACTATTTGATAGGCTGCAGTAGTATTCAAAGATTTGAGTTAATATGCTGCAATAAAAAATGTTGTTAGGTGGAGATCTGCTTTTATGCTGCAGCTGTAACCCAGGAAATCCTGTTGTGTGAAGATTTGTACTTCTAAGGGATATGTTAAGAGTGACTTGTTTTTGTTCCCACCCACCATATTCTGGAAAATGTGGCTAATTAATCACTCATCTAATGTATTACCTCTGCTGAATAGTGCACAGTTAAACTGTGGGTTTCTAAATCTGAAAGTAAATGAAAATATTATTTCATTCATACATGTGAAAGTAAACAAATACCTTAATTCAAGACATGGTAGAAAAGTGGCAGGAATGGTGGCATCAAAAGTAAGCACAGAGTTGTACACACAATTTTATTTGGCTTGTTCAGAGTACATTTAAGAGGCTTTCAGCATGGTTCTATGCATGCCTATTCAAAAGTAAGCTCCAGTGAAGAGCTTACTTCCCATGTAAGCAAAGGCTTTGCTTTTGAATGAAAGTGAGTATCTTTGATTTAGTAGGCAGTTCCTTGTAAAATTTCTTCTCTGAAGCAGACTGTTTTTAAAGCATTTTGACAAAACTTTTTAATACTCTACCGAAGAAGAAGCAGTAGGACTTCTCCTTAGTGCATATAAATTTTCTAGTGATTTTTTTGTTAAGAATTGCTCAGTGTTTCATTCGTGTCATTTAAGGGCTTCATTAAGCTAGAATACAACTTTATCATAGCTTCCCAGAGCCAACTAGTGTGGGAAGCTTATATGCACAGCAGTGGTTGTTGGGTGTATGGTATAGCTATATAAAGGACTCAGGGGATTTCAATATTGTGACTGACTTGGGTCCCAAATAAAGACAGGATTCCACTAGCGAGTTTTCTTAAATGAAAAAAATTGGCAACCCATGCCAGTCAGAGGGTTGTAATATGTAAAAATTTAAGAGATCATTTTTTTTGTCCATTATATGCATGACATACATTTTATAATGTATATAATATAATAAACTGGAACAGAGGTAGGCAGGTATATCAGCTGGTATTGAAACATGGTTCTCCAAGTAGAAGTTACACTATGTGGACTAAACACATACTGAGGTTGGCCTAAGAAACTTCTGTATAGACTCTAGAATCCAGTGGTTAACTTCCTGTTAGGGCCTATTGACATGATCCTTTCAGCCTAGGGAAGCTGCACTTTTGTATTGGTTCAGATTGATACTTAGCTACATGAGCTGAGCCCAATAGTATAATAAACATCAGTGGCTATGTTTGTACATCTCTATAAGCCATAAGCCATGGTTTACCATGCATAAGCAAATTGTGCCAGCTTCACTCTTCCTGTTTTTGCCAAAAGGAAAAAAAACCCATGCAGACATGACAATAGTGTGATGTATTGAACTTGGGATAGATCAGTTAGGGTACTTAATCATAACTGCAGCTTTTCAACTTAGTTTGTGTGAACAGTTTCTGTTATAGTTCTAGAATATGTAGGCATGGGAATCTCAAGGCATGGTGAGGTATGTGATATTAAGGTGTAGGAGAGCATTTTCAATGTTTGTTTGAGATAAAGCTAGAACTGATGGAAACGGTGTAATTCACACTGAACCTTATCTATATTTTGTAGTCATCTTATAACATTTGTGTAGTGATTATAGACCTATAATTTAATTATAATAGACAAAGTGGGATCCATAATCTTTGAAAAAACATTAAGGGAATTCTGTAAGAAATAGTAGATCAAATATTTAAGTAGAGTCCCTCCCTACAGTGGCCCCCTCTTCCTTCCTTCTTAAATAAGGCCTATGATAGCTGTGGATTAACCTCCAGACATGGTAAATGGGTGGGAGAGATTTGGAATCTGTTGCATAATATTGGCCTTTGCTGTGCTACTTTTTCTGGTTAACTTTGAAGCAGCTACACGGCTGACTGTTGTTGCTAAGCAACAGTCCTACATATCTTCATATATTTTTTCTTTTCTTATAAGGCAGGGCACTTTTACATACCTCGTCCATGGGTGTTGTATGGGCAATTCATGTGGCAGTACGTGGCAACTAAATGCCCCTATTGCATGCTTGTGGATAAAGGCAATGAATGTTTTCATGTTTGTGATAAAAACATTTAAAACAGGCTTCCTCAACCTCGGCCCTCCAGATGTTTTTGGCCTACAACTCCCATGATCCCTAGCTAGCAGGACCAGTGGTCAGGGATTATGGGAATTGTAGTCTCAAAGCATCTGGAGGGCCGAGGTCGAGGAAGCCTGATTTAAAACATTATTCTGAATCAAGTAGATAGCCTTCATGGAAAAACATTTTCTAGCATTAACCACAGATTGGTAATATGTAAACTAGGCCTTAGTATTTAATTTTGGGGCAATGGCAGGAAATGTGTATGGGACATACTGAATATAGGAAGTTGAGTCAAACTATTAGTCCATCTTATTTAGTATTGTCTACACTGACTTGACAGCCATTCTCTAGGGTTTCACACAGCAGCCTTCTTCACCCATACTGAGAGATAACAAGGGATTGAATCTGGGAGTTTATATATGCAAAACATGTGTTCTTTCCCTCCATTACAGTCCTGAGTGGTACAGGTATGTCCAAAGTCTGTTTCGGGGGTTAAATCCTAAAAAACCCCTCAGCAACTTCAACCTTAAAAAAAGCTCAACAAAACAAATTCAACCCTAAAAAACGGTCAACAACTTTGGTTGGCCCTTTGATTGGCCCTCACGGCCCTTCACTTCATCAAATCTGGCCCTCTTTGAAAAAAGTTTGGACACCACAGTACTCTTTCTTATTCATGCCACCTTTTGTTCTCTTGTTTGCCTTCCCTTCCCTTTTTGACTCCTGCATCATCTTCCCTTTCCTGTAGGAAACCCCAGTGCATTAGTCTAATATACATAGGTAGTTCTATATTTTTCAAAAATGTTTTAATTACGCTTCAGCTCTGCAACCTATCCTTAGTTCACAGAAAATAATTGATGTTTCTCTAGGTGTGTGTGAGTGTGTGTACTGTGATGTTGATTTCCTACTTAGCCAAATGCCAGATGTGAGGTGGCAAGGATAGTGATCTCACCCATTATTGTATCTAAGCCTGGTTAGGTAAGCATCTACATTTATTCCTCAGCAAGTATGTAATGCTTCTGTGGACAGAGCTGGATTTAACATTAGTCCAAGTAGGAAATCTTCAGCATTTACCTTTAGATACCATTCCCTTTGACAGTTTCCCTTTAAGATCAGGTCTGAAAGAATTTTGCTGAACAAACAATGTGTTATAGACTTGTTCATTTGTTCAGGAATGCAGATATATTTGTCCATGAATTTATATAATCTAGTACATTACTACAGGTCTGAGATACTAAATGAAGAAACCTATGGGCTTCGTGTAGCCCTCAGCTACCTTGTGAAGTTAATGGTGTTGTCTTGAATTCCTATATTTATTTTTATCATCAAATGTTGTGGAACTTAAGATTGTAGAAAATATAATGATAAAAACCTAATTCATGAAAATTTAAAATAAAAATTCCTTAATTTTATTAAAATATTTATAAGTTTATCCAGTGTTGGGGATGGATGTGCAAGCTGCTGAACTGTTAGGTACCCAAGTATATTATTTTTGCCAGTTGGAGAAAATAGAGGCGTTGTTTGGAAAGAAGCAGTGTAGCAAACAAAATTAAGGATTCAGTATTTGGGATATATGCATTGTCCATATTTCGTGTTATAGTTGGAATACAGCTCCATTTCCCTTGACCATTGGCCATGTTTGCTGGGGCAGCTGGGAATTAGCATCTAATAACATTTGGTGGGCCGCATATTCCCTGCCCCTGTGGTAAACACAGTTAATGGTTTACTATGGACATAGAGATAATTTCCACTTGATCCTTACCAGTGGCTTAGCATTATATCCAAACCAGGAAGAAAAAAGGCGTCATCAGGAAGCCATGAACAAATCTTTGTTTCAAATCATGGTTTGCTTGGAGCCAAACAAGGTACTATCTTTGGTTTTGGTATAATTAAGCCAGGGATTGTGGTTTCATGTTCCCACAGGGAGGAGCAACGCAGAAGCCATCTATGCATACTTGATAAACTATTAACATGCAAACTGAGCAAATATGTAGATAATTCTTATGTAGAATTGTTATTCAGAAATGGGAGAAATTTAATTTATTCCGAAAAAGCTCATAAAATATCTCTAGAATGTAATAAAGTTATAGCAGTACATTTGGTGCTCAGTTCCTCCTTAATACTATTGGTTGAACATTTTATCCTGTACGGTGGTGTTTTATTAATTCATCTGATTTGGTTGTCACAGCAAACTATAACATAGCATGAGAAGAATGAACCTTAGCCTTGCTTCCCCCCACCACATCCCAGATGCAAGGAATTCAGAAGTGTTCACTTCCCTTGTCATGCTGTCCAACCTACAAACTGGTTAATGTTAACATTAGCTATGGTTTGTTTGAAACATGCCAACTTTATGCCATGGGTACAAAGATAACTTGTTTCCTTCTGTGGTTAATGCTAACCACAATTTGCTTCTTACTTTGTCCAAAGCTTGAAGTGATGCAGAAGCAGACCTCTTCACTTCCATAACGACAGCTTAGCATGTGCAGTGAAATCCAGCCAAAATTTGTGGTCCTCTGGCAGAATGCATCATCTATCTGTGTGTATCAAAAGGCTCTAAAATAGTTGTGTGTACCTTGACATTAGCTGACCATGTATCTTGGGTACATAATTATAAGTTTTTACCCCCAGTTCTCTGCTGATTGGGCCTAGATCCTCAAACCCTCAGTCAAATTGGAGTAAGCAAATGGCAACAAGAAGGTCCTGATTTGCCAGGCAGCATTCTCTCTCTCTCTCTCTCTCTCTCTCTCTCTCTCTCTCTCTCTCTCTCTCTCTCTCATACACACCCACACGTGTGTGTGTGTGTGTGATGATGATGATGATGATGCTGTTGCTGTGGGGCTGCCTGATCTGGTAGGGGGGCGGGAAGATGCCTAGACAGTTTGTTTTGGTGCCCACAACCTAGGTCCGAGGAGCCACATGGCTCCTAGCATTGCAATCTCAGTTTTTATCATTGGCTCCTGCTTGTGCGATGGGGCTTTCCTCCTCTTTGCCTCACATGTACCCCTGAGATTGATTTTGGGGCTCAAGAGAACCTCCCAGAACACCATGCAGGGGGGAAGGGGGATTATTTTGTCTGGCAAGCTGCTATGCTCACACAGATGGCACTTTTGTGATAGTGCAATTTAATTTCTGCACTGTGTACTTAAACTTCCAAAAATATTTAGATAAAACCACTTACCAATGATTCCTGAGTAAACATAGCAGTCATGGCATAAGAGAACAGGTCCTCTTATGCATCAGTTATTTGTTAAAGAACAGGAAGTGGAGAATAGAAATAAGTGGACAGTTCTCACAATGAAGAGGTGTAAGAAATGGGCACCTTCAAGGGGACCCATGCTTTAAAACTTGTTCTTTTAAATGACTTTGAGTTAGAGGTGAGCAGTGAGGCTGCCAAGTTTTCTGATGACATCCAATTGTTCAGGCTAGTAAAGGCTATAAGAGTTTGCAAGGAGCTCCAAGAGGATCTCTAAACTGTAGGAACAAATGACTCTATATAAGCAAATGTGGTACAGTGTAAGTAAATGTAACATGATGCACAACAAATCCTAACCACTTACACATGGCTGAAGTGGCAGTGACTGACCAGGAAAGAAATCTTGAGGTTGTGATATACAGTAGTTCAGGAAAAGGTTGAATCAGTATGCTGCAACTGTGAATAATGGGAATTCCATGTTGGGGATAATTAATAAAGAGATTGATAATAAAACTGTCAATATCATGATGTCTTTTTAAAAAACAAATGTATGACCACATTTGGAATATTTTGTACAGTTCTGATCACTGCACCTCAAAACAAAACTATGAATTTCATTAACATAAGATACAGTTACAGCCACTAACTTGGGACAGCTTGAAAAGAGGTTAGACAAATTCACAGAGGAAAAGGCTATAGCTGCTAGCCATGACTGCAATATTTTATTTATTTAAACCATTTATACACGGCTTAATATTTTAAAAATCTCTAAGCAGTAATAAGAAAATAAGTGGTAGGATACCTTTGAATCCCAGTCAGTGGGGAACAATAGCAGGAGAGGGCTATTGTGTTCATATCCTACCTGTGGCCTTCCTATAGGCATCTGGTTAGTCACTGTGGGAACAGAGATGTTAGATTAGATAGGCCCTTCGTCTGATTCAGTAGGCTTTTATGTTCTTATTTGTAACAAAATTGCAGAACACCTAGGTAAACAACTAAGGAAAAAAATATTCAGTTACTGCAGCTTTTGGTGTCTGTTTACGAACAGCTTTGTGTGCTGGAAGGAAGAATTGGATTTTACAGAAAGTTAAACTCATAATAGATTATCAGTGTTTATTGCAGTGTTGTAAACTGAATGTTCAGAATCTTAATGATGAATTGAAAAGGGAATTAGTGTTCTGTACAGCCTAATCAACGACAAGTTCCTTTTGAGAGAGAGAGAGAATAATGTTTAAGATTTAAAATTGAGATTGATTCAACAATAATGGATCTTTCAGGTATATGGGATTCCACAGCACATTTATCTCTCAGACAGATGCTGTCAGTGTAAAGATGATAATTCCTTTTGAGGCATATGATGTGGGTGTGTCCTGTGGTGGTATATTTTTCATCAGAAATTGTAGTACTTTGTTTTGGAAAAAATCCTTGATATTTGCAAATGTTGTTGTGTTGTGGGGTTGAACTATAAAGACTTGCATTGTCCACAGGCAGACAGTCAATGGACCCTGCAAGTCATTAGTTTCAAATGGATATAAAAGGATAAACACCTACCATCCATTGCTCAATGGGTTGAAAATCTTACACCACTTTCCAATTTGAATTTTGGACATATGGACTTTCCCCCCTGCTGGTTCAGAGATCAAGGGTCCATCTAGGCCAGTCTCTTCCCTTTTTTGCTTTAGAAGTATTCTTTTCATGCACTGCAGGGGTTGGACGAGATGACCCTCACAGTCCCTTCCAACTCTACAGTTTTATTATTATGATTCTATATGTGTTTAAACTAGGATTGATGGATCATTCTTAATGTGCGCTGACATTTCTTTCATCATGTTTTTAAAAAGATAGCTGCAATGATTTACCATACCCGATGATACCAGGTGAAACAGTTCCCAGTCTCTAATATCAATTTTGGTCTTACATTTAATCTTTTATTAAAAATGAATACTGTTAATTTGAAGTAAACTTATTTGTGTGGATATATATTCTTGCAAACAGTGTCCTTAAGGAAAGAGTGCTCCCAACCTGCAATACTCAAAGAGAGTAAGAAACCTATTAACATGGATGCCAATTTTTTTATGTTATCTCATAACATGTTATCTCATGTTGGAATGAAATGTTAGTTAAGATGAAAGTATGGCGACATCAGACATTGCTTTTGCAGACCATCAGAATAAAACTACTATTTTTTCTATTATGTACAATCACTTAATCCCATTTAAAATAGTGTGTCTGATCATGTATTTAAAGCCTGGGGGAAAATATTCTTCCACTCCAGTCTAATTGTGTCCACAAAAGTTTAGAGTTAAAGTGTGTTTAGGGGAAAAATAATCTGTGTTAAGTGATCTTGAGTGTACACTTTAGAGACAGCTGATGTGTGTTTGGTTTCCTTCTTGGCAGGCTTCAGAAAGGGAGAGGAATACTATTTCTTTACACCCCATAATAGTGAGGGAAGAAAATGGTATGTCAATACAGTGAATTGATTTAGAAGAAAAGGGCAATTTAAATAAGTTAAATGAAGTTTTCTAATGAAAATTGTTCATTTGTTTCCTAACATGACTACTAAACCATGTTAATTTACAACTAGATGGGGTATTACTTGAAATTTCATTCTACCAACCAGGTCTTGCATTTCTTTGTTGCACTTTGTCTTTAAAGTATTTCCATATAGGGTCTGCCTTACTACCAGCTTCTGACTGTTTATAATGTCAGGAGTGCAACCCTATAAAACAAGGTGGGCAACTTTTCGTTTTCTTTTCAGGACTGCATTTCTTGGGGAGTAATCTCTTCAAGGGGCAGAATGCCAGCAGTGGGTTGACCCAGAGCTGATGTGGGAGAATCAGAGAAGAATTGGGAGAATCAGAGCATTCTAGATTAATTCATTAACACCACCTTGTTTCAGATTTCATCATAGCTACCTCAGATTCCCAATTCTATGCAGGTTTACTCAAAAGTAGTGCTCAAATAGGTATACAAAGGATTTTGTTTTTGTTGTTACATCAGACCAATGCAGTCACTGTTCTTGAAAGAAAGTGAAAACAATTCTTTTCTGATTAATGCTCTCTGCACACTCAAAACACATGTGGCAGAAACTACCAGTTTGTTGCTGCACAGCTGGTGCTATACAACTGTAGAAAAAGTTAATCATTTCAATTTTTGAAACAAAATATTGCGCTTCTGTTATTTAAGACACTGTATTTTTCCTAGCTTGTTGAAGTTCGCTTTCCTTCTATGTAGTGTCATAACAAACAACAGTTAAGGAATTACAATGGGTTGGAGAAGTGGGATAGTTTCAGGAAGTATCTAGGAATGCATAAAGTGAGGCTTTGGTTCCTAGCTGTATGCTGTAGTTTTATACTGAGAAATATGTCCCATTGACTCAGTGGGGCTTTCTCCCAGATAAGTTGGCATAGCATTGCAACTACATCATAAATATGGTAATATAGGAACCCATGCATTAGACATTCTTTTCTTGTCTTCTTTCTAATGTTGCAATCTTCTGCTTCGTTCTGTTCCATCCTCATAAAAAAGATAGGAAACAAATACAAAATGCTTATGGCTGATAGCAAACAAGATCTGTTAGTTACTCAGCAGACTAGAGTCGTACTTAGTTTTAAAAATCCAATTTAAATGTTAAAAATTCCAAAGCTTTAAAAGATGGATTTTTATTCACCCTGCATGTAGCCGATAGTCAGTATTATTTACTTTACTGCTAATTAACTCTCCCCCCCCCAAGCCCGCTAGGACCTTCTCTGGGTCTGGCTTCCCTAACTCCCTGATGTCCTCCCACTCCTCCTCGTTTGACCACCCTCTCATGACATGCATGTGCATGTGTACATCTGGGGAAGAGCCTATACGCTCTGCAATCTACCCACCCAAGCAGTTCCATACATTGTGGGAGGGGGAGAAGTACCATAAATAAACCCTCTTGCCTTCCTCTTCATCACTCAGGTTCAGGACTTGATGAGCAGTTTTCAATCTCAATAGTGATACATAATGCCAATTGTGTAGTAGTGCTAGACTCCTGAGGTTCAGGATTAGGTGAGAGGGAAATTACTCCACTGAGCTCCAGTAGTCTTATAAACTATGGGGAGAATTTACCCTCTGTTCTCTCCCCTCTTGCTCACTGCTATTTCCAGACCTTTAGCTTATTAGCTAAAAGAACCATTCACATTAAGAGGAAGTATGTTTCTGCATACCAAAACAGGAGAAGGCCATGCATTTAAGAACAAGAGCAGAACAAAAGCCCATCTAACCCAGCATCCTGTTCTCCTAGTTGCTGACCAGATGTCTACATTAAGAATACTAAAAAAGGCTGTTGCTTTGCCTTTCTTGTCTGTTGTGTAAGCTTTCTGGAGGCATTTAGCTTTCCACTACTGAAAACAAAATGGTGTACTTGATTAACTTTCGGATTGATCTAACAGGGCTTTCCTTGTGTTATTATCACATTCCCATTTGTTCTCAGATATCTGGCTCCTTCCAATATCTGAGCTGTATATTTGCATAGTTTAGTCATGTCTTGATTTAATAGACAAAATATCTGGGACAAAGGACACTAAAACAATTAGACTTTCAAAACCAAATTTCACAAGCTGAGAAATAAAATAATTAATGAAAATTAGGCTTGTGGGCAATCAAAATTATCAAGGAACTGGAGCAACTCCTCTGTGAGGAAAGAACACATTTTGGGCCTTAGTTTAAAGCAGGGGTGGGAAGTCTTTTTGGCTTCTTGGGCCAGATTCTTTATCAGGATCAGCCTTATGGATGGGGTCACCCATCTGTCAGTTGCTTGATAGCAGTGATGGCGAGTGATTTGGCACTTGAAAGTCCTGAAGTTGGGACTGAAGTGCATTGCAGGTAGCAAAGCGCTGCTAAAACAAAGGTGTTTTCATCCATTTACATTTAGTCCTGCCAAGCTGGTAGGATTCAACTGCTGCTCATCAGTTGATGTATGGGGGTTAAATCCTGCTATATTATTGAGTGTTCTAGTTCCCTGCAGGATTGAACCCCACCTCTCTGCCAGAGAGTGACATCAGTTGGTTGACAGGGATGTGCCGTTTTGGGGAAATGGCTCTGTGAGCCAAAGTGGACCCACTGAGGGGGGCAAGATTTGCTGCCATCCATGGTTTAAAGAAGAGGCAAGTGAGAGGGCACGTTATAAAGATTTGTGAAATTATGCATGGTGCAGAGAAATTGGATAGGGAAAAGTCTTTCTTTCCCTCTCATAACACTACAACTCACTGAATCCAATGAAGCTGAATGTTGGAAGATTCAGGGCAGATAAAACAATTTGCTCTTACAAGAGGTAGTGACAGCTACCAATCTGAAAGCCTTTAAAACAGTGGCTCCTAATTGGCTGGGGCAACCCAGCTCTTGCCCTACAAGTGCTTTTTCTCTCCTGGATTCAGAGTCAAGCTCCTCTGCCCCATTTGTGACCAACTTTTTACTTTTTTATATATCTCATTTTGTAGACAGTAATGTGATGAATTATTTACACTTCATGTATTCTTTAAACATTTTAAAGCCTGAGAAGTTGTATACAGTATAGCTAATACATACAAATTGTGTTCTAAAGAAAACATCACTTTTGTTCTTCAGGATGGATTAGATGCATTGGTGTACGATTTGGACTTTCCTGCCTTAAGAAAAAATAAAAACATAGACACCTTTTTAAACAAATGTAAGTATATGTCTTTGTATATATGTTTACAGGATTTCTGGTGTTGCTAATGTTCCAATATACAGCTTTTTTATTTTAAAAAAAGAAATTTTATGTGGTTAGCAGTTTGCATGGAAATATCTTTTTCTCACCCATATATGCATTATCACAGTTGTTACTGCCATTAACTTGTTGGAGGAAGCATGGGCTAAAAATTAAAGCTGGGAAAAGAGAGGCAGATGTGGCAATTCATGCTGTGCATGTAATGAATAGGTCTGGGCAATGTATCAATTCATTGCCTGATAATGGTTTAAAGTTAAAATTGCAAGAGCAATTTCAGACTTTTGGAAGAGACAATGTATTGTGAATCCCCACTCACTCCCAGCTGCAGCCAGCGTTGTGCTCTTCAATCCAGAGAGCCCAGCCAGGCTGCCTGATGCTCACCCACTCCCTTCCTCCCTTCCTCCACAGCCCAGCTGCCAGCTTGCCACAAGAGTGGGGCTTGCCAGCCTGCACCTTAATTTGTTTCTCTGGCTGTGTGAGTGCCAGCAGGCTGTTTCCTCTCTCCCTTCCTTCTTGTGATGATCACTGAGCAGAATGGAGCCAACTCCCGTAACTCGCGTAGCACTCCAGAGGGTGGCTCCCAGTAGCTGTGGTTTCAGGGTGAGCCGTGGCTCGTGCCTGCGGGGAAGCTAGTGGCTTATCTGTGGCAGTTCCAAGGCTTTGGAAGGCCCTCTCTGTGGAAATCCACCTGGCTTCTTTTGTGTTGCCTATTTCTATAGAAATAGAAAATGATTTTAAACAAACAAACTTTAAATATGTTGTTATTTTTATTGCTGTTTTTCATAACTAAGTTTTTGTCCTGTGGCTATTCGTATTGTAGCAACATTGCATGTTTATTGTATGTTTATTTAGGATGTACTGCTGGATTGAATTGGCCATGTGTTGGATGTGTTGGGTTCTCAGTATAGAGGCATTGTGGAAAAATAAAATCCAGTGCACATATGCTCAGTGTGGGGATTTGTAGGACTTGAAAAATTGCATAGGGCTTTGATTTGAAATATTTCTAAAATTATTGCCCTACAGAAATGCTGATATGCCTACTATCTGAATGGCTGAGAGTTTTTTATATTAAACAGTCTATAAATTAATAAAAGAGAGATAAATAGAAACACTTTTCCACAATGCTTCTTAATGAAAATGATGACTTATTATGGCAATAAGCCAGAGGACTCTTTCATATTTTCACATTTGCTTATCGTCCTAGTAAGCAACTTGGTAGTCTAATTGCTTAACTTTTTAAACATTATAATTTTGGATTTCCTCTTCACATATGCCAAAATATTTATCATTTTATGGTCTAGCCACTATCCCCCCCCCCATTTAAATGTCCTATCTGGGAGAATGGGAGAATGATAGCATACAGTCAATTTAATGGATGATTGTAAAGATGATGTTTTTGATGCATTAAGTTGTCTAAGTGTTACCTTATGTGTTTGAATAGTAAGAGATCAGAGGTTTCATACTTGCTAAGTTCATTCCTTTGGAACATAGGAAGTTGCCTTATACTGTACTGTGTTGGACCATTGGTCCATCTACCTCAGTATCTTCTGCACTGATAGGCAACAGCTCTCCAGGGTTTCAGACAAGGTACATTCTGAGCCCCACCTGTACATGATTGTGATTGTACCTGGAACTTTTCCCATGCAAAGCAGGTGCTCTGCCACTGATCTATGACCCTTTTAGCTTCCCAGCACTAAAAATTTACAATCTGTGGCTTGGGGAGGCACACTCTATATGTATATCTTAATAAGGATTGTAATTGGTCAGTATTCTAGTATGTAAATATTGTTCCTTTGAACCTTTCATTAGAAAAGTCTGTTTCAGTTGCTGTGTTCTGCAAGCACAGAACTGAAATACTTTTTATATAATCTCATGCCAGTGTTGACCCATGTAGATTAAAATAGCATGTTACCAAATTTGGAGTTAGACTATTTGACCACTGGGAATTTAAATTATTGCAGTTTATTGGATGATGATTTTTAAAAATGCAGACTTCCTGCTTATATTTTCATGGTAAAGTTGTTTTTTAACATGAAAAAATAATAAAAAGGCGAAACACTGGAATCTTATTTTAGTATCTAATTCGTAACCTAAATAGCTGAGATGTTGTGATGAATGCAGATTTCTCTAGTCTAATTACTAATTTCATATATTTGCGTATAAGTTGAATTAAAATTGAACTTCTCTCCTGACCTGTTCCTACAGTGAGTTGTTTTATTGTGCGTTTTGCATTTATATGTTGTCATAGGAATGAAAGTAACTTCGAAAGGAGATACTTGCAGTAAAGGAAAAAGATCTTAAAAAGAGCAAACTCTTGTCTTTAAACAATTTGTGTATTTAACAGGCAACAGATGTTGCAAGAAATTACCAGCAAATGAAATATGAATAGAATGAGATGTTTACCCAGTACATTTTTCTTATATGAAAGTTTATTTTTAAGATTGTGTCTCATGATGTAGTTTTTTTTAATTTATATTTTCATCACAGATAAAGACACAATAAATAAAATCAGAGATCTGCGTATGAAGGCTGAAGATTATGAAGTGGTGAAAGTGATTGGCAGAGGTGCATTTGGTGAAGTTCAGTTGGTAGGTTTACTTTTTGTGTATGAGTAAGGCTAGCATTTATAAAAGAGGAAGTTGCAATTGTAACAAAAAAACGCTTACATGTGCACCATATATTTGTGGTGATTCCCCACCTGCCCCCATGACACTTCATGCGTTTTTTAGAAGAGTTACTTGTAAGCAGTCGCAAAGGTGTTTTGATGAACAAGCATAACAGGACCAAAACTGTAAAGAATGGCCCTGATTTTAAAGACACCTATTAATCACTAATTGCTTTTGCGGGTGCAATGGTGCCTGCTAGTGCTGGGTTAGTGACACTACTGTGTTGTCTTCAACCAGGTGCACCAGACCAAGCACATTACAGTACCTTTCAATCATAAAATCATTCAGCATTTCCCATGGCATGCCAAGCCATGCCATGACCTTGCTGCTTTTTCCAGGGTCCCAGTGCTAAGGTTTTTCAGGTTTACAAATGCGTTGACTATGCCCTGGAGAGCTTGAGAAGATCAGGGATGCTGTCTGTCTTTATGTGAAATGCAGAAGGACCTGTCATGCAATACTTGGGTATTGCATATTGATTGATGCAAGGCATGTGTATCATATTCATGTAGAATAGGCTTTGCCTTAAATTTTAATTTACGGTAACATTTTCTTCATCTTAAAATTTGTTTTTAAAGGTAAGACACAAGTCATCACGAAAGGTTTATGCCATGAAGCTTTTGAGCAAGTTTGAAATGATAAAAAGATCAGATTCTGCATTCTTTTGGGAAGAAAGAGATATCATGGCATTTGCGAATAGCCCTTGGGTTGTGCAGGTATATTGACTAATTTTTGATGTGTTTATACCATTAGTTTTGCTGAGTAAGGAAAAGTTCATTTTTCAATAAAAGTGCTAATTTACAGATTTTAGCAACTTTAAGTCTTAAGTATGTTTGCATTTGCTGTTCCAAGTTTTGCAGTGCATATAAATGTGATGATTACTAAAAATAGAAAACCTGGGTGAATAATTTTTAAGTATCTTGGGCAGAATCCAAAGATGCAGGAGTGGACTTGTGCTCATAATGCTTTGTTCTCATCTCCTTGCCCTGCAGCTTCCTGTGTGTCCCCAAAATCTGCTCCAGAGACTTCCCAATTCTTTACAGCAGATTTTGAGGGTGTGTGGAGGATGGCAGAGGAGAGGTAGTGAAGTCTCTTCCACTGGCCTGTGGACAGGGAAGATACAAACCCTTTTCTATCAATTCAATAGTAATGTATTTACTCACCTAGCATCTTTGTTTACCGTTGGAAGTCTATCCCTACTCAGATCAAGGAAATGCAAATCTGGAGTGGTGGGAGTGAACATGTTGGATTGGGCTTCAGTTTTGAGGTGGGGACTGAAGCCCAATTAAACAGTTTTACTAGCTCTACACAGATCTGCAGTTCAGGTAGGGACAACGTTGTTTCACACAGTAGGCTTCCAACTTTATTAGGAACTATGTGCACAAGTAGTCAATAAGAGGCTGTGCACACAATTCCTGTGTCTGAATCTGGAGGGACACTTGCCCCAGTTAGAATATGCATTACTTTGTCTTGGATATCACTTGTTCAGATGGATTGAACATACCTGCCTCTGAACAATTAGCTAGTAGTGTTGAGCTGGCAGCAGCAAATATTTGATTGAATGTACATAGGCAAGTACAGCAGTGTCCTGGTTAGCCCACTCTTGCACATTGTGAATATTTTATTTGTGGCTGATTTTTTCACTTGTCTTGCTGAAGCTCATATTTGTCTAAACACTATGTGTCATTGGTTTAGCAAGTTTTGTTGCTTTGGACATCTGAGCATTTTAAACTCAAACAATTGTGTGTATAATTGATGCAATGAAATAATTGAAGTCACTATTAACTTTAATGTAAGAAAGTGATGACTAATGACTAGTTTTCCCCAATATAACAATTAAGTAATCTTTATAAAGAAGATTTCCTTATCTATAGTTTTTTCTTGAATGCTAATCATGCCTTTATGTTTTGAACACTGTTACTAAAAAGAGCAACATTTGACTATGTATGGGCTGGCTCTGTAGACCATTGCTTGGCTTACTGAACCAAGAAATGTAGTTTGAAATCCAATTTGAAAATGGGTTAATATCCTGTCCTGTTTATTCTGAGGCTGGTAACCATCATTTCCTTGTTCAGATGAAACAAGGACACTATGGTTAAGTAAATCCTCCCTGGTTTAATTGCAGCTTGCTGCATTTTCAGATAAATAAGGCATTGTACTTAGGTGGTAAACTGGTTCTTCCTTTTGGTTGATACACATACTGAACAGCAATGAATTGCTAATACTTTAAATGTTAACAAATAATTCTAATTGAGTGAGAGGAAGGCAATAATGATGAACTGAACACACAGTAATCTTAGTTTTATTTCCTTTTATAGTTATTTTATGCATTCCAAGATGACCGCTACCTTTACATGGTGATGGAATACATGCCTGGTGGGGACCTAGTGAATTTAATGAGCAACTATGATGTTCCTGAGAAATGGGCAAGATTTTATACTGCAGAAGTTGTTCTTGCATTAGATGCAATTCACTCAATGGGCTTTATTCACAGGTGTATATGCTATTTTTCTTAATATCTGAATACCTCAGTATTCTATCTGGAGTGCATTACAGTATAATCAGTTGCATGTTTAAAATATTTTTTGAATATTTATTCTAAATAGCCAGAATTTGCCCACTTCCTTACATGTTTGGGCTGGTCAATCACAGCCATTTTGGGCAGAAACCATGAAAGAAAGGAGGAACGGAGGCAGGGAGAGAAATTGAACAAATCAAGAAGCAGGGAAGATTGGACAGGCAGAAGCTTTTTCCTTTGTTTGTCTTTTTCTGGTTGGCTGCAGAAGTTTGTGGTGGAAACCAGGGAGGGAGAGATTTATGCCAGTATAGATGAGAAATTCCAAATTCTGCCAAATCCAAACTCTCCCCCCCCCCCCAGTGGATCTTGGATTTGGATTACACAAGTAGGTTTCTGATTATGTTGCCACTACTGTAAATAAGGCGAGGCTCTACCATATGCTGGGAGGGAGGGAGAGAGAGAGAGAAGTGGGGAAATTAAAATGGGTAGTTCTGCGATGTGCTTTGTGTTAAGAGATACAGAGGCAGCTTTATCACATTGAACGAAAGTCAAGTTTAAGAAATACTAAGGTGGCACTGGAAATTTAGCCTCTTCCTAAAGAAAATTTCTGTCCTCTGTCTCATTTTTAATGGTGATATGCTAATAGTAAATTATGCTGCCAGTGGACTTTTAAAGGGGTCAGGCAGCTGGTGATTGGAAAGACCTCTGCCTGAGACCCAGGAGAGCCACTCCCAGTTGTGTAAAGTAGTTTCATTTGTTTGTGTGTTTAAATCACAGTTAGAGGAGGAATTTGCTCAAGGAAGAGGATAAACTATGACAACAGTAATGGCCAAAGGTTGGCTCTAAGTTTGTTAGGTGTTAGTTGTTAACCATCTTATGTGGCAAGACGGGTATGTAGCATAGATGGTTTTTTAAAACATAAATAAAACCTAGATTGATTTGCTTTCTTTTCAGAGATGTAAAGCCTGATAATATGCTGCTAGATAAATCTGGTCATTTAAAACTAGCAGATTTTGGTACCTGTATGAAGATGAATAAGGTTGGTATGCTTTTTTTAAAAAAATCTGAATTAACTTCCATGCTTTGGGAAGTAATATTTTTATGGAAGAATGTTACTTGAATATCGATTTTGCCTAAATTTTAGCTACTTGGAATACTGATGTGGGGTTTTTTTTTAGTTTATTGCTTGTTTAATTTTTTTTGGCATGTTTTAAAGTGTTGCTTTAATTGTTTTTACCAGTAATTGTAGTGTTTTATTATTTTTGTAAACTAAATAAATTTTATGAAATAAATAAAATTCTTAAGATTTAAATGAAGTTTAGCTTACACCTTTGACACATTTTCCCAAGGAAATCTAGGAAAATGTTTTGCTTCAAGATACTTTTCAGATCCTAGGTGAATTCTACAGAGTGCCTGTTTTAAATAGCCACTCTCTTTTCTTTATAGGAAGGCATGGTACGATGTGATACAGCTGTTGGAACACCAGACTATATATCCCCAGAAGTATTAAAATCTCAAGGTGGTGATGGTTACTATGGACGAGAATGTGACTGGTGGTCAGTTGGTGTCTTTTTGTATGAAATGCTTGTGGGTGAGCATCAAAATAATCAATGTTCTGCAAATGACATTAACTGCATTTACTGTTGAATAAAAATGCCTTATATTTTAACTATTGCTTAAGGTTTACATGGAAGCAAGCCCCATGGAGTTCAATGGCTGCCTTTTACAAAGGTTATAAGATTGTAGTCTTCTATACTTCAATGCTACATCCTTCCAGATCTTATGCTGTTGCTAAACATCAAGTCAGGGAGCAGAAAGACTTCAGCTATTCAGGGTTTGATCTCAGATGATCAGGCTGACCCTTGTGTTCAGTAGAGACCTAGCTAGACAATGGGAAAGCTTAATCTTATCCAACTCTTACTGAGGGATTGCATGTTGCCTTTCGATGTAGAGTTTAGGATTTCAGCCTCCTTTATTTAAGGCTCCCACCTGGTGCTCTCTTTATTGTCTCTAGATGTCACTTTCTTTATTTTATGAATTGACAGTATTATAACATTAATTGTTACACCTGTCAAAACAGTTGCATATGTAAAAACTATCTTATATATAACAAAAAACGTTTTAAAACAACACATACATAAAAACTATTCAAATCCAAGACATATACCAATGGAAAGGATAGATGCTGCTACACTAAATGTCTGATTTTGATGATGTTGATGGTGATGATGATGATAAAAATAATAATAGTAATAATAATTTATGTCTACCCCACCCATCTGCCATTCAGAACACTGCTGATTGGTTTTGTATGTAGAACACATTGTAGAGGTTTTTGGCACATAGATGACAATGGTCAGGCTATCCGAATCCAAAAATGGCCATAGTTGTCTTACCAGCTAAAACTAGTACAAGGCACTCCTAGCCACTAAACTTAGAATCATGTGATGTGAAAATGCTTCTACCACATACTTGTCAGAACATGAGCTTCTTAGATCTTCAGTACAACTGGAGTATTGCTTTCTAATTTGATTTTTATATTAAGTGACAAGGTGAATCCTGACTACTTAAAATCATGGCATGAGAAGTAGCAATCATTTGCTTTCTACATCCAGTATTTAGCCTAGTTCTGACACAATGTTTCCTTGGAATTTTATTGTCTTCAGCTATTGTGTGACATTTTTTTCACTTTCGTTCTTTTTAATTTTAGGGGATACACCTTTTTATGCAGATTCTTTGGTTGGAACATACAGTAAAATTATGAACCATAAGAATTCTCTTAGCTTTCCTGATGATAATGATATTTCAAAAGATGCAAAAAATCTTATTTGTGGCTTCTTAACTGACAGGTAATATTTTACATCAAAATGAAAGTTTTTGGTTTAGAGGTTTTTCTGTAGTAAACTTTATCACCTGGTGATAAACCAGTGTTTATGAATTTTACATACGTTTTAATAAACTTTTTAATCCTATTAGGTCTTGTCCTGATAATAAAATATAGTGTTCCTGCTGTAAAACCACTCTGTATACGAGAGCTTTTAAGTCAGTCTGACAATTCAAGAGCTTGAAATCAGTTTCCTAGTATTTTTATTTATTGAATAATAATCTTATGTTAAAGGGACTCGGGTGGCACTGTGGGTTAAACCACAGAGCCTAGGACTTGCCGATCAGAAGGTCGGCGGTTCGAATCCCCGTGATGGGGTGAGCTCCCGTTGCTCGGTCCCTGCTCCTGCCAACCTAGCAGTTCGAAAGCACGTCAAAGTGCAAGTAGATAAATAGGTACCGCTCCAGCAGGAAGGTAAATGGCGTTTCCGTGCGCTGCTCTGGTTTGCCAGAAGCGGCTTAGTCATGCTGGCCACATGACCCGGAAGCTGTACGCCAGCTCCCTCGGCCAATAAAGCGAGATGAGCGCCGCAACCCCAGAGTCGGTCACGACTGGACTTAATGATCAGGGGTCCCTTTACCTTTACCTAATCCTATGTTAATAATTGGATTAAAAATGTCTTTCTAAATGTTTAAGTACTTTAAGTTTATATACATTTTAAGCAGTGGCATTAATAGTATATGCAATCATACCCTGCAAAATATTTAAAGAAATTAGAATTAAACTGGCTTCAAGTTTGAATATCTTAACATTTGTACGAATTTTGAAATCTTTTACCTCATTCCTGTGTGTTCTTTTCTTGATGCAAGCAATCATTTCTTGGACAGTCAATATCCAAACAGTTATTAGCTGTACAATGTGTTTCTTTTTAACTTTAGTGTGCATGAGTATACCTGTTTATTATTCTTAGGTTTCATAATTTATGTAAAGATGGAATTAAAAAAAATCTTGCAATTTAAAATATTGGTAGGATTATAAATGCGGTTTCTTGAATACCCTAAACAAACTATAGATACACTTCTTCTTCAAAATAACATGTGTGAGATTGTGCTGCTGATGTTTTCATAGACTTGGATCCAAAAGTATCCTTTCTGCAAGCAGAAAAACTCTTCTGCTTATAGAAGGGGTTTTTATGACTTACCAAAGAGCAGATGAGAAACTAACCTATAATGCCAACAATGTTCTTGAGTTTGTAAAAGCTCTTATAAAATCGTATGCGCAAGACTATTCAGTATTTTTTTCTCAGGAAAAAATACTTCAAACTGTTTATAGTGTTAATCCCTAATGTGGAATAATTTTGTGCATTAATGATTGGAGTGCACACTTGCAGTTCTCCAGAAATGCAAAGCAAGACCTATGTTTTGGACTTGCATTGCAACAGGGACTTGCGTGTGAATGGGCATGAATGTGCCTGATCATTTTGTGTACTTTGACATAACTCTAGATACATTGTTGTGCGAAAACTTTCCCTAGCACTTATACAGCAGCTTACAGAAACAGTGACAATTCAGTTCATGGTCTGTAGCAGTCCAGGAACATATATCAAAAGGGGGGGGGGGAAATGCTGCAGTGTGTTTTGTTGTGGATGGGAGGAGTAGTTAATATTTTTTATACACATTATTTCAATCTACCCCATAGTTTCAAGACAATGTTATGAGGTAGCATGAGTTTGAACCACAGGAGGTGTGAAACTGCTCCCTCACCTCAGATTCGGAGTGGATAAGCAGTTGGTGATTTTCTTCTGAGCTCTTCTCAGCTCCTAATCACCCCTTTCTAATTTTCCATTTAAAAAGTGACTTATTGGGCTACTGTTGCATATGTTTGCATGCTTTATGTATTTTGATCTTCAGAGCTTGCATATTTACTCCTTTCAAAATATCCCTTCAACAGGGAAGTCAGATTAGGCCGAAATGGTGTGGAAGAAATCAAGCGACACCCTTTCTTCAAAAATGACCAGTGGTCTTGGGAAAACCTTAGAGACAGTAAGTATCTCTTTTGACCATGCATGAAGCTATCTGCATTGAGGCCCATATATCATCTTTTAAAAATCAGTAGTATAAATTGGTTAGGTGTCCAATACAAAGTTGCTTATGTATATATAGATCGGGAGCCTACTCCAGGCATAGAATTCACCACTTAGGACACTGCAGAAATTAAATAGCAATCAATTTTTAGTATTTGTGAAAATATATTGCTCAAGAGATCCCTATTTTATTGCTAATGTGAGGTCTCTTGAGTGACCAATGGGTGTTAGGTTTTTTAATTGGCAGCTGTCTGGGGACCTCAGGAGCAATCTGTTCTGTTTAGTAATTGCAACTATATTTAAGTTTTGAAGCTTTGATTTTTTAATAATAATATTTTTTTTATTGCATGTGCTGCTCAATGTAGAATAAAGAGTTAAATCTTGCCATGTCTCCTTGTGATTCTTTCATTCCTCTTCTCCATTCCAATTGTAACATTTTTAATATATTAGTTTCAATAAACATTTTAGTAATCCTTTTTTTGTTTATATTGATAGCTGTAGCACCTGTTGTGCCTGATTTAAGTAGTGATATTGATACTAGTAACTTTGACGATTTGGAGGAAGATAAAGGAGAAGAAGAAACATTTCCTATACCAAAAGCATTTGTTGGCAACCAGCTGCCTTTTGTAGGATTTACTTATTACAGTAACCATCAGTAAGTATACATGTGCTACTGAAAATGCAGGCATGTGAGCTTAAGTTGTGAGAACAAATTCTATAAGATTTGAGAGCAATGTCACAAAAGAAACTTAATTCTGGGTTTAAATGACACTTTAAAAAATCTGTCTTGCCATATCATCCTAAAATGTGTAACACTTTTTATAGCAGTTTTGAACTTACGGTACAGGCAGCAATTTTGCACATTTAATTTTGGTTCCTCTTGATGTGACATCATACTATGTCCCTGATTTTTGTGTTTTCTCAAGCAATGTCAGAAGGCCAGGCTTTTAAGTAATCATTACTTCCAGTGCATGCTTACCTGGGAGAAAGTCTCATTGAACTCAGTGCGGTTTATTTCTGAGTAGCCGTTCATAGAATTCCACTGTTAAGGGTCAAATTATTCTATGTAGTCTGCTCATTAATATGCCCTTGGATTTGTTTGCTTACTAGCTATGGAGAACAGCAACATTGTCTAGTGAGCAAACAAGGAGATATCATGCAAGAGGTTGATCCACTTAATTATTCGTTAATATAATTTGCAAAGAGTTCATGGATTCTTACTAGGATTGCGAAAAACGTCAGATTTCTAGAGAAATTTTAACTCTTAAAGACCATTCAAAATATGATAGTAATACATCCTACAGGTTAGAAATACATAGTCAGATACGTATTTCACAATTACACAGCTAATTTCATGATTTTTGAGGAACTGTCCAGTGTTTGGAGCAGTAAAGCTTTTTACTACTGCAGACAGAGGTTGTCCAATCTTCCTTATAAGTTACGATTTTTCATCAGCTGCAAAACTGCAGAAAAGAATGTTGTAAAGCAAAACAGTATGTGATATTTGAAGGAAAGATGTCTAAATAGGGTGTTCATGTTGTGTCTTTTCAGAAGATGTGTGCTCTCACGTTCAAATTTTAGTTAACAGCAGAGACTCAAAAATGTGAAAATACACCTTTAAAATTGCATGTACCCAGCCTACTATATAATGTGGGCATTTAAGTTTCAGGTATATGGGTTGCAGAAATGTGCAAGCAAAGTGATCAGGGGGCTGGAGTACTTTCACTATGAGGAAAAGCTAAAATGTTGGGGCAGGTTAGATTTAAAAAGGGTAACTAAGGATAGAAATGAGAGAATTTCTAGTATGTAGAAAGTGGGGAGAAAAAAGTTGTTCTCTCATCATATTACTATAACTTATTGTGTGCTTACAGGTATTTATCTAGCTGTACAGCAAACTCTAATGACAACAGAGCAAGCACCAACGTAGATAAAAGTTTGGTATGTCTTTTTTTCTTTTTTAATTTCCCCCCCTTTGTTAGGACCTCAAATAAGTGCTATTAGCTAATTAAATATTTTGTTGATGAATCCTTTGTATTGATAACTTGATTTGAATAAATGTAAATTACCAAGACATCCATATATACACAGGTCCCTCTTTCTGAACACAGTATATTCCCAGGAAATTGTTTGTTAGGCAATCATTTGCATAAAGAGCTGATGATTGCTATTAGTTCCTACGGGAACATTTTTCTGGCTCTCTTTCCATGCTTTCTGCCTGAGTCTGATGCAACCAATCAACGAAAGCAAGACAAAGGAAAAGCTGATTTGTCCAATCTCCTTTCTTCCCTCCCTTCTTCCCTCCATCCCTCCCACCCTCTCTCCATGCTTTCTGCCCAAAATGGCAACACCAATCAGCAAAGCACAAGTAGGGAAGTGGGTGAGCTCCAGCTGTTCCGATATGTGAATCAGCCCTTTGTGTAGTGAGGGTTGGGTATAATTCTTTGTATTTGGATAACTGAGATTTCATATAACAAGCTGTCAGGGAACTGCCATCAGTACTAGAGGGGGAGCGCAAAAGCCAGAGGGATTCCAGAGAGCGTCCAGGGATCGGGAGAAGCAGCCCATCTTCTGGGGAAGAGAATCAGCGTAGCACCAGTGGAGAAGGGGGGCAGGTGGGGGAAGTGGCGAGGCGGTCCCATGACTCCTTGCTGGGGACCAGCGGGGAGAGTAGAGGTCCTCCGTTGCCCACACCCTCCCTGCGCAGAAGGCTTTCGCGCAGAGAGGGTAGGCGGAGACTAGGCGTCAAAGAGCTTCTTTTCTGGAAGAAGTTTAAGAAACGCCCACTCACGGATTCTGCCAGCGATTGAGTCAGCCACGGGTGAGTGGCTGTCCGGACAGAGGAGGTTCACTTTGGCAGCCCAGCCAGGTGTTTGCACCCAGCCAGGGAGATAGGCATCTGCTTACGCACGAGCAACCCCTTAGAACCATTACAGCAATCCGTGAGTCCCTGACGTTGCTTGTGCGCAGCCCGGGGGAGGCAGCACAATGAGCCAGACAGGACCAGCCGGAGAGGCAGAGCAAGAAGCCATGGTGCGAGGTCTGGTCGAGCAACCCCTTAGAACCATTACACAAGCATTCCGATAGTGGGACCTATCGGAAGATTTGTTTTCAAGATATTGAAGGAAGTGTAACGTAAAGATTAATAACCAATATTTGCACTCATGTAAGAATGAAAATGAGTCTACAGTTCTTTTTCTTTCTCATTATTGCAGCACAGCAGAGCTAAAATGTCACCAAAAATTAAATCAATTTTTAATTTACAATGTTTATATACTACTTGATTATAATAAGACCTCAAAGTGGTTTACAAATGTGTCTGAATTTCTGGTCCCATTTATAAGAATGTGCCCATGTTTATTAATCTGTTAAAGCAGTAATCTCCTAGCTGAAACTTGCTGCTCCAATTTTTAAAAATAAGATACTGAGAACCATTCAAAGCAATTTTAGATAGTTGTTGTAAAATTCACTACAATTTAGATAGTCCCATAAGATCCTGTCAAGTATGACTTTTATTTTCATTCTGTATTTTATATTTAAAGCTGGAATCTCTGCAGAAAACTATCTATCAACTTGAAGAACAGCTACATAATGAAATGGAACTGAAAGATGAAATGGAACAAAAATTCAGGTGACTCAATTCATTCTTTGTTATCAGAACTTCAGAAACACATGTTTTATGAGTTTTATATTGGGGAATTATGATGGTATTAACATTTTATATGTGTAGACCAAGAGGTTTGTAGCCCATCTCCAAAACTGAGTATCAGGGTCTTAGGAGCCAGTTAATGGCACCAATTCTGAAAGTGATATTTTTAAGAGTTGCTGGTAGCAACAAGGATGCTTTTGCTTGTTGGCATTACTAAGAGCAAGACTAAGCACTCTTAGGTGAATGTGCATCAGTTATCTTGGGAGTGAAGAATTTGAAAGGTAGGGATATAGTCACTTTGAATCTCCCATTTACCAGCTTTTTGGTTTAGTTTCCTTCCCTCTTAGAGCTCACCCTGGTTCTTCTCAGATTATGTTCTGGCTGCTATAAAATATTTCATATTCCTTATTGGCAGCTTCAGATATTTGGAGCTAGTTTAAGATCTAAGGTGCTAGTTCTACACAGAAATAGTTTAAGTAAAATTCTTAGGTTACTAGGATATCAGTGTTAGACATAATGCGTATTCAACATAGCACTAATTTGCTGGTTTCGTCAGCACAGGCATTTTTCCTTATGGATTGTTTCCCCCTCTGGAGCAGATTGGAGATGGCATGGAGCACTCACAGTGAAGGAGAGGGAGAAAAGTCCTGTTTTCCTAGTGCTATTTAGTTGAATACTTCCCACTCTGTATGACATTGGGCTATACCCATTAACAGGTTGGTGGTAGCCTATTCTGTACACCAGTGTCAGCCTTTTGGTCACTTGGATGTAGATTACACAGCCATGATGATGTGAGTTATTACAGTGTAATTGAGTTAAATTGGGTTGTTTGCAGAGCAGTTGTAGAGCAAAAACAAAAAAGTGTCACTAACGTAATTATATTTTTTCTAGAACGTCAAACATTAAATTAGACAAGATAATGAAGGAATTAGATGAAGAGGTAAGTGATTTTTTGTGTGTGGTTTTAGTGGAATTAGTTTCCCCCCATTTTTTAAAATGATGGTGTTAGAATTTTACTTGCATACATGTGATTTCTTTCTTCAGTCATTTATTATTACAAATAAAACAAATCTCTCTCTGAAGGATTTCTTTCCTTTTGGGAGAATGAGGAAAGTAAAGACTTGCACCGTGGATTGCTTGTACAGAGAGACTTTTGCCAAGGTCTTGATTCATTTATTTTAATCTCTACTCTTGGAACGCTGTCTCTCTAGCCCAAGCATGGCCAAACTTGGCCCTCCAGATGTTTTGGGACTACAACTCCCATCATCTCCAGCTAACAGGACCAGTGGTCAGGGATGATGGGAACTGTAGTCCCAAAACATCTGGAGGACCAAGTTTGGCCATGCCTGCTCTAGCCTGTCAAGTTGATGGGCGTGTGGCTAGTGACTGTAAAAAAGCCAATATACAGATAACTCATATCAGTTTAATACAGTATTTTTAAAAAATCTAACACAATTATGATATTTATTGCTCTATTTTATTCTAAAACATGAGAATATTTTCTTTCAAAGATGGATTATGAATTTCCTAAATAAAATAATTTGGACCAGTTTCAACTAAATCGTTGTCTGAGTGGGAGCCAGTGCAGTGAGTCCTTCTAGTGCAACAGGGTTTCCCCTCCTCTCCCTATGCACCCACTTAGTTTGGCTCCCAGAACAGTGGGCAGGGAGAGAGATATTGTTCTGTCTGGCAAGCAGAAATGCTTATGCTGATCATATTAGCACAACGTTGAATTCCACTGACAGCTTCATTGGGATGATTAGAACTTAAATTTTCTACTAAATTTAAATGGTGAAAAATTAAATGGCAGTATCTATCTTGCAGGGCAGTCAGAGAAAAAATTTGGAATCAACAGTTACTCAGGTTGAAAAGGAAAATATGCTTCTGCAACATAGAATAAATGAATATCAAAGAAAAATTGAGCAGGAGAATGAGAAACGTCGAAATGTGGAAAATGAAGGTAAGCTGTATTTCCTTTCAGGAAGCACCTTTCAGGTAAGACTGATGGTCCCTTTCGTAGGATATTTTTTGAACCGCATAAATATCTTAGTATTCCTTTCAACTGGGGCATATTTGTGTTTGAATATGCCTCAGATCAGTGGTGGCTTGTTTTTTTCTCTTGCTGTATAGAAATATTAGAAAAAATACCTCCAAAAGACATGCATGTTTATTTACATTTAACATTTCCCCTTTGCATCTAGTGTCAACGCTAAAAGATCAGTTGGAAGACTTAAAAAAAATCAGTCAACATTCACATATTACAAATGAAAAAATAACGCAGTTGCAAAAGCAAGTAAGCAATTTTCTATGCCTATATCTGCTTTCCCTCCAAAATGTATCAATTTAGGGTAAATGCAACAGAGCTGGATGTATTTGTTGTATGATGCCCACTGCTACCTTTTCTTAACTCCCCCTTCCCCTCCCAACAGCTTGAAGAGGCCAATGATTTACTGAGGACAGAGTCAGATACCGCAGCAAGGTTGAGAAAGAGTCACACAGAAATGAGCAAGTCAGTAAGTCAGTTTGAAGCCCTAAACAGAGAACTGCAAGAGAGATGCAGAATCCTGGAAAGCACAAAATTACAAGTGGAAAAAGACTATTATCAACTTCAAGCTGCGCTGGAAGTGGAAAGAAGGGATAGGAGTCATGGATCAGAAATTATTGGAGAGCTACAAGGTAATAATTTAAGACAAAGTAAATCTAATACAGTGGTACCTTGGTTTAAGAACTTAATCTGTTCTGGAAGTCCGTTCTTAAACCAAAGCAATCTTAAACCAAGGTGTGCTTTCCCATAGCAGCAGGGGACTCAATTTACAAATGGAAGCCACTCAACAGGAAGTGAAACATGTTCTTATTCCAAGGCAAAGTTCACAAACCAAAACACCTACTTCCAGGTTTGCAGCGTTCTTAATCTAAGTTGTTCATAAACTAAGCTGTTCTTAAACCAAGGTACCACTGTAGTGCCTTCAGTTTTGTTTTGATCAAATATATGTATGAATTCAGTGTGCTTTCAATACAGTGGTACCTCGGTTTACAAACTTAATCCGTTCCGGAAGTCTGTTCTTTAACCAAAGCCGTTCTTAAACCGACGTTCGCATTCCCTAATGAGGCCTCCCGCCGCCGGTGCCCTTCCACTGTTCGGCTTCCGTTTGTAGACTGAGGTGAAGGTAAAGTTCCCTAACCGGAACACTACTTCCGGTTTTGTGGAGTTCGTATACCGAATAGTTCGTAAACAGGACTGTTCTTAAACCGAGGTACCACTGTACTGAATTTTAATCCAAGTTGAGAGCGTAACACTAACATTAGAAACACTGTCTCTTTTTTTAATTAACCAACGACCTCTGATATATGTTAGGAGCTTTATGTGGGTAAATCATAGTTTCGGTTTTGTGTGCAAGTACTGTGGCAGATTATACTATTTAATTGTTTATGTAGCTCGGGTTACATCTTTACAAGAAGAAATCAAAGGTTTAAAGAACAATCTTGAAAGAGTGGAAGAAGAAAGAAAGCAGGCCCAGGACATGCTTAATCATTCTGAAAAGGTAAGATCATTAAAACAATGAGGTATAAATTTCTTGTTCCTTGGAATAAAGATGCATATTTCTACAAATCTATAAAAAGCAGCATGCAAATGTGATTGATAGGATGATTTTATAAGATCTAAATTAAGCCACTGTGTTTGAATTTAAGTTTGTTTAATTCAGTTGATGTGAGTGGGAATACGTTGGCTCATTTTTTATATAGTTGTGGATCAAGCTTTTAAGGGTGATAGAAATGTGGCATTACTACCAATGCATCTATTGTTGTTTTTATTACTATGATACCATCAATGTATATATATTTTCACCAAGTATTATAGGGAAAAAGGACAGACTGTTACCCTAAAGGACTTTAAGTCTGTATCTTGATAGTTAGAGGTAGAGAAAAGCGAATGTTTGATTCATTTATGGGTGAGGATTAAAGGATTAAACCAAAAGCTTTATGCAAAAAGTGGAGTTAGATAAGAGATGTTAGAGCAAGAGTTTTTGGGTCTCTAGGCATAGCAGAATTAAAGAGGCAAAGTCCTAGGAGTAAAATTACTTGGGATGCATCTTGAATCAGTGCTTGTGGTTGTCAATATATATTTTAACCAAATTCAGATGCAGTGATCCCAATTCCTATCAGAACTTGTAATATAGGTGGTTTAACCCTTCCTCCATTGCCATCATTGCCCTGAAAAATCACCCCACCAAAGCTTCTAGGGACAAAGGAGGTTTAGTGGGGAAACGGTGCATGGGGAAAGGGTAATACATCCTTTCATGAGCTGTGGTCCCCAGATGGGTTGTGGGAAGCCCATGGCTACATTGTGGGGGAGGATAATACAGAGAAACTCAAGCATGGCATTCAAAAATACATTTACAAATAACTTGCGACTTAACCCCAGATAAAGAGACACCAGCGCAGGGCAGAGCTGTTAATCATTTGTGAAATTCTAAGCGTCCTCAATCATAAATATTTGTGGATTGTGTGTGCTAAAAGAAGTATGTGTGTGCATAACTTGGTCGCTCGCTTGCAATGTAGCAGTTCATTATCATATTTTCAGTTAAAAAAAAAAGAAAGCTGAGGCAGATGGGATTACAAAAAGCTATTGAGTGTCATGAAATCTGAATGTGTTTTTTTTTAGATTAAGGATGGTATGGTGTTCTTAACCTAACTTCAGCTTATAAAAATATCTTACAGGAAAAGAATAATTTAGAGATTGATCTAAACTACAAACTCAAAATATTACAGCAGCGTTTAGAGCAAGAAGTAAATGAGCATAATATAAATAAAGCTCGTTTAACTGACAAGCACCAGTCAATAGAAGAGGCCAAGTCAGTTGCAATGTGTGGTAAGTTTTTATAACGTTTGTTTGTTCATATAGCATTTATATACTGTCTTCCAAGGCATGTTTACAGTTTTAAAATACTAAAACAAATAAGTAACTAGAGTCCAACTGGAGCAGGCCATGATGTTGACTTTACCTGCCTCCTTCACTCTTTTCCTTCTCACAGGGAAGACCATGTCCAAGTTTAAAGTACTGTTAACTGTTTGTATATTTTTCCTTTGGATAATTACAGGATAAACATGCCAGTTACGTATATAATAAAGAAATGACAGCTGCAATGTTACTTGTAAGTCAGTAGGAGAAAGGCACAAATTGGATTTGTGTGCCTTCAAATGTCTCTTTCCTATCCAGTCATTAAACAAAATGCTGCCTGTGGAAGCAGTCCTAGTGAAATGCTCAATAAAACAGTGCTGAAATGGAAAGTATGTTTCTAACAGTATTAGCGCACAAGTATTACTTGTTTATTCCTCACAGTCATCACTAGTTTTATCATTATACAAATTACACACACACACACACACACACACACACACGTGTATATATATATAGAGAGAGACAAACAAATTTTATTGCACAAACATAATAAATTAATAAAATAATAAAAATAAAGTATCTACTTAAGGCCCCTTTGAATAGATAAAGAACACTATGAATGAGACATACAATGATTCTCCATAAACTGTCTAAGTTAAATTACATAATTCACAATTACAATATGTGGTACAGCCAACAATGCAGCTGGATCATAAGGGACTCACAAATGGGGATAGTGCTGTTGCACTCAGATTCTGCTTATGGAGTTCCCATAGATATTTGGTTGGCCATTGTAAGAACAGGATGCTGGAGTGGATGAGCCTCTACTGGTGGCCATTCTTATGTTATTAAGGGGAATAGACAAATGTGTGGAAGTTAAATCTATCAGTGGCTACTAGTCATTTAGTCATTGCATGCTAAGTCCAGGATTGGAGGCAGCATGCCTTTAAATACCAGTTGCCAGGGAACAACAGTGGGAGAGGGCTCTTGCTCTCATGGTGCTTATGATTGGCTAGTGTGGGAAACAGGATGCTAGGCTAGATGAACTTCCGGTCTAATTCAGCACACCTCCACTCACATTCAAACATTTGGCAATTTTTTGTAGATTACGAAGATGTCTTGTCAGTCGGGTATCTTCACTGTCCTCATGAGTGTTGAAATAGTTTATTTTTCCTCACTACTTGCAAATAGTTTTGAGTGCTAAGTCTTACTGCCCATGGTAGTAAAGAAGTGGTGATGGGGCTAATAGTCAAGGAAGAAACTGCCAGTACATATAATAATTCTGGACAGTTTTAGTATCTGCTATGGCTGCTTACACCACCTAAGTCTCGCCTCCCCACCACTCCCCACATCAGATTATTGTAACTAATTGGCCAATGTCTGTAGACAGTGTGGGGTGTCTGGTCAGGTACCACTGCAAATGTGGAAGCTCTGCCCATTTAGTATGCAGAGCAGCCTGCATAAAATTCTTTTATTGGAATTTTTTTAAAGATGTACTATCTTTGGTCCTTTAGAAATTGAAAAAAAGGTGAAAGAAGAGCGATCAGCAAGAGAGAAGGCAGAAAATCGAATAGTCCAGATTGAAAAACAATGTTCCATGCTAGACTTTGACTTGAAGCAATCTCAACAGAAGCTGGAGCACCTTAGTGAACAGAAAGAGAGACTAGAAGATGAGGTAATAAAAAGTGCTTAAGTTAGTTGCTATAAGTTTGAGGTACTTAAGAAAACTTAACTTTCTTCATATCCCTTTAAGCAGAAAACTCCTCAAACCTCCGCTTTTGCATGTGGATGCAAATCCAATTTCTGAATTCATTTCCTCCCAATTTAATGTAATTGGAAATGTTTTCTCAATTCATGCAATTTGGATTCTACGTGCCATGTATTTTGCACTACAAAGCTTTGCTACAAAATATGCTAATGAAATTGGAAATACATAGAGAAATGATGATTATAAAATTAGTAGGACCTTTCTTTTGCTGTATTGTGGGGGAAATCATGGAGGGGGATTCAAAATTTAGAATTGAGGAAGATGGGCTGCTTTGTAAAGCAATTCTGTATGTTGCTGTACATTCTGTTGTACATGGACATAAAGGCAGCTTAGGCAACCACACAACTTGTTTTGCATGCTCAAGGCAGTTTGTGTGTGCGTGCAGAGGCTTGTGTAGTGTTCAAGTCTTGTGTGTGTGATGGCAAACTGCTTTCAAACCTGAACACACTTTCAAAAGCAGCTTTTGATACTGCATTGAATGCTGCTGTATAAAGAAAAAAAATGTTTAAATGCTGGCATTAACTTATTTATGAAATATTACTACTTTTAAAGAAACCAGAAAGCCTTTTCTATTGGCTAAAATATTTTATTGTGCGGTTAGGTTAAGAATATCACACTTCAGCTGGAGCATGAGATTAATAAGAGAGTGATGGCACAGAATGACCTGAAGAGTCATGCTATAGAGGCAGATAACTTAAAAAGTTCTGAGAAGCAGCTAAAACAGGAGATCAACACATTGTTGGAAGCGAAGAGATTAGCAGAATTTGAGTTGGCTCAACTGGCAAAGTAAGTAAACTCAATTTAGAATCAGCTGCTTCACCCCATAATATTACAAATTTTACTGAGTGCTTTTCTGTATTCAAATATGCATACATTTCAGTACATGAATATCTTTGTTTAGTAATATCTGTTTATATGATCATAGGAGCGTCGTGCTCATATGCAGAGCTCTTTCTGTGTGATAGGGTCTGATTAAAGTACATTCTGTACAGGTTAATGTTATAAAAGTAGATGCCACAGGGTTTGTTTCCTGTCTTTTAGGCAGAAGTGCTCTGCTTATTTTCTAGTTGTCTTACAAATGAACTAATCAAAATGAAGCACTTCTTCCAGTTTGAAGTTTCAGCTGAAATTCATTTGAGGGAACGTATAACCTTAAATTAAAACCTTGGAGTAAGGTGAATCCCTTCAGAAGTTTAAGCTGTCTTATTTCATACTTCATGCACAACTTGGATGTTTTGTTACTTGATTAACCAGCACTTGATGACTGATAGTTTATTGTATAAACTCATTCAACTGAGAAGTATTTTATTTGAATGTGTATTAGGGATTTGAATGCTTTGTCAAAAATGAGAGATTTTTTGAATTTGGTGGTGGGGAGCAGAAGTCTGCTGATTGACTAGCTAATGTGGGGATGGGATAGAGAGGGTTGTGTGGGTTAAAATTTACCAGCTAATATGCTGCCAGCAGGCCTTTGGCTAATATGTAGAATGTTCTTAATTATTTTTCTCCTCTCAAAGGCAGTACAGAGGGAATGAAGGCCAGATGCGTGAACTGCAAGATCAACTAGAAGCCGAACAGTACTTTTCTGTAAGCTGTCCACTTGTACATTACGCAAGCAATTTTTATGAGTGATGATATGGTAACATTGTATAAACCCAATAGTAGTGACTTTCTATATTAGCTTCATATAATGTTTGTGCCTGGAGAGGGGAAATGGGTAAAGAGGTAATGATAAGGACAGGACAAACAGGCAGAAGTGGAAGACAATGTGCAGATAGTGCTAGCAACCCTCAGGGCCACGGTTTCGTAGTCAATGCAACAAAAAGCAACTATATCCTTTGGGATGTAGCATTTGGGAGCCATCAAAATCAGGGTGGTCACTTGCTGACTTCTGCTAAGGATATCATATGTAATGATGTTAGTTCAGCTGTTGAATTTGATGGCATTAGTTATAGGGATCACACCATGGGCCATACACCACTCCTGACCCTCCTAGTATACAAAGACATCATAGCCAATTGTAGACATTGGCAGATCCTCCTGGTGGCCTATATCAAATGGCCCTCTCGGTGGTGGGGCAACTCCAGTGCACCTGATAGCAGGGGTTCCCCTAAAGAACCTACCACCCCTAACTATCACAATGGATGCTAGCCCCAGGAACTGGAAAACCCACTAGTGGGCCAGCATGTCCAGAGCAGGAGGACCAGGCCAGAAGCCCAGCATTCTTGTCAAGTGACTGGAGCTGTGAGTTGCCCACCTGATGCTGAAACACCTCACCCACACATTGCTCATCTCTGATGTTCAAATATGGATGGACAACACAACCATGAAAGTCCACATTACAGGTAGGAAGGAACCAGATTGTTGCCCCTTCACCTGGAAGCCTTCCATACACTAGACTGGGCAGTGATGCATCTGACTTAACTCACATTGGAGCATATCATTGTAGTTTCTGGTGAAGGTTATGATTTTATAGGAATTTATAGACTTATTCTCTGTTGCTTGCTTTATTGCTTTGGTTAATCATATTTTAAACCTCTCTGAGATATTGCCTATACCTGTCAGGGTGCTGTCAGCGACTCCCAGCTGATTGCTTAGGGAAGGATGAAGACAAGGAAAAGTTTTTTAAAGCCCTTTTTTATTTCAGACTTTACAGAGGGAGGCTATAGAACCCAGCCTCTTGGATAATGGCATTGTCCTGAGTGAATCTCCACCCCACCTTCTCTCCTACTTCCTCATTCTTCTTCATCATCATCATCTCCTGTCGCTATGTGCCCTCTGTCTTCAAGCTCTTTGCTCTCCTACTTTTAAGGATTGCTGGGTTCTTTGAGATGGTGGGTCTAGAATGCTTTCTAGTGACGTGTCAGCCAGCTGCCTGCTCCTCCTCCTCCCATTATTTCCCAACTTTCCCCCCATCTGTCCCTGAGCTTTGACCTCCTGCAAACCACAGTTGTAAATTTACAGTGTCTTCCTCTTCCTCCTCCCTGGAAGGGTCAGGATGGGGAGGCTGTTTCCACCACTACTCCTCCTCTGCCCAAATCCCTGACAATAACTGAAAAGTGTTTAATAAATGCTCGGAATGATAGAAGAATATGCAGTAAGTAGAAAATAATGTGCCAGTATTTTCTATTACATATGCAACATTGTGTCCTGTAATAAGGAATGTCTGAATGGTTTGACATATTATTGAGCACAATATGATAGATTTGGGTTTGCTTTTTTAATTTGCAGACTCTATACAAAACTCAGGTTAAAGAACTTAAAGAAGAAATTGAGGAGAAGAATAAAGAAACCCAGAAAAAAATACAGGAATTACAAAATGAAAAGTAAGTAAATGATTACAAAATGAAAAGTAAGTAAATGATAGAAGCACAATCTCTCCATTATTAAGCACCTGCTTATTTTAATTAGAAAGTGAAGCATGTACTCAGCCCCTCTAATTGTGGAAACATTTCTGCTTCATGTTTCTCAGGAGAATGCATAGAGTGTGTTTTTAATTTTGCCTAGAAATAAAATGTTATCTTCATAAAATAGTAGGACATTACATATGCTAGAAGTGTAGGTATACAAGGTTGTACTTGAGTAAAAACTGTACATTTTTATTTGTTTTTACTCCCAAGTTAGGACAGAGCAGAACAGCATATTCTAGAATACTGTGGACGCAGTATATGTTGACACAAATTTTAGTTCTGCAAGCAAATAAAAAATACAAGTATCTAATGATTGTAACATACAGAGGGACACGAGAAGAAGACCTTGCTCTTTCCCCCTGCAATAGGACCTGTGTTGCCTGGAATAGACTTTTTGTTTTGTGTTTTATTAAAAAGACAACATGGCTCATATTTTGTTTGGGAAAAGTATGTATAATTTATATGCTACATTTATTTCATACCTTTCAATCAAGGAGCTCAAGGTAGCAAATATAATTCCACCCCATTTTGTTTTCCCAACAACTCTATGAGATAGGTTAGCCTGGGAGATAGTGACTGGTTCTCTGCAGTCTTAGTCTTTAAACACTATACATTACTACTTTGGAAAAAAATATTAACTTTCTGTTGTAGAGAAACTCTTGCTGCACAGTTAGATCTGGCTGAAACAAAAGCTGAATCTGAGCAGTTGGCCCGAGCTCTCCTTGAGGAGCAGTATTTTGAATTGACTCAGGAGAGCAAGAAAGCCGCATCACGAAACAGACAAGAAATTGCCGACAAGGATAATATTGTAAGCCGGGTAAGTTACTGTGCAATAAACACATTACAACACAACTTGCTATCTTGTATCAAAAACATCTTTGAATCCTCTATTTTATACTCCTTAAAAAATTTATTCCAGAGGTATGTATTGCTCTGATGTGCACTAGAAGTTCTGTTTTCCGTAGTGGAGAATGGAGAACACATAACAGGGTTAACTCCCTTCCAGCCAGCCAGTAGTGCTTTTCAAGTTTTGACCCTGCCTCAGAGAGAGTTAACCCCTTCATGTGTGCTTCCATTTCCCACTGAACAGAAGGGCACTTCATGGTAAGGCTAACTTTCTGATTTCAGTAAAGGGAGCTGAGACATTCCATGCTTTACATATGTGTCCGAGCTGTCAGGAATGTTCCTCAGCCAAAAAAAGTGCCATAATTTCCTGTCTATAAGACACCCCCATGTATAAGACTCCCCCTATTTTGAGGGACTCCGATTTAAGAAAATGGGGAAGATGGCCTCCGTGTATAAGACCCCCACATATTTGACATTATTTTTAAGGGGGAGGACCTAGTCTTATACATGGAAAAATACAGTACATGACACACCTGTTTCGTGTCTAGGCAGCTATTCCCAGATCTGTGCCTTGTGGAACAGTTGCAGCAAGAGGGACCATGCCTCTTCCACCAGCTTATTTATCTTCCCCAACAGGCTATGCACACACTACTGGATACTATACCTGTGTGTGAGCTGCCTCTGCTCTTCCTGCTTCAGTTCTCTCCTGGTTCTGGGAGACATTGGTGCAGAAGAGGGTGGGAAGCACCCAGCCTTTCACTTGCCTGTTCTGTCTTTTCTTCCTCTCCCTCTGGCTCTGAAGCTTCCTCTGCCTTTGACTCTTGCTTCCTGGTTGGTACAGGTCCCCACAAATAACTTTCCCCTTTGCCCTAGTCAGACTCCATCCACTCCCCCCCTCCCCCGCCCAGTGCACACTCGTCAGCATCCTGCTAGCTCCTGGCAGTTCCCTTGCCTTGACATACAGTGGTACCTCGGTTTTCGACCATCTCCGTTGACTAACATTTCGTAACTCGAATGCTGTAAACCCACAAGTAAATGCTTTTGTTTTCAAACACACCTCAGAAGTCGAACCGGAAATGTGGCTTCCGTCTTGAGTTTTCCGTCTTGAGTTTTCTGTTTTGAGGCTTCCATTTTGAGTTTTGAGAACTCGTATGGTCTTCCAGAATGGATTAGGTTCGAAAACCAAGGTACCACTGTATTTGAATCAGTGTTAAGTTTTCTAAAGTTTCTTTACATAGCAAAGCACTGTATGTGATCTTTTCGCACATCACAAAATATGTCTAGTAGAGAAAAGATCTGCAGAAACTAGTCCAGATTTTTAAAAGGATAAATTATGAGATGACAAATTGTTACCGGTCAAGTGTTTGTAATGTGCTTATTGATTTCAGTGGTTTAACAAAGCCTTCCCCCTGTCTTGCTTAGCTTGAAGAAACAAATAATACATTAACCAAGGATGTGGCATTTCTAACAAAAGAAAATTCTGAACTAAATGAGAAGATTAAGAAAGTGGAGGAAGGTATGTGATAATTTCCACATCAATGGCCATAAAAGATTAATTTTGAAATATATCAAAGCCTTTTATACATGGAGAGCAGTTCTTTTTTCAGTGGGTTAGGTCCAAACATCTCTTTCCACAAACAGAAGGGCTCCTAGTGCCTGAAGGCAGGAAATGCACCAAGTTGAGGAAGTACTGTAAGTGGCTTGAAGTCCTCAACTCCAGTCTATTTCCTGCCTTTGTCCGAGGCGGTCTTTGGTGTTAGCCAGGGGTTGGCAAGGTTTACCTCACCTGGGCCAGTTCACTCCAGTGGAGATCCCTCTGTGGGCTGGATCGCGCACACGCATGAGAGTGCGCCCGTGATTTTCGGTGCCTGCGTCTGTGCAGATGTGATTCCGGCACTGCGGAAGCGAGTGTACAGTACTTAAATTTCTCAATTACCATCCTAGATGGTAATTTTCTGAGGTCTTAGTTTTTATCTAATATCTAGAATAGTTTCTTCTAATTTCATTTAGGCACCGTACCAATCCATAATTTGATTGTGTTCTGCCTTTTTGTAATTGAAATTTGTTTTTTGGATTGATTGCTTTGTTTTTATGTGACTCACCATAGTGGAAAGGTGGGATATAAAGCTTCTCATAAAACAAATAAATAGGGTGGTATCTGACTAAATCATCCTAAGAGTACAAATATTGAATCATTCCAGAATGATTATGCACTGGCATAACCATTTGGTTACATTAATAAAAATTAAATAATGATTGATGGGAGAGGGAACCAAGTAAGGTGCAGTTATTTCAATGTCATAAAAGGCCTTGCTTAACTTTAATACTTAATATTGTCAACAGATTATATATTGAAGAAAGAAGAAGAAATAAATACCATAAAAATGCAGTATGAAAAGAACTTGAACACTGAAAGAACCCTTAAAACACAGGTATTTGTCTTTTTTTTATGCTGTGTTAAACTACATTCTGAAAGATTTTATTAGCCCTTCATATGTTCTGCTGTTTTCACTACAAACAAGGATGAAAGGTTTCGATTATGATTATATACCCACAGCATTTCCCCATTTGTCTTAGCTGTGGTCTTACAAAATGTGTTATCAAGGTTAAACTTAGTCCAAAATATAAAAACCATAAGCAATCATCACAATAAGACAATTACATAAAATATCAAATAAATGAACAGTTTAACAACCAGTATGAAAAGTAACAATCGGAACCAGAGTTCCTCAGTGCTATATCCTTTTCTGTATCTCGAAAATGTAAAATGAAGCTTAGGCAAATCTTTCTGGGCATCATAATAAACCACAAGGCTGGCTGCTTTGTGGCGTTGTAAAGCATAGACTTTAGTTCTCTGTTCCTGCAGGACTGAACTGGTTAAAGGGTTTCTGGTAGCAGAGCTGGGAAGTGCTGTTGCTAGAGTAGACAGTGTTGGACTAAATGGACCAAGGGGCTAGTTCAGCATAAGGCAACCACTTATGTTTATTGGGTCATGCTATGCTAGTATTTCCCTACATAGCTCGTGAAGAATAATGGGCTAAATGGCTTAGACCCATAGAAATATATGAGAGCCATATATTTATTTCACTAATTGATAATGCTTTGTAAAATGTTTAATTTGTGAGCAAGACTCAAATGTCATCATTGGTTAGAATAATTCCAAGAGGTTGGGGCCCATATATGTGCTTATATTTTTTATGTCTATTCAAATTTGTGCATATTTGTTTGATACATAACAGGCTGTCAACAAACTGGCTGAAATTATGAATCGCAAAGATTTTAAGCTAGATAGAAAGAAAGTAAACATGCAAGACTACAAGAAAAAAGAGAAGGAAAATCGGAAGTTACAATTGGAACTTAACCAAGAAAAAGAGAAATTTAATCAGATGGTAATAAAATACCAGAAGGAGCTTAATGAAATTCAAGCGGTAAGACCTTTTCCCTTTTTTCATTTGGTTTTTATATAGTCCTGTCAAATACATTCACTGATGGTTTTCTGCTTAAAAGCTAACATATATGAGAATAAAATGGTGTTCAGGACTCAGCTTGTCTGTCTAAACTCTACTGTGGAGTATATTGTTCAACTAAAGAGTTTTCAGATGATTACTATCATGCACGAGGAAGTAGCAGGACAAAGTTAATCTAACAGAGCAACCAAGGCAGTTTCTGTGCCAAAACTGGTGTTAAACCTGACCCAAAACTGGAAAATCTCTCATTTAAGAGACTGAAATTAGCCAGTGATGATATTGTATACTAGTAAATAATTTTGTTTCTGCAAGGATGTGATGATAGTTCTGCAAATAATGAACATTTTGTTTGGCTCAGTTTGAATTTTAATACCTCGTGTTCTTAACAAATTAGTTCATACAAATAATATTCCCCACATTTTCTACTGAATACAGCAAATTGCGGAAGAGTCTGCACATAAGAATGAACTTCAGATGCAGTTGGATAGCAAGGAAAGTGATATAGAACAACTGCGCAGTAAAATTAATGACTTACAACTAGGCATGGACTCAACTAGTGTTGCCAGCCTTCCGCCAGATGACACTGATGGGAATGTTATAGGTAAGAGGCATGGATGTTTTGCTTACTATTTATGTATCTTGTTCACCAGGCTTTTCGTCTCTATATAGATAAGCTATCACCTTTTCTTTTTTTAAACAACCTTTGGCTTTATTATTTTACATTTCTTTTGTAGATAGAAGATAATATGGTTTAAAGGCAGGATGCAAAATTCTCTGCATACTTCTCTATAGAGAAAATTTAAAAGCTTGAATTCCCATTTAGATAATTCCTTAGTATGCAGCTTGCAAGTTGTCTTTTTTTATACAGTAGCTGTAGATGTGATAACTGCATTTACCATCATTGTTTAGTTAGAGTAGATTTACTGTGGATTATATTTCATTGCACAAATAATTAACAAGTCCACTTCCCTACATGTACTGTTGCAGTAGAAAAAAAGCAGCTACAGGTCTGTTAATACTATGTTTTGTGATATGGATTTTAAAAAAAATCTTAATTATATTTATATGTATGATCTAACTACTGCAAAGAATAAAGCCCCTGACAATTGTAAAGTACCTGTTTCTTAGCTCCCTTTTTACAATTACTGTATATCAAAATAACTGACACATCAAGATTGAATTGTTTTCTGATTCTTGATAACAAAATTAATTGGGTCATTTCAGTTTATATTATTTTATGCTTTTAAGCTGTCTTTTAACTGATTAAATTAATTAATTAAATTAAGTCTGCATCACAATAGCAGACTTCCACTCATTTTCATTTCTCTTCTTGGCCTGCATGCCCCCAAAATCTGCTCTGGAGGATCTCCCAACTCTCTGGAGCAGACTATAAGGGTGTACAGAGGGCTGCAGGGTGGAGAACAGGAAGGTGAAGTCACATTGCAAGTCCTTTCTGCTCACTCACAGACAAAAATATATATTAAAAATGAAACATCTTAATTAATAGTGGACAGAATGGCCGAGGGATTAATTACCTAATTATTTCTTACTTGGTTGACAGTTCTATTTAAAAAGTATTAGATGGGAAAACCTATATAACAGGAACCCGGAGGTAAGGAAAGATAGGAAAAACAATATATAGATTATAATTTCACATCAAAATCTGTAATGTGAACAGTTCAAGTTTTAAAATGTAACAGTTATTCTGCTCATTTACATGTGATTCACCCCATCTGGCCAGATTCTTTATCTCTAGTCTCCAGTGAAGTTCATTTAGAATTGGATTCCTAGAGACTGAACACTACAGCTATCTTTTCTGACTCCTCCACCAGATTGTTTATCTTCTTTAGCCCTATTCAGAAGTTAGACGTGTGCAGTGCTTTATTTGAAAAAAACGAGTTGCCGATACACCCACCCCTCACCCCTTTGCCTGCCTCCTCCTCCTCCACCACTGCTTCCCACCCACCTCCACCCCCAGAGGCATTTTGGCGTGACCTACCAAAGCAGGTCTGCCACAAAATGGTGCGGCTAGAGCAGCCCACAGAGCAAGGAAAGGAGGAAAAAGAAGTGGCGTTGTTCTAGCCATGCCACTTTGTAGTAGAGCACAGCAGTCCTCCTCTACCACAAAGTGGCGTGCCTGGAGCGGCCCACTAGTCAAAGAATGGAGGGGTAAGAAAGTCGGCCACTCTTGCCGCCCCACTTTGTGGTAGACCCACTTTGGTCCAAAATGGCTGTGGGGAAGCGGTGGAGGAGGAGGCGAAAAAGAGGTGGCGGTACAATGTACTGCCGCATACTGCCTAAAAAAACCAACCTTGACATGTGAATGGGAAGCAAGGTCGTGCTGAATATCTGAAAAGCTCATGCACCGACTTTGTGTATGCTGAGTATTCCTGCCTCCTGGTGTCTGAGCATACAGTGTATAAATATATGTTGAGACAAAGCCTTTGTGTGTACAGTTGTACGTGCAAAGAATTCAGCACAATCTTGAACCTCAGTTATGATGGGTTCCAGATCACATGGAAGTCAGTTGTGTGCACAAAGGCTCCATCCACACAGATATTTGTGCTGTATGTGCAGATGCCAGAGGGCAGGGCTAGTTGGTGCACATGATGTTGGGGGGCACAGCTACTTGGCACAGCCCTGCTCATGCGCTGGTTTCATGTGTGAGCAGAATTTATGAATAGTGTTATGTATTGTATTCTTTAATGGACTTCATATTGAAAAGCAGCAGCTTTCATTCCTAACTGCGGCTTGCTATCTCTTCCTGTCTTCTTATCGTGATGTATAAGCATCTTTCCAGATAGTGGTTCTGCATACTATTAATTCTGATTGTGTTCATTTTTTGTTTATAATGTGTTGAGAGTTTCAGTGGGGAGTACAGCTGAAAGTAAAGAACCTCAGCCTGGGCTTAAAAGTCCCACTTTAGCCTAGACTCACTCTGTAATCAGAGGTCACTAGCTCTCAGCCCCAGTACCCTGTCATTAAACTTGCATCCAGTAAAAAATGATTTTTTAACTGCTAGGAGCCAGGTGAAAACATTCTTCTTTAACCAGGCCTTTGGCTGTTTAAAAATCTATGGACTTTTAAATGTGTTTGCCTGTGTGAAGAAGATGATGATGATGATGAATAGTATTTTGTGGTTTTATGTTGTCAACCACCCTATAATCTTTGGATGAAGGGCGGAATATAAATTTAATAGTAATAATATTTTTCAGTCAACACTTGGTTCTGAAACAGTATCCTGAATTTGGGATACATGTGGCAGGGTTCTCTCTCCCTGCCCCAGGTTAGAATATCACCAGCTGGCAGTTACTTGTAATGAAATTTGGTGTTACAAACATCAGTCCTTTTTATAAGCATTTAGAGAACCTTTAGCCTTTTATATGATTATGTAGGAATCTTACCACAGACTAAAAAATGTTGTATGAAAACTAAATAAACTGCTTCTCTCTTATTCTTTATATCTAGCTGATTCTTCCTGCATTCCTTATTTATTTCTCTTCTATTCTTACCTTCTGTGAGTAATGGGACAAGTGGGTACTTTGTGTTTGCTCTCCTGCTTTTTTTGTTCATTGTGAACTGTGGCTTTCAGTTACTATACCTTTATGCTTAGTATTTCATCTTCCCTTTCCTAGTGTTACATTATATTTATGTTAAAATTTTTAATAATACTATGATTCATGCTATACCACCATTTTCAGACCAAAGTCTGGTCTGGCTGTTTCAAAACTTTGCCATTGAAACAGTATTTGATGTTACCCTTGTAAACCCTTTTGCTGCTTATCCTGCAATAGGTTTATTGCCATGGAAAATGAATTTGTGACTAAGCATGAAAAATGCTTCAATCCTGTTTTTTATTTAGCTGTGGCTTTTATTCCTGCTTCAGCAGTCTATTTGGTAATTGCTAATGGCTGCATGAAATTTATTTTCTTATAGTTCTCTGTTATTAAAGTGTTGCCTAATATGTCCCCCAACAGAGTCAAGAATGGAGGGCTGGCTTTCAATACCAAACAAAGGAAATATAAAACGTCATGGATGGAAGAAGCAGGTATATAAGAATTCTATTTTCTTTTGAAGCATAAGCCAAATCAGATATTAAATTATACAGCTTACATCCAACGCATGGGTAGAAAACGTTTGATGCATACTAAGACACGCATGCACATGCTGAAAAATAATTGGTTATGTAAAACCATTTATGCTGTACAAAAAAACAACAACCCAGGCCATCTAGTTATCATTTATTCTATCTGCATATTTTTGAAAATAATTTAAACTGAGTAAAAATCAGTATATATGTGTCAGGGAACTGCCATCGGAAGGAAGGGAGGTGAAAGGACTCAGACAGGTTGGAAGAGATTCAGCAGCTGAAGAGGGAACCAGTAAGGGGAGAGAAGCTGAACTGAGGGAGGTGAAAGGGCTCAGACAGGTTGGAAGAGACTCAGCAGCGGAAGAGGAAACCAGCAGGGGGAGACAATCTGAACTGAGGGAAAGGGAGCTGGGGGATGGCTCAGAGATACTTCCAGCGAAAACAGTGGTGAGGTTTCCGGACCTCCTGTAGCGACACCCACTCCTCGCCGGAAACTGTCACGCAGAGAGTCCAGAAGACGTGTTTCCGTTAAGGAGCTTTTATGTTGGAAGCGATTACGAAAGCAACCACTGTCGGAATCTTCTAGTGACTAAGAGGAGCCATGTCAGAGGGGCTCAGTCACAGACAGAGGTTTGTGGACTTGAACAAACTCTGAGGGAATACGATTTTACGCACAAGCAGCTCATAATCCCATCACAGCATTCCGACAGTCTTTGAACGCAGCTTGTGCAGGAGACGGCATAATAATGAGCAACCCAGCAGGAACCGGAGAAGCAGGGGCTGGAGCGGGTCCAAGCCTGGAAGAAAGGTACCGGGTGTTAGAGGTCCAGCTGGCGCTGCAGACGGCGAGGCTGGAGGAGAGGAGGGCTCAAGATGCAGACAAAGGGAGAAAGCCACCCAGCTCGCCAGAAAGGTACCAGGATTGGTGCAAAAATTTGGGGGGGAGCCCAAAGACTATCATAGCTTTCGGACAGAAATGCAATATGCCCTCAATCTGCAGTTTGATGATTTCCCTGATGAGGAATCACGAGTGGCTTTTGTGATTGGGCATCTTGAAAGGGGGCGAGAGACTGGGTTAGACCCCTGATGGCAGCGAATAGTGACGTCTTAAAAGACACGATGAAGTTCTTTCGCGCCATGGATCTGATGTTTTCCAGCGATATTGAAAAGGGAGTGGTGCGCAGACAGTTAATGGCTTGCAAACAGGGAGCCGATCTGTACGTGAGTACTGGACTGAGTTCACCATGCTGATACACAGATTGGGGTGGGACTTATCGGCGGAACCCATTCAAATGCTCTTTGAAGAAGGGCTTTCTTCGGCTGTGAAAGATGAACTTTCCCGGGCGCCCAGGGCGGAGTCTATGGACCAGCTGACCAAATCAGCGCTGGCCATAGGAGCGCGCCAGGAGGCGAGAGCATTGGAGAGGCGGGAAGGGAAGGGGAACGTTGGAAGGAGTTCCGCATTCCAGACATTCCAGAGCCAACTGTCCCGCCGGCAGAGCCGATGGAAATCGGAACAGCGCGCGCGCGCAGTTTCAAAGCCCAGTGAGGGGGAAAGAAGGATGGAAAAGGCGCCCGGAAATGCTATCTCTGCCAACAGCCAGGGCACTTTGCCAGAGTCTGCCCCCAGAGGAAGGAATGGCAAGGGATGGTGGGAGCTGTGGAGGGAAGAGAGGAAAAATACCGGAGCAACTAAAAGCCAACGCCTGGCTGCCATTGTCGGGGCACAGCAGCCAGGCCAAAGAGCAGTGAAAGTGCCCACTCCAGAACCTCCTAAACCCGCCCTAGTGATAGAAGTGACACTAGAGCTCCCAAACGGACACCCTCTAAAGATAAAGGCGCTGTTGGACTCAGGCAGCTCCTGCAATTTCATGAGCAAAGAGTTTGCAGCTGAACACCAGATACAGACGCTCCCTTTAAGCAACCCCTGCAGGTAACCACGATCGATGGCAGGGAGCTGTTGGGAGGAGAAGTCAGCTTGCAGACCGTCCCAATGATAATGAAGGTGGCAAGGCACACTGAACTGATAGCTTTTAATGTGGCCACCTTGGGAGGAGCTCCCATTATATTGGGGATGAGCTGGCTAGCGTTACATGATCCGCTGGTGGGCTGGCATCAGAGAGTGGTTTCTTTTGGGTCAGCACATTGCTTAGAACATTGCAAAGAGGGAAAGGTTTTGGCAGGGGCCCAAGCCACCCTAGCAGGGACTGAAGTGAAGGAGAACGTGAAGGTACCACGACAATACGCAGATCTCCGCGACGTCTTCAGCGAAAGGGAAGCTGACCAACTACCACCGCATAGAGCCTTTGACTGTCAAATCAATTTGCTCCCTGGGGCACAGCTCCCTGTGGGCAAGCTGTACGCCATGTCAGACAGAGAGATGCAGGAGCTAAGAGAGTTCATTGACAAGAACCTGAAGAGAGGGTTCATCAGAGAGTCCAGGGCGGTGGGGGCAGCCCAGTGTTTTTGTGGACAAAAAAACACGAACAAGCCGAGACTGGTGTGTGACTTCAGGGCCTTAAATGCAGTGTCAGAACCAGTGGCCTTCCCGATGCCCAGGATTGACGACATTTTGACAAGGGTGCGAAAGGGAAAGATTTTCACCAAGCTGGATCTAAGGGGGGGCGTACAACCTGATACGAATAAGGAGGGGGATGAATGGAAAACCACCATGTTCACCCCTTTAGGGGCATTTGAATACTTAGTTATGCCCTTCGGTCTACAAGCAGGCTCCGCAACATTTCAATCGTTTATGAACCACGTCCTGGGGCCGTTGCTTTACAAGAATTGTGTGGCCTTCTTAGACGACGTGTTGGTGTATTCTGAGAATGAGGAGCAGCATGTGAGAGACGTCAGAGAAGTGTTGAGCAGGCTGCAAGCCAACCAGCTGTGGGTGAAACTGGAGAAGTGTCAGTTTCATACCAAGGAGGTGGAATTCCTGGGGTATCGCCTGTCTGACAAGGGGTTGGCCATGGATCCCGGCAAGGTCCAGGCGGTACTGGAATGGAAAACACCCAAAACAAGGAAGGATGTGCAGAGGTTTTTAGGGTTTGGGAACTTCTATCGTAAGTTCATCCCAAACTTTGCCCACCTGACGGCGCCCATTACGGACTGTCTCAGCAGTAAGAAGAAGTTCGTTTGGACGGAGGAGGCGGAGCAAGCATTTGAGGAACTAAAAGGGCCTTCGCCTCGGAACAACAGCTCCTGCATGTGGATTTACAAAAACCGATGAGAGTGGAAACTGACGCATCAGACAGAGCGGTTGGGGCGGTGCTTCTCCAGCCAGGGAAGGAGGAGTCAGAGTGGAGACCGTGTGCTTTTTTCGCGAAAGCTGAACAAATCCGAGAGGAACTACACGGTGTATGACCGAGAACTACTAGCCATTCATGAGGCGTTCCGGAGATGGAGGCACCTGCTAATTGGCGCACAACATAAGGTGCAAGTGTGCACTGACCACAAGAACCTAGAGTATTGGAGGACGGCACGAGTGCTCAACCAACGGCAAGTGAGATGGGCCCAGGAATTCTCCAAATTTAACTTTGAGATTTGTTACGTGCCAGGCCCAGAGAACATTAGGGCGGACGCTCTCTCACGCAAACCTGAATATTGGGAGGGGGAGGGAGCACCCGAAGAGAGACATGTCATTCCAGAGGACCGCTGGGTGTGTGGGGGCGGCATTGGTGGGACAAAGAGAACTGGTAGAAGAAACAGAGAATGATGAATACGCCCAGAATAAGCTCAGAGGTCTTAGGGAGAGGAATCAAGGGGTTTCGAGGAAAGAAATGGAGCTTTGTATTACAAAGGGGCACTGTATATCCCTGAAGGAGACTTAAGGGGAGGGTACTCAAGCAGTTGCATGACAGCCCCACGGCGGGGCATTTTGGGCAACACAAAACCATGTGGTTGGTCACCAGGGAATTTTGGTGGCCTAAGGTGAGGGAGGATGTACGTGAGTATGTAAGAGGGTGCGAGCAGTGCCAGCGAGCCAAAGGGGAAAGGCGGGCGCCGGCGGGGCTCTTAGAACCCTTACCAACACCAGAACGACCTTGGGAGGCAGTGTCGATAGATTTTATGACTGATCTGCCGAAGTCCTAAGGAAAACAGCCATCATGGTGGTGGTAGACCTACTAACAAAGATGTGCCACTTTGTAGCTTGCTCGCATGCAGTCACGGCGGAAGAGACAGCGAAGTTATTTGTAGAACACATTTTTAGGTTGCACGGGGTGCCATTGAGGGTGGTCTCAGACCGAGGAAAACAATTTACTTCCAGGTTCTGGAGGAAGCTCATGAGCTTACTGCAGGTGGAGGTCAACTTTTCGACTGCCCGGCACCCTGAAACCAACGGGCAGGCGGAAAGAGCAAACGGTGTCCTCCAGCAATACCTGAGGTGTTATGTCAATGACAGAGAGAATGACTGGGTAGAAAAGTTGGCGCTGGCGGAATTTGCCTACAACAATGCCGAGAATGTGTCCACAGGGATGAGCCCCTTCTTGGCTAATTATGGGTGTCATCCCAGGGCTTTCCCAGGGGAGAAGGGGAGAGATGGAGCGTACCGGCAGCCGAGCATTTTGTAGAAGAAATGGAAGCAATCCACCGTCAGCTCCAACTCAACTTAGAAAGGGCGAAGGAAGAATACAAGAGGCAGGCAGACAAGAACCGAAGGGAAGGTGAAACCATAAGGGTTGGAGATAGGGTGTGGCTGTCAACCCGAGGGTTGCCGTTCAAAGGAGGTTGTAAGAAATTACGACCCAGGAGGTTGGGTCCCTTTGAGGTCATTCAACAGGTCAACCCAGTGGCTTTCAGGCTCCGGTTACCCAACCACATGAAACTGCACCCAGTATTTCACAGGTCGTTACTGTCACCGTACTATTGGGGACGAGAAGGGATGGACACTCGGGGACCGGTCATAGAAGAAAGAGAATGCAGCAGTCATGTGGCAGAAATCCTTGATGCCAGGTGGAAGGGGAATCAGGTGGAGTATTTGGTAGCGTGGGAAGGAGAACCGGAGTCAGAAAACACGTGGGTAATGGCCAAAGATATCAATGACGAGGTATTGATAGAAATGTTCCATCAAAGGTTCCCGCGGAAACCTCAGCCTGTGGAGAGGTTCCGGAGGGAATACTTTGGGACCACTGAGGAGGAGGAGGAGTTGGAAGGATTCCCAGAATCGGAAGGGGAAGGGAGATGGACTCGGAGGAGGAGGAGTGCTTCGAGACCAGGAACCGCAACAGGTGGAGAGAAGTGTTCGAGACATCGGAAGATGAAGGAAGTTCATTCCGGGGTTTTGCCTCCTCACCGCCCGTAGAGCAGGGCGCGAGAGGGCGTGAAAGCGGCCCAGGAGCCGAGGTGGATGTCAGGGAACTGCCATCGGAAGGAAGGGAGGTGAAGGGACTCAGACAGGTTGGAAGAGATTCAGCAGCTGAAGAGGGAACCAGCAAGGGAGAGAAGCTGAACTGAGGGAGGTGAAAGGGCTCAGACAGGTTGGAAGAGACTCAGCAGCGGAAGAGAAACCAGCAGGGGAGACAAGCTGAACTGAGGGAAAGGGAGCTGGGGGATGGCTCAGAGATACTTCCAGCGAAAACAGTGGTGAGGTTTCCGGACCTCCTGTAGCGACACCCACTCCTCGCCGGAAACTGTCACGCAGAGAGTCCAGAAGACGTGTTTCCGTTAAGGAGCTTTTATGTTGGAAGCGATTACGAAAGCAACCACTGTCGGAATCTTCTAGTGACTAAGAGGAGCCATGTCAGAGGGGCTCAGTCACAGACAGAGGTTTGTGGACTTGAACAAACTCTGAGGGAATACGATTTTACGCACAAGCAGCTCATAATCCCATCACAATATGCATCATTGGTTTTTATCCTAATTTATTAGTGATTAACGAATGTTGTCTCTGGGGTTGTTCACATGTCACCCCCCAATTTCAGGCTTGTGGACTCCATGCTCCCGATCTTCCATCCTTCCCTCCCTTGTGTTCATAGTTATCTGAGTTTGAGTGAGATATGGCAACTTATCCTTTGCGCCAACTAGGATCAGAAGTCAAGCTATGATTTTGCATTACACTTGAACAGCCTCTCTTTTTATCCAGAGAAATGAGGTGGTGGATAGAATTGCCTTTTATGTATTAACAGTCCTTCTCCTTTCCCTCTTTTTCAGTATGTTGTGGTCAGCAGCAGAAAGATTTTGTTCTATAATGACGAACAGGACAGAGAACATTCTAATCCATCCATGGTATTAGATATAGAGTACGTACTTCTAATATCAGTTTGAGATAACAGAAGGGTTTTTTCTAATTTAAAAGGTTTAATTTTTATGAATCTTTAGATACAGAGATACATTTTAGTTTGTGTCAGACTGGATAGGCTCAACTATTCAGAAGAATGGTTCACTTGAGCACATTGAATCCTTTAGTGAATAGAGTGGCTCCATCATTTCTTCAACTTTTATATGTTCACATGTCACACCAGATTTTCCTGCAGTAAATATGTATGTGTGAACATCAGATGATCGCCCATTAACACCACTGGATACACTTCTATGATCCCTGATTCAGCTGCATCTTCCTGTTACATATACTCTGTTACATATACACACACTTCTCAATAATTCTTTATTTTTTAGGAAAGGCAGTAACGTTATGTACTTGTAGCAAAATGGATATTGATGTTAAACAGTAGGGAAATTAATTTTGATCTGCTTAGTTGTGATATGATTATTAAAACAGTGCAATGTTTATTTGATTTCAGAAAATTGTTCCATGTGCGACCAGTAACACAGGGAGATGTCTATAGAGCGGAAACTGAGGAAATTCCTAAAATATTCCAGGTAACAACAACTGTCATATATTGATTTGAACATAGTTTCTTTAAAAAACTTTGTCACCTTTGAAGAAAAATGTATGAAATACTACTATATGCCTTTCTTGTTCTGCTCAGATTCTATATGCCAATGAGGGCGAGTGCCGAAAAGATTTGGAAGCAGAACCAGTTCAGCCACCAGAGAAGACAACCTTTCTGAATCATAAAGGTCATGAATTCATCCCAACATTATACCACTTTCCAGCCAACTGTGAGGCTTGTGCCAAGCCCCTCTGGCATGTATTTAAGCCACCACCTGCAGTAGAATGTAGGCGATGCCATGTTAAGTGCCACAGAGATCACTTGGATAAAAAGGAAGAATTAATTGCACCATGTAAAGGTAAGGTGACTATATTTATATTTGAATTCAGTGCAGTTCTATCACAGGGGCAATCCAAACTAGGTTGATTAAATTATGGGTTGTATCTGGTGCTCTTCATGTGTAATTCCACTGGCTGAATGGGACTTTCATTTTTTCTCCTCTTCTTGTGCCCCCACCCTCAAATCTGTTCTGGAGGGTCCCCCAAACCCCCACAGCTGATTTTGAGGACATCCAAGTGCTTGTGTTTATATGTAGTTTTATTAAAAGTAATTTGAAAATATATTGAAATATGCTGAGTGACTGTGTAACTTTTAAATCAGTAATCTGTTTTAAATTGATTAACCAATTAAGCAACTATGTAAAGGTAAAGGGACCCCTGACTGTTAAGTCCAGTCGCGGGTGACTCTGGGGTCATGTGGCCAGCATGACTAAGCCGCTTCTGGCGAACCAGAGCAACACACGGAAACGCCGTTTACCTTCCCGCCGGAGCGGTACCTATTTATCCACTTGTACTTTGACGTGCTTTCGAAGTGCTAAGTTGGCAGGAGCAGGGACCGAACAATGGGAGCTCACCCTGTTGCAGGGATTCGAACCGCGACCTTCTGATCGGCAAGCCCTAGGCTCTGTGGTTTAGACCACAGGGCCACCCGCGTCCCTAAGCAACTAAGTAGTGCAGTTTTAATTTTGAAATATCTGAATTTCTTTGCTGTTTAATTTAATTTTGAAATATCTGAATTTCTTTGCTGTAAAGTATATATCTAAGTCGGACGCGGGTGGCGCTGTGGGTAAAACCTCAGCGCCTAGGACTTGCCGATCGCATGGTCGGCGGTTCGAATCCCCGCGGCGGGGTGAGCTCCTGTCTTTCGGTCCCAGCTCCTGCCCACCTAGCAGTTCAAAAGCACCCTTAAAGTGCAAGTAGATAAATAGGTACCGCTTTATAGCGGGAAGGTAAACGGTGTTCCGTGTGCTGCTCTGGTGCAGGCTCGCCAGAGCAGCGACGTCACACTGGCCACGTGACCCGGAGGTGTCTGCGGACGGCGCCAGCTCCCGGCCTCTAGAGTGAGATGAGCGCACAACCCTAGAGTCTGACAAGACTGGCCCGTACGGGCAGGGGTACCTTTACCTTTTTATATATCTAAGTGCTACCAACCATAATACATTATTTTAAAATCATATAATTGTAGAGTTGGAACGAACCCTGAGGATCATCTAGTCCAACCCCCTTGCAATGCAGGAATCTCAACTAAAATATCCATGACAAATCACCACCCAATGTCTTATTAAAAATCTCCAGTGAATGAGAGGTGTTTGTTCAATACTTTCATTAGTCAACCAGTGGTGATAATGTTTATGTTATTATATTTTGGTTTTATTTAACAGTATTATTTTTTTCTCATTAATAGTGAGTTATGATGTAACTTCAGCAAGAGATATGTTGTTGTTAGCCCCCTGTCAAGAAGATCAAAAGAAATGGGTTTCTCATTTAGTAAAGAAGATCCCCAAGACACCACCATCCAGTTTTGTTCGTGCTTCCCCCAGAACTCTTTCCACAAGGTCCTCAGCAAATCAGTCATTCAGAAAAGTTAAGAATGCATCTGGAAAAGCTAGGTGAGATGTGAATGGACTAATTTTTTATTTTTTTATTTTTGTAAGAAGGAGGGTCGTCTGCATATGAAATAACTGACCTATCCAAAGGTTACTGTGTTGACTAGATTCACCTCTTACAAATCTGATTAAATCTGGTTCCTAGTTAAGGGCATTTACTAACTGGAGATATTGTCTTTTTAAATGCAGCAAATCTTACTTTATTTTCGTTTAACAAGCAGCAGGAATTCATATTGATGTAAAATGATTTATTGAAGTCACTGGAAAATCCTAATGCATTTTGAGCAAATTGTTCTACAATGGAATTTAATTTTTAAAATAAACATTCAGTTTGTGAACATAACATACTTATAATTTTTATATTTGTAAATATTAATATAAAAAATTCAACGCACTAAAACAATTTTAAGTCTTTAAAATAGACATAACAAATCTACCTTACCCTTCCATCTATGCCTTTCTAGCTGATTGTAACTTGCTTTCATATCAACAAAGGAACTGGTGGAGGTTGGGGAGGTTCAGAGTCTTATATAAACATCTGTTTTTCAGTATAATCAACTGGAATTCTTCATGTACCTATGGTGATGTTTTTACACAAACTTCTCTTAAAAAGAGGAATGCACATGGTAGTAGTACCCTTAAAATGCATTGCTACTTGTTTCACCAGGTTTTTGCTTTATTGTTGCCTTATATTTTGCCTTGTATTTGGTTACTAATGGAAGTTTGATCTTCAGTATTATATAACTCTGTGCTCCTCTTTGCTGCATTATTCCACATTCTGGTCAAAGTTCTCAGCAAAGTATCCTGATAATAAGTCATATCATTGATGTTGGTAAATATTCCTCCATGTAATCCTTAATACACTGTGTTTTATTTCTAGCATGCACAAGCCATTTATTTAGCCCTTTGTGTGAAAGTGCTTTCCAATCTTTAATACTTTGCTCTTTTTTATGTCAAAAAAATATTTTATGTAGATTTTTAAAACTGTAAGTACATGCTTAAAATGGTATTACACTGAAGAAGGCAACACATTTAAATGGGGATAATATTGGGGATGTGCACTGACCAGAGGATTTGTTCAGACCCTGATTCGGAAAAGAGCTCTAAATTGGGCAGAATTTGATAAAGGTTTTAGGTGTGCATGCCTAAAATCCTTTGGCAGAAACAATCCTGCAAAATCTTGTGAGGATAACTGCAGTGGTTTTCCTACAGGAGGAATCATTACATTTTTGAGGTGGTGTAAGAAAGCGATCACATTAGTCTTCCTTACTGTGGTGGACACCCAGGGGTGTATTTATCAATCCTTTAGAGTTGATTTTGGAGTGGGGGTAGGGACTACAGGGGATTTCCTTTCCTCCCTGTGGTTTTGTTTGTGGGCACTACTTCAGTGCTCATAGGTGATACTGCACACAGAGCTGTAAGCAAAATGCTTTGTTTACTTGTGCCTGCCCAGTATGCTGGGATACTGTATTTTCCCCACCCCAAGCCCTCCATTGTTGCCTCCTAAGCCGCTATTGTGTATCTTCTTCCAGCAAGAGGAACGGGAGCTGTCTGGTGTAATGCCCTTGAAACTTGCCCCCATTTCAGCTTTTTTTTAACGCAGATGGCATAGCTGGGATCCACCATCATCTCAAAATTATCCCAGATTATGCTCTGCTACTTTCTCCTTTTTATGGTTCTGCCAGCCTTGGAGAGGGTGGGGGAGAATTTGCATCTGCTGTGTATGTTGTCACTGCTCCTGCCTGCAAAAGTTTCAGCTTCGTGGGAGAATAATTTTTCTAGGCAGCACTGCCTCTACCCCAGTGGGAATCACCATGTGGTTTTCTGCCAGCACCAAGTACGGGCCTTCTGATCAGACATGTAAGGGTGTGGCTGTGTTAAATGTGTCTATTGTTCTGCTGCTTTGCTACCTATAACCTTTAGCCCAGTACAGTGGTGCCTCGCAAGACGAAATTAATCCGTTCCGCGAGTCTCTTCGTCTTGCGGTTTTTTCGTCTTGCGAAGCACGGCTATTAGCGGCTTAGCGGCTATTAACGGCTTAGCGGCAATTAGCGGCTTTAAGAAAAAGGAAACAAACTCGCAAGAACTCGCAAGCAAGCCCATAGGGAAATTCGTCTTGCGGAACGACTCAAAAAACACAAAACCCTTTCGTCTAGCGAGTTTTTCGTCTTGCGAGGCATTCGTCTTGCGGGGCACCACTGTAACACACAACAGTATGTATGTAGAAAAGAAGCACATAAAAATGGAAAACACAGAGTGAATTGAATCCGACTAACTCATTAAATCCATTGAAATAAATGGACATGAATGATGTAAATCCATTTATTTGAATGAATTGGTTGGATATGGCTTGTGGTGATACAGTGTGTGCTTCTGGAAATCACTAGTACGTATGATGAAAACAGGCTCAAAAGGACAGGAAGCAACCATTAACAAATATGGAAAAACAGGGAAAATCACTTGAGGATGGGCACATACGGGGGTGGGGGGGAGAGAGGTACTTAAATTAAATTAATGTGACTTAAAAGGAACTGCTTTTCTCATCTTCTGAGTGACTGAAAGTGTTCAAGTGGGTTTGGCTCCCCCTACTGCTCAAAGGCAGGGAACACTGAACTTTAGAGGAAGTAGATGGTTTTCTCCTTAGGCTTCAGTTTGCTTCATGTGCAAGCTTAAAAAAAAAATCACACACAAATTATACAATAACAAACCACTGCGCCAGAAAAAGGTCACTAACTGAGTACACAGCAGAGCATAAGACCAACCTTAGGAACAAAGAAACCTAGTATGGCAGTTGAAAAAAATTTTTTTAAAAGGGAATGGCACCTTGAAAACTTTAGATCATCCAAGGACAAATACCTTTCAGGTGAGAACAATGGTTCCTTCTCCCTTGGGTATTTAAGGTCTTCAAGTAGGATGTTGCTGTTCATGCCCTTTGACCACAAGGTGGCACTAAACTCTCAGACCTGCCATTCAGGCAGGAACCAGGAATTCTCTCTCTCATTCCATCTCTTTTATCTTTGTGTTACAGCAGCTTTGCTTCATGAGTGCCGTATGCAGGCATTAAGTTGTGATTGTTGTAACTCATCTGCTCATTTTGCCGCCTAAACCTTAGAAATCATATGATCTCAGTTAAGTTTAATTATGAGTTTCAATGTTAACTTTTTCATTTAAGTTTCAAGCCATCTTTCTTCTTGGACCAAATATGTTCACCCTGCTCATTCGTTTTCCTCATTTCTGACACTTTCTTATATACATCTTCATTTGTGCTTCCCTACATTATACTAGAGGTTTTGTATTCTTTAGCTAAGCTCCCGTATGTGGGTGGCATGCCTGGGAGCATGTATGATTTATATATGATTACATTAATGCTGAAAAATATAGCTCTATTTCAATATAAAATATATCATAGAAGATACGTTTTCTGATTTCTGGGAGAGAACAAACAAGAAAGATGTGATTTGGAAGCAAAAATATATCAGCTAAATATACTGCTGAGTCAACCACTGGAGTATATAAACATAGATGCTAAGTTGTGCCAGGATCAATGCTGGCATTCTGTATAATTTTTGCATATTCATTCTAGTTTTACATCTTTTCTTCATTATGTATCCTGAATACTGATCTTCATCTTTCTCTGTGTACCTGTGAGTGCATATATGTCTTATATACATCATTTAGCCAGATAAAGAGCTACGTAGCTTCACTTTGTCAATTCATATTCATAGCTGTTTCTCCCTTACCACCATTGTCTTTGGAGGAAATTCGGAATGTTGATTCATTTTAGCTAGAGAACTTTGTGTTGTCCTCACCATTTCTTTATAAGTATTTCTTGTCCTATTTCACTGGGATTCACAGTCTTTCTAGTCATGGACAAGGGTCTTCAAGCATGAAATCATCTGGCACTGACCCTAGTGATACGCCTAGCTTGCTTGTTTCATCTCTTAACTCTGATTGCTATTAAACTAGCTTTAACTGTAGTAGAAATTATCAGAAAGGACAGAAATATAATTGGAAGTTTAGAGACCATTTTCATATTTTCCCATTCGGTTAGGTTGGTATTTATCAACATCCATTCAGACAACTTGAAACATTCAGAAAATCACTAGTAGAAGAAATTGAACAGAAATGCTCTGATCTTGCTCCACGAGCACTTCAATATTGCTGAAGTCAGCAAGATAGATTTAAATGCATATTTGTTTGGAACTAGGGACTAAGATACACAAGTACTGGATGGAAATAGGAGGCTGTGTATTAATTTTAAAAATAAGATCTCTAAAACATTTTTCTTGCTGGTTGCTCCTATTGAACATCCCAGAATATACTAGGCTGTGGATGGGGTTTATTTTATTAGCGTTGGTGTTATGATGCTTCTGGTTGTACAATTTTGTTGTGGCTGCCTGAAGTTTAGGCTATCTTGAGCATTTTGAGAGCAGGGGAAGAAATAAATACATGTTTAGAGCTAGTTAATACATTTTAGTTTTGTAAAATTAATTTCATTCCTCCTGGAGCTATTTTAATATCTGTTTATTTCCTTGTCGGTGATTTTTATTTTCTGATGGATATTTCATTCATTCTTTCATTTATTTAGCATGATGTTATAATTTGTTTATAAATACTAAATATGTGAACAGTAAGAAAAGATACACTGTATATCATTTATCAGAAATGCATATATTTAAATAGAAGTTATGCAGTGAACAGTTGACTCAGACAGAAAATAATATCTTTCTTCAAAAACAACCATGATCTGTAGTTTTAGAAATGCCAGTTCTTTTAAAGATTTTCTTTTATTGCAAAGTAATTTGACTATACTTTTTGAGCCTTCATCTGTGAATTTCATTGCTTCGGTCCTGAACATTTAGAAATTAGAGTCTCTTTAATCCTTAATTGAGAGGCATAAAATTTCCATTTAAGTAGAAAAAAGGGGAATTTTCTTCTTGTTAAAGCAATTCATTTCCCCCCCTCTTTCTTTCCACTGTTTTATTAGAAACTTCGGTCTAGGTCTTCCCTTTTATTTGCTATTAGCATTCAGATCACTTCTCCTAGAGCTCCATTTTTCGTATAGAGTGCACAGTGAGCCCTCAGCGCATCGAAATAGTCGTGAAATGTTCATTTCTAAATTTCAATAGGTCAAAGGAGTATGGATCTGTGGGGGACATTACCCATTCAGAAAACTCAAGTTACTGGTGAGTAGCCTTTGCTTTTGAACCCACTGCTACTTGTCATGTGACAGTAGTAAGAAAGCAGAATTGCTTTCTTCTAGTAATGAAGAAGGAGCTTTCTTAGAATGAGAAAACTATATTATTTCTCAGATTGTCATTTTGGAGATGTCTGTGGCTTTCTTTCTTTGATCTTGGATATCATTTGCTTGGATTCTTTGTCAGCTCTGTGCTTTCTGGTCTTGATACTGTTGGTAACAAAACAGTATGCATATCCTCATAACACAATTATGTTGTGTAGAATATGCCATGGTGGTGGAATCCATTCTTGGAATAAGGACATTTCCCTCATGTGCTCTCTAACACTTCTCTATTCTGATGGTGAAGGTGTACACTTTATTATCCACAACAGCCTAATTTGAGAAAAGTCTGTGTTAACTTTGGACAGTGTTAAATATATTCATTTCCTAGGTAACAAAAAAAAATCTTCAAAACAAGGGATTGGTGAAAATATTCTCATTTGATGGCAGTTTCACAAGATTTCTTTTAATTTTACTGCCCTAATATATTTCCTAGAGAGAACAAGTAAAAAGTATATTCTGCTGCATCTTTCTTTATTATTTGTTAGTCTAATTTAGCCTGCTTTTCTTAAGGAAGCCCAGAGCAACTTACATGGGGTTCCTAAGCATTCTCCCATCCAAGTACTAGACTTGTGCATCTTTATCAATATTTTATAACCATAGATGTCCTTGACAAATTTCACATTCTTGATGTTAAGTAAGTTTGCATTATAACTACTGCTCTACAAATCAGGCCATCCCCAATTCAAATCCTATCCCAGTAGCAACAGAGGTAATTCAGTTGGTAGGGGATGAGACTCTTAATCTCAGAGCCCTACATTGGGCAAAAGATTCCCGCATTGCAGGGTTTGGACTAAATGGCCCTTGTGGCCCCTTCCAACTCTACAATTCTATGGTTCTATGGATCTTCCATGAATTCACTAGGTGGCCTGAAGCAAGATACTCTTGAGTCTTATTGCAGGGCTGTTGTAAGGATTAGAAATGATAAGTAAGCAGGTGTTGTAACTCTTCCAACGGTTTGGCTTCAACCCCAAAGGCGCACTCCTCCATTGTCTCCTGATAAGACAGATGCCAACAACCAGCAAAATTATAAGTATTGTTACTTGCCTTCTGCTAGCTGGGTTATGGCTTCTGGTCAAGGCAGGAACAAAAGCTTTGGAAATAGGCTTTTGCTGCCATGACTCTATACTCGTTTGTTTCCTGCCTTCCTCGAGTTCAGTACGGTTTGTTGTTGCTCCCGCTTATCCTTCTCAGGCTAGTGTCTGTTTCCCCCCTTCTTACTGCCCTTTCCCATCAGCCTTTGTTTTCCAAGATCTCTCCCTCTCTCCCATCAGCTTTGTTTCTGGTGGCTTAACATCTATGAAGCTGCTGTGGTCATCAGGGGATTTGGAACGAAGTGTCTCTTTTTCTGTAACATCTGAATCAGGAGTGACTGTAGAGGCTCTGGACCGCTGTTTGGGTGCAATGGGGGACTGGATGAGGGCCAATAATAATGTGTGAGAGTGGTTTCTGTGTCTGGGTTTCCTTTTCTGGATGGGATTGCACTTCTGAAGGAACAGGTATGTAGTTTGGGGGTACTCCTGGATCTTTCTGTGTTACTTGAGGCACAGGTGGCTTCAATGGTAAGACAGATGGACCTGTTTCCAGACCTAGATAGCTTGACAGCTGTGATCTTGGCATTGGTAATTTCAGATTATTGGAATGTGCTCTGATGTTTCTCTTGGGCTTAGTCTGGAAGCTGTAACTAGTGAATGCAGCAACTAGGTTGTTGACTGGGGCACACCACCAACACAATAGAACATATTTGCTGAGGGAGATGCACTGGCTGCCAGTATCCTATAAACTGAAGTTCCAAGGTTTTGCTTTTAGTATTTAAAGCCCTAAACAGCGTGGGACCAGATTACTTAAGGGACTGCCTTGCCCTATATATCCCTGCCTGGTAACTGGGTTCCTCAAATGGAGCACTCCTGAGAATACTGCATGCCCCAGAAATGTGCGTAGTGTGTACCAAGAACTGGGCTTTTGGTGTTGCAGCTCTAGCCCTCTGTAATGAGTTACAAACAGAAATTAGACAAGCACCTACCACCTTGATATCTATTCATATATTTTGATTTAACAAGGCTTTCCTTGAAGTGTGACCCAGTCAGTTTATGGAATATTGATTGTATAATTGTAGAAATGGTTTAAATTGCTTTTAGTTTACCAATACCGTATGTTCTGTTTTATCTTACTGTACACCATTTTGGTAGCTTTTCATTTTGAAGCAGGATAGAAATGCTATTTAAAAAAAACCCCAAAACAAACTTTGATCCTAGATTAGGTACAGCTCTGTGAGTTGTACTAATGAATAAAGCATATATAAATATATCCAGGATTCTGTATTATTTCATTTATGTTGTGATATTACCAGAAATACTAATTATATTTTAATATCTGAATCTACGGAGTGTATAGTGAGGTTTCGGCATAATTCTTTACATTCAGATAAGTGAATCTTCACATAGCAAGTAGGTGGATAGTGGGACCTGTGTGTGGTTTGCAATTGATAGCAAAATTTACATTTTTACCATCATACCGTGGGAATCTGCTGCCAGTTGCAGCTTCTCAACACAAATACACACAGTAAAAAAACCAAAAACATAAACCCCCCCAAAATGTTCAGTATGTACATAGGAAAATCTCCGCTAATGTTCCATTGTATGCAGAATATCAAATGTAACACTCCTCTAACATGCCTCTGGTACATTAACTCCTGAACAATATTTTAAATATTGTTGACCTGTTAAACTAAACGACATAATGAAAAATGAGGCAATTCTAATGGTGTCTTTTTCTTTTTTTCTTTCCAGTTAACAATATATGCCGCACTCCATGGAATCTGGCTGAGTCTGAGAAACCTGTTCTTTTTTCCACCATACAGGGCAGTGCAGACTGGTTGTTTGTTACAATGCAATTATCACAGGCTTCAGGGCTAAGACTGCTATTACTCTCTCCTCCTTGCTTTGGCACAAAAAGCACGCTGAGGGTGTCTTATTGCGGGTTTGCCTTAAGGTAGATTAGATTAATTATTACTATGTAATGCAAGTAAAAGCAAATAAAGCTTAGCTAGAAATAAGTTTAAACTGCTGCCTTTTTGGATTTCTAAAAAATAAAACCGCCAGCTAATCATGATGGAATGCAGTGAGCTTTTCTTGTATCAATGAGAATAAGAGGACTATTTACCCTGTGGGAAGGATATTTATATCAAGATAAGCACACAAATATGAGTATAGAAAGAAGGTATCTCAAACTGAGAAGGACTGAATTTTCTTTGAAGACTCGAAGTTGTGCAGAAAACAGCAAAATTTGCTTGAAAACAAATATAATCACTTGTGCCTTTTCTGCATTGTTGTTAATGCTAATAATTCATCATGACAGCTCAAGGTGTTAAATATTTTGCTTTACAAAATACTGATTCTGCATATTTGTAAAGGGGGAGAAAATGAGTAATTGCATGTAATCTATGCATTGTTGCCAAGCCATACAGAATTTTACTTCTAGAGGCATTAGAAACTAAGTTAAAACAACCAAGTTTGGAAGCATATTTTGGTACATATTTTTTTCTATAATTTGTATAACATATTGCATTAACAATTTGAAGTGCTAATTATAGCAAATACACACACCCCACAAAATGTATGCACTGTTTGAAATGTAAATTATTGTTAGAACACTTTTAATGGATGTTGCCCTTTTAGTGCCTTAATCTGTTTTACTGCCATGTCAAATAAGTGTAGAAATCTCAAATACCTATTATGTGTCAGTGGTTTTATTGATCAAAGTATTGTAGAAGCTAGTTCCATTTTCATGTGTACAATTTTAAATGAAATTGCCTGTTACCAAGAGAGATTTTAATCATAAATACAAAAAGTAACAAATGCTTGTACCACGAATTTGAAACACCTAGAACACTTTAAAATTCCAGATAATACAGGAATTGAGTACATTTTAAGCTCTTGCTTTGTAGCAGGAATATTATTGTGGTATGAACAGTATGGCTTATTTTATTTTTTAACCAAATACCTCTTCAGTAACTTATAACAGCTTTGCAGTTGTGTATTAAATAAGAAGCACTGGAAAACTGATTCGTCTACATGACGATTTGCATGTTTAAAGTGGTATTGAAAGCCACACTAATAGATATGTAATAAACATATCTGTTATTACTATGGTAATGACTCGTGCTCATTTAATACAAAATAAAACTAATTTATGGAAGAACTATTTTGAAAATGACTGTGGTATTTTTCTCCAGAATACACTTCTTAGGAAGTTTGGGAAATTATGATGCTTTACAAACAGATAACTGTCAACATATTTAAATCTGATACAAACTTGATAAATTTTTTAAATTACATTTTTATAATGTCATACTACATTTTAATACAGGGTAAAGTAGAAAAAAAATTCATAGGACTTTGAAGAATTTATTTTGATATGTGAATTGTTAAATCCCATTTAGTAAGCACATAATGACTTTCATCAAAAGGAAATTATACCAGGTACACAGCTCTTAAAAGAGAATATTTACATATATTTTAATTTATAATTAAGTCATGATTAGTAGTAAAAACCTGTCAAGCTTATTCTGCACTCTTTGGAAGTCAGTGATACTGTGCTATCCCTAAAAAGAAGTAGCATGGACTCTTAATTAGATGATGAGATGGGGATGGCCAGAGAAGACTGACAACAAATTAAGAGTTGGGTTGTAGCAGGGGAGACCATGAGGAAGGTCAGAATTGTTCAGGAACAGATTTTCTTAAATCGGGCCTTGAGGAAGGAGAGAAAAATGGTTTGAGGAAGGAAAAGGAAAGACGGAATGGAGGGCAGCATGGCATAAGCTGCCAAAAGCAGCAACTGGGAGGGAGAGACAAAGGAGAGAAGGCAATAGGTGAGCTTGTGACAGCCACAGAGTAAGAATTGGTGTGAGAGGGAACATGCAAGAAGAGGTGGAGCAGAGAGGTTGACCACTGTAAGTTCTTAAAACTGAACAGGGAAGCAACACTGGAAATAAGTGGGGGCTGATATGGCCAAAGTGAAGAAAGGATGAACCCACCTTAAGGAGAGGAAAATGGAGAAAGGCCAGCAAGTGATTTGGGCAGATAGTGATTTTGGTGCTTGCTTCCCCTGGTTCAAAAGGTGCGGGTTTTTTATTCTGTTTTCTTGATTAAAGTTGTATAATTGTACACTGTTTCCATGAAGATGGATAGAAAAGAAATGTTTATTTACAGATGGGTATAAGCATTACCTGTAAATGTGCAATTTACAGCCTTTTTGCCAGATTAAAAATTTTGGTAGAGGGGATGAGGGGTGCCTAGGAGGGAGGATAAGAGAGTACTCACAACCATATATACATATGGTAGCTTAATAGCAACAGAACTAACATAGAATTTGATAGGAGAGGGAGAAGGGTTTTGATGCAGAACAATACTGATCCTTGCTGAAAGCTATGTGGTGACATTTCATGAGGGTTCACCTGTTACATTCTGGAGAATTATGCCTAAGCCCCAAATTTAGGGTGCCCAATTGGTTTCATCTCCAGGGCATATTGTTATATTCAGGAATCAATTCCTATGGTGGGTAGGTGAATCTGTTAAAATATTGATTCCTGCCCAGTTCTGAATTTGGTATCAAGCCTCTCCACCACGCAATGTCATTATATTGTGAGTTAATGTTCCGATTTAAGTTATGTATTGTATCAAGATCTGATATATTTTCTCAGTATTGTTTGTTTTCACTGTGCTGTTTTGTTCTCTGGTGTTCCTCAACCCATATGTATATATCTTCTACCTTATCAGTCCACTTCATGAATCATTTGGAGTAGCTGTTGCCTGTAAAACATTATGCTGCAATAAACCAATGAGTCTGTAAAATGTCATACAAGTTCATTATCGTTTCTTTGGAATGCTATGGCTACTATTCTGAATGAAGTGTGTTCTCAATAATCAGAACAATAAACATCTGCTCCGTATACGGTAATTCTTAGAATATAAATTTTGTAGGGGAAAAGAAAGTATGGAATTAGAGAACAATTGGAAAAATCACCTATTGATAAATATTCATTGGGCCTAAGAGACAGAAGGAAGAGATGGACTAGAGGAAATTCTTACCGTATTTTTCGCTCTATTGGACGCAGTTTTCCCTCTCCAAAAATTGAGGGGAAATGTGTATGCATCCTATGGAGCGAAGGCAGGCTTGTGCCATAGCCGCGCGCAACCCCTCCGGCAGGGAGAGGCTGCACGGGGCTATGGCTTCTTTAGCCTCACGCAGCCTCTCCCAGGAGGTAGAGGCTGCACGGGGCTAAAGGGGAAGCCAAAACAGCGAGCGGGATCCATCCCGCTCGCTGCCTTGCCTTCTTCCATAGCTGCGCGCAACCCCTCCGCAAGGAGAGGCTGCACGGGGCTATGGCTTCTTTAGCCCCACGCAGCCTCCCGGCAAGGAGAAGCTGCACGAGGCTAATGGAGAAGCCAAAACAGCGAGCGGGATCCATCCCGCTCGCTGCCTTGCCTTCTTCCATAGCTGCGCACAACCCCTCTGGCAGGGAGTTTGTGTGCAGCCTGTACGCTGCTCTTTGGGGCTGGGGGGGGGAATATTTTTTTCTTTGATTCCCCCCCTAAAAACTGGGTGCGCCCTATGGTCTGGTGCGCCATATGGTGCGAAAAATACGGTATATTGAGAGAAGGCTGTTGGAAGATTTAAAGCTGGCAGTTCAGTGACTCCAAGACTTACTGTGCTACCTACTCACAGCCAGGTGCATGAGGTGGTCACAGGATTACTCGGTGCTTTTTTTTCTGGGGGGTACACGGGGGTATGCATACCCCTAAACATTTTGTGAATCTTTGTACTTTTGTCCATTTACTGTATTTATTTTCCCCAATTTGAACTATAAAATGGTGATTTTCAAATGAGAGTACCCCTAAACTTTTTTTTTTTTTTTTTTTTTTTTTAGAAAAAAAGCACTGGGGTTACTGCCAATAGACTAGAATCCCTCTTCCAATATGTGGCATGCAAATAATTTGACACTGTAGAGCAGGCCAATGTGATGCCCTCTAGATGTTGGACTATAGTTCTGATCTTCACTGACCATTGGCTATGCTGGTTGGGGTTGGAAGTTGCATTCTAACAATATCTAGGAGGATACCATGTCGACTTTCCCCTGCTGTAAAGGATCTGGATTCTTCTCTGTGGGAGGCAAATCTGGACGTTGACTGTATTGAAGTTTATGATGAGGCAGGTCTCTAGGAAGCGTTTCCTTACATTCAGATCTGATGGGAATTCAAGCCCAGCCAGTTATTGGCATGGTTCAAGTCCCTAATGGCAAGGGAAGTAAAGAGAGTGATGCCTGAGTTGTCCCAAGTGTAAGTTGCTCTCTGTCAAGCCACACAAAGGCAAAAGGGGCCCAAGCCCTAGAGCAGCAATGAGGAGGAGGCTGCAGCCCAAAGCCTGCTCTAAACCGAGTAGCCACTGAAGGAGTGGTTGGGTTACATGGCCTTATGTTCTCATAGGGCCGACAAATTGGACCAGACTCTTCATTTTGAATGGCACATTTGGGTTGTGCTTTCTTTGATGTGGCTCCTCAACTCTGAAAGTTTAGACAATGAGTTTCTGCTGACAAAACATTTCCATTAGGCACTGGGAGTACATTACTGATTGCTCTGGTGTAACTGTTCTCATGCTGCTCTATTAATTGGGCTTAAAAAGAATAACAGTTATGTATTGCATTCTGTGTACTGTTGGAAATTGCACTAGAATCAGATTGACCTGATGAGTAGTCTACAAATTGGAGGAATATTAAATCACAGATCAAGCACTATAGACAACCACCACATTGCCTCAAAGACAATGCTTTTTCATCAAAGCTGTGAATATATACAGCTCTTATTTAATAAGGATGCCCTTAAATCAACCTAGAATTCAGGAGCCTTGGTAATGAGGGAGCTTTAAAATATTTCCACTTCTGGATGCAGATTGCAGGTGGAAGTCATACAGGTATGGAAATTTGCAGATGAGCTGGGAGATGCACTTTCACACAACTCAAGTGAAGTGTGACACTTTTCAAAACAATCCTAGAATGCAGCACCTCTAAGCAATTTATCAAAGAAACCAGATATGTATCTTTAATGATCAGGGCTAATAATTTGCTGGATAAAAGACTAACACTTCATGCCACAATCATAATTTCCTTTAATAGTAAATTGGGTACTTGACTACCTAACAGTTTGCAAGCAAAATGGGGCCAGACAAATATAAAGCAGTAATTTCTAATTACTTGGGGGATTCCTTAGGCATGCAGGTATATAAATGTATAAATTAGGAACACGTCTTTAAAAAAACAAACAAACTCGCCCAACGAAGTTGTGTTGTCAAATCTATGGCTGAGCAGTTGCGACAGAGAACATCAATTAAAGTATCCTTTGAGATAAAGGAGAGGTGGGGGGAAAGAAACGAAAGGAAAGAATGCATGCAGAGTGCGTTATCAAACGTAGTAAGCAGGACACACTGGGAACATGCCCCTCCCTCCACCGGCCAGGATCCTTTTGCACGAGCACTTGCCGGGCAAATCCTGAGTAACTAACATCTGAGTAACTACCGGGACATACCGGGTCCGGTCACGAGGCTAACCAGGCGGACTGACGGCGAAGCTTCCTCACGCGGCTCCCTTCCGAAGCCGCCGCCGCGCGCCGCGGCCACTGGGGGCAGCAGCGAGGCGGCCTTTCCGGAGTTGCGCGCGCACCCGTCCGCGCTTGCAGCGTCATCCTGAGGGGCCGGTTTGAATGAGACCCCGAGGAAAGGAAGCGCCGCGCCGCCAGAGCTCCTTCTCGCTTCCTCTGCGCGCCCTGAGCTGCCGCTGCTGCCGCTCCTTCCGCCTTCTTCCTGCAGGCTGCTCTCGCTCGCCGCCATGCCGCTGTTCACAGGTGAGCCTGCTCCGCCTGCCGCCAGCAGCGCCGCGCAGGGGCCTAGTGCGGCTTCTCCTTCGTAGGCCTTGCTGGGGTCCTCCCGCTCCACGGGCCGGGGCTCGCTTGCACGGGACTGCGTGGGCTGCCTTCTCCGAAGGGCCTTCCTGCCCACCAGAGACAGGGGGAAGGAGGGAAGGCGGTTTTTATCAGGTGCGAAGTTGGCTTGGCATTATGGAGACACCTGGCCTGGTGAGGGAGGAAGAACTAGGGGCTCGCTTATTGTTTGCAAGGGTCCCCTTCCTGTCCAGGAAAATGGGGCTGCTACACAGTAAGCCTTCCTCTTGTCTTCTTATGCACTGCGTAAGCCACCCGTCCTGGATGATTTCGAGTGGCAGTCTTCAACCGTGTCAGAATCTGGGCCCCTTTTGATCACAACATGGAATACGGGACCTTATTCATAAGTTACTTTTATGCACACACACACACATCTTCCTTTTTCCCAGTGGTGATATATGCTGCAGAGGAGAATATAGTGGGCTCCTGTGTGGGAGTGTGAGAATTTTGTTGAATGCTGCTAGTCATGCAGTAGTGACGGGAGCTTTCCCTCTAGAAATCACCTTTGCATACAGCTGTTAAGACTGAGTCCTTGTTCTCCTTTTCATCTAGTAGCTTTCTGTCTAGCCTTCTTTCTTGTCTTTTAACGTGAACAACAAAATGATGGTTGGTGTTGATGCCATTGGTGTGATCCATAAAGATCAGGACGTGATGCATTGGGAGGTACTGAGGACTTTGGGGTCTTCTGAAGACCAATGGTTACATGATGAATAACACTGTGGTGTCTCAGCTTGCACATGTGAAATCTTTGGTGGAAGTTCAAATAATGACCCAGTTTGCAAGTAATGCTAAGCCAACCCATGGCTAAGCAAGAACCATATAAGATTCATTATTCTGCAAAGTTCTTGACTGCGGAATCCTTTGTGCTTGAATAGTGAATCTTTCCATTAAATTTATGCTTTACAATATTTCATTGTAAAATGAAATATAAACCTCTGTAAACTTTTTCAGTGTATACAGCATGTAAGAACTGCACACCACTGTACCATAACTTGACGGTCCTATTTATCTTTCCTCCCCCTTGCAGTTAACGTAAAGTGGGGCAAGGAGAAATTTGATGGAGTGGAGCTGAATACAGATGAACCTCCAATGGTATTCAAAGCGCAGCTTTTTGCTTTGACTGGAGTTCAGCCTGACAGACAAAAAGTGATGGTGAAAGGTGGAACTTTAAAGGTAGAGTTTGAGAATAATTTTGCCATACTTTTGTCATTGTGTGTTTTATAAATTTAGTGGATTGTTGCCGTTCTTAGCAGGAGAAAACATACTGAGTTTGGCTTGTGGGATACAGGTAGAGAAGCACCAAAAAATTAAACAAAGCAGGTAACCATAAAGTGGTGCTTCCCTTTAGGTACTTATGTTTTGGGTATGGTAAGCTACATGACTGAAAGGAATTCTACTTCCTGTGTGTAATGTGATAACTAAAACTAGCATATTGATGCAAACCAAAGAGAGCTGGTCTGCTTTTGTGATGTTTTAGAGAATGTGTGTGTATACCAGTTCACCAAAATGGGTGCAACCCACCAAGCATTGCTTCCAGATGTGCCCTGTTTAAATGAACTAGAGCTCAGTAGTGCTTGGTAGGTTGCAAGAGGTCTATGCATGCAAATACATAGATATACATAGACACTTGTTGCTTTCCTTTTAGTTTGAGGCAGTGAGCTGATATGGTAGAAACTATTAAATCACTGAAACTTTAAGCTTTGGCAATTTGATGCCATGAGTACTGCAGGAAAATTCAGTCCTGTGTCTAGGACATTGAAAAACTATAATGTGTCCTAAATAGGGCAGCCATTGAGGAATGGTTGAAAAGCCTGGGTATATTCTGCTTGGAGAAGATTAAGACATGACGTGAGAGCTGATATCTGAAGTACTGTTACTTGCTGAAGATGGAGCAGACTTATTGCCTCTTGCTTCAGAGGGCAAGACTGAAAGTGATGCTTGGAATTGCAAAGAAATAGATTTTGGCTAAAATTATGTGAATACAGTGGTACCTCTGGTTAGGAACATAATTCATTCCGGAGGTCCGTTCTTAACCCAAAACCATTCTTAACAAGAGGCATGCTTTCACTAATGGGGCCTCCCGCTGCCACTGCGCGACTTCCACTTGCATCCTGGGGCAAAGTTCGCAACAAGGAGCATCTACTTCTGGGCTAGTGGAGCTCGTTACCCGAAGCGTTCGTAAGGAGGACGGTACGTAACCCGAGGTTCCACTGTACTTCCTAATGTGTGAACTGTTCAGCAGTTCTTGTAGGACATGCCCATGTCTTCTTTGCTAGAGGTAGTTAAACAGAAGAGGGATCTGTCAAAGATTGAGAAGAATAAACTTTGAAAAAGCAACATGCACATACCTGTCTCTAATATGTAAACACTTTTCTAGCTGCCTTAGGAAGTAGTAGCTGTCGGTAAATAATTCCTTCCCGGCTAGCTTAAGAACTTGCTTATTTTTGCAGGTAAATAACATGAAACCCCTGCTATTTTATGGTAACTTATGCTTGTATATTGTTGGGAATATTTTCATATATAATTGGAAAACCTATAAAACATGAAGCAGTCTTAGATATTACACTGCTTATTGTATTGTTAATGGCTTGCACAAAGAATGGCATTAACAAATACAGTGGTACCTCGGTTTACGAACTTAAGCCGTTCCGGAAGTCTGTTCTTAAACCGAAACCGTTCTTAAACCGAGGCACACTTTCCCTAATGAGGCCTCTTGCCGCCAGTGCCCTTTCACAGTTTGGATTCCGTTCTTAGACTGAGGTACCACTGTATTCATAATCTTCTGAGTCTGTGGCTTGGACTCTAGCTTCCATCCTTTGAATGGAAAAGTACTCCATTTGTGGGATTAGACTTCCCACCTCTTCTTTTCCTTAGTGGCCCTCTGCCTTCACATAATTTTGAAGGTTAGGGGATCATCAGGAATTGAATGGCAGGAGGACTGCAGCAGCAAGAAGCAATTGCTGAAAATCAGGGGGCCCACCTTGTGAGAGTGGAAGTGCTCATACAACACTTTGGGGAACAAGCCCATGTTTGCAGTTCATAGTGGCTGCAAGTGTACTTCCCATCCATTATACTGCACATTTTCAGTCTGTTCTGTGATAAAGGAATGCTCTGTGTGCACACAGGGTTTCCCTGTTTCATGTATTAAGTCTTTCTAATGGATGAGAGTGAGAGCTTTTACACAGGTGGGTGTGTTCTTGAAGCTACTGCACTGCAGTTCATATTGGTGCAATCTGCATAAAGTTATTCATGTTTTTGTTCTGTTGGAATGAATAGCACTTAACTACGTCTTTCTGGGGATTGTGCCTTGGGTTTTGCAGCTACTAGATCTGCTGATTCATCTTAATATTATTGCAGGCACTTAAATTTGTTTTGTTTTGCTCAATAGGATGATGATTGGGGCAACATCAAAATAAAAAATGTAAGTATTGCTCAGTGACTATATTGGGCTGGATGTCTTGGATCCTAATTTTTCTTCAGTGAATGGGGCAGAGTTCACAGAATGAGACTTTTCTGCCTCCCCCTTCTCTCTACACTTTTGTGCCCCTGTCTTCTGTGCTTCTTTGGGGTTGGAGACCCTTGGTAATAGTGTGGGATATGGTGTGAAAGCTGCAGGTGGAGGGGGGTTGGGCAGAAATCCCCCCTTTTATGTGAATTGTTAAAACCTTGTTCTGTATTTGCTACAATTATTCAGCTGTGAATGTGGTAGTCGGGGTTTTTGTTTGTTTTTTAAAGAAGAAGCAAGCATAAAGGTAGTAACGGAAAGTCAGACTTAATGGCTGATACCATTACTTAGTAACCTTGGTAAAAAATTTCCTGAATGTTTAGTAAATAAAAGCATCACTGGAAAGAAGAGAGGCAAGTTTAATTAAGAATATGGCAGCGCCTACATTTTAAAAAAATGAAGTGGAATATACTGATAGTGCTCAAATATTATTTTTGAAAGATATTCCCTAACGTGCACAAGTAAGCAAAATGTTAAAGGGTCTAAACCACCATGCATTTCTTAATTGTCTAATTATAGTCATTTTTCCTTTTTTGAACAGGGCATGACCTTATTAATGATGGGTTCTGCTGAGGCGCTTCCTGAAGAACCAATTGCTCGGCCTGTCTTTGTGGAAGATATGACAGAAGAACAGTTAGCCTCAGCTGTGAGCATATTTTTTTCATCCCTTTGTAGAAATCTGAATGTACTTCCTCATATTGCCACAAATTTAACTTAATAATGTGTTGTGAACTTGCTTCGTTTTCAGAGAGAAGTCTAGATGTATAAGAGCTGCAAATCTAGTTTTGTATGACTGAGAAGGGTGTTTGAGAAAGTCTAACAGTCAACTGTTTATTGCCTATTAAGCTAGGAAAATTTCAAAAGCAGTTTGTGACATGGTGGTGGGGTAGCTGTTTAAAGGGAAAAAATTGGATTCATTGGAGTACAGCAAGCCTTTGCATGAGTCTTAAGGTTGCAATACTATACTTGCTAGAAGTCAGCTCCATTGAACTCAATGGAACTGTTGAGTAGACTTGTATAGAATTGCACTTTGGATCCATAGTGCTGCCTTAGTTAAAAGTGTAAAACCTGTTCTTTTTCTGTTTGTTTGAACAAACCACTTAATTTTGTCCACAGAAAAGTAATAGCTGTTCATGTACTAGCCTTAGCTGTGCAAAAGTGCTATAGAACTAAATGTTGAGAGTGCTTTCCTGGAAATCACTCAGGAAAAACTGCTGTAAAATATTCAAGCACTCTTATATTTTTGTGGTAGATGGAGTTACCATGCGGCTTAACAAATCTTGGGAATACGTGTTATATGAATGCTACAGTTCAGTGTATTCGCTCTGTGCCAGAACTGAAAGAGGCCCTTAAGAGGTAGGTTTCATATTTTATTCAATGATGTTCAAAATTATTATTAAATAGAGATTGTGGCTTTGGGGGATGGGCTTCAGTATGAGCACCTTATTGTTTTTAACATTCAACTTCTCTTCTTAATGGGTACTAAATATATTGATGCTTACAATTTGGTGGTAGAATTCAGATCCAGTTAGTGATCTGCTTTTCTGCAAGTAGACTTAAACACTATTATGAATTATTTTAAAATTTGATTTCTATTCCTATCCAATTTATTCCAGAATTTTTTCTGTGTCTTGTTTGCCTAGTGTAGCATATTCAGTATAATAGCTTCTATGTTGGCTTTTAAGAATACTTCTCAGGTTGGCAAATCCTAGAGTACTGTGATTTGAGATGCGATTAAGACTGATATATTAATGCTTTCATATTAAGTAGTTGGTGCAAAATTAATTTACCATGCCTTTAAAATAGTGTTTTCATGCTTAATGTTACTTCTGTGTGTTCTTTACTGCCACTTTGCTCCCGCTCTTTGTGAATTCATCAAGAAGCAGAATAGGCAAAGGTTAGTCTTGTTAGCACTTTGGGAGGTAGGAATCAAATGAATGACTTGTATAACTTGCATATAAAACAGAGATTAATAGAAGTCATAACATTCTGAAGCATTCCAGAGGGGTTAACAGTTCAGCTAAGCAACTCTTTATGGACTTGTTGCCCTTTTAAGGCCTTTATTTGGATCTAAAGGTGTTCTTGTGCAATTGAAAGGCAGTTTTGCTTGTGCAAGGTGGCTTTCTGTACTTTCTTCCTTTTCTGCTCTTTTGCTGCAGTCTCCTGTGCCACACTCCCATGTTCTCCCAGAGGGTTCCTTAACCCTTGGGTGTAGCTTGTCCGTGGGCATAGGAGACTGGTAGGGAGAGGAAGGGATCGGAAAGCCGTATTGTACAAGTGAAGTTCTGATTGCTCATGTTTGGGCCCAAGTGCTTGGCTTTTAAACAGTAACTTCATTTTTAGTATATCCTGAGATGGTAATGATAAATATGGAAGCCATGGTAGGTGATGGTTGTGCCGTAACTCAGTGAACTCAATGTGTATAGAAATGCAGTTATTGGAAAGCAGAATCTCTGGAACCCTGCAGAATAGAGAACTGGTTTTATCTTGTGTAGTTGGGGAGATTCTGCTTTGGAGTAAATTTGTGGCCTCAGTTCATTTCTGTGTACAGTGAAAGGAGCAAGACAAGGAGCCTAACGCTGTCCCAATATCAGTGGGAGTAGAATTTCTGGGGTGGGATGGAGGAACAAATAATGAGTAATCCAGACTTGGGGACACAAGGATCCTGGAAACCTTGTGCTTTCCTCTGCACACGTGTGCTCACTGTTCTGCAGACACTAGAGGACACGTTTTCATTATTATTTTAAATGGAAGCTGACTCTCAATTTCTACACTTTCATTAGATAAGTTTTGCTCCAAGTAACACAGTCCTGATAAAAGTCCACCTCAGCATTATTTTTATGGGGGCTGCATTGATTCCAAGGCCAAATTAAATAACATGTTTTAAACATCTCTTTAGATATGCTGGTGCCTTAAGAGCTTCAGGAGAAATGGCCTCTGCTCAGTACATCACAGCAGGTTTGTATTTGATCATCAATGTAGAGCTCTCTGCTGCTTAAAAAACCTTCTTTGTAACAGAATTTTAAGGATTCTATTCACTAGATTATAACTGAGGGAAAACCAAAGGCAAGCGGTCTCTTAACAGGCAAAGAAACACATCTCACTGTCTTATTTTTTTGTACTTCTGAAATGTCTAGGGTTGTCCCCACCCCAAATCAACTACTGTCGTTTTGTTGAAACTGATGGGTCCCTTACAAATCTCCAATTCTATAATTCTATCAACAGTTAATAATGTTTCTTGAGTTTTCAAAGAATCTGAAATATAACTGATGATTTCCAAGTGTGAAGTTTTATAATTGTGTTTAAAGAGCAAAAATATCCTTATTCAGAGGTGCTCTTGAGGAGCTTCTGATAAATTTCGTAGTAACAATTGGCTTTGGGTGCTGTCAGATGCTGTGGTGGTTGCTTGTGAGTAACCAGGCAGGACTCCGACCTGTCTTTTACAGGTTTTCTTGTGCAAACTGTTTACAATGCAGAGCCATAAAGTTCATGTCCGACTTAGTCACTTGCAGAATCCGGGAGTGGCCCCTTCCGGCTTCTCCCCCAACATAAGAACTTCGGCACCCCAAGCCTCCACCGCCCCTCCTTGCGTTTCACCCCTCTGAGCAAGGTGGGCGACGGAAGTGGCGTGCTTCCCTCCTGGCTAGGTGAGGCGCTGGAGCTCTCCGCAGCATCCTCAAGCCCTTTCCTCGCTTGGCTGGCCCCTTCACTCTCTTCTCCACTGGAGGTGTGGCTTCCCCCACCTCTGGAAGAGGAACTACTCCTCAGGGTTTTTGGAGGCTCTCTGTATCCCAGCAGCCCCCCTGCCTCCCTCCCTTGTTCCGATGGCAGTCCCCTGACATGTGCCATTCAGGATTCTCACACACTGAATCTCCACATGCAGCAGTTTAGTCTGTTACAAGGGTGTGATGTGTTTAGTCCTGTTTTGCAGGTAGATTGTTGGGGCATATGATGTAAAAAATTAAGTAGCCCTACTCTAAAAGCAATACTACGGTATACAATAAAAAGGGAAATATTTATTTGAACTATATTGTGTTTCTTGTATCTGTCCTTTAGTACTTAACAGTTTAATGTTTATTCACTTTAAAAAACAACTCTGTTTTATTTTTAAGCTCTTAGAGATTTATTTGATTCCATGGATAAAACCTCCTCTAGTATCCCTCCCATCATTCTCCTCCAGTTTTTACATATGGCCTTTCCCCAGTTTGCGGAGAAAGGGGATCAAGGCCAATATCTTCAACAGGTAAATGCTTTTATTTTACTTTCTAATATTCAGGCAGTATATGTCTCCCCAAAATACATCTATTGTTCAACGAGTTCCGTATGTTTGAGTTGTGAGGCAATAATTAAGTACAAACCTACATACAGCTTGTGTAAACTTGAATTTAATAATTGTATTTATATGATTCTGTAGCAACTATGAAGAAAAACACTTTTGAAATAATGTTAATATTTCAGATTTATGATGTTTGCAGTAAACTCAAATTAGTATATTTATTGCAACTTTTGTTAAACTCAAGCTATCACTGTGCCAAACGTTTGCTTTTCTCTGCTTCTTTCATAGGATGCCAATGAATGCTGGGTTCAGATGATGCGAGTCCTGCAGCAGAAGTTAGAAGGAATCGAAGATGACACAGTTATGGAAGTAAGTGGTCTTGGTCTTACAGTCCTGGAGAAAATGGCATTAACTCTGTGCTCAGCCAAAAACAGCAAGAACTTTTGATTTTGAAACACACAAAAAATCATGTGCTGACTGTGTGCAAGTTTTGGGGTAAACCTTAAGGACTGTGACCTTTACTACATAATATTTTAATATGTTTATTATACTACTGCATAGCTTCATTTCCAGAGGCTTGCCAAATGTGTCTTTCCCCCCAATACTTGAACAACTGACTGCAGTGGCAACAGAAACCCGTCCACATTTTTTACTTAGAATTGAAGTCTCAAATCTTAGTACTGTGTAGAAAAAATCTTGAGTAGCAACTACAGGAGTAAGAAACTCAAGCTGTTGAATACACCACCTTCAATAAAAAGTTGCTTTGATGGAGTATATCTGAGGTACATACTCATAGAGATTTCAGAGAGCACAACTGTCCTCATTTATCCAGTGTTAAGGAACAGCTTTAAGCTCACACAATGGGTTTGTCCATGCAGAGCTCTCCTTCATATTGAAGAGGATGGGAGAGCATTAGAGCTCTCCTGTTCACTAAGAGCTCCTGACGGAGCTAATGTAGATTCTGAATGTGCTGGAAGCTGTCAGTCAGTGGCTTCCACATGTGGAGTACCCACTCAACCTGGTCTCACTTCCACTCCCTGCCTTCCTCCTTCCATGTCCTGCAGCTGCTTTAAGCAATTTCACATAGGGGAAGGAAATGGTCTACTTTTCAACAGCTGTCAAAGCTCAGGTCTGTACCCAGTCTTAATAAGCGCAGTAATACTGAAGATCAGGCATAACATTGTAAGAGTAAAGGAACTGGGAAGATGTAATGTGGCTTAAAGAAGCTCAGAATGAGAAGTCTGTTTCAGAGCACAGTTCAAAGTTGTTGGTATTGACCTTTAAAGCCCTAAATAGCTTTGGCCCTGTATACCTGCAGGAGCATCTCCACTTCCATTGTTCAGCTTGGACACAGATCCAGCTCCGAGGGTCTTCTGACGGTTCTCTCACTGCGAGAAGTGAAGTTATAGGGAACCAGGCAGAGGGCCTTCTCGGTAGTGGCACCCGCCCTGTGGAATGCCCTCCCATCAGATGTCAATGAAATGAACAACTGTATGACTTTTAGAAGACATCTGAAGACAGCCCTGTATAGGGAAGTTTTTAATGTGCGATGTGTTACTGTGGTTTTACATTTTGCTGGAAGCAAATGGGTGGCATATAAATAGTAAATTGTATTATTATATTACTTATTTGTTTTTACAGACTGACTCTGGAGCTTCAGGAGCAGCAGCAGCACCTCCTAAGAAGAAGAGCTTAATTGACCAGTTTTTCAGTATTGAGTTTGAAACTATGTATCCTAAACATTACTGGCAATACATGGGGGGTGATGTTCATGGTAATAGCAACATGGGCAGGGCTGGGATTTTACTGACACAAGAGGAAACATTTTTTCCCCTATGATGGGTGATTGTTAACATAGAATTGAATAAGGAATGGCAAGTGGATAGAGGGAAATGAAAATCAGTAAGTTTGGGAAATCTCCCAAAGTGGAAGCTACACAAACTTTGTTTGTTTGTTAGTGAATCTGGGGGAGGGGTGAGGAATCTGGGGCCTTCCAGATTTTGGACTTCAAGACCCATCCACCCCAGGCAGCATGGCCAGTGGTCACAGGCGATGGGAGTTATAGTCCAGCAGTCTCTGGATGGGCACAGGTTCCTCATCCTTGATGTGATGTAGCAAGGTTTCAGACCAAATGAAAACACAGCCAGCTGTTTTTGTTGAACAGTTCCAAAGTTGCAAGGGGCAGGTGGCAGGTGAAGTTCATGCCAGGATGCGCAAATGTGTCCTGTACTGTTTGTTAGCAAAAGAATTGGTCACTGCTATCAAAACGGCTTTCCTTGAAATAAGCAACATTGTTATACAGCAAATTAAAACATACTGAAATGGAGAGTAAGTATTGACTGGCACTCTTTTTAACTGTTTCATTAAGCTCAGCAGTGTTTAAATAGAGCAGCAGTTCTAGTCTTTGCATATACATATATATTTGTCCTTAACATTACGCAAAGCATGAAATGCACAGAAGCAGAAGAGGAGGATGTCACAAAAGGAAGAGAGAATCAACTCCAACTTAGTTGTTTTATCAATCAAGAAGTAAAATATCTTTTCACGGGTCTTAAACTGGTGAGCAACTTCACTTCATTGTCTCTGGAAGTTGCTTTCTTTCTGTAGCACAGTGCTTGAAAGACCTTGCTTACTTTTGGCTGGCTTGAAAACAAGCCACAAAAAGTTGCTGGGGATAGGGAGAAAAAATTGTTGTGTGGCTTGTTTGGACATGAAATGCAGATTTGTGTCCTGAACATGTACTCCCAACTTTTAGGTGTCTTAATCTGTAAAGCAGAATTGCATTGCAAGTTATGTTTTTCATTTTGCCTTCTCTATCCCATCCGATTGCTATGTATATACCATTTCTTTAGTAGCTTAATTTTTTCTATGCTAATAAAGCAAAGAATTCAAGAGGACTCTCCTCCTTCTTGGTCTCCTTCAAAACTGATATGGTGTTAAGGCAGAAGGCTGAGCACGAAATGTAGACTAGTATCCTAAGTGTTACCACAGGATTAAGATCGCAGAACAGATGGGGAGACTGTCCAGACTAGATTGGGTTGTATGAGCAGATGTCTGATTGTACAGTGTGGAATGTCACCCTTTGCTTTTTAGTTCAAACTTTAAAATGCAAACTCAAAATAGGCTCCATTGTCACCAGGTGATAGGCATTTCAAAGACATCTCCAACTGTTCCATATCTCCCTATTCTTGGTGATTGCTTGAAAGTGCTCCGGAGATTACTGCATTTAAGACCTATCCATTGGTATAGGCTACATCTTTTTTGGTAGAAAGCAAAACAAAAGCAGGGAAGAGGGCAAGTTAAGACACCAAAGCAGGGGTTTTGGAATGATCTTGTATGATGTAATGTAGTATTATGTTTCTGTTTCAGCGTCTTCAAGAAGAAATTACCAAGCTGTCTCCAACATTGCAAAGAAATGCACTCTACATAAAATCTGTGAGTAAAATTTGTAACCATAAAACCGTTCATGTTGACATTTTAGAGGTGTAGAGAATAATAAAGTTCAAAGACCCTACAATATCAATAGTTTGGATTTTGTTGTGCTGCATAAATTGGAGAAGTACGCAGTATAATTCTAAGTAGTGTAATCTGATACCCCATTCCAATACTGTAACAAGTAGCTTATGGGAGTAACTTGTATCACCTGCACAATGTGCATGTACCTTGCTGGGAGTGGGGGTAGTGTGGGGCTGGGTAAATAGTGCAAACCAAATATGGGAACCTGATACTGCTTGTACCAAAAGGTGTGTATTTTGTTTGTGGATTTTGCACATAATCCAGTTACAGTGGTACCTCAGGTTACAGACGCTTCAGGTTACAGACGCTTCAGGTTACAGACTCCGCTAACCCAGAAATAGTACCTCGGGTTATGAACTTTGCTTCAGGATGAGAACAGAAATTGCAGCGCAGTAGCAGCGGGAGGCCCCATTAGCTAAAGTGGTGCTTCAGGTTAAGAACAGTTTCAGGTTAAGAATGGACCTCCAGAACAAATTAAGTTCTTAACCCGAGGTACCACTGTATATGGAATTCAGTGTTCTTATTTTCAGTGAAATTTCTTCTTGTAATCCAGGGTCGTACAGGAAATAAAGTTTAAAATGAATGCATACTTCATTTGCTTCCACTTGCAGCTAAGTAGTTACTGCTGTGAATATTTTGCTTGTTTTAGTCCAAGATAAGTCGCTTGCCTGCCTACCTGACTATTCAGATGGTTCGTTTCTTTTACAAAGAGAAAGAATCTGTGAATGCCAAAGTTCTCAAGGTAGGTGTTTCATACATTATTATTATAATTATTTAAATTTGCATATAGTTCTTCATCCAGAAGATCCCAAGGCAGTTCAAAACACTACTACAGTTCTGCCTTTTGATCCACCTGGTTGTCAACAAGCTGCTAGGTGAACTTGGGTGCTTCCATGTCAATTTAAACTGTTGTGATAGGAGTGAAAGCTGAACCAGCATAGCCCATTTGATTAGGAGCATGATTTTTCTGCTAGAAAATGTTTCAGACCTTGGGATAGTATGAAAGCTGTAACATGACAGAACATTCTGCAGACATTCACAGAATATATTTTTATATGTTAAGGCTAGGCTATGGAAAGGGCTATTAGCTCCAGCATATACTTTATGTGCAAAAAGTTCCAGATTCAGTAACTAGAATCTCCAGGTAGAAACTTGGGAGTTGCTGCCAGTCAGGAGACAGTTCTGAGCTAGATGGCAGCTTGCTATGTTCGTAAGTGTTTTTTGTTTTTTAAGTAAATCCTGAGTTTTAAGTGAAAAGGCAACTTTAAATGTGTTAAATTAACTGGGAAACGGTGTCTGTGGTGGTCAGTTAGCTTCATATGATGCTTTACAGAGATGTTAAGCAAGCCTCTCTTCTAACTGCTCCTAGGATGTTAAATTCCCTCTTATGTTGGATGTATTTGAGCTATGTACATCAGAACTGCAAGAAAAGATGACCCCGTATCGATCAAAATTCAAGGAACTAGAAGACAAAAAAGCGAATCAGCAGCCAAAGAACGTAGGTGACCTATTAAGATTGCTTTAGCAGTGTACCTAATTTTATTTTATGCGCAGGCCTTAAATAAGAGCCAGCATTGGGCAAGTGAACCATTATGACCCAAACATCATTTAGATGCTTTATAATAATGCTGTATTTTCAAAAATTTAAGACTTGAGTATCAACATTTGCTGTTGAATTTCATTAATTTCTAGACCTAGTAATTGTATTAGCTACAATTTTTTAAAATAAGTATGCAGATGCCATTTCCCTCTTGCTGACAAAAGACTTCCCTTTAATTTTATTAATGGGGAAATTAATGGATAATCCCACTTGTTGAAAGCAGAGTGGCTAGTTCTTCATTGGTTGTGCTGCTTACTCTGGCTGTGATACTTTCGGAGCTTCTGTAATGCTTTGACACACCATGGAATTTGCTCCAAAGACTTTTAACTTTTATTTAGAAATCGTTTCTCATTGATAAAGGTAATCAGTGATCATTTATTAGGATGATATAAGTTATTTTATTTTTTAAATGTATTTCTCTTTTGCCTTATATGAACATAACTCATGTAAACCATAAATGTTTATTTTTTAAGTCTAGTAAAGGTGATGGTGCACAGAAGGAAGCAAAATACGAGCCATTTTCCTTTGCTGATGGTAAGTGGAAATTGAAAGAACTTTAATGGATACATTTAAAACTCTGATTTTTTTCACCTTAGATTACCATAAGGCATTTAGGTATTGAAAATAGACAAAACACAAAAGCATTTTTATTATTTCCTTATCTGAATATCTGAAGATATATTTGACCAAGTGAGTGAAGGGTGTAAGAGGTGTCTGATAAATTGCACAGCTTAATATTTGAATGGCACTTGATTGCAGTATCTATGGTACAAAAACTAAAGCTCACAACTGCTACAGAAATATAACAGGAAAGAGATCAGGTGAGATCATGTCTTTGTACCAGACAAGCATTTGATCTTCTACGCTCTTTTTTGTTGTTAAAGTAGATGATTTTTAAATTTTATTTTTGCTTGCACTTGTTAAAATGGAACTGCGTGGTTTTTCTACGCAAGTTGTTTGCAGTCTGCCGCAGGTAACAAGTCTGGACAAAAATAACACAGGTAGCAAGGCTGATTTCTTCCTAAAGCCTGTTACATGTAGTTCTGCTATTTGCTCTGTGTATCTACAAATTTCCCTAACCCCAGACACTGCTTAATTTTGCAGGCAGTCTCTTCCTTCACATGCTTAATTTGGTGTCCTTGGGTGTGTGCTTATGTGGAGAGAATGCATTCATGAATAAAACTTACTTGAACCCAACTTTAACCCAAATGGTTGAAAATATATTTTGTATAAAATGGCTTAGTTGCATTTCCCCAGAGCAGGGATGGGGAATCCGTGGTCCTTCAAATGGATTAAGGATCATAGGAGTTGTAGTCTAGCAGCATCTGGAGGGCTATAGGTTCCCCATTCCCACTCTAAAGCAGGGGTTGGGAGCCTTTTTGACCCAGTGGGCAAACCACTTATCAGTTCCAATTCTCATGGGTCAACTTTGGCAGGTCTAGACCTCTTGTCAGTGCTGGGTGTCAAGTATTTTTGCAGCACTGGGTGGTAAAGCTGCTTTCTGCAGGAATCCACTGTGCAATCAAGTACCCATGAGGAACTCAAGCTGCACAGCTGATTTAGCTGCTTCAGTATCTGCCACATGCGCAAGGTTTGGGGAAAGTAGGCTTGTGGGCCAAATTTGTGGGGTGGAAGTTCCCCATGCCTGCTGTAAAGATTCCTGTGGCAATCACAAAGAGACATGGGTTAAGTGTGCAGATTGTTTACTGTAGTGTTACATTATGATCTTTCTTCCCCAGATATTGGCTCCAACAACTGTGGATATTATGACCTACAGGCAGTGCTAACACATCAGGGAAGATCTAGTTCTTCTGGACATTACGTATCTTGGGTTAAAAGAAAACAAGGTACTGAGGCAATTTTAGACGCTAGCAAAATAATAGTACATGAAGGTTGGCTGTTTTTATTGAACGATAAATTGGAAATCCTGGCTCTGAATAGTTCATGTAATATGTGGTATTAATTTACTATTTCTTTTTCTTCACAGATGAGTGGATTAAATTTGATGACGACAAAGTCAGCATTGTTACACCTGAAGATATTTTGAGGCTATCAGGGGGTGGAGACTGGCATATAGCTTACGTTCTACTTTATGGGCCACGCAGAATCGAAGTAGCGGAAGCGGAAGCTGATCAATAGACTTCATTTTTACCATTTCTGCCTAGGTGTGAAATAAATTTCTTAACTCCAGAGCTTCACAGAGGCTGCAAAATTGGTTCCTTCAGTCTACTGTCATTTGGAGCGGCAAGGAAGCAAATCAGGTTTTGAAACTGACCTCTGCACTAAAGTCACTACTACAGTCACTCAATAGTTGTTATATTTGTAATTGATTTTAGGTTTCGGGTTGCAAAAGAGACCATTTTAAAACAACTAAATTTTAACAAAATTAAGCAGGCCTCCTGCCCTTTCCTCTAATGTTATCAGCAAGATATTTATTACACACCTATTCATGCATCATTTTGTTGTTAATTCTTGCATGGTTTCTACCAGTTCAGTAGCTGTCGATCCTTTCTATTGTGTCTTGACAGCTTTGTCAAGTGGAATATCAATTGTTGCCTCAACATGTAACACAGTGCTGCTGCCCATAGCCTATGGATATATGGCTACAATCACGTATTTGTCCAGCCTGATGTGCCAACCTGGTCTGTTCTGTTGCTGGCATTCCATGACTTTGAATAAATGGTGATCAGTAATGATGGTGCTTCTTACATAAATGTTTGGTGTTTTGTCTTCTTGCTAGAGCTTAACCGTATACCTCTTGGCTTGTATCCAGTGCAGGGCTAAGTAAGCATCCCATCCGGCTTCGACAGGAAACCAAAGAATACAGTTTAGCAGAACTGTGATTGAGTGGTTTAAATTGAGGTAAAGGAGAGGAAGTGGTTACAGTTTTGGGAAATTGCTCCTCTTTAAATAAGTTTTTAATAAGAATTATCTACCTTCTTATACTGCATGTTGATGTTATATGCTTTTAAATGGGTTTAAATACTATGATGGGTTTCTGTAAGTTGGTGCTCTGTATAGAAGTCAATGTGTAAGCAGTCTCTTCTGTTTCACCATATTCTTATTATTTCATCCTGTTCCACCTAGAAATCTTACAGGCTTAATAGTTGGTAGACTTCCCTAGTCCAGTCTTATCTCCATGGAACGTATATTTTGTTGAACCTGCCACAGAAGGCCAGTTTTCCTGCTACAAAGTCTTCAGTAGTAATCAGTTAAACACCTAATAATAGCAGTAAATTATAAGCAAGAAAAATGGTGTAGTGGAGTTTCTGGCAACAGAAACCAACGGTGCCCAGCAAACCTAGGTCTTACAACTTTCTAGGATTTGAATCGATTCAATGTGTTTGGTGAACAGTAAAGGATCTACAGGAAGCCACCAATTTCAGGCAGGCAGTATTGGTCTGTTTGTGTGTAGCTGGCTTCTTGTTTGATCATGGTCAGGCCCAAACTTGATTAGCTACAGCAATGGCACTGTATTGGTCAGGTATATAAACATACCTAGGGAATGATGTGAAAGCAAATACATTCCTTATAAGAAAGCACACTTTATAATTTATCCACAGATAGGCGCTATGATATTTAGAGTAATATGAACATATTAAGTGTGGCATTTCACAATTTCAGCAGGGCAAGAGCAAGCATTTTCTGGGAAAGTGCATCGACTTTACCCATAAGAACATTTCATGCTTAAATCCCGGGGGTTCTTCCATAGCTCAGCTCATCTTTTCACACTGCATCACAAAAGGTGGGACAAAATGATCTGCTAAAGCACTAATTTGGTAAGCTTAAAGGGGAATCCTAATCAGCCTCTTCATATTGTGATCCTTTCTGGGCATATTTTAATTTTTGTTGCAGCGACAAGGCCTAGTAGCTCTGAAGTCAGAATATCTACAGCTGGAACAGAAACTAACAAAATGCCAGTTACCAGGAATTGACAAACCTTAATGAGTCAGACCCATAAACATATGTATTGCCCTTCACTGTACATCTATACTGTATCCTATATCCCAGAGACTTTGTAGGAGCTAGCACTCTAAAACAGCACTACAAAAGCCCAAGCCAAAACTGAACATCTAGTTATAACACTGCTAACAACAGGAGAGACTTCCACTACAATGAAGTACCTTAGAATGATCAGATACTTGCTGTATATAAAACAGGTCTTCAAACAGTCATAATTTCATGCATAAAACACTACAAGCATAGAATGATCATTAATTAAGATTATTAAAAAGATATTAACAGAAATGGCATGGAAATAAGTAACCAGAGTAATTCAGCATGCTGCTCTCCTACTCTTTTGGCTTACACTTATCGAGCCCAGCCAACAAAGCTCTCAAGAGGTAGTGAGAATTTTAGTCTACACATCTGAAGGGCACCAGGTTTGCAAAGAATGATCTAGAGGCAGCGTTCTCTTGTGCATCATTTCCATACAAAACTAGGGGCAATGGCAAGGTGAGAGACCAGGAAGATACCATTCTATCAGTATTCTATTGGGACCACTTTGTAACAGCAGTACAGTTCTGTTAAGTGGTTTCCCATTTGCTATAATACTAACACAAGTTTACTGAACAGGCACCTGATTTTCACTAAAGGACGTTACAACATTTTTAGCCACATGTACATTGGGGAGGAATCCCTAACCAAGAGCAATAGTTCTCCAATCTTCATAGAATTTGAGCACTTAAGGCATCTCAAATTATGTAAGGACTATTTGTGTACTATGTCCCTTCACCACCCATATTCCATGGAAAAAGTCAGTAACCTTCCTATCTGCTTTTGAACAGCTCTAACAATTCATTTATTCCTGGAATTTCTAGACAGAAGGTTACTTTAAAATGTTTTATTGCTTACCAAATTAAACTGATCTATCAAATGTTGGGTTGTTACTTAGCAACAACAGCTTCTTTTTCCTTGTTTAACACCTATTTTAGCTATTGTTTTCACTATCGTTTGTTAGGCTTTCTGCAAGGTCATTTAATCCAGCTTTGTTCAATGCAGTAATCAGATTTTCCATTGTAGCGTGGATGCCTTCTTGGTCTTGCCAAGTAACAAGCAGCTGCTTAGCTCTCATCTTCACATCTTCACTATCTGATTCAATTTGCCTTATATCAGAGTCTTTCATTTCCAAATATGGGGCCAGAACATTCCAGTATTCCCCAAGCTTGTTAGCAAGCAACTCTATTTGTTCTCCTGTTACAAGTTTATCCCGTTGAGCATCTGGACCTAAAATCAAACATAAAAAAGAATATTTAGAGAATAGCATTGTATAATGCAGCACTCAACAAACCTGTTTCTGAAAACTAACAGCTTGTTAGCATTGTCCAGTTTCAGTAAAGAATTATCCTTTTACATTCATGCTTCCAAGTTTTATTTAAATTCTACTGTCTTAAAATCATATTACAGAAGGTGCATTTGTGACTATAGACAGATCACTTGTTAGGCTACTTTTATACTCCCTGAAAGTGCAAACCTCAACCATTACTTTTAAGTCAATCCATGATTTTAGACAGCTGTTTTAATTTACTAAACATTGAAATTGCCCAGCTGATTTGCCTTTGTTTTGCAAGTTCAAAAGGAATCCCTAACTGCTCCAAAAGAAAGCTGCCTGTTCCCCAGTGTTAATGACTATTGTTTATTGGTCACGTTCATTTACAATATATTTCAGAAACAGCCCTCAATGAAATGAAAACTGGATGGCCAAGGAGCGGGGAAAAGTTCACATGTAGCTGGTAAAAAACAGTCAGGAAGGGGGTATCTGAACTTTAAAAACAAGTAAGAGTGAGATACAGCAAAGGGAAAGGCAGATTTCTGCTGAAATAGAGAGGATGGGAAGTAAAATTAGTAAACAAAAGAACAAAAGCTACTAAAATGAGAGAATGCAATAGAGCAGGTAAGTACATAAGCAGGATTCCACTGAGGGAACTAAAGCAAGGCTGACTTTTCAGTACTATTGTGGAGGGTGGGGAGGCACTGATGAATAAGCATAGAAGACTTGCATGAAATTATAGCATGAATCAGAGAGCAAACTGGATATGAAGTGATCACATGAGGAAGGAAGACATCATGCAAATGAATTTAATCAGAACACAAAAAATAAGCAGACCAAAAGGTATGGAAAGTAAAGATCAAGGATATGCCAAGTTTAGGGACAGACACTGATTCACAAATTGTGAGGCAGGAGATGGAACTGGAAGGATGGTCTTTGAAAACTAGCTTTAGAAGAGGACAAATTCTCAAACTGACTTGCTTCAGGTGGAAATATATACCAATAGTTTTCATAGAACATAGCAGATGAGCGAGTGCAACTGTTGACAAGGTGATGCTGTTTTGGAAGAACAGGGTTTGCACAAAGGAGCTATGATAGATGCAGGAAAAAAACTCTAGGAGAGACACTACTCTCAAGGTCTACTCATTTAACAAGCACAGACTATCCATCAAGGCGGCCAGGGTACAATAAAGTATGAAGGATTAGGAGGCCCTGGTTTTGTGCCTTTGTGTGGCTCCTCTTTCTGAACATGGGACTTAAGCATTATTACTGCTACTCAGAAGCAGCAGACAGGATGATCTTGGGGAGAACGTGGGTCTGCTCATATACTCCTTTTACAACATGTGTTGAGGAAAATGGGAAAACCCCAAGAACACAGTCTTACTTTCATTGTTTTCCTTTAACAAAGCATCATTATCTTCCTCATCTTCATCCTCGCCTGTTTTAATTTCTTCGGAAGGAGGCTATAATGAGAGAACTGAATATCACCAAATGGATTTGCACGTAAAAAGAATTTGCTACATGGTGATTTCTGACCTACATGTAGCAGAACAAAGTTTAGAAAGAAGACATTTGGAATTTATAAAGAAACCATACCTTGTTTTTATACAGATGTCTATTCTAAAACTACTACTAATCTTAATATTCTTTTAAGATACTGTAAATCAATGCTTCTATGAATTCCCATGCAAAACTGCTAAGACAGAAATTACATCCCATTGCAATGAAAATGAATTCTTAGTAACTGGTTCCAAAAAATAATCACTCGCTCAAATTGACTTCCCAGAACTAACTAAAAGCTTCATTGTCAAGACAAATTCCTGTTCTCTTATTTTTTCCTGCATATTAAAAGGCCAAGAGAATGTCCAGCCCATGGGGCTGAATCCTTCCAAAGAAGATCATGAGCCAAAATAAAAGTAGATGTACAAAGCAAAAAGGATCCTTTAAACCCAAAATTCATGTCTCCCTCCTGATGAGAGTTCTTTTCACAAATACTAAATGTTACAAAGACAAAACACACAAACAAAATCGTCTGCTTGCAGTTTAAGGGCAGAGAGTTATAGGCATTTAAAGAGATAATCAAGGTGTTTTACTACTTACAGGTAGTTCTTTAGCTAATTTGATGACCATGTTTTCGAGGTATTCTGGTAAACTCTTGAATTGCTGATTGGTTGGCTGGAAGAAGTGGGGGCTTCTACGTGCCAATAGCCGTAGCGCTCTCCAGCCGTAGTTAGAATTATTCACAACCCTGCCATCAAAGTCAGAATTAGTCTGCCATTTGGCATCTAGGAAAAAGGAGCTTCTTTTCTCAGCTTTGTTGTGCAAGCCAAACTATGTTTGAAGCAGATGAACAAATCAGTGCAACATGGATGAGAAATGTAAACGGCAATGAAAAATGATCTGCAGTACATACTTAAACTCTTTATCAACCATGTTTTCGGGATCTGCCTGTTCAATAGCCTCTTCAAAGAACTCTTCCAATGTTGGCATATATTCTCTAGAAAATAAAAGTCAGATTTAGTGTTTAACTTTCTAGACTGCCTTCATGTTTCCACGTCTTAGTTGCAATTCCTTCAATATAAGAGTGGCCAACAATGAAATGAGAAAAAAATACTATTTTTTCTACTGTCATCTGCATTTTTGATGTAGGTTCTATTGTGGCTGAACAGCTCAGTGAATTGAAGACTGTTCCTTTTACTGTGATATAGCATATCTGAATCTGTGAAACATGCAAAAAGTATTCCATCCATATCAAAGCATCAAGAAATACTACTATTTGGATTAAATCTATGTTTGCAATTATAGGAACAAACATTATAGGTGAAATATCTAGCAGATGTCCTTTGTGATACCTCATGCCCTAATACCGGCAAGAAACTTCCTGCAAATCTGTTGATTATTTGCTCTCCCTCTCTACATTCATTCATTCAAATCTTCATGAGCTTTTTAACACTGTTTTGAGGTTTTGTTTGTTTTACAATTAAGTGGCATATAATTTCTATGAAATAAAATATGAAACAGCTTTCTTCAAGAAGCAGCTCCCATATGGGCAAGCCACCTTGAAAAACTGAAAGGCACAGTAAATAAAGTCAATTGACCTGACTAGAACTTGACAAAAAACATTTTTTTTAAAGAAGCAATGCTCCTTTTACAATATATATACATTAACAGTCCCAGGTTATAACCTGAAGGCACATAGGCCACCATCTGACTGAAGCTAAGCAGGTCTGGGTCAGGTCTGGTCACTGCCTGGATGGATGACCTAGAAACTACCTTGGGTTCCATGGTGAACAAAACAGAATATAAATGTAAAAAAATAAACTGAGCAAACAAACATTATTATAAAAACTGCCATATTACTTTAGGATGTACCACTGGCCACAAGAGTTCCAACTGGTTTTATTATGGACCACCCTGCCATATTCTTTTCGTATGACTTACCGGGTCTCAGATTTACAAGCTTCCATGTTATCAGGGCATAAATTCCAGAGTCGAGTCAACTCTTCACTAAAATGAGAATGAAAAAACAGGTCACTGCATTGTTATGAAGTGTGTTTTGATGAGCCAGATAGTTTGCAAAGAGGGGCTTCTTCAAAGTGGAAAAAAATTGCATTAATTGTCTAAAACACACACACACACACACACACACACACACACACACACACACCTGTACCAAACTTCTCATGTAAGAGATCAGATCTAACACCTTTAAATTCCTATGTAGGAAACTTCAATATACACTGTTCTGCTGTTTCTGAAAGAGGCCCAATTCTTAAGAAAAATTAAAATAGAGATAAAATGAACAGGAAATACTGTCAACAATTATGTATGGGCCTTGCAGCTGGGTCTTGTTCTGTCAGTAGTCTTGGTCTGCTATAAAAGCTGCAGCCCTTTGGCCCTCCAGATATTGCTGAACTACATCTCCCATCAACCCCAGCAAGCACGACCAATGGCTGAGGACGATGAGAGTTGCAGTTCAGCAACATCTGGAAGGCCAAAGGTTTCTCACACCAGCACTATATGGTGACACTAGAGCAGGCATAGGCAAACTCGGCCCTCCCAGATGTTTTGGGACTACAACTCCCATCATCCCTAGCTTAACAGGACCAGTGGTCAGGGATAATGGGAGTTGTAGTCCCAAAACATTTGGAGGGTCAAGTTTGCCTATGCCTGCACCAGAGAGTCTTCTTTGTTGCGGGCCACAGCTGTGGAATGCCCTTCCCCTGGAAATACATATGGCAGAGATTTTGATGGGGTTCCACTAGCATGTAAAAATGTGTGGTGCAATGGGTCAATGGCTGTTAACCAGAAGGTTGGTAGTTCAAGCCCACCCAGGCATAGCTGTGGGCAGGATTCCTGCATTGCAGGGGTTAGACTCGACCCAACTCTACAATTCCATGATTCTATGATTTCATTTCCACAAGCATTCAAATTAAATGAGTAAGACTGCCCCCCCCGGCATTCACATACTGCTGCACTCATTAACAGTTGAATTACTTGGTTTGTTTAATCATTGTGTTTTCTGTTTTGCTGGGATCTTTTTAATGTGATGAACGGCAGCCTAAAAATGTCAGAAATAAATTTATTTATTGACATTCATACTTTAACCAAACCTCAAAATAACCGTTTACATATCATTAAGTTATCTATAAAAGATTACAGATATATAAGTGATGAACTATAAAGGTTTAACATACTTCCCCATCAGAATTTTTCTGTTAGGTCCTTTCCCCAGGAAATCTTCAGGAACGGGTCTCTTTCGCACAAAGAGTCTTATTGGCTTGGGATCACTTGGTCTACAGAACAGATATGCTAAGGTTAACAAGCAGAATGGTGCAAAGATGTGCAGCTATTACCTGTTCTACCTTGGGCAAATAATTGTGTTTCTTTTTTATGTTAAAATGCCACCCCAAGCTCCTTAGACATTTTCCTTAGCTGTTCTTGAAAATTTCAAAGTAGAGGTCCGTAAAATGACAAGAACCTACCAAGGTTATGTATCATGGGTAGGCAAACTAAGGCCTGGGGGCCGAATCCGGTCCAATCACCTTCTAAATCTGGCCCACGGACGGTCCGGGAATCAGCATGTTTTTACATGAGTAGAATGTGTCCTTTTATTTAAAATGCATCTCAGGGTTATTTGTGGGGCATAGGAATTCATTCATTATTTTTTTTCAAAATATAGTCCGGCCCCCCCACAAGGTCTAAGGGTCAGTGGACCGGCCCCCTGCTGAAAATGTTTGCTAACTCCTGTTATGTATCCAAGGGGGGGGGGGAGGAAAGCTCCCTGATATGAATTTGTTTCTAAATAGTTTAATATAATACAGCACAACCTGTTTATTAGCTTGAAAATATTATATATAAACACAAGTATAACAAGAAGATGAAGCCTTGAACCTGAATGTTGCTCCGATCTAATACAATCTCTAAACAACATTTTTGAACTTACCTTTCCTTCACAAAACTTGGGCAACCTTCGTTTTTCCATGCATTCCAGTTCTCTTCAGTGTTTAATATGTGCTATAAAAGCAAAAACATGTGTCAGTGTGAGTTACTGTCACCTTCAGTATTAGCATTTTTCATTTAAAGACATCTGCACTATGAATGTATCAGGTATCCAGGGTAGAGGTCAAAGGAGAAATACAATCTCCGTGTTTACAGTGGTGCCCCGCAAGACGAATGCCTCGCAAGACGGAAAAACCGCTAGACGAAAGGGTTTTCCGTTTTGAAGTTGCTTCGCAGGACGAATTCCCCTATGGGCTTGCTTCGCAAGACGAAAATACCTTGCGAGTCTTGAGATTTTTTTTCGCTTTCCCCCCCCTTTATCTAATCTGCTAAGCCTTTAATAGCCTTTAATAGCCTTTTAGCAGCTAATCCCCTAAGCCTTTAAGCCTTTAATAGCCGCTAAACCGCTAATAGCGCTAATAGCGCTAATCCGTCAATGGGCTTGCTTCGCAAGACGAAAAAACCGCTAGACGAAGACTCTCGCGGAACGGATTAATTTCGTCTTGCGAGGCACCACTGTACTTCTGACAGTGGGAAAAGGTAATCTTTTTTTAATATGGGTTGGATTCAGAATTCTGTTCTATTCACAGGACACTCTTGCTAGAGGAAGAGTGTGGGAAGAAAAAAAAATTGCCAATTCCCCCTTCAGGCTCCTTAGTTCAGCAAAAATCTGCTCTAGTTGAGGGACCTGCTGGAAGAGTGTTGCTGGTGACACAGGGACTGCCAGCCTTCACTTGATCACACTGCATTTCATAAATGGAAAGACCCTTCCATTCGTAGAAGGGCATGTCTGTACCCAACCCCACACATATTCGTGCAACTTGGTCACAGTTCCATGGAGAATATCTTGTAGTTAGAGGGGAAAGTGCCAGCAGACATTATCAGTAAGCAAGCATCAGATATAGCACTTGAAAATGTCATTTCACTGTTTTGACGCAAACCCCATTTAAGTGGATGGTACTCATCTAAAATTTTATTCAGTTCTATTTATGAAGAGGTCACTCACCTCTACCATTTTTGAGAATCTCTCTCCATCGGGAGGATTTTCTGAAAGAAGCTGTTACCAGATGTCAAAGAGTTAGCCAAAGGTTGCAGCATCCAAAGTTAGGACTGCAGCTTCAGAAATATCATAAATACAAAGTAATATATTTTGGTTTCTAATCATCCAAAATGTGCTTCACAATCTAGATAGCTTAACTTGATTTTTCAATTGTAACAAAACAAAACAAAAACAAAAACAGACCAACTTGTACGTATATTGCCCGCAGTCTATATCACTGACCTGGTAAACTAATTTTGTAGTATCTTCAATCCACAGAGACTGCTCATCTGTCAAAATGTAGTTTGAACTAGAAAGCAAGCCATCACATATGTCAAGAAGACTGACGTTCCGCATATTTAAGTTAATAATTTGAGTATTAATGATTCCCACCCCCGTGGTCCCTGAAGAGCTGTTCTGGAAGGTTCATGGACCCACCAGAAATGGGTGTGAGGCTGAAAGGGAAAGGAAGTATTGGTGAAAATGCCCACCTTCTAGATCACAGTTCCCTCTTCCATTCTGGGGAACAATAAAAAAAGTTTCTCCAGGGATTTTATACGGGTAAAAATAAAGCATTTAAAAAACGAATTAGTTCAAATTTAGTAATACTAACCTACCTTTTAAATTTCACCTGTCCCTTTAGATACTGAAATAATATTAAATACTGCAATAGGATGTGTCGGCGGAAGTTGCTGTCACTCAGCTGTAAATCCATTAACTGAAAGAAAAGATGCACAGATGGATAGAAAGCCTCCTGCAATGTATTTTACAACATAAACAGAAATACAGAGCGGTAGAAGTTAACCATGGGCCCAACAATGCAGGATGGGTTGTATCCTGTATCAGTTCTACTCAAAGCAGGACCACTGAAATTAATGATAATTTCAACAGGTCTACCATGAACAGATCTTAGTTGAAGACCACCCAATATTCCAACTAATTATTTCCCATTGGTAAGATAACTAGCTTCTATGGGCAAAGAGTGTTTTCATGCAAGTTAAGAACAACAAACGCAATACCTTCTCACTTGTGAGGAATTTAGCAAAGTAAACATGCTCTCCGCCAGCTTTCAGTTCTTCCAATTTCTTTCTCGACGCTTGGGTGTCATCCAACTTGTAGCTCTTAAAGACAGCCAATACTTCTTCAGAGTACTTGTTAAAATTGAAAAAAATAAAATGCAATATTTTAGGACAATCACATCCACAAATCAGACCTGAAATTTGATATGCAAAATGCTGATCTACTGATGCTCCTTTGCAGAGTCCAACTTTAACATTTATCTACTCTGTCAAACACTATTACACAGCCTGGCGTCAGTTCATTTATCAAGGACCTACACGTCCTCCAATGATATATGCCACCATCTGTCAATACCATTGTTTACACAGGTCAAACAGGGCAGTTACACAGCAAAAAAAGTGCGCACAAAACAGACCTTAGAGAAGAAATAGAGTCACAAAGCATTACCTTCAGAAATGTTTTCCACGAAACCTTTTCGTAACACTGCACTGGATTCCGAAAGTAATCTTGAAGTGACCAGAACTTTCTATACAGGTTGTAATCTATTGGAATGGAACTAACAAAATATTTAACATATAAACTCTCACACACTTCTGCTTATTCCTGAAGATACATTCATTTATCATTTAAATTTATACCCCACATGAGGTGCACAATTAAAATGAACACATGAATGCAGGCAGGAAACTTGCCCAAGTTCCCTCTTCAGCCCATAGAATTAATGTGAAAGCCATTAATGTTAAACGGTAAATGCCTCTCTGTCAAGCATCCCCTTTTAGAAAATGCTGTATATAATGAAATAATAAATAAATAAATAAATAATGGCTGTGGAATGTCTTTAGTGAACAATGACATTTTTAATTAAGAAGCTACAATGTTATGAATTCTCTATTTTAAAAAAATCTTGCACACCTGAAGGAAAGCATTATTTGCCTCTGCTATGCCTACTAGTTCTATCCACACTTCTCATTTGGTTCCTTAGACATGCCAGCAAAGACCTGATAATCCACCAATACAGCTCCAATTTTCAATTGTCACAAAACAGCGGCAGAGGACACTCTTGCAACCATTTAAGTCAAAGCTAGCTAATCAAATTAACAGCATTATGTGTATCACTAGCCACCCAGAAATATTTTCCACTCCAATGCAAGTTAGTTGGATGAAACTGTTTATAAACATTATCCTGAATATCTCATCATGGATAAGAGGACATGGAATCTGTGGCCCTCCGACTACAACTGGGACTTATGGGAGCTATAGTTCCTCAATAACTGGAGGACCAGAGGCTCCCCACCCCTGCTCTAGCCACAGAAGACATTTCATGCATTTCTTTTTCATTTTAGAACAAACCAATGGCTTAAATTGGTCTAAGAGCTTACCAACTTGTAGGAGCTTCATCATCTCCCATCTCACCTTCCTCTACATCCATCCCTTCCTCTCTCTCCTCAACATGCTGAAGAGAAAGAAGGGATATAGAATTAATAACGCTGAAAAAGGCTTTGCACCAGAAAATTACGAGATGCAGATTAAAGATTAAAATATTCTTTATCACTGGAATTCTAAGTAATTAGTAAACTACACAAATAGCTCAGATAGGATACAGCAATTTCCTCCACCTTGTGCCATCTCCCCTTTGGTCTCCAGTTTAGAAAAGCGCTAAAATAAATAATCTTCACATGTATATTAGTAAGTAACTGAATAATTTTTTTAATTATTTGCCCTCTTTTTAGAGTTGCATGTGTTCAGTACATAGAAAGCAGAGTGCTATTTTATGCCTTGTTCTACAGGTTTCCCACAGAATGGATAATATACCGTATTTTTCGTCCTATAGGGCGCACCGGCCCATAGGACGCACCTAGTTTTTTGGGGGGGAAATTTATAAAAAAAATTATTTCCCTCCCCCACCAGCCGCGGGGCTGGGGCGGGGGAAGCCCGAGCTTCCCCTGACCCCAGCCCCCAGAACAGGCTGCCGCCCGCAAGCCTTGTGAGCCCGCGGGACCTCCCGCCGGGCACGCAAGGCTTGTGGACATCTGCCCGAAGCACGGGGCGTGCTCCGCAGCGCGCCCCGTGCTTCGGGCTGCAGGCTGCCGCGGCAAGCCTTGCGAGCCCGGCGGGCACTCCCGCGGGCTCCCAAGGCTTGCGGACAGCTTCCTGAAGCCTGGAGAGCGAGAGGGGTCGGTGCGCACCGACGCCTCTCGCTCTCCAGGCTTCAGCGAAAGCCTGCATTCGCCCCATAGGACGCACACACATTTCCCCTTCATTTTTGGAGGGGAAAAAGTGCGTCCTATAGGGCGAAAAATACGGTAATATAATAGAAAACAAAAAGATGACCAACCTTCTGTCCAAGTGTGCTATCTTGCTCACTGGTATTATAAACTGTGATATTTTCCAAATTAAATTGACTTTGCAAATTAAGCCCTGTAGAAAAAAGGATGCACATTAAAAGCCAAGAACAACAGAGGAAATAATTATACCCAAAACCCAATAAGACATTTGTAACTCTCATATGTCAATTTACAGAATATAAGATATGATGTTTCCCATCAACAGTATAAAAAACAATCATTGTACTTTACCTACAATTAAGCAAGACAGGAAATGTCTACCATTACCACCTTCAGAGAGTTCCTTGGCTAAGGCAGGCTAATGCCGTATTTTTCGCTCTATAGGACGCACTTTTTCCCCTTCAAAAATGAAGGGGAAATGCGTGTGCGTTCTATGGAGCGAAGACGCCATAGCCCCGCGACCCTCTCCCGGCTGGAGAGGTGACGCGCGGCTATGGCAGGAGCCTCTATACCCGCGAGTCACCTATCCAGCCGTGAGAGCTCGCGCGTGGAAAAAGCATACCCCTGTGACCCTCTCCCGGCTGGAGAGGTGACGCGCGGCTATGGCAGAGCCTCTATGGCGGCGCGTCACCTCTCCAGCCGGGAGAGTGCGCGCGGGCAAAGAAGCCCCCGCGACCCTCTCCCGGCTGGAGAGGGTGACGCGCGGCTATGGCAGGAGCCTCTTCAGCAGCGCGCCACCTCTCCAGCCGGGAGAGCGTGCGCGGGGCAAAAGCAGCCATAGCCCTGCGACCCTCTCCCAGCTGGAGAGGTGAAGCGTGACTATGGCAGCAGCCTCTCCGCTGCGCCTTTCCGCTGCTCCCTGACCTGCTCTTTGGGGCTGGTGGTGGGCTTCCCCCCGCCAGCCCCAAAGAGCAGGTCGAGAACCTGAAGCCTGGAGGCGAGAGGGGTCGGTGCACCCCTCTCGCTCTCCAGGCTTCCAAGGTAGCTGCCTGAACGCATCTTAAACAGCACCTTGAATTAGAGCGAGAAAACAAGAGGGGGGGAATTCTCTCCCTCTCTGCGCAGCGCCTCCTGCCGCTTCACTGAAGGGGCGCTGGGCAGAGAGAGGGAGAATTTTTTTTCTTGTTCTCCCCCCTCTAAAACAAGGTGCGTTCTATTGTCCGGTGCGTCCTATGGTGCAAAAAATACGGTAACTAAACAAATTACAAGCATAATAAAATTAGAAAAGAACTTCCATTTTTCTATTTGAGTATGTTTATGTCATTATACACTAACAAATCTCACCTGATTTTTCTGAAAGTGGGAATAATCTAGCCAGGAATAGCTGGATTCTTCCACAGAATACTGTATTTTGGGATTTAGACAATCGTCTCAGGAGGTCTAAACAAAGAGATAAATAAGAAGAATATGTTTTTTATCTTATCATGGCTCCAGAATTTTTATAGTTTGTTATGGGCGGACAGTGGTATGTTAAGGAGCTGATAAATGTCCTACAGGCAACCGTCTTCACTTCCCTCGCATGGCTAACTAAGACTAACAGCGGAGTGTGGCTTCCCAGCCAGGGCAGGAGTGCCCAGGCGTGCCCAGGGGCAGGGCTTGGGAGGGCAATGTGAGGAGGATGCCGCAGGGGAGGGCCCCCACTACGCCACTGGCTGAGACTGCAGTCCTAACAGCAGTAAGAAGCAGGCCCAAACAAACTCACTAGGAACTACTTCTGAGTAATCATGCAGTAATTCTCTGAACTTTGAATACACACACAATACTAATACCCTGTTTCAAAGAGTTCAAACTGAAGCACATGTCTCGCTGCTACATGAAATAGCTTTTTATCTTTAATTGTGTAATAATAATGATAATGATAATAATAATATTATCCCCGCCCATCTGGCCAGGAGTTCCCCAGCCACTCTGGGCAGCTTACAGCATATCTAAAAAATTTTAGTACATCAGACATTAAAAACTTCCCTAAACAGGGCTGCCTTCAGATGTCTTCTAAAAGTTAGATAGTTGTTTATTTCCTTGACATCTGATGGGAGGACATTCCACAGGGCAGGTGCCACTACCAGGAAGGCCCTCTGCCTGGTTCCCTGTAACCTCATTTCTTGCAGTGAGGGAACTGCCAGAAGGCCCTCAGAGGTGGACCTCTGGACTGTTCAAATGTAGTTGGCTTGGAGACGAGTGAAGTTTTGATGAACTGCACTGAAAGTTGTGCAAACTGGGGATGAAGTGGAGAAACAAGACTACTCACCATTGCACATTCTCAGCAAGTAATTCTTTCCTGCTGAATAAAACGTGTTCTAAAAATAAAGTACCAAAAGGATGCAATCAGTTAACATTTTAAGTAAGAAGGTTGGAGGTTACACTGATACTATAAATAAATTCACTTAACTGTAGAAGAAGAACAGTCACTATACCAGGCCTAGCCCAGAGAATGCTTGTGGACAACTTGCCCACAGCAAGATTATGGGTGACAATCAATTATGTACATCCACTTGTGCAACAAAAAATCCACTTGGGTCACAGGACATCCTGTTTCTCTTAAACATGTCTCCAGCTCTTTGTGTGCCCCCTGAGTCTGCTACAGAGGGTTCCTCAACTCTCCAGACCAGATTTTGGTGGTATATGGGGGCCACAGAGGAAAGGAAAGGAAAAGGAAAAGGAAAAAGGAAAGGAAAAGCCCTGTGAATTCCCATTATATATTAATTAATATATCAATTATTTCCAAGCAGGCAGTCAGAAATGTTCTTAAAGAAAAAACACAATGCATCAAAACAAAATTAATTTAAAGTGTTTTAATCCAAAATTACACCAAACATACAATTTCAAAACAGCAGACTTTATAAACAGCACCTCACAGGTCAAATCCCAAACGGGGCACAACAGTAGTGCCCAGCATCACCTTCTAGGATCATCCTTCCAGAAAGGAAGAGTTATTGCTTCTTTCTTTTCTTTCTTGCAACTAATGGCTTAACAAAGCTATATATCACAGGTATATATTGGAAAGCAATACAGAAACCCAAAAATCTTCTAATTAAACAAATCTATCCTGGAACAATAATACTTACAGATTTCCATGTAGTTACATTCTTTTCCACAAAGGTGAAAATTTTGTCACATTGATCCAAAGGAAGGCAATCCAAAACATCTCCCAAGAGGACAAAAGGGGTTGATGCAGTGCAGATACCTTCATGGGTCAGAATACATGTATACATTAGCTTCAGGAATTTTTAAGAGACTTGCAATTTGTTTATGTTGAAAGACTTTTCAATTCAATGTACAATCTAATCAAAATACGTTTTACTCGATTTACAGGTGCAATTCTTTAAATCTAGTCTTACAGCCCAATTCTCTCTCTCTATATATATATTTACCCAAAAGTAAGTCCCACTGTCTTCAGTAATGCTTACTTCCTAGCATATTTAGCACTGCAGCCTTAGAAAACAGTAGACTTTTAAAAGTAATTTCAGTTCAGTTGCTGTCAAATAAGAATGAAAAGCTAGTAAGTAATTACTAATAGAAAAACTTGGTATCAAGCCACTCAGTGTCCCCTCCTCACAGAAAAAAACCCCAATTGGCTGCACGGTGCCAGAACGTTACAAAATATTATTTAAGGATTACTTAAAGCAGGGTTTTTAATTATTTTATTCTATTTTATTTATTGTAAGCCACCTGTAAATTTTATAAACAAGCAGAAAAACTGTTCCACACTCACCTTCTGTGACTCCACTAATAACAAGTGATATGATAGCCAGGACATTTTCACAGGAAGCTTGGTTTATCTGAACAAATATAGTCCAAAGTAAACATTACTTTACAGGTGAAAATCCACTAAAAACCAATAGCCACACCAGCACATTGTCAAGAAACAACATTAAACTGCTACAATGGCTTAGAGCAGTCTTTCCAAATGTGTTACCCTCTAGATGCTTTGGAGCACAACTGCCATTAGTCCCAGCCAGCATGGCCAATGGTAAAGGATGATGCAAGCTGATGTTCAGAAGATCTGAAGGGTAACACATCTGGAAAGGCTGACTTAGACAAAAGCAAGTGAAGCAGGACTTAAAGCTAACTAGTAACAATGCAGGTTTCTCCAAGACATTTATAGTCTGCTTAATTATTTGCATTTCTAAGCGGCATACATAAAAACAATTCAAAAATCATAAAACCGAACACTACTTTAAAATGCCTCCTTAGTCGTGTGCCTGATGTTCAGCAAGGAGAGAATTTCACAGGCTTGGTCCACTACACTGAATGTACAACTTCTAGTAGTTACAAGCGATGCATCTGACCCATGAAGAACCACCAACAGAGACTCCCCACCCCCCAAAATCTCAGTGACTGGGCCAGGATAGAGGGGATCAAGCATTCCTTAAGCTATCCTGGACCCATGTTGTAAAGGGCCTTGTAAATGAATTCAAGAACCTTGAACCTTTCCTGGTAACATATGAGTAACCTGAGCAAGCTTTTAAGCACCACTGTTATGCACTGGCAGTAGTCTTTCCCCATCGCTAGTATAGCTGCAGCACATTGCACCAGCTGAAGCTTCTAGACCAGACACAAGAGCAGCTGCACATAGGCTGCATTGCAATAATCAAGTCTTGTGGGCCCTGCAACATTGAAGAGGGCCCTCAGGAGTGACTGTATCAACAGCTGTCTTCATCTGCCCATCCCACAACAAGACGAGGACCTCAACAGGATCCCCAGCTCCATCCCATGCGAAATCCGCCAGAGCAGTCAGGAACCTATCTGGTTCCATTGTCTCTTGGTGAAGACCATCTGAATGGTTTCCTCACTCCCTCAGAGTGGGGCTGCTACCAGAACTCCAAACTTCACCATGAAGTGTTCCAACCCTCACAATGGGGTTATGATTGTGAGGAGAACCTGAGCTTAGTCATCTCCTCCCCCAGTGCTCCCATTGGGGCTTTGAAGTACTCACGCGTACCAGCCAGCTTCAACAGAGAGGCCTCCAGTGGCTCTTTGCAGCACACAGCATTTCAGCCAGTTTCCCTGCTTTCTCCCAGGCAAAGCCTCAAAGCAGGTCTTTTTGTCTTCAGCAGCAAAAACAGCAGCTTCTTAACTTTCTCAGCCTTTTTTAAGCACACAGCACTTCAAAACAGGCTTCAAAGCAGCTTCCTCTAATTGCAGTAACTGTCGTCCATAACCTCTGAAGGAAGATTTATTGCTCACTCCCCACTAGGGACAAGGACCAAATCAAGAGAATGCCCTGTTCTGTGTGTTGGGTTGGTGACTATCTGGGACAGTCCTGTGGTTGCCATGGAAATCATGTGATCTTGAGCTAGCCCTGAAGCAACCTCAACATGGATGCTGCAGTTGTCCAGGACCACAGTCCAGGTTTCCTCCAACACAACACCAAGAAATTATAGTTTTTGTTCTTCAAAAAGATGAATCAAAGCATTGAAGGTTCAACTGATTTGGTGACTTCCCTTCGTGGTCGTATTTTTCCTGACGTATCAGAAGTAATTACACATTTTTTACTTCGCAAGGAACCATACACTTTCTACTGACAGTGATGTGTAGAGTTACAACAAGTAGTACTCACAATTTCTTCTTCCAAGGCAACTCTGAAAGCTTGATCCAGGGTAAACTTCTTTTCATTTTCACTACCAGAGGAGAAAAGCGTTAAGACTATTTTGCCTAAGCCTTCCATATCAACATAATTAAATGCATGTTAGGAAATAAAAAGCAAACTAAAGGTTACCTTCCAGGTATCTGGCTGAAGGCACTCAATAAAGGTTTAATAGTTTTGTTCTTAAGTGCATCTCGAGTTGAGTTCTGAGAAGAAAAGGCAAGTGGGGAAGATTAGGTTTTTAAAGTAGTATTTCTATTCAATACTATGTGTAAATCTATATCAAAATTAATTTATAACCCACCTTTCTTGCATGATGGTATTTAAGATGGGTAACATACAGTTCCCAGGCACAAATCAGAACTGCTTCACTTTCGCAAAGTTTATGCATTGGGGCCTTCTCACCACAAGCATGGATAATAGGGATTCTAAAGTTCCATATTTACTTAGAATTTAATTGCTCTAGTACTTTAAGTCCAAGACGTCACTCATAGGAAAACATGCTATAACTCATAGCACAGCCTAAACCAAAACTAGACTTGTCTAACCAGACTGACTTTATATCCTAGAATACAAGTTCAAATTATAATTGAATATCTTCAGTACAAGGAAAGGATTCATGACTTATGTACACTCAGACTATAAACTCTTCTTGGGTCATTCCAAATCAAGTGATCAAACTTTTAATGGTTTTTTTTTACCTCGTGTCATTTTCTTAACATTTTGTACACTTGTTGAACAATCAAAACTAAGTTTAAATCTAAAATTTAAACTGTTTATCCTATCCCCTTTTTGAGACAATCAGAAATAATAAATGTAAGCATAAAATGTGCCTCAAGGTTTGTGTATTCTATACTTAAAGCTTTTAAACGCTGCAAAAATGCATGCCCTTAGCCATGCAGTTTTGAAAACAGATATGGAAATGTAACATGATGGGTAACGGTAAAGGTAAAAGACCCCTGGACAGTTAAGTCCAGTCAAAGGTGACTATGGGATGTGGTGCTCCCATAAGCACAATCCAAACCATAGTTTCTCAGAAGAAAGCACTACATATTTAAGTATTATTTACTCTCAACTAAGTAGACTTAGGAGTGCATCCATTCACCTCTGCAAATAACAAACAAATGTGTTTTTGGTTGAATTAGGGCCAATTCACATGATTAAACTGGAATGTTTGGAATACAGACTGAGTAAGTCCAAACAAAATCAGGCTACAATGAAATACTCATGTGACTACATTTTACCAGTGTTTAACTCAATCTAAGCAAACCACCTGAAAGTGGGCTGAGTTCCATTTTAGAATTAGAGATGAGATAATGAATTACAGTGATTATACCGAATGTTAAACTTGTTAAACATATATTACATTCAGATGTTATACACGTCCCTCAATAGTTGTCTGTAGCACAAAACAGTGATTTGTATGAATGAACATCACCACAGGTCCAGCAAGCTACTTCTCCCCTTGCAAGTGATGTCTCTCTTATTAATACTCAACGACCTCTTAGAACAAACAGGTCTGAAGCCTATGGCTTTGGGGGTGGGAAACGGTCAGGTAGAGAGGAAGCTCCATAATAAAAATAATAAATCTTATTATAATAATAATCTTATTAATACTCAACGGCCTGTTAGAACAAACAGGTCTGAAGCCTATGGCTTTGGGGGTGGAAAACGGTCAGGTAGAGAGGGAGCTCCATAATAATAATAATAATAAATCTTATTATAATAATAATCTTATTAATACTCAACGGCCTGTTAGAACAAACAGGTCTGAAGCCTATGGCTTTGGAGGTGGGGGTGGGAAACGGTCAGGTAGAGAGGGAGGTCCGTAATAATAATAATAATAAATTTTATTTATACCCCGCCTTCCCCAGCCCACGGCGCCGCCACCGAGGGAAGCCACGTCCACCGAAAATGCTACATTTCTAAACACATTTATTGGGCAGGAAACGCCACGGAATAGGACGGCTGTGCGTGTGTCGTTTTTTCGGGGGGGGGGCATGCAGAAAGTAGCGTGGGCTTCTCTCCCCCCGCCGCCAACCCAGTTCGTCCCCATCCATTCCGGATACAAGCGGGGATGAAAAGGAAGCTCAAGCGAAAAGGACAGGCGCTCGGGAAGCCCCAGCTCTCCGGAGTCGCCAGCGGCGGCATTCGCGCCCCAGCCCGCCTCCCTGCTCACCGTGAAACGCAGCCGCGCCTCAGGCAAGCTGAAGAGCGGCGGCGGCGACATAGCACCTCCTGGAAGACTCGGCGAACAACCGGCGGCCCGCTCTGGTGACGCCATCCCTTTGCGACTGCGGAAGTCCGAAGGCAGCCGCGAGCGCCCCCTCTTGCCCGGGAGGAGTCTTTTTAGCGCCGAGACTCGGAAGAGGAGGAGGAGCCTCGAGGATTCTGAACCACGTGACTGCTCTCTGCCCATTTAACTCTCGCATCGTCCCGCCTCGTTTTATTCTCAGTTCGTTTTGTGGTGGTGGAAGTATGGCTCGCTGCCTCTCCACCTTAGTTTGATCTTTCCTATTCCTTCTAAGAAGCATTAGCTTTCTTATTTTCCTAAACCCAGAGCCCCAGCATGATTGTATCCAGGGGTGAAGTGTGCTGCTGAAGTTGGACCTTTTATTTAGCTTTTTAAGAAAACATGTTTTGATATGTGCAATATCACACACACGTGTGCAAAATCAAGCCCCAAATGGTGCAATTCAGAATGAGTTTGGGCTGCGGTACACTTGCACAACAAAACAAAGGACGACATGAACCATGTGGAGGGGAAATGGGTTGACCCAAGGTCACAATTTAATTCAACTGGAAGAAAAAGAATTGATAAAGATAGAGCGGGAATAGTGCACAAAAGATCACTAGCACCAGTTGGCTCTGTCCACATAATAAGGTTATTTCTTTAATTTGTATACTACCTTTTCAAGAAATGCTGGGTAAGCTAAGGTAAAATAATGTCTTTCCAAATCCTAACGCCATGTTGGCAGAAACATGGGATTAAATGCAATCTTTCCACCTACAGTTCTACACACATTTTATTGCATTGCATTGTAATAATTTATTGTGGTAAAAATGTTCATTGATTTCTGGAGACTTTTTGATCTAGTAACTCAGTGACCTAATTTTCCTGCTGCGTCTTCAACAGATGTTATAAATGTGTGTTTTTAGCAGACATTGGTGCTCAGTGAGTCCCAGTCTGATGCAGTACTAATGTAGAGGTAATCTCTCTTACAGTGAAGAACTGGCGTGTTATATTTTGTATGAGCAACAATGCCTAGGTGTCACCTTGATTGATTCTGTGCAAATTTGTAAGAAAACCAAATAGGAAATTGTTCCTTTAGTGATACTACTGCATAGCTAGATGTTTTCATTTCCTTAATTCTCTGGACACTGAACACTTCTTCTCACCAGCTTATAAAACCACGCAGATTCACCTTTAGGTAAGATCACTCTACACTATTTGTTTATTAAAACACATGGCACAACACAGTTGCCAGTGGGGTTGGGGGTTGGGGAGAGACTCACAAAACCTCTTTATTCCAGATTGTTTTTATGGTCTATTGGGAAGACTAAATGAAATGTTTCTTATTTTTGTTGACATTGCTATCCTCAGTGGTGCATGAAAAAATGGTAAAGGCCACTCTTTCATAACAACCCTATTTCTCCTTTTAACTCCCACTGCTCTTAAAAGAGCAGTGTTATGAGTATGTTATGAGTAACATATAGAGTATGTTAGCCTGATATGACCCGGTGGAGGGGGGGGGAGGGAACCCACAAATGGGAACATCCCTTTTGGCTGATCTGCGAATGCCCATTATTGCCAATTTTTATTTATTTACTCACTATATTTATATAAATGCACCCAATAACATTGTTCTCTAGGTGAATTGCAACATAAAAATGATACAGCACAATTGAGCACAAAATAATAAAAACAATCCCAGCTGGTGGGGGAGGGTGTGGCTTACCAGTGAGCAAGATGTATATTGGATTGTTTCCTCAGCAGAGGAAGAGACCTGGTGCCTTTCTTATTCAGTGGCTTAAAACTGTTGATTCAGAACTAGAGATATCCCCCAGGAAAAATAACAAGTGTTTAGAGCTCTGGGGCCACACAGCTAAGATGGTGGCACTACTAGAGAAGTAATTATACACTTTGGCAAGTACTTACTGAAGGAGCAAATTTTCCTGTACTTCACAATTTTTGAGTCTTGAAATACAACGAAGAGCAAGTTCAAGTTTATTAAAAAGTAAACCCTAACAGTTTGAAGAGAAAGCACTGTTTTAAACCAATCACAAGAAGTATGAACTCAAAGAGGAAAATGGGCAATGTCACAAGAACATCAGTATTCTAACGTTTGTTGAAGTTATTATAGTTCATTGTAAGAAAGAATAAAAATACTTTTCCAAAAAGAGAAGAAATCCATCCAAAAATGATTATAATATTTATTTTCAAATAGCAAAACTGTTCATGTTGAATAATTAGAAAACAAAGTATACATTTCCCCCATGTGAATGAACCTGGCTGGGCTGTAAGATCAGCATAAGAGGTGCTTATCTCTGGCTCATCATTAGCAAGGAGCCCAGAAGAAGAAACATTCTCAGTGGTTGCACTGCAAGTTGTGGGGTTTTCCCCCCCCATCAGTTTGGACTAAAAAGCTTATTCCCTTTTCATTTTTAGATTGCAAGAAAAAACGATTAATTAATTAATTAATTAATTACTTTATACAAGAAAAGAAATATCTCAAAGTGACCTAAAAAAAGGATACAGTTAAAAAATACAAAAGTCAAAGATAAAATTATGAAAATACTAGAAGTTTCACCATTTGCAAAACAGCATTAAGATTATGACATATTGACTTTGTATATTGCCCTTCATCCATAGATCTCAGAGCGATTCACACGACTGGTTTGTAAAGCTGTAAAGTTTATCTACATAGCTGAGATAATATCCTGAATCAACTTAATTGAAAACTTGACCTTCCTCCCAAATAATTTTCCTCTGGGCATTCCTCTAAGGCTTCAGTGGTTAACCATAAGAAAAAACAATACCATATAAAAAAAGCTAATCAGGAAGAATTAAAAACCACAGAGTGAAAGTAACAATCCAGAGTTCCCAATTAAAACAGTTTCTAGCAGAATTAAAACACTAAAATGTTTTATGAGGGGGCAAGGAGAAATTTCCTTGGCGGGGCATTCCAGAACCTATTGGCAGGAACTGTGAAAGGCTTCTCCCTGCTGCCAATGAGGCCTATTGTGAGTCACTGGGACACCAAGAGACCCCCATCCGATAACAGTCTGTACAAGCGGGCAAGTTCATTCATCCATTTTGGTTTCTTCTTGATCGGATACCTCTGGGGAGGAAAACAAAACAATCAACCATTCCTTTGTAGATCAGAACTTGGAAGTGGCGCCTGCCCTGTGGAACGCCCTCCCAACAGATGTCAAGGCAATAAAACAACTATTTTACTTTTAAAAGACAACTGAAGGCAGCCCTGTTTAGGGAAGTTTTAAATGTCTGATGCTGTATTGTTCTTAATATTTGGTTGGAAGCTGCCCAGAGTAGCTGGGGAAACCCAGCCAGATGGGCGGGGTATAAATAATATATTATTATTATTATTATTATTATATGCTCCACTAGGGTTGCCTTATTTCAGAAAGTAAAAACCAGGACACCCTCAAAATTGTTGAGTTTTTTTAGACAAATGCCAGAGTTGCTGAGCCAAACAATTGTCCTAAGATCCAGAACAATACACCACCTTTTGCAATGATTCCCCCCCCCCCCGAATGTCAATTCCACCTTTGAAATCCCGGTAATGTCCACGAAAATCCGGATGTATAGCAGCCCTGTCCCCACATACATTGAGAAAATAGGACACTTGGGAAGGTCTGTGATCATTCTTTCTTTCTGCAGTACAATTGGAAACTCCCCCCCCCCCCCGGCTAGGAGCTTTAGGGAAAAGTCCACAACGGCTGCAAATTAACTTTTAGAAGCATATGCACTTATTGAGCTCTGTAGCACACACCTAGGAGCTTTGCCAATTTCATTTGCTATGAAAAGCAGGCAAGTAAAATGGGTAAGAATTGGGAAATGAAACAGGCCAGAATCATGGAAAGCAATATTGACAAAAGGTCCTGTCACAAGGCAATTATCTCCCCTCCCCCACTTGACTGGGAACTGTGCTGTGATGATTTGCAGGAGGCTTGCTCAAAGGAAAAAAATGCGCTTGGACTTGACAGAGTCACTTGTTTTTATGCATACCAATAAACCTTGTTGTTGTTATTCCAGTTGGCTAGCTGAAAAAATAGTTGTGTTTATTTTTAAAAAACGGAATGAATGGATCAAAGAAATACTATTCCTTTGGATAACTGTACATCAAAGATGTTCTGATTTTATTTACTTTTCCACTTCCTGGCATAAGAACAGTTTGTTAAGTGTACTTATTTGTAACAGCATTGCTGCAACTGGTTATTGTGCCAGTAGGTGTCAGAACAGACCCAGAAAACAAGCATGTACTGTTTGGCTTCTGTTTTCCAGCTTGGGCTTGATGAGCTAGAAACTTGCAAGGCATTTTGACTGCATCAGTGATCCAAAGTAGAGGTCACGTTGGTTCTGTTTCAGCACAGCTGGTACATTTTCAAATTAGTAAAGGGCATGTTTTATTTGGAAGTATTTTTCTGTACTTACTAATCCTAGGGAATGTCCTAAGCAAGCTCAGTCGAAAAGGTGTTTGCTTCCCCATCCCTCTCGTGCTTTATAACGAAGCTACTTCTCCTTCTACTGTTCTTATTCCACTCTGACAAAGTATGTTTGCTGTTCAGCTGAAGTAAGAATCTAATTCAGTTAAAGCAAGCTAGCCTAGCCATTCCCAGTTTTTCATGAGTCATTTCCTGCATTGGTCCACCCACCTTACAATAAACAGGAAATAATTTTTCTTGGATAGCAAGTGTGCTTTAAACTTGAAGGCATCACCGTAGTAGAATATGCCTAAATTAAACACCTTAATGTGTAAAACCACAACTTTGAAAATCAGAAGGAATCCACGTTATATAAAACCACGGATACCATGTAACCAAAGTCACTTAAGAGCGGCTTCTTTAAAAAAGCCTACTGTTTAGTTTGGCTAAAGGCAGATAGGATGGCAGTGCCAGCAAATAAAAATTATTAAAACTGTATAATAGGTGGTTCTTTCCAAGGAGAGTTCAAAATATCTTCGAAACAGAAATATTTAATTGTACTGAAAACAAGCATGGTACAAAAAGCAACACAGAGAGAGGGCTTGAGGCTTTCATTGGCTTGTAACAAGAGTGCATTTTATCAGTTACACCTAATATGTCAGTTGTACTCTTCCAGGAAAATGAGGGTTGACCCATGCTTCTGTTAACGTGAACAATGACTAATACAACCCTACACAAGCTTGTGATCTACCAAGCCCAATCCATACGGTGGCCCACTAAGGTCTTGTATTTTGTTGCCTGCTTAAATAAACCAAAGGGAAAATGAAAGTGTACAAAAACTGGCCAAATGCATTAAAAAAGGGCCAACCCCTTGAAAATTTATGTTTCAGTACTTGTATAATAGTAACTTCCCATTTGCTTTTTCTGCTGAAGCTCAAAGTAGGCTGGCTGTTAAAAACAACAACAACAACAACACATGTTTTATTTCAGCCTGTCCCCCTTTCCTATTATACAATAGAGGTTTTTAGGAATCCATTGTATGTACATCCATAGGCTGGGAGGTTTTACTTCATGGATATCAAAGAAAATCCAGTTTCCTTAGTTTTGCTTGGCATACACACTACACAGTTAATTATGGATCTTGGCCCATAGATATTCTTTTAACCCTTTATGAGGCTTTCATTTAGGCATCCTTTCCATTTTATTTTTTTACATTTCTTCCCCTCAGAAAATGACATAGAACATTTGTTTTCCAAAATCTCTTGTCCCACACTGACTCACAATTCTACTACCTCATTCTGCTTTGACTGGATTATGCATAAGAGATCACCTGATTAGTTTAAGCAGCTTACTCAGTATTTCCAAAGTGGTCATGCGAGAATAGTGCAAAGGAAAGCCGTTTATCTTTAAAGACAATAAGAATACTTGACAAGCCACACTATAGTAACCTGATTTCTAGTTAGCATGAATATGTTTTATGCTTTGATTTACACCATATACGGTAGTTAATATCTTGTTATGAGAAAAAGCCATATTACCATAAAAAAATTTTTTTGAAGAAAAAAGACCTGTCATCATGTGTTACACAGATTATCATCTGCTATGCAACATTGTAAATAGCATTTTATTACTTCTACTGTTATTTTCAAATGGGTTTAAATAAATAATCAATCTGATTACAGTTCCCCCCGCCCATCCTGTACCTACTCCAGCCCTGTTCCTAAAACAGAATGGGTAGGGTGCAAAGAAAAGAGGAAATACAGATATAAGAAAAGACAGAAGAGAGGAGAGGTTTATCTTCTAAATCAGGAGCTAAGACCAACAAGTTATCAAATTGAGTTTTTCCAAACTCCCTTCTCGCTGTACAGTGGTACCTCGGGTTACAGATGCTTCAGGTTACATACGCTTCAGGTTACAGACTCCACTAACCCAGAAATAGTACCTCAGGTTAAGAACTTTGCTTCAGGATGAGAACAGAAATCGCGCGGCGGCGCGGCAGCAGCGGGAGGCCCCATTAGCTAAAGTGGTACCTCAGGTTAAGAACACTTTCAGGTTAATAATGGACCTCCATAACAAATTAAGTTCTTAACCTGAGGTACCACTGTATTCAGACCTTGTTTTAAAGTGCCACTTCCCCCCTCAGTACCACCCCCTGCTTGCTCTACTCAAACTTCTGCCAGTGTTTAAAATAGGCACCTTTTCTCAGTTACCCGCCATCCTTGCTTCATTCAAGTCTCTGCCTTTGTAGAAAACTGCCATTTCCCCTCTCCATTTCCTCCATCCGTGCTTTACTCTAACTTCTTTTGCTTTAAACCACTCTCCCCCCCTCTTTGTGTGCCTCCTTGCTTTGATTCAATGGCCACTGCTGCTATGCAACCTGCCTTCACTTTTGCTCCCTTATCCTGCCCTGACTTCATGCAAATCCAAGATTGTGACAAATCCTTCAATGGGGAGAACTTCACAATGACATTCTTACATTTTTATTACATAAAGAGAAATGGAAGATTTTTTATGGCAAATGAAGGGATTCAGTTTTTAAAAAGCCTCGTCTTCCAAGTAATTTGACACTCTAATTAATTGTGAAATGACTGACAGATTTTTGTAGTTCTTTAAGTAATTTCCTTCTGGTTTCTAGCAAGAGTTACAAAAACACACATTCTTTAGCATAAGGCATTTACAGCCTTATTAATACTGAATTCCAATTGGTACATAAACAAAGCAAAACAAAACAGTCTTCAGTAACTTTACTATGGAATTTCTGCATTTCATTGTGTATTTTAGGCTGATTACATACTTTGACCTTGCTCTCGATGAGAATAAACTTTTAAGTTTTTCAACTTTGTTAATGTGATCACATCAGTGAAATCATCCAAAATACTGTAATGTATTTGGTTCATACAGACACAAGGTGAACCAAAACACACAGAGCCAAATGCAATTAGGAGAACCTGGAGACATTGATAGCTCTTTGGGGACAGAGAAAGCATAAAGTTGTTTCTCCAAAATAATTTGTCTGTACCCTACTCTACGGTAAGGCCAAGGTATTGTAATCATTACATGGAGATGTTTGCAATTATCCCTGGAAGGCTTCCATCATACTTCTAGGGATACTATAATAACATGTTGTTATTGTAAGAAAAACACTGGGGCCTAATTTGAATAGTAGAGTGCTTGGTATCTGGTGGGTGGGGCTTGTGTTTTGCTCCAGAATCAGCCCCTCCCTTCAGTGTGTGTTCAGTTATGAATGTCAGTTAAGAGGGATCAACTGCCTCTTCTCATTTCTTGCCTCAGACCTGCCCCATGATGTTGTTTTAGTTTCTCTCATTATCTTATTTTGTTAAGAGTTTTCTCTCAGTTTATTATTAAAGCTTGAAACAAAATAAAAAAATTCCTTCCAGTAGCACCTTAGAGACCAACTAAGTTTGTTATTGGTATCTGAAGAAGTGTGCATGCACACGAAAGCTCATACCAATAACAAACTTAGTTGGTCTCTAAGGTGCTACTGGAAGGAATTTTTTTAATTTTGTTCCGACTATGGCAGACCAACACGGCTACCTACCTGTTATTAAAGCTTGTTTACATTTATGTGAGCCACTTATTTTTCTCAAAGAAAAAGAAACCCTCCTGAAGAATGGTGGAAAATCCTAAACTTGGATGAGTGAGGGGATATTCCCAGTTTGCCAGGGGGATTGATTTTGTTAATCATCTCCCCACCTCCACAACAATTCTCTCTCTCTCTCTCTCTCTCTCTCTCTCTCTCTCTCACACACACACACACACACACACGTGATGCTGGTTGCAGCTTGCTGAAAAATTTACTGATGTGCACTTGAAAGAGGAAGAACATGTTTGTGTATACTAAAGTGGTGTTCCTAAGTGCTCCAAATTTACCTGTTTTCTCAGCAAATGGCAGCCATATTCAATCAGTAACTCCATGATAGCTCCAAGTCCTACTGCCTATGTGCTCACCTGGATTGACACCATGCATCAATCAGTTATGCCATCTCCACTGGATTTGAGTGACTGGGATATCATATAAAAAGATTGTGCTTGTGTGACACGGTCATTCACACAACAAATTCAAAGTGGGGCAATGAAACTGGAGGCTAGAACTGACTGACAGTACTGCAAATCCCCATGTACTGAGAGGTTGGGGAATAGACTCTCATGTGAATAATTAGTGTGTTGAAAAGGGTGGAGTTGGCCTTTATAAAGTATGGCAGAGGCCAAAGGGCTTCTGTATGTACCTACCTTGCATTCTGCATTATGCCTTCAGTATGTAGCTACCTTGGATTCATTTGACATTTCCCATGGTACCACAAATCTGCTAAAATCGTACATTGAGCACATGATCACTTCAGCATGTGCTCAATTCACGCAGTGTCAGCTCAACTCACATGGCCCTGTGTGAATTGTCTGCAGATTTAGCAGCTACATCATACAGAACTGGTCAGATCTGTGTGGGAACAGATGGCACCAATCTCTAGGAAACAGTAACTGCAGGCTTGACTGAAGGAACAATTCCTCAGAGAAAGGGCCTCTTGCAAGCTGTTCTGAACTTCCTTCTACTCTTAAATATATTCCTTGAAATATTTTAAAAAAACGAATAGTGTAAATATTTTGTGAGCCCTGTGACTTGTCATGATTGATCAGGCACAGCAAGACATGGCAGAACAGTGGTCAGGCAGGAGACTGAAAGGTAGGTATGGTGCAGTAAGTGATTTTTAGAATGGCTAGTCTTGTCTGCTATGCCATGAATATTGAATTGTTTGTGTAAAGAAGCCAAAGCATTCTGGTATTCTGGTTTCACAGTTACACATTGTTTTTCATTGTTTATCTTGGTTGGCATGATTACAGAGTGCAGAATGTAATAGCTTCCCAAATGAATGGAAAAAGGACAATGACAAGGAATGGTTGGAGACATATTCTGGCAAGAGACTCCTTCTGGAACGAGCCATGTCTTCTGTCCTCCTCCTTTGTCTAGATATGATGTCAAACTTGTGGTCTGCATTTGCTTCTGCACATGATCAGTTTGCTTGCTGCACGACAAAAGGAATCCCTTTTAGGTGCTGTGAACTTTCAATCACAAGCCATTCCTAGCAAATCTAAACACACACAAACAGTTGGATGGTGCCATCCATGCATAAACCTCACATAACTCTCATGAAGGTCAAAATGTGCGACATGTCATTTATTTTGAGCACAAAATTTACTTGAAGCAAAATTCATTCCTGAACATTATGCTTGCACAGGAAGTCTTAATGCCAGTATTTGTGCCAGCTGAGGACCAAACTAGAAGCAGATGCCTATAAGTTCTCTTCAGTGTCTTTATAAAAAACCCCTTTTGGAATGGTTGTCAAGTAGCAGAGGAGCAGCACTGGGAAAGGAGGCACTTAATCTATCCCATAAGACGCCATTCTTCCCAGCCGAGAAAAGAGGTGCAGCTTGGAGGAACTGATTGGAGCGGAAACATGGCTAAAAAGGAAAGGGTACTGTTGTTCCATTGCCCATTAGCTCCTCTCAAATATTTTTGGGGTAAGCCAACCAACCAACCAACCAACCAACCAACCCAAAAGACATTGAGGACAAGTTACACACATTGAACTGCATGAACTGTCTAGTTTGGCTTTACGTTTCCATTTGTCTGTATTACAGTTGAGTTCTTGGCAACACAAACCTTCTAGATAGGAAGGAGATAACAGGAATGTAGGAATCTGCCTTAAAACAGTTGAGACTATTTGTTCATCTGGCCCAGTATAAGTAGTTGTCCAAGGTCTTTAGCAGAGGTCATCTCCATCACTATCTACTGATCCTTTGAATTGGAAATACTAGAGACTAAGCCTGAGACCTTCTGCATGCAAAGAATCTGCTCCGCTACTGAGTTCTGGCCTCTGCACTCATTGGTGACCCCACTTCTTTGAAGACAGCATTGTAGCAGTTGTTAGGCTCCCATCCGTACATGGTTTACTCTGCATATCTTGCAGTCATTCCATCACATGAAATGGAACCAAATCAGAAAAATGGTATTAGACAACCACATCATATCTATCTTTGGGATCACAACTTGTTCTATGCCGGGCTTAGCCAATGCGGTGGAATCCAGATGTTTTGCACTAGAATCCCCATCAGTCCCAGCCAGCACTGCTATGGCCCCAAACATGTGAAGGGCACCAGGTTGGTGATGACTGCTAAAATATGGCAAATGCCACCTACAGTCAACTTCAAAAGTTATTAAACTAGGGTAATTTATCTGGCATATATATTTATCTGTAAAACGAAACTGTGTTTTAAACTGATGAGACTTATACCTGACAATCATTTCTAGTGAATTATAAGTAGTATCACTGCTATTTTCTTTGGTTTCTGTGTACTATATTTATATAAAAAGGCAGTTAAAAAGACCATTGTAGTAAGCAAATATTTTGTACAAAAATACAAAAATTTTAAAAGTATATTCTATATTACTGATCAGAATTGGCCTATATATATTTATATATAAAATTTATATATATTTATAAATGTATATTTATATAATTTGCCAGTATTTGGGATTTTAGCAAGTGGCTATTGTGTTTACACAGTAGGTTTGTATTCTTTTTTTTCTTCCTGTGGAAAAGTCATGATTTGTAATCATCTTGGCATAGTCCATTGTTTTATAAATCTTCAGCATCTGTATGTTTTGTGGTTGAAGAGGATCTATAGCTGGTTTAGTCCAATTGTATTTCCAATTGACGCGTTTGTGCAACGTTGTTAAGCCCCTGAAAAATTAGAAGATAAGGCGGACGAATTGTGCTGATGAATTATTTTCATCAATGTTCTCAGTGCTCCCCCTTTTGGTTGGGTGATGGTTCTGTCCCAGAGGATACGTCATCATTCAGGAAATCTCACTCATTTGTGTCTCTTATAAGGTTCACAGCCTATTACAATCCCAGAGCTTCAGCTAAAGCAGGAAAGGAAAAGCAATGCATTAAAGTGCTATAAACATAATATCTGTTTTTTAAAAAACAGTAAGAGGAGAATTCATCACCTCAGAAGAGGCTAATGGCATGCAAATTTGATCCAATTCTGCCCAAAAGTTACAAAAAAATTAACATTTGTTTCTTGTACAAAGCAAACATGTAAAGATGCCCAACACAAAAACAAAACACAAAACCTGGAAAAAATGCAATTCGTTGGACTTTATCCATTCAGGAGAGGCTATTATGTCTGAAAATTTCATCTAATTCTTTCCAAAGGATAAAAAGTTACAACTATTTTTAAATTTTTCAGTAATAGTGAATGGGAAAGACAATTCAGTTTACTGAACTGGGATTTGGACTAAACTGAACAGCCTTCAAAGCACTTTATACTGAATTTGTGCCTTCTAGTATTGAAACTGAATCTTGTGGACGGTATATACCCCAGGTTGTTGTGGCTAAAGCTATACTTGTATTTCTGAATCCTGAACATGCATCAAGGTGTCCTTATGTGGTAACTTGGAAAGAGAAATCTATTGTATAGATTTTGCTTCATGAAGAGGTGGGTATATTTTTGGACACGAACTGTGGAAAATACATGGAGCTCATATTTCCAAAGTGTGGGAGGGGGACTAGAGGGGCTGCACAGTCTCTGGATTCCTGCCAGCACCTTAAAACCTCAATGGCTTGAACAATAGAAACTGAACTATAAATAAGCTTTGATCTGTACATGACTGGGTTGAACTGCGATCCTCTTCTAAGGGCTTCCAACCAACTAGTCATATGCATAGAGGACTGGGTCCCCTCTTTTTCCAGCTGTTTAAACTTGGCTTGGGGTTTGGCCGATGTAGCAAATGAGAATTGATCCTAGTCAAGGTTCTAGCATACCTTTGTCCATCTCCTGCTCACAAATAAAACTGTTAACATCTTCACAGTGAAAGTCGTTCCAAAGCCCAGCATGGATTAACCCAGCACAATCTTCCCCAGGTCCATGGCCATGTTTCCAGTTATCGGGTTGTCCTGCGCTCCAGTTTCTTTCAACAAAACAGAAAATAGATCATTCCGCAAAACAAATAGCAAACCATCATGTGATACTGGGACAGATGAGAATAATAAAAACAAAAACAAAATAACGACAGTCTGTTCTGAGCAGAAAACATACTCCTTATAACAAACAATGCATGACTCTTCCTGGAAATGGAAAACATCTGGGCTGCAGAGAAGAGAATCAATTCAACAAGCTGCCGAAGCTCAGAGACCTAAAATTAGTCCAATGAACTTTGTTCTGATTTGGGGATGGACAAGGATGCATAAGAAGGGGGTGGAGTAGTCATGGGGCAGCATTTAGCTGCTTCCTCTGCAGCTGCAGATAAGCTACTGTGACATAAGGATGTCTTCCTGCTGGATTTGCATATGCATCCCCAAATCAAAGCAAACTGGTAGTGTCTTGTTATCCAACACACGGAAAGAAGCAGAAAATAAAGAGTTTTAAAATACCATAAACCCAAGGCATATTCACAGTTAACCAGCCAACACTTTGGCAAAGATGGCTTTTCTGCATATGTTTCTTCAACCCTCTGTTGCACCTTTGGAAGAAAAATATACTGTTTGCGTAGCAAATTACATTTCAGATTGGAAATGAACAAAAATCCCAACAATTTTTAAAGTCCTTTAGCCTTTACAAAGTAAGTTAGTATTCTGCTGAAAATTTTACATGATGGGCCCAAAATCACTTGATTTATTAAATGGACTGTGCTGCCAATCTCAGGATTTTAAAGGATCATCTGTGTTGAAGAAACAGCTTATTAAGTGCAGGGCTGTGATTGCTGGCTGAAGTGGATGGCACAGCACGCAAAGCTAAATAATATAAGGATTCAAGAACATGCTTGTCCAGCTCATGGAGTCTGAGTGACATTTTGGGAAGGCACCAAGTTTTCTAGAAAAAAACAATTACATTTAGCTGAAGTGACTGATCACAAAGGAACATGCAAAATACAACATAAGATAAACACCAGAAAAAGTTCAGAGGTGCTGCATAAAAAGTCACACGTGTCTATGCCTTCTGCATTTGAAAGAGAGAGAAATAAAATGGCAATTTGGATTCAGATAAATTCAGACCCTCCCAGATTTCAGATGATAAACAGCAAGTGTACTTCCCTAAATTGCACTCTATACTAAAAATGAAGACAGTTTCAATCTGTGGCTCAATAGAAAGTAGAAGCAGCTCTGCGTGCCTGGCTTTCTGCCTGTGAAACTGCAAGTTAGGTACAGTTTCAAAACTCTCATATTTAAACTTCTTTCATATTTTGTTTTTATGTGACTTGGGCTGTATTATCATATCCACTTCCTTACCTCCCATGCAATATGCAAGCAAACTCCCACTATACAGCCCTATATACTTTATCCCCACATACTATGGCAGATTCACAGAAATGTGAGCCCTTTGTATTAGAATCAAGCATAGCATATTTATAATTTATAAACTAAAATATACTTTCCTTTGCCTTTCTATCCAGATATGGCACACCTCAAGCATAGCTCATTGATTTATAGATGTTAATATTCTATTGAAGGATACTTTAACTGCTTCTAAAGGCACTCATTGTTGATAAATGTCTAATGCATCAATACTGGAAGCAGCAGTCTGTTCCACCTGCCCCCCTCCTCATCATACTGTGGACAGAGGACATGACTCAACCGGTAGCAGATGAGAAGGTGACTTTCCATAAACACAATGAAGATAGGAAGTTCCCTAATATATAGACTCTTCATACAAATCTATTTGCTTGGATGTCTAACCACTGATTTGGTATGGACTTGATTTATTCTAATTTAGTTTGTATTATTTGACTGTTTTCGTTTCTTTTTTGAAAATTCAATAAAAAGCCTGCTAACCTGACGGGGTTAAAGAGAAGTGGAAGGATACTATGTTCTAATATTTATATACACATAGGATTCATAGAAAGATACGAAAGGCTCAGGGTGTGTTGAGAGAGACAGAATGTGAATTTAGAGGTATCACCTTTGCTGACTTCACATGGCCATTTGCTCTCAAAGATTGAACACTAAATCTTCAAAGATCTAGAACACTGAGAATTCAAAGATTTAACTTCATGTTGAGTTATGCTTGTTTTAGGAAGGTGGTTTCAGTTAACTAACTGGGGATTTCATCAAGATAAGACAGCGCTAGCCAATTTTGTGTTACATCCTTAACAAAGTGCCAAATGTTAGACAGATTGTGACTGAAGGAGACAGGCATTATTTCACTTGGTGGGAATAACAGATTTCAGTTTCTGTGATCCAACATTGGCCCTAAATGAAACATTGAACACCCTGATTACAGTTTAAAAGGAGCTTGCTCAGTTTGATCTTCTAGTAAGTTTCAATGAAAATAAGAGAGAATATTTTCCTGTAACATTATGGCCTCTCTTTATGGGCAGTTGTAATACAAATTATTAAAAAATGAAGAATGAGTCCAAGGAAAAAAAAAATCTGTGATTACTCTATCCCCAGTTTGCAATAAAATTCCATAACAAACTTGGCTTATTATGGTTCTATGATTCTTTTACTCAATGATCCATCTTCTTTTTTGGCAAGAAAACAAAACCTTGTGAATACAACAGAGAGAAAGCCTGAGTATAGAAGAGCAAAAGATAACAACATTTCATGGTAAAGCATTTCTTCAGAGGGTTGCAGCAATCTTTCCCATCTGCAGCATCCTGTCTGCATGGTGACAAATAAAAAATCCAATAGCAAGAACAGTAGCAAAAACAAAGAACAATTCATATCCTTCCTACACGTACATATATTCTGGTAAGGTTCCATCCAGCCATCGCCATTCATCTTCTTTCACTGAGTCCGTGAGGCCAATCCAGAAGCTGCCTTTTGCAACAACCTGTTTTTTTAGCCATTGCTGTGTACAGAAGAAAGTACTGGTTGCGTTATTCCATATCTCAAAACATGTAAAGTCTTTGGGCATAAAAGTCCCTTGAGTCTCTTTTATTCTAAGTTGACTACTCATGGTTTTGAGTTCCATTGCTTATAACCTATTAATTATCATATTATAGTTAACATAAATATTAATTAAACAGTGACCACTTTTGCTTCAGACAATTGCCTATTAGCAAGCACCCTTATAGAGTCGAGCCACATGCCTTGCGAGATCCATGGGTGATTCCCACCTCCCCTCTGTTTCTTTTTAGTGAAATGAGGAAGAGGTCTGCCAGTTGGTAAAAAGCAGTAGGAGGGAAAGAGTAGGGTATGTTCAACACATTTTCTTTGTGCTGTTTTTCCAATCAACATCAACCTCCACACCCTCAGTCAAGCTAGTAGAGGGGTCGCCAAGCTTTTTGTGCCCATGGGCACATTTGCAAACTGGATGAACTACTGTGAGCACCATGCACACACTGCAACCTTGCTTGCATGCAGGCACTCACCACAGCCACAGACGTGAATACCCACTCTCCCCTTCACCAGCAGTTAGGCTGGATAAAAAGCCTTCAATTAGCTGCAAAAGAATTATCTTTTCAAGCCTAATTTCAAAGGTGGGAGGTTTTGGGGGAGCAGCACTGTGTGGGCACCAGAGAGGATCTTTGGGTGCATATCACACAGGTGTCACACTGACAATCAACTGTCTAGAAAGCAAAAGGTATTATTTCCCCCTCTGGGGCCAATAATGCCATGGATAGGGCAGAATTTTGACTGGGGAAAATAGTATGATGGGAAAGAGTGATACTTCCTCACTCACTGATGCTGTTTTCAACAATTGGCAACGTCTAATCAATTCAGTAAAAGAAAAATTCAGGAGATGAAGCACAGCTCCATGTAGCTTGGCCCTAAAAATAAACATTGTCGGCACTTTTTAAGGAAGTTACTAGTACTCTTTATCAGCAACAGCCATGAAATTCCCCACGTCACTCTTTTGTGCAAATAGGCCCTTACTGAGTTTGGAGTTGGAACTGTTGGAAAACTGAGCTATGTAATAACCCCTGCTGTCCCCCACCAATATTTTGACATCCATGTTGCTGAGGTTCCACCTCTAGTTGTCAGAGTATCAGATGTGGTTTATACCTGCTCCTCTTTACTGTTTATAAAAACCAAATGTGATGATTTTTCTTCACAGAAAGCCTTTGCGTCTTCAAAAATGGCTCTTTCCGATGAAAAGTAGTAACAATTGCCCGAAAAATTCTTCCAGTAAACAGGACAACCTGAAACATGGAACACTTTTGTTCAGCCAGTGAGCGATAGGAAATTGGGCCCCCATAAATACCTGAATTGATGTGATCAGTTCCTAAATGTCTGGACACCACTGTATTGTAGTACAGTGACATTCCACAATTTAGAATCCAATCAATTTGACAAACAATACCGACTCCAGAATATAATTTGAATGGCATTTCCATTCATAGAGCTGCAGTCATATCTTTCTAACAATCCGGCCTTTAAATCTATTTTCTGACAAGTATAAAGGGCAAATCAGGTACAATTTGACTATAAGTCACTTTGAGACACAGACAGACTGGTAGAGATGTATGTGAGCAAAGAGCTTACCATTAGCCTCGCTTTGTAGTGCCACCGGTATTCCTGGGCCTGGTGGGCCAGGAGGACCAGGTTGGCCCTGTAGTCCACGCATTCCAGGTGCACCAGGCAGACCAGGCAGCCCACGTGGACCAGGTATTCCTGGCTCCCCAACAATTCCTTGTAGACCTTGAGGTCCAGGGGGGCCCTGTGGGCCAGGGGGGCCATCTTTGCCAGGTGGTCCAGGTAGTCCTGGTTCTCCACTAGGTCCTGGCAGACCAGTCTTCCCCGTTGAACCTCTCTGGCCTTTGGATCCAGGTGAACCTCTGGAACCTTTCCCGCCTTTTTCACCCGGTGGTCCAGCTGGTCCAATCGGTCCCTTTTCACCTTGAGGTCCTGGTGGTCCTGGTTCACCTTTTTCTCCTTTTTGTCCTTTGGGCCCAGTAAGGCCGGTAGGGCCTTGGGGCCCTCTGTCCCCCTTGGGACCTCTTGGGCCTGGAGGTCCTGAAATAATGTGAACATAAGGGGAAAGTTAATATGGCAGTTCTATATATTAAAATTAAATTACAGTAAAAACACTGGAGTGCTGCATCACAGTACCAAGGACTGTGTATATGTATGTGGGCAAAGAGACTGGAACAGGTTTAGGAGCATAAGAAAAGCCCTGCTGGTAAGACCAAAGGCCTATCTAGTCTAGGGTCCTGTTCTCACAGCGGCCTGGGACATGATTCCCAGGAACTGATATTCAGAGACAGATTGCCTCTGATACTGGAGGTAGCATATAGCCATCATGACTAGGAGCCATTAAATAGTCTCATCCTCAATGGATTTGTCTAATCCCCCTTTGAAGCCATCTAAGTTGGTTTCCTTCGAGTACATCATGTAGTAATGAATTCTCTAATTCTATGCCGTGTGAAGATGTACTTCCTTTTGTCAGTCCTGAATCTCCCACCTTTCCGCTGCATTGGATGACCCCCAGCTCCATTACTAAAGAAGGAGGATAAAACTTACCTCTGTTAGCTTTGGGGCATATTTTTTTGAGTTTATGTCTATGGTATAATAGCACACATACTGTATGTGGGGAAGTATGCCTGAGTTAACAAATGGATACATAGTCGATACCTATCAAATTCTTGATAATCAGAACAAATGAAAAACCAGCAAAAAACTTATTTTAGTGGCTATTTCAGAATGTTCCGAACACAGCATTAACTATCTGTTACTGTTTTTGCTAAAACTGAATTGTTTGGGGACAGTGTAACTAGTATTTTTCATTCATTTCCACCTAAGCAGGAATTGGTATTTCAGGGCTGAAACACTCCTTTACCTACTAGATTATGTATTAAAAATTAATTCCTATAGAGAAAAGCCACTGATTTGATTGAGATGGTACAAAATTTCAATTCCAGGCAAATGCAAGAGGATAGGTAATAGTTGGGAATATTAAGCTGCAAATTAAGTTAGGAAGGTCAAGATCAACTGGTCAACATTAATTGATGAAAATACTTATTTCTTCTTACATTCACTTCTGTGAGTGGAAACTAATCCACAATTTATATTAAATTTTGAAATACTTGAAACAGTGGGTTTCCACATAATTGTGCTTCAAAATCCACCACAGTAGCATATATATACTATATCTCATCTAGTGCCACATACCAATAGGTGCCTTTAATTCCTGCATTTAACCTGAAACGTAGTTCTACATTATCAAAGTATTAACTTTTCCCCCAATGCCCTTTATGCATGTTTCGGCAAACAGTCAATAATGCCCGACTTTCCCTTCTGCTGCTTTTCATCTACTTTTTATTTGACTTTGTTCAGAAAATGTGCATTTAGCATTAATCACCCCCTGCCCCCAAGTACAGACATCCCATTTCATTTGGGATTTTGTGTGTGTTTCTTGGCATTGCACATCTTCCAATTTTTTTAATTGATTAATTATCTTTAACTCACCACTTGGAGGAGGGGGCATAACATTTACTATTTCATTCCCTAACACAGAAATATACTGAGTTAAAAATCACCTCAAAAATAAAAATGCTTTGAATCCCCAATGATTAAAGTTTTAAGGCCTATCTCACAGATTTGACCTCTCTTTGACACTTTATGTCAAATTTAACAGATTGGGCATAAAATATACAGCCATTTTCATGCATATGTAGCACTATTTCCTTTTCGGCTACTCAGACCAACAGCAAACTTACAGAGAACACAGGCACACAGGCAAACATGCAGAAAGCAGAAACTGTCCTTTATAAGAAGGCATTTATGCACTCTATGAAACAGACACCATGTATTCATTCTGTAGCCAAGTTAATCAAGGTGGTGGTTCATAGTCAAAAGGCAAGTACAATTTAGAACATCATAGGCTATCAAACAAGCATATGCAGCCATACTACAGAATATTTAGGTGCAGAACCATTGGCCAAGTTAATGTTAAGGAAAAGTAAGGACACTTCAGAAGTTTAGTCCCAGAAATTCAGATAGCATCAAATTGGAAAGTTCAAGATGTAGTACCACAAAGAACAAGTGCTTCCTAAGCAATGCACAGAGGGGGACAGAAATATTGTGGTTTTTGGCACAACAGTAATTGTACAGCTTGGGCTGAGTGAGCCGTACTACCCACTTGCACTAGCACCCATGGCCATGATTTATGATGATATTAACATTGCTGGGAGAAACAAACATTACTAGCCAGTATCTTGGCACTATGTACAGTGGATTATCTGAGACATTTCTCACCTTGTAGTATTGTGAAATTCTTAATGAGCTGGCCATGTTTAGAATCTACCAACTTCATTTCTTCCATTACTACAGATAAATTGGATACTTCAATATCTAATCTTGTCCTCATCACATCCTGTTGCATCCTGAGAGCAGTTGCATCCAGGCGAATATTTGCTAATGTGTTGTTCATAAAAGTCAGCTCGTCTGTATGTTTACTAAGAGTATCTGTGCATGTTGTCCGGACATCGTTGAGGTTGCTAGTTAGTGTCCGCAAGTGATGAGCCGTGTAGCTAATATTACTAATGATGTTGACAATATCTTTCTCAAAGTTTTGAAATCGGTCTTCTTGCTGGCTAAACTTGGCAGATGTTCCATTTTCATATTCTTTATGGCGTTCTTGGAGCTCCTTCAAACTTTGTTCATTGGCTTGTGCAATAGTGGTGATGTTCTCCATCTGTCCACTGAATGAGCTAAGCTGACTGTTCATATCCTCAAGTGTATCATTATTAGCTTTGGCCAAAGCTGAGTTATTGGCTGCTAATGTCTGCAAATTCTGCACTTTCTCTTTGAGCCAGTCTGTGTCCTTCCGTGCTTGGAGGGCAACCTGCTGAAGGTTTTGAAAGTCGCTTTTGATCCTTTGGATAGCTTGACTTGTATCATCCACAGATCTCTGCAAAGCACTAATAAGATCTCTTTGCTGAACTTGGGTCTGATTGAGATTGTTCAGATTCATGATGACTATGTTATGTGAGTGCATTTGACTTTGCAAACTTGTCTGAATGTTACTCGTGTCTTTCTGAAGGTCGTTGATGTAGCCATTGTAAGCTTGGAGAGTTTTGTTGACACTTAAAATCATGAAAGAGTTGCTATCCAAAACACCTTTCATTTGGCTCTGCCGCTCATCTAACATGTTCCCAGACTCCTGCAACTTCTCCAGTGTATCTTTGTTCTTTGCTGTTTTCTCTGAAATCTCATGAAGCTGTTGGCGGAGGGCCAGAATGTCAGCCTTGAAGCTTGAAAGCTCTGTGTTGGTGCTCACAGCTTTCTCTGCAGCTTGGTAATCTAAAAAAAAAAAGAGAGAGCAAAAAAATAATAATTCAGGGATGATTTTGTAGCTTATTATTTAGCAGAGGAACTTTGCTTTAATACAGTTTGCTTCTTTGTTAATTCAACGGGTGCAACAAACCAAAAATATTTTGGCATATGGCTGATTTTTAACTCTAGAAGAACAGAATAATGGCTCCTTTTCCTTTAAGACAACATAACCTGATAGTTCCTTTTTCTTTAACATAAAACACAATGGTGCACTTAAGCGCCACTGGTGCCATAAGAGGTCCTAATTTTCACTAGAGTACATATGAATGAATCTCATGGAGAACGGCATTGCCTGCAGAACTGCATTGCAAAATTCTTAGAAGTGCAAACTTTGAAGGATGGCTACGTTTCAGTTTGTGAATTCTTTTGGAAAGTGCAAACTGGGTATTGTTCATCTTTAAATGTGAACTGAATTTGATTTCTCCTCCATCCCTATGCATGGGACAAGCTGGGTTTCTGCAAGAGATTAGGCACAAAATATTTCCTCCCTTCTGGGAATAGTTCCAACAGTATAGGTTTCTCCATTGAAATACCAACACCACTGCTCTTGAATAGGGTTTAAGTACTAATTAACTGACAAGGAAATCTGATCAGTTCTCGAAGCTACCAGCATGAGTTTGACCAAACTGCGGGAGGCAGTGGAAGACAGGAGTGCCTGGCGTGCTCTGGTCCATGGGGTCATGGAGAGTCGGACACGACTAAATGACTAAACAAAAACAAACTGACAAGGAAATCTGATCAGTCAATAAACTAAACAATAATTAACATACTGCTTTTGTTTGCATATGAATTACCCAATTTTTTCAGGTCACCCTCCACTGTTGTGAGTTTCTCAGCATATCTTTTATGTGAATTTTCCATTCCTCCAGTAACATTGTCCATTTTTTCTACAACTGGAACAATAAAAACAGTATTTTAGCAATAATTCAAAAGGACTACACAATTAAACAGAGTTGGCATAAACTAATTAGAGAGCTTGACCTCCCCCATTTCAATTCTAGAGTCATGGCACCACCATAGGAAGCCTTGTCTCTGTTGCCAAATCTCCTGAAATGGCACCAAGAACAAAACAAGTGTTTAAAAGTTTTTATCCACCCCAAACATTTGATATTGTGTGGTGTTAAAAAAACCCCACACTTAAATATTGTTGACAATTTCATTCTCTCAGTGGCCTAGCCAATTGCTACCAGAAGTTTCACAATCACAAAATTCCTTAGGACAAAATATCTCCAGGAATTACATTACAATATATTTGTTTGGGAATGAAGGCTCCATCCTCATGAAGGTTGATAAAGATGAATTTACCTGGATGGAGTTCCCAATGGAACTTCTTCCATACAAAGAATTTTGTTCTCTCCCAAAGTTTACATTCCTTTTCCAAAGCACACTTACATGAAAGTCAGTTCCCTGGTAATCAACATAGTCTAAGGCTGGAAATTCTGTATTTGGTAGGATTTCAAGGACTGTTTGTGTGCAGTTCACCATACATATGAAATAACATGTGGCCTGGGACATATACATATATTCCTAATTTCTGTGACCCTTATCCATAAAAAATAAAGGCCTGGGTAGGTTAAGGATTGCAGAAATTAAGTTCATGAGTGCTCAGATGGTACACATTCCCTAATAGCCTGCCATATGTACAGAATTTCTGGAAGCTGCAATTGCATAAACAGGCTATTATTTACAAGTAAATATGTATAGATCGGGATGAATATATATTAATAAGTCTTTGAAAATAACAGTTCTAATACTGAAATATGTATCAGAATAGCCTTTTCTGAAATCATATCATACTGAATCTGAAAAATCCTTTTATTTATAAATATTTCCTTTCATCCCCTTTTCTTGAATTCCTACTCAAAAGGCAGCTGTTATAGATGTGATACATACCTTTGTATCCAAGAATGGCTACTGTTATTGTTAACAAGGCACATAATACATACAACAGTATGATGGAAAACTTCAGTGCCCAGTTGCTTTTACACTTGGTGCATTGTGTTCCCTCTTGAATGCCTGCAAAAGAAAGTGAAGATTTTAGATCTAACCCTATGTCATTTTTCATGTTTAGGCCTTTTCACCCTGAATGCTTTTCAGGTGTTTTACATTTTTATTCTGTTAAGCTTTTAAATTTTCACATCTGTGTCCTGGACCATGACAGTAAGCATTCCCAGGATACTTTCAATAAGATCTGATGCTCTCTGGAGGTTTCCGTTAGAAAAACAGCAGAACTGTGGAACCATTTTTGCTCCATGAAGGCCCCAGTGCAGTGGCTCCCAAACCTTCTTGCCTAGGGACCACTTGAAGTTGCTGAGGGTCTTGGCAGACAAAATAATGATTTTCCTGCCTGTTGTAACAATTATAATGCTCTATATTAGATGCTGTATGATATTTCAATACTGTATTTTATTGATTCTTTTATTTCTTCTAGTTTTCTTACCAATTCAAGGAAATAAAAGACAACTAAAAATAAAAATGAATCTTTAATCTGATAGGTGTGCCACCTCCTATCTTCAACTCCTCTTCAGCTACAGAAATGATGTGGAACACTTGAACAAAACTAATGGACTACCAGTTGTGCACAGACCACAGTTTAAGAACCCTCGCACTAGTGGAAAGCCAGTGGGGTTCAGGCATAATTCTACACTATTCTTTAGAATGAGCCAAGCTTTCTTACTGGACTTGTGCACTCGCCTTTTCCCTGTGGTAAGGATGGGTTTGGAAACTTTCACTTTGCTTTTTGTTTTTATTAACCGCAGCTTGTCATGTCATCCAAATCCAAACAAACTGAGGTTAATTTTAACTATGATTACTAGAAACGAGGCAACTTCAAATTGAACTTTATGAAGCTAGCTTGTTTTCACTAACCATAGTTAAAGTTACTACACTATAGGGCTCTGATGGCAAATCTAAACTGCATTTAATATAAAACGTAACTTGGAACCTTCTGATCTCTTCCTTGCAGCAGGGAGCATTGGATAAATCTGGGGGTGGCGAGGGAAGGCTAGGCTCGTTCTTGCAATGCTAAACCTTAGCTTTAAATGTCATCAGAACACAGCTAACAAAACTGCAGCATTTCAAAAAGCAGATATATTCATTTTTATCATATGTGCACACACAAGGGTCTTTTCTTTTAACTGATATTAAAAGAAACTTTTCTGCATGAAAAAAGAAGTGTGCAAGAATCATCTTATTCTTAAGAGCTTCTTGACATCTTGTTAGACTAGTATTGTATACAGGGTTTTGTTTAGAGGTCATACATTAAGTCATGCAGAACTGAGCTTAGTCTGCATCAGATTTTCATTTGTTATTACCGTCCCATGGTTTGCACACTCTGTTATGCAATCTGAGCACATGGCTTTAATGTTGAGCTGCTCCCAGACTTTTGTCACTGGTTGAGCATACCAGAGAGTCGGGGTCACTTCCGGATGTTGCACATTTCTCATTGCTGACTTAAACAACGTTTAATAAATATCAGATGGGAGACAATGGGCCTCCTTTCACTTGACACACTTTTCTGTTTCCTGACTTATTAGAATAAGAGCTCTGTTTTTTCGTCACTGTTGGGAAGACATCTGGCTAAACAGACTGAAATTCAGTACAAAGGGATCCAGCTGGTACACATGTTTTGGGGACCCCCTTTCTCCGGGAGCCAAGATGGTCACACAAAAACAAGCTAGAAAGACATCCTCCTGTTACTAGCCTTTGTAGTATTTGTTTTTCTAGTATTACATTCCAGTGACCGGGGACTTTGTTCTCAGGTGGGGGGTCTCCATCTGCAGATTCTTTTGGAGCTGCAGATAAACAGTTTTACTACTCAAGAATGGGGGAAAAAAACATGTTTTGCCCCTTTTCAGGAAGGAGAGGGATGCTTTTCAAGGAGACAGACTCCATAATATATTTAATTTCATCTCATATGTCATTCTTTTGAATGTTAGTCTCTCTCACTGAGTTATTTCTATGAGCCTTGCTTTACTATCTTAGGTGAAAACATAATATCCTATCTTTAACATAAAGCAAAGCAAAGCAACAAAGCTCTAAAGAGTCTGTTGAAATGAATATCTGGATTGTTTATCAAGACAAGGCCCAAATGTAAACTCTGGTTCTGATCTTCAGATTATCATTTCGCAGGGTGTGTGGGGAAAGAGTTTGGGGGCAGTTATGACGTTCTTCATCTGCTTAAAATAGATTTTATTGGCTCTGGAAAGCCCTATTAGGGCCAAAAAGGGTGGGGGGTGTTAACTGATATTTTATTGAAAGATTTTCATTTATAAAGGAAGAAAATAAAATAAAATAAAAGATTAAAGCTAAAATAAAAATATGTGCAAAGGGGCAGAAAAACTGTTGCCAGTGGGAACCTCATGAAATATGCTAACATTTAGTCTTTCAGACAAGTATAAATGCATCCATGCCTCTGAATTTCAATAGGATTTTTATTTGTCTTTGAAAATCATTGGCCCAGTTTCTTAAAGCTCTGTACACATGAAGGGGCAGGAAAGATCTCGTTTGCAAAACCACTGATTCAACTGCTGCATCACTTCATTAATCCTTTCTTCCATAAAAGGTAAAGGTAAAGGAACCCCTGACCATTAGGTCCAGTCGCAGACGACTCTGGGGTTGCGGCGCTCATCTCACTTTATTGGCTGAGGGAACCGGCCTACAGCTTCCGGGTCATGTGGCCAGCATGACTAAGCCGCTTCTGGAGAACCAGAGCAGCGCACGGAAATGCCATTTACCTTCCCGCCAGAGCGGTACCTATTGATCTTCTTGCTTTCGAACTGCTAGGTTGGCAGGAGCAGGGACTGAGCAACGGGAGCTCACCCCGTCGTGGGGATCTGAACAGCCAACCTTCTGATCAGCAAGTCCTAGGTTCTGTGGTTTAACCCACAGCGCCATCCACATCCCCTTTCTTCCATATCTGACATAATAAAGTGTCCCAAAAGGATGCCATTATTTTCTCTGGAAGGGTTTCATAAAAGGAAATACTTCTGGCTGTATGTACTGTACACAAACCTTTTCACTGAATGGAAGAAACCTCATTATCCAGTTTGACCATAATCTCTCACTTATTTTTTTTATAACCCAGTCATTTTGCTTATGACTTTGCTCTTGCTCATTGTAGGCCAGAGATACAGAATGAATAGATAAAAAGCCTAATTACACACTTCAGCAGCCTTAGCCATTAATTATAGGGAACCACCAAACAATACCCTACTGTGATTAAATACAACATATCTTAATTGAAAGGACAGAAGAAAAAAACTCAACCACAACATGGGGGAATTTTTAAAAAGACACACACACAAAGTGTCTGAATTCCATGTTAACCAAACATTATGAACTTCAAGACTGCTATAGTTCATTTTGAGGAAAAGCACAGATTTGTTACAGCAGGATGTCAAACCACAAAAATGTGCCAAGACAATTAAACTCCTAGGGCTGACAGCTTTTAAACTGCCAGTTTAAATGGCGAGGATTGCAAAAACGCAATCTTACCAAAGGCTTTTAAACTCCAAAGTGGATTTTTAAGCACAAATATGGATATGGGGCAGAGCAATCCCAAATGGGGTCAGGCCAGACAAGCCCATCAGAAGGACAACTCCACCAACCTATTCCCAACAAGGCTGGTCAGGAGGTTAGGACTGCACTGTTAATGCAGCATTTAAAACAGGGAAAGTCATTTTAATTTGAGTAATATTATCTAGACATGGCTGTGAATGTGGAATGGTAAAGATATACATTGTCAATCACCAGTTGCCATCACCATCATAAAGAATTTGTGTGCTGCAACTTCTGAACAAGAATTCCATGAGCACGATTCAGCCAAAGCTAAACACTTTTAAGGTCCAGTGGGAGAATTACTCACATGATTAGCCGTCTCCCACTAAAATCATGTGACTTAAAATGGGCTTAACATTGTTTGGATGTCAGCCAGAGCATTTGTTATGAAAACAGCAAGCAATATGAAGGCAATGCCCGTCCTCCAGAGAGGCATGTACATATATTACAGTGGTACCTCGGGTTACATACGCTTCAGGTTACAGACTCCGCTAACCCAGAAATAGTGCTTCAGGTTAAGAACTTTGCTTCAGGATGAGAACAGAAATCGTGCTCCGGTGGCACGGTGGCAGCAGGAGGCCCCATTAGCCAAAGTGGTGCTTCAGGTTAAGAACAGTTTCAGGTTAAGAATGGACCTCCGGAACAAATTAAGTACTTAACCCAAGGTACCACTGTATTCACATGTGCAACATTCCTCACTCCCCATCCCCCCTGGTTGGACTATATAGCTCAGTAGCCCCAGAATATCCCGCTTTTGCTTTGGATGTTTCTATTTTCATCAGAGAACTGTTGAAGGGTATGGAGTTATGTGACCCCTGAGCCAAGGAGATAAGTAACTAGATAACCTTTAGAAGACATCTGAAGGCAGCCTTGTATAGGGAAGTTTTTAAAGTTTAATGTTTTATTATGTTTTTATATATGTTGGAAGCTGCCCAGTGTAGCTGGGGTAACCCAATCAGGTGGGTGGGGTATAAATAATAATAAAATTATTGTTATTATGGAATAGTATGTCCCTACAGTGGTACCTCTAATTATGAACTTAATTCGTTCCGGAGATTCGTTCTTAACCTGAAACTGTTCTTAACTAGAGGCACTACTCTAGGCAGCTTAATATACCGTACTCCTTGACTGCCCTTTTTATAATGATCTTAGAAACAATTCCATCCATTGTAAGGTCGCAGCACGGTTGGACTAGATGACCCTTGGTAAGAGTCTATGATTCCTTGGCGTTTCATGTGTCTCTATTCTTTAACAAACTGCCTTGTCATTTGTTTTTTGACAGATCAGCTGGTAAAGCTGTCAACATAATTGCCTTTTATAATCTATAAATTCCTCACAGCTTCTAGCTTTAAGTATCTCACTTTCTAGCCCTGGAGGCAAATGTGCACTAAACATTTAGCTAAAATTCACCCTGGCTTCGAAACAATTAAACCTGTCTTCTGCTGATCTGAAAAATAAATACTTGAAGTTTTCTGCTGCATTTCTATTTAATATAATAATCTACCTATTTCTAGAGGGGTAGTCATTTTGGACTGTTGCGGCAAAAATAACAGGGAGTCTTTATAGTCTTTATTTATACATTTTCAGCTATAAATACAGATAAACTGCCTAACCACTGCCTAACTCAAAAGAACTCCTACTTCCCACTCCTTACCATTCGTCACACACACACACACACACACACACACACACACACACACAGTAGGTATTAGGCAATATCATGCTCATTATCTAGCAGATTACTCCAGAGATTGCCAAGAGTCAACAACAATGTCCTTTCCTGTTTTTGCTTTTGGTGTGGTGAATAAAAATGTACCATGTTTCCTCAAAATCATCTTTGTTTGGTGTATTTGTAAAACTTAGTTTTTCAATGAGCGCTATCTTCCAGATTTTCTTGTACCATGCTCCAGTGTCAAATTACCAGCTGTCTTCCAGTTCTGAGCTAAAACTTTTCTGGTGGCCATCGTAGAAAGGATTAATAATTCTTTTACCACTACGTATCTTACATCTTCAGTAAACAAGTTTCATAATGCTAATCTGAGGTCACAGAGAACTGTTTTACCTGTAATAAGACTTACTTCATCTATTACAAAACTCCAAAGATATTGAAAATTCTTGCAGCTCCACCACATGTGATAATAAGATCCCAACTGTTGGAAACCTCTCTAGCATAGTGGGTTTGATTGCAGGTTTGTCATATAACATCTGAGAGGTGTGTAATGCCACCTATGTATAATCACACTACCATATCTACTGGCATGTAATGTACACCTTTTTTGACCAAATTACATTGCGAAAATTAGGGGGTGTGCATTAGATTTGATGGTGCATTAGATTCATGTAAATATGGTATTTTGATACAGACTTAAATGGCCATTTCCCCAAAGATTTATCTGGATTTGAGCTTCACACTGGTTTTCTGTTGAAATTCACCTCCCATGTGGTTGCTATTTGCCCTTGAAGGTGCTGCTCCGAGGGGGGGGGGGGAGAGAGTGAGAGAGAGCGAGAGAGAACAACCCAGAAGGAAGCCATTTTAAGTAGAAAATTAGTGTAGGTCCCCAATCTGGATTGGGTGTGTATTGGGCCTTACTGATTTCTCTTCTACTGCAGAAAAACACTTAGATCTCACTTTGCAACCTGTTTGAAATCACTTTGCCCCAACAATCACACAATTGTTCTGCATTCAAAATATGCTGAAAGAAAATGACATATGATTTGTAGCCAGCCATATTATTCTCTTGCCTGGCAATGTGTTTTCAAAATAAATGTAAAATTAAATTTTAATTCCCTTTTTTGTTTTCTTTCAAGGTCAGATGGAATTACTGATGTATTTCCTGGTTCTTTATGAATATATTTTAAATGTTTAGGTCTAATGTCTATTTTGGTTCTTGGTTCAGTAGCTTTCCCACCTTAAATGTTTCCTAAAATCTGATGTCTCACTCAATTACTTCGAAAATCTGATGTCTTGATTCAATTACATGCCCCTCTTCTCAATCCACTAATGGGGGTTGGGGAGCCCAGCCAGATTAATCTTTCCCCAAAGCTACAACTCAGCTTTGGTTATCAAAGAATTGATCCCCCACTGCTTCTTTACTAAACTCCATTTTGTGTGTACTGAAGCATTGTACAAGGTCTCTTATCCCCATGGTAGTAACCCTCAGAATTATTTGCATTTTTCTGCAGCATGTGGTTTGGCTTGCTCACACAAGCTACATCAGGGGTGAGGAACCTGTGCTCTTCCAGATATTGTTCCCATCCCCAACTCTCATCAGCATGGCCGAAACCAGGAACGCTGGGAGTTGTAGCCCAACAACATCTGAAGGGGCACAAGTTCCCAACCCTGAGCTACGGGGATCCAGTGTACTCTTGGAAATTTAGAGGGCACCTCCACTTTCCTTGTCCCAGATGTGGAAGATTCATTTGATACATACCGTATTTTTTGCTCCATAAGATGCACCTGACCATAAGACGCACCTAGTTTTCAGAGGGGGAAAGCAAGAAAAAAAAAATTCTGCGCAGAACATGTAAGCGGCTCTTGCTTTTCTTGCTTTAAACCCTTCCGTCCCTCCTCCTGCTTCGCTAAGAAGCCAGCAGAGCAAGCTGCGCAGCTCTCGCTGAAGCCAGAAGAGCAAGAGCGATAGCTGCGCAGCGCCTCTTGTTCTGCTGGCTTCCCAGCAAAGCGGGATGAGGGACGAAAGGGAGCCCTTACAAGGGAGTGCTGAGCAAAGCCTGGCAGCGGCTCTTGCTGGCTTTTCTGGGAAGTGGGGGAAAGGACAGAGGGCAGCCCGTTAATCCCTTCTCCCAGCTCGTGGAAAAGCCCCCAAGAGCCGCACACACGCTCCACACGGCTCTTTAAAGGGAGCGCTGAGCAGAGCCTCCTGCCTGCATTCACTCCAAAAGACGCACACACATTTCCCCCTACTTTTTAGGAGGGAAAAAGTGTGTCTTATGGAGCGAAAAATACGGTAATTGGTTCCAAAGCTAAATGTCTGGAGTGCTGCAGGTGCTAAATAATCACATGAGACAGCCCCAGAGTTGAGTTTGTTCATTGCTAGAGGAACAAACAGAAAGGCAGAGAAAATAAAATGTCTATGCCCGCAACAGTGAATTCAATAAGGATGCAATCACTATATAATGTAATTGTGCAATTAGGGGAAAAAATACTATCCACTTTGCATGTAGCATCAATTTTGAGCAGCAGTTCACCTCTGCTTAAAAAAAAAAAAGTCTCAGATTTTGGAATGTGGTTAGTTTTTCAATCTGAGTGTTCTTAAGTACAAACGTAACCAGAGCTGGCAGCAGCATCCAACATCAGGCTTCTGACATTTGCCCCAAACTAAGCCATTGCACCTGCTTTGGTCCCTGTCCCCCCACTTTGATTTATCAAACGGCAGTGGCAGAGAGGGACACATGCCTGAAATGGTTTTTAAAGAATCGAGTGTGAGTGAATTAGTCACAGGTGCTCCTCTTTCCTGGACAGTGGCTAGAATTTTTGCCGATGGGCCCATAAGGTTATGATTATCTTATTTTTAATGTGTTCAGGCGTACAACATACATGTCCACCAGTGCATTCTTGGAGTTCAGTGCATTCGTAGTGTACTGTCAGGCCACCAAAAAGCAACTCACTCTTTATATAATGTGCCAAGAAGTCTGGTTTTCCATTTCCCATCATGTGAATCAGCATACTGTGGAACTTCATTGTGGTACGGATGAAGTACCCAGAGCCTTTTGCCAGCAAACCAGAGATGTTTGCTTTAGGGGGAGTTAGTACAGGCCATATTTAGAAAGGTTCCTTCTGGTAAAATCACACAAGCCTTTTAAAGTAAACACACACATCCAAGCACAGGGGTGGATTTTCATACCTTTGGTTTTAAAGTGGTAGTGGGTATGGATCATTACTAAAATGCTTCACTATATTATAAAACAGAAAGAAAAGCTTTTATAGGTCACTGGAAAACTGTTTCTCATAATCTTTTGAGATAAGATCATAAATAAAGAACCCATTTAAATGCCTATGCAATTTTTGGTCTCGTATATCTGCAGGAAAGGGACACATTCTTCCCCTTCAAATTTGCTCTCCTTGTCCCTAAAGCTTACACTAATGCCAAAAGCAGTTATAATGGGAATTATATCATGCCTACCAAAATCAGATTCAACGAACGTCTAGTGTAGTTCCCCTTTCTTAGGTCCCCCCACTTTGAAAAGAACGCTTCACATCTGCTTGTTATCAGTAGCTATCTCACAGCATGCTCCTGAATCATTTTGCAAACTCAAAGCACATGCTTATGCCTGCTGAGGAACCAGCCATTACTGGGCTATTTACAGGACCTCTCTGACCTGAAGCACTCTACATGAAGTAGAAAACTGCCAAAAATTTTGTCTCAGGGGTTTCCCCCCACTATCAGATTTAATCACTTCGCAGCTTTTTAACTAAGATGGCCCATTCTAGAGTGTCAAACTGTGCAATAAAGCTGTACCTCTGTCTTGAAACAGATTCATGAAGGGATCACTAAATGAAGCTCAGGAAGCCTGTCAGTCAACCCCTCGGCTTTCCATTTAGTCTCCCAAGCTTTTAAAAGCCAGTTTGCTTTCACAGTCTTATTATTTTACAGTTCTCTTGGGTACAGGAGTGGCAGGTGTCCCAAAAGTCTCTCTCTCTGTGTGTGTGTTCACATAAACAGCCCCCTTGGTTACATCCATAATTTCATCAAGAATAGACATCTCATCCAGCAGACAAACAATCTCACTTACTTTCAGTGCAAGCACTATATCAAAACACTTAGGTATGTATCAGAGAATCCACTCAATGCAAATACAAACCACATTTGTGTGTGTAAACCCACTCTCAGCAACAATGCCCATCCTTTTTCTTTCTTTCTCTCTCTCTCCCTCTCCTCCCCTCCTTAGAAATGCTCACTTATTTAGTTCAAATTCCTCATACTGGAAATAATTGACCCACTACTGATTAACTGGAAAAGTTCAAACCTATTTGTAGACTATTACTCACTCTCTTTGCAGAAGATGCTTCTTTAACAAGAGATAAGACTATGTGACCCCAGTAAACTATGGTTATCATACACCCCCACCCCCCAAGTTAAATTAGTCATCCTGTTATTTCAGTCTTCACAAGTAACACAAAGACATTTATTTTCATCACTGGTGTTACTTTACCTATTGATAAATTCTGTCTCGCTCTCCCTTTTTAATCAATCTACTGTATATAGGAAAAATGGGTTGGAGGGATTCAGACTTAATTAGTTGAAATCAAAGGGACAAATGAGTCACGACTTAACTTTATGCAACTTGTTTTCAATGGGAACAAACTCTGGCTGTAACCCAATGACGTTACGTAACCCTGTCCCCACCAAAATTGTTTTTCCATTAACATAAATCCCAAGTTATGGAGATACCGTTTGTCTTTGGTTCTAAATAAGCTGTTGTGGTAGGTGATATTAATGTGCTTTCCAGCTTGTAAGGAAGGGGGTGGGGAATCTTTCAGGCCAAATGCTAGACGAGTGACCTTTCAAGAGCTGTGTCCCACGACTGGGTGGAGCCAGAGAAGGAAGTAGGTGGAGCAACAGATGTGATTCTTCCCTTTGTACAGTAGGCTACATTCCAACCGCACCAATGTCAGAGGTTTCTAGAAGAAGACTTTGGATTTGATATCCCGCTTTATCACTACCCGAAGGAGTCTCAAAGCGTCTAACATTCTCCTTTCCCTTCCTCCCCCACAACAAACACTCTGTGAGGTGAGTGGGGATGAGAGACTCCAGAGAAGTGTGACTAGCCCAAGGTCACCCAGCAGCTGCATGTGGAGGAGCAGAGACGCAAACCCAGTTCCCCAGATTACGAGTCTATCGCTCTTAACCACTACACCACACTGGCTCTACACTCACACCCATGTATCTCTAACACTTATTCTATCCTCCGTCCAGACAAACATGTTCATAATTCAAGGACATATTCCAGTCAGGCAAAAGCACTCAAGAAGGGGACGGAACAGGGCCAGTGCAGGGCATGACCTGGGGAGCACATGAACTGGGGGAAATCCCAGGATCCAAACAGAGATGTCTGGAGAGCCACATTTGGTCACCAAGCCTGTTGCAGTGTTTTGTTTGTTTGACTGGGGTTGCACATCCCAAGCTTGCATATCACCATATATGTTTAGGTGAATCTGTGGTGGTCGATGAGCAAGTTGGGAACATATGTGCAATGAACTCCATAGCCAAGAACTCCTAGATCAAGAGTTGTCAAACAAGCAGATTGTCATTTATAAAATTAAAGAATCTTAGGCTGCGTCCACACTAGGGTCCTTTGGAACTTCTGCAATATTGCTTTTCCACTATCAGCCGAAACTGGCATTAAAATGCTGGTTTTACTCAGAACTTGATATAAAATGAAATTCCCCATTTCAAATCTGGCAATTCCATTCTATGAGGAATCCTACTACGTTTACTCAGAAGTAAAAAGGTAAAGGGTAAAGGGACCCCTGACCATTAGGTCCAGTCGTGACCGACTCTGGGGTTGTGGCGCTCAGCTCACTTTACTGGCCGAGGGAGCCGGCGTACAGCTTCTGAGTCATGTGGCCAGCATGACTAAGCCGCTTCTGGCGAACCAGAGCAGCGCACGGAAACACCATTTACTTTCCTGCCAGAGCGGTACCTATTTATCTACTTGCACTTTGACGTGCTTTTGAACAGCTAGGTTGGCAAGAGCAGGGACCGAGCAACGGGAGCTCACCCCGTCGCGGGGATTCGAACCGCCGACCTTCTGATCAGCAAGTCCTAGGCTCTGTGGTTTAACCCACAGCGCCACCAGCGTCCCTCCTTCCTCAGAAGTAAGTCATAGCAAATGCTCTGCTTCTTCCTGCAACTGTTTCTTCAATTAGTAGTTTCCTTCTCCTCCTCCTCCTCCCCCCCTTTTAAAGTGGCTTCTACCACTGTAATTACTGGTAGTTTCTTCCTGTTTGCTTGTGTGGTCTAAAATTCTTGAATTGGCAGTCGGAGGAAATGGGAATTTTTAAACTTCATTTTTATTGGTGCAATTGTGCTGTCAAATGTAAGAAATAATAATTTATGGGCTATATGGAATTGGCGGAAATGACTGGCAGAATCCGAGACCAGGGAGAAGAGTCGGTGGAAGAAGATTGGAAGAAATTTAAGGACTATCTACAGAAATATTGTAAAATTAATGAATGTTAGAATGATGTTGGATAGAAATTAAGTGGTTTTCAGCTGTAATACTATAAGGGAATATGAAAAATAGATTATTAATAGGTAAAAATTTAACGTTACAATATTTTAAGATTAGGGATTAGGATAAACAAAGAGGGTAAGGATTTGCTGAACCAACAAACTGAACTGGAATACAAAAAAGGGAGGCGTGAGGAGGTCCGGGAAATAAGCTAATGAAAAATAAGTAATGGAAAGATTGAGTTGTTCTTAGCAATTTTTATTTTTGTATATTTTTCTTTTTTTGTTTTTGTTTTGTAACATTTTGAAAATCTTAATAAATATCTTTTTTTTAAAAAAGAAATAATAATTTAAAAATTACGAACAATTGTTCTGGCTGCAAAGAGGAGGAAAGGTCCCCCCTTCCACACAGGAACATAGGGAGTCAGACTATCTGGCTAGGTACTGTTGTTGTTGAGTGGCAGCAGCTCTCCAGGGTTTTACAAAGGGGTCTTTCTCAGCCCTATCTGGAAAGGCCAGAGATTGAACCTGAGACCTTTTGCATGCGAAGTGGGTGCTCTACCACTGATCTATAAAACAGGAGTTGACTATGGACTGATTCGGAAATGTGAGAAAACAGAAGGAAACAACTAAGCACAGAGGGAGAAGGATGTTTAAGAAAAGAGTAAGGAGGAGCTATTCATTAAAAAAACAGTAGCTCTGAAACCCCAAAACAATGTTTTGTGAGTCCATGCTGGACAGATTAATGCTGTAATTAATTTTTAGGACCAAAGATTCTCTGTAGAAACGATGTGAATGCATCACGGCAATCCCAGATAAAGAACCTAGTGCAAAAACTGAGTTAAAAGTGGACCAGTCCAGCAGTTTATCAACTCTACTTGCAAGTGACAAAGAGAAACACCTAAAATAAGTCAGTATGGCATTCAGTTGGGTCTATCAACAAGGGCAGATAGCAGAATTGATTTGATTTGCTGCTGAAAAGTATTTTTTTTAAAAATCACTATTACCAGATGGAAACCATCTGATTATCAGAGACTTTCTGTGTCTCCATGTAGAAATATCTGCAGCTGACATGTTTAATCACATGTGCTACACACAGTCTCATTTCATGTCACTAGGGAACATCTGTGAACCCCCCTTTAACACAATATGGAAGACTCCATAAGTGCAAAAAGAAAGCATTCAATAAAGATGAGTCAAAAGCTTAATACAAATATGCCTGAATTCCTCCTCTTTTGCTACCACTTTAATACCGAAGAGTATGTTTAGTTAATGCAGTGCTTTTGGCCTAGTCCATGTACATCAGGCACATTCCAACTTTAAAACAGCTGTTTCATCACTAGAAAATGCCATTTTGAAAACAGAACGCAACCTATTAAATAAGCTAGTATTCATTCTGTGATGCATCTGTTCCTTTATAAATGTTCTGTATTATGTGTATTCCTATATAGACCTAGACATGGAGAACTTGGGCAGGGCCTGTGGTTTCCAATCAAGTATAGCTACAGAGCTACAAATTAAGCTGCAGCAGAATCAGGATCAGCATCAGCTGTGGGGAACCTTTGGCCCTCAATAGGTTGCTAAACTACAACACCCATCAGCCTCAGCAAGCAACCTAAACATAAATAGCCAGTGTAGGAGGGTTCTAAATAGGATCCAATTCAATTTGTGGGAAGTTAGGCCACTGTAACTCTCCCCCTCCCCATATGATCGCAATACAGACCCCCCTTAAACTCTTATTTTCATTGCCACTAAAGCTTCCATTAGCACAAATGGGGGAATTTACTTCCAATGCAAATAGAAAGTATGGGGACACCAATCTAGGCAAGACCACAGCAGGAGTGGAAATAAAGGATTAAAGCTCCCTATACCCCAGGTCCTGATCTGGATCAAGTTTCCCATGGCTACTATTTAATTTAAAAGTGATTCATGCATATGGTATATTGCCATGTTTGGCCCTTAGTATGACAAAGGTCAGGCTGTGCTGGGAAGATACCAGCCTTTTCTTTTTTAGCTTTTAAACAAGTTGCTTCTTGCCATATTTAAAGAACTGGTGAGAACCATTGTATATTTCTAGTTTTTAAGCAGTCCATGCTGGACCATTTGAAATCATTTTGCAGGTGCATTCCAGAATTGTTCTGCAATGGCTTGTTGAGATAAAGCAAGTAGATTGATTAGTGAAGCAGCCACTGGTTCTTTCAACTAGGAAAGTGGTTTGCAAGACTGACTGCAGAAGTCTAGCTTCTCTTGGAACAGGTATTGCTTTCTGTGAATATGCCACAGAGTCTGTAAAGCAAGTACCGTAACTCAGAAATTACTGCTTATAATGAAAAGGCTGACACAAGTTTTACTTACCCAGAGAATGCAAGCCACCATGCCTCTGAGTTAAGAAGTAACCACATCAGTTTATGCTTCTCCCCAACTGTCTCCATTCCTGTGGCTTTGATTGTTTGCTTGCAATGGCTCTTAAGAGTTTGCGAAAAGGTTGCAAAAGAAACAAAAGGCAAACTACAGTTGTGATTTGTTAGCCTGCTGTTTATAGTATACTATACGCCAGTGCCTTCTATATACAGCACTGCGGAACTGTGAAATGCCTTTTTGTATGAAGTGCTTTCACATTGTTTTTAAAGCCATTAAGAGTCTGGTAACAATTTATGTGTTGGGGTAAATAGTAGAGGTATAAACATAAGAGTCAGGACCTTTTGTTTCATCTCACATGATGGTATTTAAACAATGCTGTAGTACCAATTCATCCTGGGACTTGGACTCTTTCTGAATAAAACCAAGTTCCTATCAGCTAATACCTGATGACTCCTCTTTCCCACTCAACTAACACCATTCAGAACTTCAGATATGGGTGGGACTGTGGATGGAAGGTGAATTCGTAAACAGGGAATCCCCGGACAGGGAAATTCTGCCAGTTGTGTTTTTGATTCTAGCATTGTGGCTAAGCAACGCTAAGAGGGCAAAGCAAGCAAGCAAACAAAAACACAGTGAGGAGGGTTAAAATTCAAATACTGATTCAAATTAAGCAAACAATACTGTGATTACCAGTATATGCTTCTACAGCAAAAACTTGGATCATTACAGAATTTTGAAAATGGAGGTAAGTATTCTCTTTCACAATAGCATGGAAGGATACAATGCAATTTATGCTACCAACATCTGCTTCTTCTCTGTGTTTTGTCGTTCCAGGACCCCCAGCATTTTTGCTTCTTTGCAGGAAGGTTAAAACCTCACATAAGCACAATACATTCCTAACATTCCAAAAGACTGCTTTAAATACAGTCTGCATGAATATACTTCACTGTATAATTTAACCCTTTTAGAGCTGAATCTGGCTCTAGGAGATTTGGGGCTCTTCAGCCCTCCCCTCTCATACCATGACTCTTGCACCTTTTCTGGATCCAAACTCTCCATGGCTTATCATATACCATGTGAGTGGCCAGTCAGTGACTCCTGCAGATTCAGATGGTGGATGTGATCCTTCTATGGCCCCACAGGATAGGCCTTGTCCCCCCCTTCTTCAAAAGGAAGAGGCGTGAGAAATGTTCATGCCCACCACTGCCTCCTCAGAAAGTTCCCTGTCATTGGTGTCCAAGAGCTTGGGCATGAGGCTCTCTGAACTTTCTGCAGAAATAACAACCTTCCCATCTTCGACTGGGCTTGGGTACTGTAGCAAACACTGTCTATATGTCCCTGTCTCCAGACATTCTAAACCACATGATATGTGGTTTCCTGTTTTGCCCCTGACAACTGGGCCAGACTCACACTGAAATCATGCAGGAGTCTCTGCTGTTCTTGATCCAGCATTCACAGATGTCTCTCAGTGGATTTCTACTATATATTTCCGTCCTTTGCCATGTGCTAGACGTCTGTTCTATGTTCTCTGTCTCCAGTCATACTTTATTTATTTTGTATATCCAGCCCCTAAGGCTATTCATTGTGAATATGCTGCATTCTCCCCATTTTTTATTATTTTTTGCATTGTGCATGCATGTATATCTGTGTTTTATACACATGACATTGTGGCTGGCCTCATCTTCACAGTGTAGTTTTCGCCATTTGGTCACATCTACACAATGCATTAGAAACACAAGTCTTCTACTACAGTTCCCAGAATACTTTCGTGAAAGCCATGTGCTTCTAATGTACTTTAACTGTGGGTGTGACCATAGTTGCAGTCAGGTGTTAGGCTGATCTGTGTTGTCCAGATATGAATAGATGGTGTTGCTTAGTAACAAATATGCAGCAGCTGAAAAAATGGTAGCATCTGTACTGGAGGAAACAGCAGTTTCAGGTTGAAGCAAAGTGAAGAGAAGGGGTTCATCAGGACTCTGCTGCAGGACAAAGATGTGTTCTTGTGTTTACAATTTGTGGTTTGACTGCAGGAGACAAACCATGAGCCTGGCTTTGGACAACACACTAAGTCAATCCGTAGGGTAGCTCACAGCAACACAGTAGCAGGAGGACTGGGCAAGGATTATCGTGGCAACAATATGTTGTCCAAGACCCCTCACACATTCATGCTGAGCCATGGTTTGGCTTCTATTACATGCGAACCTGCTCTGTAAAAGCTCCCGTATAAGAGAAACAATTTGAGAATTATATAAATAAGAATGATAATTAAGTATGCTCTAAAACCTGAATATGACACCTTTATTGACAAAAATTAGAGCTTGTGCTTGCTTGCTTTGGAAATCCCTGGAAGGTTTCCCACTAGATTCTATGGAAACAAAATATGGCTTAAAGATGGATATTTTGTTTTGGCTACATTACAGCCATATGGCTTTGCTAAGGAATGGGATCTGGTCCCACTTCAAATATTGAGCATACAGATTCTTTTCATCTGTTAAATGCATTTTCTCAGGGAAATACAGCCAAACACTCTCTTGACATGTTGGGAGGGATCATGATGATGTAGTTTGGGGATTGACTATTTATAGCTATTACAAAGCATAAATGGCAGGTACTGTGTCTGTTTTAATATCACACACCGTCACCACGCTTTCCCCTTGAGCTTTTACAACTGGGGTGGGGAACCTGTGGCTCTGCAGATGTTGGTGGAGTACAACTTCCACACTCCCATGCTGGCTAGGGTTGATGGGGATAGAAGAGCTGCTGCCTGCCAAAGCTAGATGGACCAATGGTCTGACTCAGTGTAAGGCAACTTTGCATGTTCCTAACATCAGTAGGGCTGAGGGCTCCCCATTTCTGTTTTAGAACTTCAAACCAGGTAGCTATTGTTTTTACCAACTATTAGAAAAAGAAAACCTTACTGAAATCTGGATAGTATGATTAGAAAACTGACAGGAAATTGTTTGACTAACATTTACTCTGTTTTTGGGGCCCCACTTTACTGTACTAGCCTTCCTTTTGTAGCAATATTTCAAATCATGTCACTGGTTGAGAAAAGTAGCCATGTTCATATAAATGCACAGTATTTCCAGTTTACTGTAGAATAAACACTACTCATGCACACATGTGCAATTTTTGAAGAGGCTCCCCACCACCACCACCACATATTACCATCACCAAAATGCCAGCTTATACTTCATTTTTCTTTTTTAACAATCAGGGCACTTTCTGATTCATGGCTCAGAGCTCAACTAGACAAGATGGCATGAAACCTGTGATACAATCTATCACTTTTTAAAGCTTAAAGCAGTAACAGACTCTCTCTCTCTCTCTCTCTCTCTCTCTCTCTCTCTCTGTGTGTGTGTGTGTGAACAGGTTTAAGACTGTGATCCTGGTGAGGGGGATTTCAACCCTTTCCCCCTCAATACTTTTTTGATTGAAATCCACACGCAGAAACAGTGTGAGTGAGGAATAATGTACAGTATTTCTGTGGGACAAATATTCGCTGGGGATAGGGGGAATTTCAGTTGGAAATATTGTGGGCTTATTCATCCTTCTGCTTATCCCTAGAAAGCATGGGTCCAAGAGGTTTTACTTGCTTCTTAGTGCAAAATCAGAGCAAATGTCAATCTGGAGAACACCTGATTGACATTTGCTCCAATCAGTAGTAGCCAGTGGGTTTTTCCTAGGGGCAAGAGGCAGGGCAAGTGGAAATGTGGATTAACCCCAAGTGGGAAGGAAGGGTTAATCGCTCTGTACCAGCACAACAGCCTTAATTTGATTCTCCCCCTCCCCCACTTTGTTGCTTTAAATACTGAAAACCTCCAGGAGATTCTAATTATGGATCATCAGCATTGTGTCTGATTCAATCCTTAGCTACAACGAAACTGCAGCATGTGTGTGCCTGTATAGATATATTTTGCAGCAATACGCCAAAATATCTTAAACACATGGAACTGTTTCATTCTAAAATGTTAAATACTGCACAAACAGTTTTGATTTAGAAATATCTCCTTTCCACCATTTCCTTATAACAAAAGTTCTTGCACTTCATAAATATATGAACAGTGACATTCCTGAATCTCAAAAAGGGCTGACTATAAGTTTAGGTTTGAATTATTTATGGTTGTTTGAAATTCAGGACCCAGTGGGGAGTTCAAATACTACAATTTCACATGTATGTGGCTGTCTAAAGGAGATGGATTTAATTCACAAGCCTAAACCAGAGAGCTGTCTGGATTTTCTGGTTTACATCTTAGAAGAGCTTTTTTTTTTTTTAAAGAGGATAAAGGGAGAGTTCATTAATATTCCTTTTACGGTTTAGTCGTGGGGTGCTTTCAGACAGGTGTTTACTGTGAGATTGGTGTTCCTCATGTGTGCACATTGATGACATCAAAATGCCACCCTGTATTGCTTTCCGCCACTTAATCCAGATGTAGCTTTTCCAGGGAAAATCTAAACTTAAAACATCTGTTGCTAACAACCCATTTGCAAATTAATACCCTATTTGGAAGTACCTTTATGCACAAGCTTATGGCAACAATAGAAAAGCACATTGCCCAATGAAGCAATGAATTATGTGGATCAATGAATTGCTATTAAGGCAACTCTAGGACTTGAAATGAGTTTATGGTGGTTGTTTTGCAGAAGGATCTGACACATATTATTGATTCATCTTGTAGCTCAGGGACCTCCCAACCTTTTTGAACAGAGCAGCAAATTTGGAAATCTAAGAAACTGTGGTGGGCATCACAGAATACTGAGTTCACAGAAGAACAACAGGTGATCTCCAGAACCTTCCTCCAAAACACAACAGGTGAAACAGCTGCATATATTGTTGTAACCTGCCAGGGGACCTTAGGGTGAAGGATGGGTAAATACCATCACCACTGTTAGATTTCTGTTATGCCACTGTGCAGTTTTTGGAGTCACAAGACTCTGTTGACATTCCAGACTGTTGGAAGTCTCACGGGAGACGGGAGACGGATGTTGAAGTTACTGGTTTCCTGTTTCTTTTGTTTCCTGTTGTTCTCTGTCTCTCACAGAGAGCAGACGCATATTCTTTTCTGTCCTGCGTAGTTAGAAATAAACGTAGCAATGTAGCACACATTTCTCGCTCTTCTGCTGCTGTTTGGGTACTCTGCATAATGGGAGTGTGCCTGAAACCTCATTAAAGGCTTAGGTGGTTAATCACCGTCGGAGCAACGGGCCAATGGATTCCGAAGATACGACGGAGGAGGAGAGCCATTACAGCTCGGTCCTAAGGAAGCTCCGACAACCACCACCACTACTACTAGCCGAATACAAATCAAACACACAGAGATACCCCTCAAACAAACCCAGACAAAACAGTCCCAAACCAACCAACCAACCAACCAACCGACCGAAAAGCTAGTAAAGAACCCCCACATGGTGCCCAGAGGCATTCTAGGAAAAGGAAAATAAAGTTGATGGGTGACTGGGTGCTTGCACTTCATTTTCTAGCCTGTTCATTTTCCATGGTAAAAAAAAAAGTGTAGAAGTCATCTACACATTTTATGTTCCATTTTATGTTGAAAACCATTCCAGAGACCAGGTGAAATGCAAGTTCACAACTGCATTAGAATCAGAAGGTCTACCTATGCAACTCCAGTAAAGTCATAGATCTGAAGTCATAGATCTGAAGAGACAGTGATGTAGCTTCTTCTGGCAGTAGTCAGCCCTTTCTGCAACATATATGATATTTGGAATCACACATTTCCCAAGAATTATTAACTAAATCAAACCTGAACTGGAGCAGACCCAATGCAAAAGAAAATTTGACTCTGGGCTGAGGTTTGAAGGTAAAGCGCTTGCCAAATAAATGTCAGTTATCTGGCATGAAAGGGGTGGTGGTGCATGGTGAAAAATGCTAAATACTTTGCAATATAGTGCAGGCAAACTAGCCCTGACAAGAGGGAGAAAATATGAGGTATAAACATGATTGGTCCATTCCTACCAACACTGAAGCAGAAAATGATTATTTCAGAACTGTGCTACTCTCAATGGAAACCACTATCCAATTTTACTGGCCAAATAAAATAAAGGCTTTGAAGGTATCCAAATGGACTAATAGGAAAAGAGCTGGAAGTATCTAATTGGAAAGGGGACAGTGTTCTAAATATGGTAAGACGTTTTCACAGAGAAGTGAAAATAACAATCTGAACTGTTGACCTAATCTCTGCACTGGTCACCATCAAACAATTCTTTACATTTATATCAATTTTCTAGAAACCTCACAAAACATTTGTGAATCTGTTAGTATGAACGTATGCAAATATATATGAAGGCAGATATATGCAACAGACAATTCACTAAACAAGCTATTAAACATTTTGCCTGTATCTGTTACTACATGTGAGGCAGGTTGTAATCTTGATTACTTATTTTGAATTAAATTATACAAGTGATGAAACGGGGAGATTTGTCAGTTGTTCAAACACATTTCCCCCCCTAGGTTTGTCTTTTTGGTTGTGCTTTTGGTCCACTTTACTGAGAATGTCTGTCTCTTTTATGTTTCCAGGGTCTTCAGCTTGTACAGGGATAAACCAATAAACAGGACAATTTAAGGCTCCAAGAGGGTGTCTTGTCTGCCAGCATCTTCTTCACATTTTGAATGTGCACACATGCTGTTCTTTTCTCTAAAGCCAACACAACATTTACTGCTTTTGCGTTTAACTTAAAAAAAGCAAAACATTTTGTAGAACTAAATCTCACCCATCACTCATTTTATGGCATTTTAATTTTTTTATTTAAAGATCAAGTTCAGGTATAAAAACTGGTATACTTAAAAAGTGGTCTCATATGGAAGTTCTTATACTAAGAACTCTTCCCATAGTCATATTTGTTTTTCTTAAGAAGCTATACTCAGAGAGGAAAAGGTTTGGAGCCACAGCTCACCGTTACACTAAATATGGAAAAGCCAAAGTTTTGTTTAGCCTTGGTTATTTAATCCTCATGATAGTAAATATGTGGGGTGCCTTTGTCTACTGTTCTGTATCCAGCATTAAAAGAAACAAAATCCAAGAAATAAAGTGAAATCACCCTTACTCTAACAATCTAAATCTGTGTATCTATGCACTTTGGAATAAAGTTCATCCTACTGAGCCCAGTGACACTTGCTTCTCCAAAAGTGGGCATTAGATTGCCAAATGAAATACAAGGAGGAAAATGCTATGTTTCTTGCTATAAGCATTCACCACCCACAACTTATAACAATACTTTCAGAGATACCACCCACCTAGTTAAACTACAAAAAACAGGGTGGACTCCTGAAGGAGCGTCTCCACCCCCATCGTTCAGCCCAGACACTGAGATCCAGCGCCGAGGGCCTTCTGGTGGTTCCTTCATTGCGAAAAGTGAGGTTACAGGGAACCAGACAGAGGGCCTTCTCGGTAGTGGCGCCTGCCCTGTGGAACGCCCTCCCTTCAGATGTGAAGGAAATAAGCAGCTATCTTCTCTTTAAAAGACATCTGAAGGCAGCCCTGTTCAGGGAGGTTTTTAATATTTGATGCTGTATTGTTTTTAACACTTGATTGGAAGCCGCCCAGAGTGGCTGGGCAGACTCAGCCAGATGGGCGGGGTATAAATAATAAATTATTATTATTATTATTATTATTATTATTGAATTCCATAATGTCTATATTATATATCTGCCAGGCTGATTTACTATTCCATTACTCACATAGCAAATCAACAAAGTAACAGACACCAGGTTGGATCTAGACCAATTTAATTGATCTTAGTTCCCAGTGAAATCAATAGGACCTGTCTTGACTAACTCCACTAATTTCAGCCAATTTAGTTTGGATCCAAATAATTAAAAATGATTATGAAAAACGAGCATTCTGTTATGATGCTTCACAACTAAGGTATCTTCATCTCTATAAACTACCAAAATAATTGAAATAGAGCAAATATATATATACAAATATTTATATGCCACAATAAATATTTTGGATGCAGAGAGTTGTATCCAATGTTTGTCCTACTCAGAATAGACCCATTTTTTTCAAGCGTACCTTAGATCCATTAATTTCAATGGGTCTAATCTGAGTAGGACTTACTTGGCCATAGCCCAGAGAAACTGAGGCCTCTTTCTATTTTAAGTAATTTTCATTACTTAAACTTACAGTTTAGTACCGTTGCACCTTCATATCAGCCTACCTGAACCCTGAGTTCATTGTCAAAGACTCCACTCCAAGTGCCCCCACCAAATGAGGTATGAGGAATCATGACCAAGGAGACAGTTTCCTAGTGGTAAGACAATGGCCCCCTCCAGAATGGTTCCTGCCCCCCACAGTATATTCCGCAACATGTCACTGATGCAATAATAGTGCATTCGTAGTGGATTTATATTGAACCATCCACACATCATTCTACTTTATTAATTCTTCTGCAATACATCCCCAGTGTTATCACATTATTGCCATCTAAAGCAGCACTATTTCAATATACGTAGCACAAAAAAGCAGGACACCTCCTCACTGCCCCAGAAACATTTCTGGAATGAATAGATTGTAGCAGGAAACTTGGAGATATACAACCAGTGCTTTTTTTCTTTTTCTTTTTTTTTAAAAAAAGGTTTAGGGGTACTCTCATTTTCCTACTCATATTGAAATACTGCCTCTCAATGAGGCCAAACTTAAATTCACAAAGTGTTTCGGGCTATGCGTACCCCCGAGTCCCCCCTGAAAAAAGCACTGTACATAGCCATTGTGAGTGAAGCAGTATGGCTCCCCAGGAACCTTTGTAGGTACAAATAGTAATAAAAGGTTTTTTAAAAAACGGTATTAAAAATACAGTTTTTAAAAGCTGTAATTCATTTCTGAACATATTATCGGAAACAGAATGTCAAAACAAATCTTTCAGCCCACTGAGAAAATTAGAAAGAGTTTCAGGATTGTTGGGCCATACCATTAGCGTGAAGTTTTCATACTATAACCCATTAGTAATAGTGGATGACCTGGAAAGAGAAGAGACACAATTTGCCTTTTGTGGGAAATAAGCCAATTTATTACTCCAGACTGGAGTTTATGAAAGAGGGAAGAAAATTAGCAGGATATTTAATTGATGTTGGTGAATGTGCTCCTTCTCTTTCCCCTAGCAAGGTTTTTGCAAAATTATTTATACTTTCAGAATGAATGTACTTATTAAATAAGTGCATTTAAAGTATAATAGCCTGCTTGCTTGCCAAATATATGTCTATAAGGGATAGTGCATTCCAATGTACATTCAAGTACATTCCAGCATCAGAAGACTTGACAGTCCTATTCTTTAAATCACTTTCACTATTTGCAAAGAAGAAATAGAACCAAGGCACACATTCTCACACATATGGTATTGATTTGCAAGTAGGTTCATTAAAAAAAAATTCATTTTAGTCAACATATACACATGCAAGAAAAATGGCATATTTCAAGTTTTGGGGGGTGGGGTGGAGTATGAACCAGCTAGAAATCTGAAAGAATGTCTTGGCTTAAGTAAAGGTGTCTGGGTAAAAGCCTATGTATTGCTAGCAAGGGTGCCTCCAATAAAGTGGAAGTAACCCTATGTGAATGACTAGGAGGATATCTAAAAGGAAGGAAATCAAAAGTTTGAAATAAATGTGAGTACATAAGATACCATTGCTACAGGATTACTTCTATTATATAAAGATAGGCCCAAATGAATTTATAACATTACTTTTTAAAGCAAAGACTTAACGGGTGAAGAATCCATTACTTGTTTGTATAACTGGTAAGCTCAGAGTAAAACATAATGCAATCATAGAACATTCTTTAGCTGAGATTAACAGCCAACCCATGATCATATTTCACATGCCTTTTTTAGAGAAAGAAGAAGCAGGGAGTGAAACATCCCAGGATCAGAACCACAGAGCATGGGAAGGCAGAGGTTAATGCTCCCCCCACCTCATTGCAGTCCTGATGAAAATTGTCCCTCTGAGGCTGCTAAGACACACCCTTTCCATTGTGGAATTTATGTTTCATGTTGTGAGTTCCATTTATAAAACATTACATCTGCATAGGAAGCGGCCTTATACCGAATCAGACCAATGGTCCATCTAGCTCAATATTGTCTACACTGACTGGCAGCAGTGCTCTGGGGTTTTAGACAGGCTCCTCTCCCAGTCCTACCTGGTGATTAAACCTGGGACCTTCTGCATGCACAGAAGGTGCAGCCAAACCTAAGATTCACTAAAATTAGTGAGTTAGGAATAGGTAGGTGTATAGTACAGTGGTACCTCGGGTTAAGTACTTAATTCGTTCCGGAGGTCCGTTCTTAACCTGAAACTGTCCTTAACCTGAAGCACCACTTTAGCTAATGGGGCCTCCCACTGCTGCTGCGTCGCCGGAGCACAATTTCTGTTCTTATCCTGAAGCAAAGTTCTTAACCCGAGGTAATATTTCTGGGTTAGCGGAGTCTGTAACCTGAAGCGTATGTAACCCGAGGTACCACTGTATAGAACTCTTATCCTGACTTTCATGTAATTACCCCAAAGCAGAGATTGGAGTGCAAATGTGCATTCAGATTTTGTGGGTTATCTGCCTTTAATGGAAAGGGCATATATGAGCATATAAAAGAAAGCATACAGATACTAATTTTTTTAAGTGAGATAGCTTTATCAGCCATGTGTGCACATTCAGATGCCTCTACCCAGAACTGGATCATGATAAATGAGTCTAGGATCTTGAGTGACAGCTCTTAATTTTAATAATAATGATGATGATAATGATAATAATATTTTTATTATTTATACCCCACCCATCTGGCTGGGTTTCCCCAGCCCCTCTGGGCGGGGCTTTGAAGTATTAGGTAGACCATCCCACATTATATACTTCTGTCCTCTTGCTCTGACCTATTATAAAATAGAGTTAGTAGTAGTTTTTTCTAGTTAGTTTTATAGAATTTGATCTCTGGATCAAATCAGCTTTTGATCTTTGGGAATTCAGAATTATCTCACATGGCTTGTTTTTGTACCACAATTGCCAATATCTCCAGTCAGCCCTTCATAAATCACATTATTCTTTCTTTTCTGCCAATATTCATATCAACACTGACCAGATTTTCTTTTTTCCTTTAAAGGATGCAAATATATTAGCCATTTATTGCCCCCACATGGCTATGACATTCCAAGCTTTTATGTGCAGGAAGTATTGTGTTGACTTTGGCTTCCCTATAGGTTAAAAATCTTGTTTAAATGCTGCAGACTTTAAATGCTCTTTGAGATTATTCTGTGTTGTTTTATGGAAAAGCTTCTGCCTGATTGTTTACAGATGCAGTCTCCAAGGAAGCCAAAATAATTCTCCACTAATTTTGAAATTTCAGCCTTCATGTTTACTGTGTTACCAAAGAAAGTTGTTTTGAGTTTCTTAATTTGTATTCTACAAATGAAAGATGTCAGATCTGGTGGCATCATATATAATGGATGCTCACTTTGGCCAGCATCAAACATTAGAAGCGTTTTTTGCTTGCCTACCCTTGCAATTTCCTTGCCTAGGTGGCAATAAAGACAGTCTGTCGCCATGATAGTAGCATTTCCTGATCTGAAGTAGGTATGTAATGTGGGTTTATTTTATTTTTACCCAGTCTGAAATTCACACATGGTTTTACAAGTTGCTTTGTTTTGTTTTGTTTTGTTAAAAAAACCTTCTAAATCAGATTCAGATGCTCCTACCTTTGCATTTTTTCTATTCCTTGCAATTCTTCAAGACTTTTCCTATTACATCTTAGGAACTCTCACTGTTGTGGTGAGATTTTGCTCTACAATGTACTTCAGTTTCATAAACTTAATGGGTCTTATCTTCAGTATATTCACTCTCCCATCTAAGAGCACACAGACTGTCATGATCCCTGAATTCAGTAGTGATACAGACACAGAGTTGGAGGCTGTAGGAGCAGCAGATTGGGAGCTGGGTCCAGTGGCGAAGCTGCATGCTCCGTTACTGGGGGCGGAGAGCAGGTGTGGGTGTGGCTGGCACCCCCCGGGGGGCATGATTCAGGGGCGTGGCCATAGCTGTCAACTTACAGATTTGAAAATAAGGGACCAGCAGCCTTGAAAATAAGGGACCAGCAGCCGAAATAAGGGATTTTAGTCAACCAGATAATTTTGGAGAGCAGCGCCAGTTTTTAGCCCTTCGTTTCCAGAGGTTGCTGCTCAAGACACCAGCCGATGAAACACTTCAATTAAATAACTACAAGCAGCAACCACTTTTTGCGCAAAACAAAGTCCAAGCTATGAAGCTGCTGCCGCAGTTCTGTATATTTTCTCTCATGCTCCATCTGCAGCTCTCAATTCCATCAGGTGGGGCGGGAGGACGGGGTGGGAATAGTGCCCGAAGTAAACCCGCAGATCAGACCATCTATGCTAGTCTACCACTACAAATCTATGGGAGAAGTGCTTGCGGTCCTTCCCTTGTAGCCCTTGGAACACCTTCCTGCGCCTCCACCTTCTCCTCTTCCTCCTCTCTCTGAACTGCTTTCTCTATGGTTGCCCTCGCTCTCCTCTCAAGGCTCCTCATCAATTCATAGACCATGCCAGGCTGCCCATCTCATTTGGGTCCTTCGGCGGCACAGCCGCAGTATGGCCTAGCAGGAGCGGGAGCGGCGGTGACAGGCAGAGGGGAGGCCCCAGGCAGAGACGCTCAGTTCGGCGGCTGCGAGGAGGATGGTGGCGGAAGGGCCCGAGGCTCCCACCAGTCCCAGCAGGGAGGGGTTCCCGAGGGCCGAGGCTGGTGAGAGGAGGCCGGAGGGGGGTGGGCCGGGCAGCCAAGCAACACAGTTGGAGCCTCCCTCCTCCCTGGCCGGCAGGGAGGGAGGGAGAGGAGCTGCTTCCTTTGAAACCCGGGAAATTTAAGGGACATCCATCAATAAGGGACAGCAGCGGGACATGGCGCTGGGATAAGGGACTGTCCCTCCAAATAAGGGACGCTTGACAGCTATGGGTGTGGCGCACATTCTGGGGATGTATCATGCTGCCTGTGGGGGCATGGCACCTGGCGTGCGGGGGGTGGGGTGGTGCACAGCATGTGTCCGGGGGGCCCACTGCGATGGCACCCTACTGGAATAGTGGTGCCAGGGGCGGTCTGCGCCCTCTGGTCCCCCATTCCTCTGCCAGTGGCTGGGTCTGAATTGGGGCTCAGAGCTGACTATGGAATTTCATTGTACCTGAGGCAGTTCCCAGAGAAACCTCCCAGACCACCAAGCCCACAGGAGCATCATGGGCATCTTCCCTTGAAGAACCTCCTACTGCACACTGCCAGTCTGGCAGCGCTGGGAATGCACCGGAAGGAAGCTAGGAAACGAAAGAGTAGTGCTGGTCTTTAGGCCCGAGGATTGGCCCTTTAAGGCTCTGAAGTTCTTTTAGAGGGGTAGAACCTGGAGGTGGTAGTCTGGAGACTGTGGCATCTCCAACTTTCATTGGAAGAAGTTGCTCACTCAGATCCTTTGACCAGTTTTGCCTCCTGTATCGGTACTTTCACTGTGGGTTCCAGCATCAGACCAGAACACAACATAGATTGACACAAGACCCATTGAATTCATTGAATTGCAAGCAGGATCTGACTGAGTACAGCAGCATTTGCCCCACTTCTGATTCGCAGCAGCTGGCATCCACAGGCTTACTGCTTCCAACAGTAATTCAGATTTGTGAAGGATAAGACTACTGGCCATAGTGTCTGTGTACTGCTTCCAACAGTGGAAGCAGAACACAGACACTGTGGCTAGTGTCTTATCCTTCACAAATCTGAATCTTCTAACATTCAGCTTCACTGGTGTCCCTGAGTTCTGGTATTATGAGAGAGGGAATAAAACGTTCTCCACCTTCTCCAAACCACGCATAATTTTACACACTTCTATCATGTCCCCTCTTATTCTCCTTTTCTCTAAATAAAAAGCCCCAGATACTGTAACCCAGGCTGCCTCAACCTCAGCCCTCCAGATGTTTTGAGACAATTCCCATCATCCCTGACCACTGGTCCTGCTAGCTAGGGATCATGGGAGTTGTAGGCCAAAAACATCTGGAGGGCTGAGGTTCAGGAAGCCTGCTGTAACCTTTCCTCACACAGGTGTTGCTCCATCTCAATCATTTTGGCCTCCCTTTCTGGTAGCTTTTCCAGCTCTACAGTATCCTTTATGAGGTGAGCTGACCAGAACTGTACACAGTATTCAAAGTGTAGTCACACCATAGATTTGTATAATGAAATTATGCTATTAGCAGTTCAAGTTTTCAATCCTTTCTCTAATGATCCCAGGCATGGAATATGACTTTTTCTACATCTGCTACACACTGGGTCAACAACTTCATTGAGATAAATTTGGTATCATTTGCAAAACGTGGCTACTTCACTAGTCACCCTTGACTCTAGATCAGTTATGAACAAGTTTAAAAACACAAGTTTCAATATCAATCCTTGCAGGACTCCACTTTCTCTATCCCTCTATTGCAGTGGTTCTCAAACGGTGTGGAAAGAAGATGGCAAGTGTTGGGGCAAGATTTATATATTGTTCTGATACAAATCTGATGCACTTAATTCTCTGATATGAACAGCAAATTGTGTCAATCAGGTTTAGGAAGTTGGCTGCTGTACTTTCCATATCCTCTTCCTTTCCACCTTAAGGGAATAACAGTCTGTGGTTGATAGAACTGAATGTTAAGTAAAGAGACAAGAGAATTTGGGAGACTATTTTCCTATTATACAGGAATGGGTGAATTCAAACATTCATGTTCATTACTCAGTAGCAAAAACACCATGTGATGACTTACATGTGTGAAACCATTACAGCAGACACCATTTCCATGTTATCACTACACATTTAATAATGTCACATTTAAATTTGTTCAAATATTATATGCAGCAATGACTTGTCTGAAATAAAAATGTAGTACTGTTATGGAACACCTTTTCTAAATTTGCAAAGTATTTCACATGTGTAGTAAAACATAAAATGAAACACACTACTTTTCAATGGAGGCAGCTCTCCTACCCAGCCACAAGATATCTAGTGATGAGGTGCTCAGAGGTATGCATTCCTATGTGACTCTAGCTTCTGACTCACATTCTAGAGCAGCATGACCTGGGAATAGGGGAGAACATGCAGAATACATTTACGTGTATTTATGCATAGGCATGGCAGTGCCGAGATTATGTGTTGAGGGGAGCTGGTCTGGTTCCTCAGCCAACTGGAAAATGGATCTTAAGATTTTGAGTTCCATTTCAGTTCTCAGGGGCTAATATTAGCTAGGCTCATCTTGTGTCCCAAATTCAAATCCAGGCCTGGGCCTGACTGTCAGTTGCCCTAGGCAGCTTTTCATCAAGGTGTCTGAATCAGTGACACTGATTAAACTTCACAATGTGCAGTTGTACAGCACATTTTGCATCCAGAAAGTTCCCAGGTTCAGTCCTTAGAATTTCTGCTTATAAGGGTCACATGCCAAGTGATGTGAAAGAGACCCTGCGGCAGCCAGTCAGGGACTAAATACTGGGCTAGATGGGCAAAAATAGACTGGGGAGATTTAAGGCTGTTGTTTATAAAGTAAAACCAAGCATCACTTGGTTAGCCTGGGGCTCTATGTATCCTTGATTGTTTCAAATTAAACAGACTTTAACAAGTTGTGGTGATATAGACTTTGAAGGAGTATTAACCTGAATAGTAGCCTCTTATGCATAATAACTGAACAAATGACCCAAAATGGGTCAGACAGGGTCAGAGAAGGATAGCGGCTGTATTCTGTACACTGACTGGGAGAACTAAATATACATTCATGGCTGGACATAAATGACTGATTCCACCTGCTGTTGCTTTGCTATGCTGGTCTCAATAATTTATATGAGGAGCCAAATCTCCTCCCCTCTTGTGGATAATACAAAGAAGAAATAAAATCGTGCTATGTGCATATCATCACATCATGCACATGTTAAATTGCCTCTTGATGTCATTTTGGCAGCTAGGAGAACCCTTTCTGCTTAGTTTCTTTATTGTACCTGTAGGAAACTTAAATCAATAATAATGGTCCATGACTAACATGCCTAGTATGTCAGCCAGCATAGTTCTCTATAGCTAGTGTCTCTGTTATGTATCAGCTTGAGTTATCTTCCTAACTTTGCCATCTACCCCTGTGCATTGTGGTAACTTATGAGACACATAATGTGTTTTGTTGCTAAGCACTGACAAGACATTGTTGCGGTTGTATTTAATTAAACCCAGGTCATCTGGAACAGAAAATTTGGTTTTTCGCAAAGCAGGATGGAATAAAAATGAGAAAGTTTATGTTAACAGGGAAAGGATACATGTTAAAAGCCAAAAAAAAAAAAAAAGTAACCAACCAACTTGGGCTGCTGTGCAACTAAACAAAACTCCTGCTCAAATCTTACTAATATTAATGGAAAATTGATGCACAGCAGTAATGTTTTTGGTAGATTGTGCTCATGGGTAACTGCAGCCACAACAACTGCAGGACAGGCCCCTGCACATTTTCAAGTGTCCATCGTTCATTTTTGTAGCTCTGTGCACAAATTAAGATTTCATTTTCTGTAACTTGTCTCCACAGTGCTCCCTTCCCTATTTTATAAACTGGAGAGGTGTTTTCATTAACAAAATGCTTTGTTAAGGAGCAAAAGGGAAACTTGTAATTCATAGGTTATGTTTTAACTACAGGTGGCTGATACCAAGGATGCATGCATATTAATATTATTATTCTCCTCCTCACCAGCAAAATTCTATTTTATTTTAATTGAAAGGAAAAATACTTATCATATTTTTGCAAAATAGCCTTATATCACCAATGTATATAGAACAGGACCACTTAAAGGAGAAGAAAGGGGAAGAGAGAAAGGGCATAAAAACAAAATAAAAAAACCTCAGCCAGAAACTGTTGCTGCTTCAGTACATACATTTATATCTAAAATCCATACCCCACATTCACATCCCTGCTCTTGAAATAGTACACATCAAATGCAATATTACCTTTAGATGAAGAGACTAAATTGTATGAATCGGCCTAAAATCTCTGGCTCTCTGAACTGTATCTGAACTGAACCACTTCAGACTCACTTGAGTCAATGTTCCTCCGTACAAAAAATTTCCTCCACACAAATGCTAGCATTTCTTGGAGATGGGCTGAACGTAGGAAATTTGTATGTAGGAACCTTCAGTAATGTGACCAGCAATCTGAGGTGATACACATCCAGAAACAGGTTTAGCATAACTGGCTGCACAGTTATCTGTTAAATTCAGCAAAAGCAAATCATAATTACATGCCAATCTGGTGCAAAATGCTTTCTACCAAAACCTCCTGATTCTTAGCCAGCCAAGAGGACATTGATCACTGCAGCTTCTTAAACTAAAAGAGAAACAGTTACATGTTGTTCCCAGCTGTGCATGCCCTACTGAGCAAGGTCAAAAACCTTATTGGAAATTAAGTTATCGCACACCTAACATTGCTGGGAATTTAATAAACTTCCTTGCTTAGAATGTTATGTGGAATGCTTCCAGATGTCATAGGCTGCTTACACACAACATTTTGTTCTAGGATCAATGGAGACTGAGTACTTTGTTTTCTACATAGAATCTAGAACTATTGCAAAAAAGAAAGAAAAAGAAAGAAAATTAGCTGAAAAGCTCTTCTTAAGAAACCGGAAATAAACCAATCAGACCCGAATTGCATGCTTTGCTTTCCATGAATAGATAACCCTGGCAGGTTCATTTGCCTCAGGAACCTCATCCTCCAAAGGTTGGTTATTCATATCCTGATTTTATGCCAAAATGAAACAGAAACACTGGAAGAAACATCAACTCAAAAACTTGCTTAAGTGTGAATATGATACTTTCAACAACCAGTTGGTTCATCTTCCATGCTAGTGCTGATGGAACCAGCAATGCCAGAGACAGAAAGGTGATCCTTACATTCTAACTTTCAAGCTAATGGGGCTTTTTTCCAGCTGGAACTCACTGGAATTCAGTTCTGGCACCTCTCAGGTGGGTGCCATTGCCATTATAAGAGAACAAGAGAGGCGTTCATGGTGAGTTCTGGCACCTGTTTTTCTAGAAAAATAGCACAGGCAACACCCATCTTCTTCTTACATATGGATTCTTCATTTTGTTTTGACTTGAATTCAGTACAATATCAGGGAACAAATCATGTATTGAGAGAAGAAGGGTTTTTTTCTCTAGTTAAGTTTTCACAAAATTGGCAGCAGCCTGAAGCTACTCATGAGCTTGGAATGTTACAAGTATCCCCAGAGGAGGGGCAGCGCTTTCTATGCCATATGCAGGTGAGGTGGCAATCTATCACCCAGTTATCATTACCACATGTGCAGTACAGCTGTCCATCATTCTCCTGGCATTAATATATATGCTTATTTAAACGCACACACTAGAAAATTATATGTATTACACAACACAATTAGCAAAGCTATATTCACTTACCTGAGATTGGGAGTAAATTCCATTTAATTCAGCGGGGCTTATTTCATATTATATATGCATTTGATTGTACTATTAGCTCTTATATTTGCAGAGGAAATAATGGGAGATCTGTCTGACTGCTTCTCAAATCCAAATCTGTACAAAGCGGTGATTTCATTCAATTACAGTAATAGGAAACTAGCACTTCCTATTGTCTTGACTCATTGAACTAGGACTTAGAAAGGCATGTGAATTTGGACTTGTACAAAACAATCAGCTTGTTTAAAGAATGTGAGCCAGAAATATTTCTTATGGAAACAACCAGGAAATCGTTCTAGCAAACTAACAAGCTTCTAAGCTATATAACACAGATTTGCTGAATTTAATAAATCAAAAGAGTAACCCCTTGCCCTATTTTCTTCCTTTTGGAAGTAAAAACAGCAGTGAAGGTGCCAAGTATGAAGAAGTTACTTCACTCTTTTAAACTGTGGTTTATTCAGATCAATATGGGGAAGACAGAAACTAAGCAAATTAGCTATTTCAGTGGAACTACCATCAATGTGAGGGACGCGGGTGGCGCTGTGGGTAAAACCTCAGCGCCTAGGACTTGCCGATCGTCAGGTCGGCGGGTCGAATCCCCGCGGCGGGGTGCGCTTCTGTTGCTCGGTCCCAGCGCCTGCCAACCTAGCAGTTCGAAAGCACCCCCGGGTGCAAGTAGATAAATAGGGACCGCTTACTAGTGGGAAGGTAAACGGCGTTTCTGTGTGCTGCGCTGGCTCGCCAGATGCAGCTTGTCACGCTGGCCACATGACCCGGAAGTGTCCTCGGACAGCGCTGGCCCCCGGCCTCTTAAGCGAGATGGGCGCGCAACCCAGAGTCGGACACGACTGGCCTGTACGGGCAGGGGTACCTTTACCTTTACTTACCATCAATGTACTATTCTTAATGTGAAGACTTGGATTTTCATGATGTGATCTTAACTGAGAAATGGTGCAAAAGCAATGCATTTTCTGCTCACTGGAGGAACAATTAATTACCATTTGATATGTGGACATACATTATTAAACAATATATGTCTGGGGTGAGAGCCTCAGGACCAGATGTTGATGTGGCTTCCAGGCTTCTCTGTTTGGCCCTTGGAAATCTCTCTTAGCCACACACCCCTCTCCCCAGGCCACATCCTCACTGGCCCTGCTACACACCCACCCCCACTCCCACACCCACCCACCCCTGAGTGTTTTTGCCTGGTTGAAATGTGTTATGGAAATCTGGAAATGTCTCTTCCTTGTCTGAATTGTAAGGGTGTGTGTATGAATGTGTGTAGAAACTAGCCTTCTGTACAGATGTGAAATTTGCATTTGTTGCTCCACCCATTTTTGCCCCTGACCCCCACTCTCCACTGACTGGCATGTGGCCCCTGGAAGGTTGCTCTGAAGAGAATACAGCCCTTAAGCTGAAGAAACCTCTCCACCACTGGTTTACAGTATATGAACAAGACTAGGACTCAGACCATTAAAATAAAAAATCAGTGGTGTAGCTATTGCATCCATACCACATCCAGAAAAGTTGTCAAAATACTTTTTTTTAATTAGTGACTATCCAAAAAAACATGTGTGTGTGTGTGTGTGTGTGTGTGTGTGTGTGTGTGTGTTTGTAAGGAAGCCTGTCTGCATCAAAGATATACCCCGATCTAGTAAGGATAACCCACAGGAATAGAAACAGACCTGCATATAAACTGCATTTCTGTATCAAGTCCATATTCATAAAATGATTTTGTAAGGGATAAATACTTTCACACTGCAGCAGGCAGGTGCATTCACTGCATTATAATTGGTGCAGTAATCTCTAGGCAGCACTGATCACCATCTCTGTGAAGATGGAGGAGACAATTACATAAAAGCAGGCTCTTCTTCCCCTCAGGTGATCAGTCAATCTCCCTCCTTCCCTTCCTCCTACCTACCTACCTCTATTTTCAAAATAAAAGATACAAAAACAACAATAATAAACTTGTTTGCAACACAAGATACATTTTTTAAAACAACAACAACAACAACAGTGCTGTTTACATTAACATATAATTGTTCCTCAGGTATTCAGTATTGTTGGAAACTACAGATGTGAGCAAGGATAAGTAAATGCATTATTCACATAATGTATTAAGTCTACCTCTGCACACAAGTATTTCTGGAAAATTGATGGTACGGAATTTGTTATTTGTTGGATTGAAATGCAAGAAACAGTAGTACAAACCAAGGAAAACCTTACATTTCCTGCACAAAATATATACAGTAGGCTGTATCCAACTAAGTTAACACTCAGGACAGATCCATTGAAATTAATGGACTGAAGTCTGTTAAGTTCATTTTTTCAATATATATTTTGCCTACCCTGAAGAGTGGGCATATAAATTGCATGTCACTCCTAGCACTGCTGTCTTTTCTGGCACCATTCTCATTTTGTGCAGAAGTCTCACAGAGGGCATGGTTCAAATAATTCCCCTGTGCTAAATATACGGTATGTACAGTTTACTGGAAACCTATTGGCTAGTCTTCACTGCTTAGTTCAAGGCGAAGCAATGTGAGTTCCAGACTTTCCAAGCAGTGTATTTCCAAGACCAAGAAATATGCTGACTAGCTGTGCTGTCTTTCAGTGGCGGTCAGCCCTGGCAGCTTAAGCAGCCTGAGAACACATAGATCATTACAGAAAGCATCAAAGAGCTGCCAGATGTCCATCTCTCTACCAAGGAAGAATGAAAACAAACAAACAAAATTAACCCAATAGGGAATCTTCTGGCACCCAACAAAGGATTTAGGAAAGGATCACTGCAAAGCCAGTCTTAAAGTAAATTATCACTTAAGTTTGTAAAAGTAAACAACGGGGGGAAACCATCAGCTACAAGACGAAAGGATGAGCTGTAAACATCTCAGTTTTGTTCTAGTAGTAGCACACAGCCAAAATCTATAGTTCCTACTATGAGTTTGATAGGTGCTACCATCAATAATTTTGTAATCAGTGATGTCTTTAGGATATATTGTTTTATTTACACATACAGTGGTACCTCGGGTTACATACACTTCAGGTTACAGACTCCGCTAACGAAGAAAGAGTACCTCGGGTTAAGAACTTTGCTTCAGGATGAGAACAGAAATTGCGTGGTGGTAGCATGGCAGCAGCGGGAGGCCCCATTAGCTAAAGTGGTACATCAGGTTAAGAACAGTTTCAGGTTAAGAACGGACCTCCAGAACGAATTAAGTTCTTAACCCAAGGTAAAGGTAAAGGGACCCCTGACTATTAGGTCCAGTCATGGACGACTCTGTGGTTGCGGCACTCATCTCACTTTATTGGCCGAGGGAGCACTGTATATATGATCTGGGCATAAGATCTCCACAGATCTTGCTTTTGCATTAGGTTTTTATGGGGGTGGGGTCCTCAAAGTCATTGCTTTGGATTCATCACAGAGGAAGACAAGCCTTTACATCTCATTTCCAGCTCCCAGCTTCAGCTGAAGACCAAAGACTAGCTCTTTGGTTTATTGTTCTCCTGCATACTAGGTGATGTGGCCTCCAGCCAGTTGAAGGGATGGTAAAGGCCTATCCCCTCTTGAAAAAGCATCATCATCCAGCTGTCTTTAATGGTAACACACCTGCTCTTCTCCAACTTTTAAGACATGAAAATCAAAAGTGCTTACAGGCCTGGCTAACAGCAGTCCTTTCCACTTCAGTCTTCAAATACAAAGCCTTTGTTGGGACCCAAAGATATCATCCAAACCAATTCCACAATCATATTGCAATATTTTTACAGCTATTTAATTTTCTTTGCCTAAGAAACCAGAACATCTTAAACAAATCTGTTCTAATCTCGATCATTAAATTGTATGGTGGAAGGCAGTGAATGGGAAGCAGTAAGTCCTGTAGTAAAGCATACCCAACCTTTCCTTGAAAACTTCCTAGAAATAAAATTACAAGTTTCTTCTGCAACTTGATCTAAAGCTAGTCTGTTTTTAACTGTACTGTATGATCCTCCTCTCATACTCTTTTCCACATATGGTGAACAAATCCAGTTCTTTCTACCTGTCCTTGCAGGGTCTTTCATTTAATTTTTTTATCATTTATGTACATTTCTGAATCTTTTCCAAGTTTTTTGACATGTATTATTCAGCACAGTCCAAACAATATACAGTGGTACCTCTGGTTACATACTTAATTCGTTCCGGAGGTCTGTTCTTAACCTGAAACTGTTCTTAACCTGAAGCACCACTTTAGCTAATGGGACCTTCTGCTGCCGTCGCGCCGCCGGAGCACGATTTATGTTCTCATCCTGAAGCAAAGCTCTTAACCCGAGGTAATGTTTCTGGGTTAGCGGAGTCTGTAACCTGAAGCGTATGTAACCTGAAGCGTATGTAACCCGAGGTACCACTGTATTACCAGTGCTATGTAACCTAATAATATTACTTCCTAAATCTTGAGACATAATACTTTTAATGTAATGAACTCTGGTTGTACATAGTGAAGAGTACTGGCCGCAACACTGACGTCTGCAGAACCATGATAGACAGCTCTTTCTGTTATGTTGTTGACCCATTTATTGCTATGCCTTGCATGGGTTTTTCCAACCATTGACTACACACCTTCTGGCAGATTTCTTTCCCCCTTGAGATTCCTATAAGGATGTCCTGTGACCTTGCTGAATTCTGAGTGGAGCACAACTGCAGTCCTCTTGTTCACTAAATGTACTAAGGCAGAGCTTTCCAAACTGTGTGCCGCGACACATTAGTGTGTCAGCTGCAGTGTGTAGGTGTGTCGCACAAATGCTCCCCATGCTCCTCTTGGGGTTGGAAAGGGTTAGCTTAACCTCTGGTTTGCTAGTAAAACTGAGTTACTGTGTCGCAAAATGATGCATGTCCAAAAAGTGTGTCACCAACTTGAAAAGTTTGGAAAGCTTTGTAGTAGGGTATACCTGACCAGGACTAGGTTGTCTTAATTTAATTGGACATAACATGCAATGTGTCTTAAACTGAGCAATGTTTTGTGTTTCATTCTTGTGTAGTTTTGGTCAGTTGGCTCAGTGGGTAGAGCATGAGACTCTTAATCTCAGGATCATGGGTTCGTGCCCCATGGTGGGGAAAAAGAGGGTTGGACTAGATGACCCTCGTAGTCCCTTCCAACTCTACAATTCTATGTTTCTGTGTACATAGGTATCTCTGGACTAAGACTTACATTTGTTCTTTTAACATACAGAGGATGAGAGCATGAGGCAAGTGTCCATTTCATTCAAAGCAACCTCTGATAGAACAGTTTAAAATGTAAATGAATAAAAATCTGCTTTGGGATTCTGGAAGTTAGCTAGGAATACGTGAAAGGGGGAGGTAATGCCAGCAATTCTTGGACTGCTGACACAGCCGTACTAGGATAACTCTCATTTGCTGTAGCTCAGAGGGATATTCAGTTACAGTGGAGAAATCATAACAAAGACAGGAAACAGATCAGCACTCTCTGGATTTAACACCCTCCCTAGGGACCTTGTTTCTAAACTGCAGATGTTTTTAACCTTGTCTTGAAATATGTCTGTATCACATATTCCAATCTGATGAAGTTAAGTACAGTATATAAACCAAAACAATTCAAGTCAGAGCAAAGAGAGAACTTTAATACATGCCAGTTGGAGCAATTGAAGTTTTTAATATTTCTTTCTATGAATGAGTATTAGAAATATGTATTTTGAGGAAATGTGTCCAAAACAACGGGAAGAGGTATGCTGCTATAATGAAAAACTCAGCTTATATTTTGCTCAACAACAAATTGTTTTTCATCAGTCCACAATAGGGGATTTTCAAATTTTGAAGCATTGGATGCCTTCACCAACCACAACTGTTTCTACAACAACTGTTGTTCCTGCTCTGTTGCACTTTGTTCTCCATTTTTGCTGTTCTCAGCACTACACACATCAAACACTGGACCGAAAAATATAGCTGTCTTCATTCGGTTTTATTAAACCTGGTGCCAACAAAAACTGGAGGCTGGACTGTTTAACTACTGGTGACTGAGATAAATGCATCCTAGCAGACAGGAAACAGGTCGCCTTTTATGTACTAGATTAACTCTACAGTTCTAAGAGCATATCACTATATATAATTTTAACCAAGTTATATAAACATCAGATTCCATCAAACAATTTGCATACACAATTTGCATTCCACACAGGATTTCCACTGTGGTACAATAATTTAGGAGTAGGCTCCACTCGTCTGTTAAAGCACTACTACTTTCTAATAAGTAAGGAAGCAGACTGTCTCAAGTTTTTAGTTTCTGAGTGATGAGGAGACCTCCCCAATAACCTGGAATTTTGCTAAACTGACGACCTGTTTATACACATACTTCAGTGTGTCATGGCTATGATTTGCTACAGGCAGATGTGGTCTGATGACTGGTCTGCCATGTGCAAGAAATATTCCAAGTTACCCTATGCGTAAGGTAGTCAAAAAGTGGGGTTGATACAGCAGAACCCAGAATTTGTGCATGCTGATTTAGCTGTGTTATCACAGTCTTAGATCACTGAAGCAGCCATGCTGCACAATTATCTTTGGATGACGTCTTAATACTAAATTGGCACCTGCTAGTATTTCCAGTGGGACGTGGGTGGCGCTGTGGTGTAAACCACTGAGCCTTGGGCTTGCCAATCAAAACATCAGCGGTTCAAATCCCCGTGATGGGGTCAGCTCCCATTGCTCGGTCCCAGCTCCTGCCAACCTAGCAGTTTGAAAGCACATCAAAGTGCAAGTAGATTAACAGGTACTGCTCCGGCGGGAAGGTAATTGGCGTTTCTGTGCGCTGCTCTGGTGTCGGTGTTCCGTTGCGTCAGAAGCGGCTTAGTCATGCTGGCCACATGACCCGGAAAAACTGTCTGCTGACAAACGCCGGCTCCCTCGGCCTGTAAAGCAAGATGAGCACCACAACCCCAGAGTTGATCGCGTCTGGACTTAACTGTCAGGGGTTCCTTTACCTTTACCTAGTATTTCCAGTATGATGCACTCCAAGATAGCAAAGAATATTTTAATTGCCAGCACTCACACAAATATAGCTATGTGGTAGAGATAACACTTTGGACAACATTGATCCAAGACTGATCATGTGCTTATGTCAACCTCGTCCACAAAGCACAAACCACATTAGGGTGCTTAGAGATAATCCACTATAATGGGCAGCTACAGTGGGTGGCAGAGAGTTATCCTAGGGGACATGTTGCTGTCTTTCCCCCATGATATTTCCTGTGCTACCAGCTGCACAATATTGGAGTGCCAGACTAGGAACATGTGATGAAACTGACTGAGCCAAGTATCTTGAAGTTCTCTTTAAAATGAAAAGGCCGATTAGCTTGATCCTTATGACATTATGCTGTCAAGTTCTTTCCCAACTGGGATATGAGTTTGTTTGTTTGAAATATCTGCAGATTTACTGGACTGATGGTGTTTGGAAACCCACCTATTCAAATCATGAATACAAATATTTCTTCGTGCTTTCCACAAGATATGAAATATACTTTTTTAAAAAAAAACATGTTGCAGAAACCAAGGAGAAAATTCTGCTTTCATACTAAAAAATGTAGGAAGTAGTAATCCAACTTATTTGTATATTTTGGAATAAAATTCCATTTGACTTAATGCAATATAATGCTGTTGCCATGGCAAAAGGAGTACTAAAGAAATATGATATCATTTTTGTTGCAGCAATTTCCATTGGTAAAGGATGACCTCTGGTTTTTTGCCAATATTACAGCATGGTCTTTGAGTATGAACCAGATGCTGGTTAGAGGGCTAGAGAAATATTCCTACTTCACCCACTACAGAGATTTTTTAAAACATGTGTTTATTAGTAGTATTTTCCATTATAATTGCATCTGTACAATCTGAAATTGCCTTCTCTTCATTTATTGAAGTGCCTTTGTGGCATTCAAGATACAAGAAACTTTACTGTCATCCAAGGCCAATTGTGTTATGAAGTATTCACCAACAAGGTATGGAGCTCTGTTCAGAAATCATAAAAGCCATAATCCACTGCTCAAAGGAAATGAATTGCATAAAAGCATGGAAGGGCCCTCATTCATTTCTCATTTATTTCCGTGAGGTATGCCAGGGGGACTTTTCAGTGGATTTTGACTATGTACTTTAACAGCATCCTTAAAGCACTGCATTGGCTGACTGTGAGCTACCGGGACCAATTCAAGGTGTTGGTACTGATGTACAAAACCCTGAATTTCTATGGGCTCAAGCATTTAAAAGATTGCCTCCCTCAGTATGTTCTGGCCCATACCCTACGTTCAGTGGGAGAGGCTCTGCTTGTGTTGCTGCCAATGGTGATGGCCCAGGGGTGATTACACAAGACAGGTCCTTCTTGGTAGCAGCACCCCAATTATGGAATCTCTTCCCTGGGGAGGAATCTCCTCACTGGTAGCCTTCAGGTGTCAGCGAAAAACATTTGTACAAGTTCACCAGGACTTTTGGAAGGTAGATACTCCCATCAGTTGCAATATGGATTGTAGTTTTAAGTTAGCTTCTTTCTCAGGGAGTTTTTATGGGTTTTGACCATAAGCGCTTTGGGCTAATTGATGATATTGTACAGTGGTACCTCCGGTTGCAAACGGGATCCGTTCCGGAGGTCTGGCTGGATCCCAAGGTTTTCGCAACCTGAGGATCACTGTTATACGCATGCACACAGCGGTAGACTGCTTCTGTGCATGCGGTGAAACACTTCTGGGTTGGCCACTTTCGCAACCTAAGCTTTACATTACCTTCGGGTAACATAACCTGAGGTCCTACTGTACACTGTGCTACATTCCTAATGGAGAGAAAGGGTGGCCCAGAAATAATAGCAACAACATGCTTTTAGTATAGTGTACTTTTCAAATGTTAGGCACATAAGGAAAGCAGAAGACAGAGCTTCCCAATTCCCTATCGCATATCATTCCCCAAGCAGTCATGGTCAGCTGAACAACCAGAAAAGTACTAGAAAAAGGACGTTAGTTTGACCTTGGAGAAACTAGTACAACCTGCCATTCTTCTCCATATCCACCTGTTGATCACTGACAGTTCTCAATGTTTGTTTGTTTGCTTGCTTTAATTAAGAGAGAAGCCCAGCAAAATAAAGGTTTAGTCTCTATGTATGTATGAAGAAAGCTGAAATAGGATGCATTTCTGTGGATTTATATACATTTAAGAGTAAACAAGGGGACGCAGGTGGCGCTGTGGTCTAAACCACAGAGCCTAGGACTTGCCGATCAGAAGGTCGGTGGTTCGAATCCCTGTGACGGGGTGAGCTCCCGTTGCTTGGTCCTAGCTCCTGCCCACCTAGCAGTTCGAAAGCACGTCAAAGTGCAAGTAGATAAATAGGTACCGCTCTGGCGGGAAGGTAAACGGTGTTTCCATGCGCTGCTCTGGTTTGCCAGAAGCGGCTTAGTCATGCTGGCCACATGACCTGGAAGCTGTAAGCCGGCTCCCTCGGCCTGTAAAGCGAGATGAGCGCCGCAATCCCAGAATTGGTCATGACTGGACCTAATTGTCAGGGGTCCCTTTACCCTTTACCTTTAAGAGTAAACAACAAAACAGAAGATTGGATGGCCATAATGAGGATGCAGACTCTTTAACAAAGGCACTGTGTATCATAGAAGATTCTCTCAACCACATGTCTGTGTGAGAGGGAGACTGATCGTTATTAGGATTCTTTAATGAGTAGATTACATCAAGACAGGCTGGATTTTAGGACTGAAGACTCCGTACACACAATTCCAGAATCAACGGTGACTGAGTATTTGCTCCCCCCCCCCACATAGTTCACACACAGTATTTTGCCCCTGAATAAGTATTTTACTTATTGAGAGATGGGTTTCATTCAGAAAATAAAAGCTCATTGCAAATTGATTCTGCATTACTGTGCAGTGTGCCCATTTGAAAACAGATTAAAACAAATGGCAGTCCCAATAACACTGTGGGTGGGCATATACCAAGAATGTAATCACTACTTCCTTCCTTATTTAGCTGGATCATGTGCAGGGAGGAAAAGGTGTGGATTACGTAATTAAGGTGAGTGTTTTCAAATGGGAATCAAGTAACCACACCCAGCCTTTGTGGACAATAGGATCTAGAATCAATATAGTTAGAAAGTCGCATGCTGAAGATGAGCATGAATGATTTCTGATTGAGAAAAACAACATTTTACATGCAACCTAAGACTACAATTCTATGCCTACTTATCCAGAAGTAGCTGTGCTCATTTTATGTCTTAACTGTGAATATGTTTCCTATCTCTGCAGGTGCCGTGCATGGCATAAGCAAGCCATAGTATAGCTTGTCGTGCTGTGTGATCTCGGACTGTAGTTTGTTTCAAACAAACTATGAGCCATAAGCCAAGAACAAATCTGGGCCTATTTCTGGCTTGATGCTCACGGTTTGTTATTCAGGTTTGCACAACATAACAAACCATACTATGGCTTGTTTGTGCTGCTCACAGGGATAAGCTGGACTGGTGTGTGTGTGTGTGTGTGTGTGTGTGTGTGTGGCCTGGAGGCAGCAGGCACATTCTTGACTAAACCATGATGTAAAATAAACAATGGCTGAGCTCAGTGTCACTCAGTTCAATGGACTTGCCTCTGAGCCGACATGGATTGGATTGCACTGTGGGTGTGCTCATTCAGGTGTATGAACAAATGTCTCACTCGTAACTTATGGATATATGAAAGCACATACAGTGGTACCTTGGGTTAAGTACTTAATTCATTCCGGACGTCCGTTCTTAACCTGAAACTGTTCTTAACCTGAAGCACCACTTTAGTTAATGGGGTCTCCTGCTGCCACCTTGCCACCAGAGCACGATTTCTGTTCTCATCCTGAAGCAAAGTTCTTAACCTGAGGTACTATTTCTGGGTTAGCGGAGTCTGTAACCTGAAGTGTATGTAACCTGAAGTGTATGTAACCTGAAGTGTATGTAACCTGAAGCGTATGTAACTTGAGGTACCACTGTACAAGTAACACACTGAAATCGTATCTACTTGGACTGTTCCATAGTCAGGTGTATGCAAGAAAAATATAAAAAATTAAAGTCTTTATCACTGACTTTTTAAAAAAGGAGGGGGGAAGAAGGTGTATTCTTACAGAAGTGAGAAGAAATGGTGCCACTGGAAAAACACACACGAGTTTTAAACACAGTGGCCAAAATCTGTTACATAACATGTTTTACTGAGCTTGTGTAGGCAGACTGCCACATGTTTAAATGGGTGTTGCGTAATTTTGCGAAGGGCTTGTATCTTACTTTGACTAGCAGTTACATGTTTATAATGACCATTTGGGAAGTAACCAAGACAGGCCTGCCTCATTCAGAATAGGGACCACTTTAACCCAAGAAGACAGCTAAGGAAGCAGCTGGTGGCTGCCTCAAAAGTCATGCCGTTTGACTGAAGAAGATATATTGTGCTTAACTCTGATTTCCCCCTTCCCCACTCTTTTCCACGAAAGCTGTCTTTCAAAAACCTGGCAGCCCTATCAGGCAAACAAAGCATTTGTATGTGTGACAACATTAGACAACACCTTAGAGAATGGAAAAATAATAATTTGCTTTTTCATGTTAAAATGAGACATTAATAACACCTCACGCAGACAGGTACAAATAATGAATTGTTCTGGAAGTTCCAATAATTCACTGAACAAATTCAGCTTCACTCCCCATCCCCAACACTAAGGTTTTCTGGTAGAATCATTGGCATCAATCTATGTATGGAAAATGGAAAATAAAATAGAAGCTATTGCTCAACACTCTTCCATATTTTCTTTACCAAAGTCTCCCATTTCTTATATCTTTCATTACATGCTTAAGCATTCATCTAGAAAGCCACATGGGCTCAAAACAAGCAAGAGAAAGTTTTGTTTCCTTGTTTGGATAGCTCATTGCAAAAGGGCAAATGACATTTTCAAAAGAGGCAAGACTAAATAAAATTACTATTCCTGCTGTTTCTTGGCTAGCATTTAGGATCTCTGCACTTTGGATAAAGGCTTGGTTACAGTTTCACTGTGCTGACAGAAAAGCAATATGGGGTTCCTTGAGCTCTGCCACAGGCAACCAAGCATGAAGAATTTTCAGTACAGTAATTTACTTCTGCACTTTCTATAGCAGCTTTCCCCTACCTTCCCCTATCTTCTACATCAGCAGTTGGGAATTTTAGTCTAAAACATCTGGAGGGCACCAGGTTGGGGAAACTTGGTCTATACTATGGTAACATGCCTTAGGACTGTGATTTAAGGTCAGCAGAATCATAGCAAATCTACAGAACATGTGTGTGTGTGTGTGTGTGTGTGTGTACGTGTACCCCACACAATATCAGAGTCTTTCAACTTTTTTAGACTAGTGATCCTCTTTGCACTTGAAAAATAGTTTGTGACCACCACTCCAGGCTATTATTTGTACCCAAAGATGCTGTTTGCCTTGTGGGGTGGGGAGTGGGGTATCAGCTAAAGAAAGTGACTTTCAGCAGAAAATTGCAATGAATCCAGATTGGGTCTCTCAAGGCAGCTATTTCTTCAAAATAAGGTGGCCAGTTTAATCACACTTTTAAAAAAGTATTTTAATTGATAATGTGTAATTTTAACATTTTTTGTGAATGGAGTAGAGGTAACATATTTGTGTGTAGTACTGCAGATACTATATATTAACCCAAAGGCAAAGCTAAAAAAATACTGTAACTATTTGAGGTATACTGTATGTTTGTTGCACTTGGAAACAAACTTATAAAAAAGCTGTATCCCACCTGCAGCATTATATCTTTGCAACAAAGCAACAAAACCATCTATCTATCTATCTATCTATCTATCTATCTAGTGGCTGCCAAACACACACACGTATCTTCTTGAAGGACTGAAAAAGAATGTTGTACTCCTATATTAAAATATATTTGTGTAAATATAAACTTTGGTTTAGTACATCGTTTTAATTTCTTTTCAACCCATCCTGTGACACCCATGGGGTCAAGAACCACTGGCTGGAAAACAGTGCATGGTACACACAGCTGCCCCATTCTTCTTCATGACCATGAGAATTGTGAAACAAAGAACAGCCATCAAAACATTTTGTAAAATAGTTTTTTTTCAACTTTCTAGATTCCCCCCCTCCCCTGAATTCATGGTAACACTACCTCTGATACTAGGGCTATAGAGGAATAATTAACAAAATGGTACGGTGGTGGTAGCTTTTTCCTATAGGGACATCTTTGCAATGGGTGAAAATATATGGGAACTATCAGTGAGAAATGGGATAATGATGATGATGATGATGATGATGATGGCTCTGCACAGGACACCCCCTCATAGAACAACAATTTGGAACAACCAGGAAAATGGTATCATTATCATCACCATCGTGATGGGTGTAATTCTAGATTTAAAATGCAAAGCAATTATGTATCATCAAAACCAATGTTCCCTTATAATACATAAATAAATAGCAAAGGGAATTCTTGGAAGTACATGTATAACTCTATCTCTGACAAGTCATCTTCCACAATTTTTTTCACTGGGTGTTTTAAAACAAAAAGTTCCTGGTTTAGGAAGGGGTTCGTTCTGGTGGCAGCTTCCCAGAATATACATAAATCTCTGGTTCATTATCTGGAGCAGTTGCCTTCAAAGAAGCTACTCCCTGACTGATGTCTAACTAAGAGTGATAAGAAAAGGTGCTTTGTCATTTATATCGTGTTAACACGGCAGACTAGAATAATGAACATCTGAATCAGCAAACCGGTCACTCTTGGCGATTCCTTTGCACACCATAGTATCCCTGGAATGGATGAACACACCATTCTGTCACTGAGGAGCTATTCCTAAGAGCATAAAAATCACCAGGTTGGGTCAGGTCAGTGGTCCAGTTAACTCAGCATTCTTGCATCTGCTGACAGAGGTCAACCAGATGTCATGGGGAGTTTTTATAAGCAGGGGCATGCCAGGAAAATCAATTACTCATGTTGTGGTCTCATCCTCTTGCAGTCAGAGGTATGTGGCACTGGCAAAAGGCGATTGTACTTCAACAAATTTCCATAGATAGGAGTTACTGACACATTGCACTTATATGTATGTTCATACAATCTCTATGTTTTAAGGAAGATGTTTAGATTCTTCTCATTGTCTTAAGCCTTGGATGGCGCTGAACTTGTACAGAACTTGTTTTATTTTGTTTTATTTTCCTTCCGACTCGTGAATTCAACATGTCCCTTCAGTCATCTACTTTCTAAGCTAATTTAAATGCAGAAGAAGATGAAAATTTAGACAAAGAACTTCTCCTAACCTTGTGACTTTCCTCCACTGTTTAAATAAACACACACACACACACACACACACACAGCACACACTACAAGCTCATATTTCTCCAAGCACTTTCAAAGAAGGCCAGAGTCCACACTGGTTGTTATTTAATACTCTTTTGGCTCAATTCAGCGAGACTATGGTTTTGCCTATTGCAGGGAATGGTAGCATAATCTGGCATTTCAAGTGAACTCAATAAGTTAGTGATCCCACGGACAGAGGATGTGGGATTGCATGTTTGTTGAGGGAGGGAAAATTCACTATTTAGACTATTTTAAAAGAGCTTTCTTCCAAATATAAGATTGCCTTCAACCTCTAAGGAACACAGAATCCTAGAGTGAGGAGGTGTCCCTGAAGTGTATTTGAGGAGAGGGGGGATAGGGTAAAAATGTCTTTACCCTCTCCTTGTTTTAGTTCAGTCTGTTAAATTCCTTCCTGCTGCCAACACTATAAAAGCTTCCCACTCTACTGTCTCTCTCGTTAGTAATATGATACTTCTGAAATCATCAGAAGAGATTTACTATAGTTTAAAGTGGGTCAATTCATGGGGGACAAAAGAAAACTTAAGATATTTGTACCTGTTCTGTCACATAATAGATCTTGAAAATGCTTCTCAGCTTCAATGCTTAATTATTACTTCGTTGTATTGCGGAGCAGTATTTTTAAATTATTCACAGGACATTACATTTTCATACACTACAAAGCCACCATGCTGGAAGTCAATGGAAAGGCTTCCAATTTAAAACTCAAGGCTCCTCCAGTCTTGTTTATTGAGCATTCATTATGACTCGCTTACACAAAGCTTATGTGGTTATATTTTCAGCTGTTTCTGTACTATTTTGAAAACCGTTTTAGCTGCTTTTATGATAATCTGTAAATCAACTTGAGATATATATAGATATAAGGTGATTAATAAATTAATTAATTATCATCAGCTGTTGCAAATGGTCTTTAAGGTACTAGGTAAGGATACCAAGCACTCACAAACCACATGGGTAGAGGGGAAGGGGGAAATTCCCCATTCTGCTCAGCGTTAGTCCACATGGGCTAGCAGGAGATGCACAGAGTTGGGAAGGCTATTGTTGTACCTGAACAATGATGGTACTTCAGACTCACAACAGGAAACAATACTTTTATAATGCACTTTGTGTTTCATGCCTTCTCTTGTTGCTACTGTCACTATTAAGACCAATGTCAGGAAGTGACTTAAGTCATAGTATCAAGATGGCATGGCTCTCAGTTGCTAGTAAAGAACGATTCCTTCTGAATCACAATGATTGGCAAAAACAATGACATAAATAAGCAAGTGATGAAAACAGTTCCCTATAATAAGTAAACTTTATAGAACTAACACATCTTCTCCAAACGTATTCCAACACTTTCAACCTCCAGTCAAATATCTTGTCTCTTCCTTTTAAAGTTTGAATTACATGCTAGTCATAAACATTCACAACACTTTTGTGCTATGTCTGAAGAAGTTTTTCTTCTCAGTTTAAACACTATGAAAATGTGAGGATTTTACTTACCAAACCTCTTATAGCCAAAGGACTGAACCTCCTCTTCTTCTGCAAAATCGTCTGTGTATACATATAAAAAACAAAGGCAGAATTTTATATTAGTATATGACAGTCTCTGGCATATAATATAGTGTACGATAATATATGTTTGAACTAAACATTTGTAGACAATTCTTTTTAGAATTTGCACTTAAATGAAATCTTTGGCTCAGTGGGATCTGAAAAATATCAAGGGCATTTTCCTCACCCACCCCTTGAAACATCTATCTTTAGTTGATACATAACTTTTGGAGTTCTGTTTGTCGGAATCAAAAGTACAAAACCATCTGGTCATGCTCAGCAGCTTGTGTGTGGAAATTATTGGGTGGTCCAGCACATAGTTTAATAGAACAGACTAATTTCACTTACCAAACAATATCCAAGAAAGCAAGCTATACTTGGCTTGAAATACATCACTGCTGCAACTACAATAAGGCAAACAAATACAGAGATTTAACCCTTGTCCTGTGTTAGAAGAAAAAAGAAGGATCTTTTATGAATGAGGATGAAGACCTCCTAGCAAGATGCTTTGAAGTTTCTGATCTTATGCTTCATGTGGTCTAGTTCTTCCATAGACAGAACAAGGCCTGTAATCAGCAGGCTTGCCAGGTTTTCATTTATCTGACATCATCATTTATTATAATTTGCTAAGTGTCTAAACTTGCTGGGTTGGATCCAGATATTTATGCTTAGAGTAGACCCAATTAAATCAGTGGGACATAAATTGGTCATGGCTAACTTAGGCCTCACTAATATCAGTGGATCTACTCCAAGAATGAATAAGTTAGAATAATATAACACCAACAACTGACAACATTAAAAACAAATAAAGAAGACATAGAAAACAATTTTGTTGAAACCAAACAGCCCAAAAGGGGAAAGTTGTAAACAACAACTGCCAGTGGTTTTATGTAGCTGTTGAGATCTACAACTGAACCCTGACAATACTCTCTATGAAACTACTATGCCAAGTTACTGGGTACCCCGGCAGGTAAGAGAGAAAGTTTACACACTTCATACACTCAAAGCCAGGTGTGCGTGTTTGTGTCTGTATGCATACTTACAAAAAATGTATGTCCAGCATTGGAACACATATATCTCCTGCCCTAATATGGATTGGTTTTGGAGTGCCATGTAAGGGTGGGGTTTATTTTACTGCTATTATGAAGGGTTTTCAGTATCCAGTCAATATTAAGGGACTTTGCTTCCAGTATTGCTGTCCAACAGGGGTGCCTTAAGATTGTGGGTGCCTGCCACCACAACGTGGACATGAGACATCACATGCACACACTGCATTGTGGCGGCTGGTGGTGGTAGCTTCTCCTACCTACAGCCAGCAAGGGACCCTTTTCTGTGGTGATGGGCTCAGACTCAGAGGCAGAGACACTGCCTCAGTGTTTGAGGGGCCCCCCCATAAAAGAGGGCCTCACTGGCTGGCTGTGGAGGACAGAGCTGAACTGCTTCTCTCTTGGAGGCAGCGCCGCTGCTACCTGCTGGCTTTTCTCATTGACTTTGTGGGTGCCCAGCCCCCACAATTTTATTATTATGGGTACCCAGGCACCCAGGGCCCCCTGCAGCTGGCTCCTATGTTCTCCGTGTAATCTGCTTCAGATTGCTTGTTGGCTTGTAGGCAGAAGTGTAATTTCTAGTCAGGGATGCGGGTGGCGCTGTGGGTTAAACCACAGAGCCTAGGACTTGCCGATCAGAAGGTCGCAGTTCGAATCCCCGTGATGGGGTGAGCTCCCATTGCTCGGTCCCTGCTCCTGCCAACCTAGTAGTTTGAAAGCACGTCAAAGTGCAAGTAGATAAATAGGTACCACTCCAGCAGGAAGGTAAACGGCGTTTCCGTGCACTGCTCTGGTTCTCCAGAAGCGGCTTAGTCATGCTGGCCACATGACCTGGAAGCTGTACGCCGGCTCCCTCGGCCAATAAAGCAAGATGAGCGCCGTAGCCCCAGAGTCAGTCACGACTGGACCTAATGGTCAGGGGTCCCTTTACCTCTACCTTTATATATTACCTTTTGTATTTTCTTGAGAACAATAGAAATTATTAAACTGCTTTGGACTTTACCAAATAAGGAAAGCAACAACAATTCCATTACCTATTACTGATATGACACTATCCTTTCCTCACCCTTTTTCTTCCATTCCAAAGACCACTAGTACATGTCTTTAATGCAGAAGAAACATATCTGGCATTCATTATAACTTTAGCATTTGTGTTGACACATGGCACAAGACAGTTATTAACATGGAAAGTGCAGTTGTTCAGGGCATACAGCTGTATTGGCTTCAGCTCTATTATTAATCAACACTAATTTGAATGACTAGACACAAAGAATGTGTGCTGTGGGTAAGTGAAATTCTTAATGGTGCTTTTACTACAGTAGATCTGCAAGGCAAAGTAGAGCTTGGCATGTAAGGCCTGGAAAGAGTTAAATAGCCAGCTATGCTTGTTTCTGGAAATCCACACCTCCACCCCCCAAACGCTAGATGGTTTGTTTAAGCCAATTAATTACTCATGGTTTGCCCAACAGCCTTGCCAGGAATTTATTTAGCTATCCTGGACCATTGCATTAATTAGTTTTGCAACCTTATAAGAGTGTGACTTCTTTTTTAAAGCATAGTTTTTCTCTGCTTGGCAGTAAGACTCTGTAATGATTCATGCTAAATCTTTTGCTTATGGCGTGCACTTGTGGTGTTTTTAAGACAAATACAGAAACAGAGCCATAAATGTATGTCAGCATGTGTTTCTGCTTTCAAAATATGAATACATGGTTGTGTGCTATCTAAAAATGGCCTAGGCAACTCATCATCTATGCATGGCCGCCATGACTTTTTTATTGATCCCAAAGATGTTTCGAAGAAACCTGGGAAGTTCAGCACTAATCATTTGTGAATGAAAAAGAACCTCTGCCTCATAACTGCAGAAGTTGTGCCTAAATCTGCATCAGTCTTCCCTAACCTGGTATCTTCCAGACATTTTGGACAATAACCCTCTTTCCCGACTATAGGCTATGTTGGGTGGGACTAATGGGAACTGGAATCCAACAATTTCTGGGTTGTTAGATTAAAATGGAGAGAGGGGAGAATCATGTACGCCACCTCGAGTTCCTTGGAGGAAAGGTGGGATATAATGTAATAATAAAGAGTAAAATAAATGAATGTCTGGTGTCAAGATTATGGGCCAAGTCTACTAAGAATCAAAAGCTGAGGCTCACACTTTGTCATTCAAGGATTTTATTCAAGTTCAGTCAAGTTAAGATGGTGCAAGTGTTGGCTGCATATACTGCAACATCCTATTCAAAGCAACAAAGTCAAGGTGACTGCTTGCTAGTCCTGACTCTGGCCATTGAGATTTCTCTGGGAAACTCACAAGCTGGACACAAATCGAATTAATTTACTGGGATCGTTGACCAATTTAGACAAACGAGAACACACAATACATGACATTTTCTAATTCTAAATAAGCAGGCAGCATGAATGAAAACAAGTATGAGACTAGCTAAATTAGAAACATGTTAAAAGAACTTGTATCTGAACTGTAATGTGAAAAAATACTGCTGCAACTTTTGCAGTTACAGCAGAAATATTACGCACTAAAAGCAGGGCACAACAGTGACAGTCACCTGTTGTTTATTTCCAGTCAGAAGTATACTTCCCCTGAATGATCAACGAAGCCAAACTTCAAAACACCTAGACCAAGATACAAACTTTTCCCATTCATAATATGTTTGCATTACAAGGCACCCAGTAATTCTCCCCATATTCTTATTCTTCTCTGTCTTGGACTGAACCAGAGCTGTGGTGCCTGATATGGCTCCTCTCTGCCTGACACTGGACTCCTCAAGCCACCTTCCCTCACTGCAGTGGTGCCAGAAGCCCTGGGAAACACAATTTTCTTAAGGCACATAAGTCTGTTAGACAACATTTCTCAGGGTTTCTGGTACAGTGGTACCTCTAGTTGCGGACCTAATCTGTTTCGGGGTGCCGTTCGCACCCTGAAAAGTCCGCAACTAGAGCGCCTCTTCTGTGCATGTGTGTGGCGTGATTGAGCACTTCTGCGTGTGCGCAAAGCACACAGATTGCTTCTGTGCATGCGTGGGCGGTGAACCCGGAAGTAAACACTTTTGTAAGCTGAAAGTCCATAATGAGTGGAACGCAACACGAGGTATGACTGCATTGTAGAGGCTGCTGCTACAGCATGCCAGACAACAGAGGGAGAGGCTGTTTGCTACAAGGTAAGTAAGTGAGAAGAGAAGGGAGCTTGCAGGTAGAGTATGTGGGAAAGAATTCAGCCCCATTAAGTCCCCTAAAAGATATAATTAGGAGTGCAACAGGGTCCAAATTCAGAATGGGGCTTAAAAACAACACCATTATGCCTAGTTTCCACTGACAAAGCCTGTCCTCTATGAATCTGACTAATCTTTTTTTGTTGTAGGGTCTAGAAAAAATGACATCTTGTGACAATTAAGTCCAGCAGTTAATTATGTATTACATCAGACCCGCATTCCATCGTGGCTAAACTTCCAGAGGCCTCATGCCATGGGTGGGCATGGACATGCAAAAAGTGGAAAGGCCACCACAGACACACTCCCACTCATATGTACCCAGTCACACAGCATTTTCATACACATCCACACATATCAAGCACCACACACCCACTATTACACATAACCTACAACTATTCATTCATCCTACTCACACAAATACCTCCTCAGCAATGAGGCTTGGAAAAAAACCAATGCATCTTTTCCAAACCTAATTGCCAGAGGGGAGGGGCAATCTTTGTGAAAAGGGTTAAGTCTATGAAGATCCCCTATTGCTTGGAAGCAGCTTTTTCTTGAAGCTAATATTAAAAAGTCTAGTAGTCAAGCAAAGGAAATTTTGTTTTTCTGTTTTAATCATCATAAGTGCTGCATGAGATGCTGATGTAAGGACACCACAAATTGGTGGTGGGGCTCCAGGTGAGTCATTCCTTTTCTTCAATGAAACACAAGTACTTCTAGCCAAGGCCAAGTAGGCTTGAGTTCCTAGATTCCCAGACCTGGAAGTCAGGTACACCTTCTTTTATGAAGCACTGGAATCCCGGCGCTGGAATTTAGCCCTGGACCTTTGGTTTATTAATCCTTGGCATGAATTCTTTGGCATAGAACAGATCACAAAGGAAACTCCAGTGAATTGTCCACACTCGGCGAATGCCGCTTGAGTATGACATTTGTTCAGTACCCCAGAGACCAGAGTACTGTAATGCTTAGAGAACTAGGGAACTCTGGATTCTAATCTCCATTCAGACATGTGGCTTATAGAGTGACTATGGGGCATTCCTGTTCTTTCAATCTAACCTACCTCACAGGCAGTGACTTAACAAATAGGCAGAGTAGGCACCAGCCTATGGGCCTCAGGCCTTTTGCGGGCCCTGTGACAATGGATCAAAATAATATTGATTTGATCTTGAAATAAAATTACAAAAACGTATTAGGAGATAATTTTTGAGAGGGAGCCTAATATTGCGACTGCCTTGAGGGTCTCCACAGGGTTTAATCTGGCACTGCTCACAGGATTGTTGTGATGTTAAAATGTGAGTTTGGAGAAAGAGAAAACCATGCACACATGCAAGACATTTAATAAACACAAATACACATTTCGTTTACAGAACTGTTTAAAATCCCCATGAAATGATTGCTCAAACTCAGCCATGAAGTGAGTTAACTATAGGCATGTGTCACATTTACCTAACTACTGAATGACTTTAAGCAGCTCTCACACCTCTGGGAGAAAGAGAAGATTTCCAAGCAGGCTGGCTGGAACCCTAGGACCCCTCATGTTACAGATTAAGGGCAGTACTCAGCATTAGGGATGCTCCAAGATTTCATTCAGTCCACATTTTAAAGAAACTGATCTGATTTACACTTCCCAGACTAATACATGGGTTGGAACAAATTTATCCTTTACCAAAATTCCTATAAAACATATATTTGGGGTTGAAATGTATACAACCATGTATACAACCCATTTACAACACATATAAAGATGAATCTTTGAGAGGAAATGAATGAAAAACAAGTTTTTTAAAATGCAGATGGATGTGGAATTGGCATGGAGCAGATAGCCATTTAAGAAGGCAGCAACTTCCATTCCCATCTTCCTTCATCATAATTAGTGCTGTTTCCCTTCAACCACAATTCAGTTTCTACCAAATACCATTTATTCATCTCAATGTCTGCTATTTAATGTCATTTTACATAATTTATGTAAGTTATGAATTTAACATAATTAATTCCACTCAATTCAATCAATGCAAAGGAAGCATAATTTAAATGGGGGGACGACCCATCATCAATTATGCGATATTTGCAGATTGGAAAACAACAACAACAACAACCAATTGGTTTTCACTGGATTGATTTCTGTTCCAGTCATGGGCCAAATAAGCGAGCACCTTCTGTTTCCATTTTTGTCAGAAAGAACAGACTTATGAATGAACATTTGAGAGACTGGCACAAACAGGAAATTTAATGATCTGCCTATCTCTCCTTGGCATATATATGGTTGGCATCCTACTTGGTGAATGAGATCTTGAAACATGACCAAGCATGGGACTTCCAAATTCCTTAATCCAACCCTCCTAGCATATCTAAGTGGAAGTACTAGGTACCTTTCAGATTTTTAATGAACTACCAGTGATCAAAATTTAACAAGAGTAAACTCTAAATATAATTATTTATTTGGGGCTGGGGACACAGCTAATAACATTATGGCTCAACACTTTATGGAAGTGGGCATTCAGAAAGGATGTGTTGACCGAGGTTGGTTAGTTTTATTTCCACTTTAAATACACACACAGAGATTTGCAAGTACTGCAGCACCACACAAATCTGTAAAATGGTGTGATTTGTGCTTCGGTGTTATATTTTTAAACAGTACATTTGTCATGGACCATGTGTGACCAAGAAAATCTGAGGCTGAAGCCAAACTTCTCTTACCCATATAGCTTTTCAGCCTTCTCTGGCAGTCTGTCAGGCCCATGAGTTCCTTGAATCTCAGTATGATTTCAGTGGGACTGTTACAGCCTTACTGAAGTTTTATTGATGTCATTCTTGGCGCACGTGAGAGGGAGCTGCTGCACATGTCGTGTTAAATACAAATAGTAATCCAAACATGTTTTTGGTGAAGAGTATTCAGAATGTGAGAATCATTAAGCGCAAATGTGACCATTAATAATCTAACTGCAACCACCACTCACTGCTATATTGGGATTTGACCACATGTATACAAGAGTGAGTTTTGAAACTAAGCATGACGCTTTTACAGTAAAAAATGATTTTGAAACAAAACTCACTTCTCTACCAAATCTCAGCAAGTTCCTATTTTGGTTACTAATGAAGAATTTGAATTGGCTAGGCCAATTTTTTGTTAACATTTGAACAGCTAACAGGGAGACACTAAAAACCTAGATTTACAGCATATTACTGATAAGAGACTGCACTTGATACTTAATGCTACAATAATGACTTTTTAAAATATGCAGTAAATCTATCCTGGGTGTTTACTAGATGTGTTTGCAGTGCATAGGGGAAAGTAATTTTGTGTTCTGATCCCTCAGTCCTAAAAAACAGATTCCAATCTCCGCCTGTTTTAATTTCAGCCAGTTCCATTTATTTATTTACTCGAAAGATCAATATCCTGCCCTTCTAATGCATTCACATAGCCATTCCATATTGCTTGCTTCACTTTAAAGAGCTGGATATTTTTGCACACAGATTCCACTTCTTCTTGAACTGCATCCTGGTTTTTACCATGTTGAGTTTTCATAAACATTTTGTCCTTTTCATGCACCCATGTTTTGAAAACTCGAGACAATTTAATGCAGAAAAGTTAAAGTATCCTGAAAATCTAGATAGCTTGATGCAAGAATTTTGAAACATTGAGCTGCAGCTACTGACAGATTAAGCACAAGATAAACTCAGCTCACACAACAGGGTTTTTCTGGTTCCTCCTCCCCACTGAAACCCACTGTGCCCTAGTCCAATGAGCTACAACAGAATTCAGGACGCTTGCCTTATGCACATGCAAGCGCCTTTCTGCTCAAACAGACAGAGGTGGATTTAGGACAGCATGACTGGTTCTGCTGCATTGGGCACTGAGCCATGAGGGCACTGCACAACTAGAGGGCATCACAGCTATGATGGTCGTACTGAACTGAGCAGAATGGAGGGCGAGAGGTGTGTGTGTGTGCCAAATTATGGCCTTGCACAGGGCACTGCTGAAGTTTGAAAGACCAACATCCGCCCCTGACACAGGGCACCTCCTAAGTCATTCTCTTCATCCTAACTGTGTCACTTTTGTTGCTATTGATTTGAGAATTGGTATATACTGTATTGTTAGAATTCTCAGAGCAGTGAGAACTCCAGAATACCTGGATTGTGTTTCCTTGGAATGAGGCCATTAGTAGCATTTTTGTAATATGTGGTTTCATTTGCACATGTATACAGGTTGAACATAAGGGAAGATGCAATATAACTATATATATTGAAGCTGTCTACTTCCCATCAGTTTTCTAGGGGGCATAGCCACCACCATCCAAATGTTGTTAGCTTCCAGAGCGAAATAACCACCCTGGAGGTTCTGAAGGAAGGGTTGGGCAGCTACTTGTTGGATACGCTTAGGTGCAATATATGCTGCCTTGCTTCAGGGTTGCAGAGCCAACCAGTACCAAAACGTGTAGTCTAGATTAATTCCAGCAATCTATGTGTGTGCTCTAATGAGCATGCAGAGATGTTGCGACAGCAGGTGGGGATTCTTCCCATTCATTTCATGGGGAAGTTTCACATACATAAAAAGATACACAATGCAGGGTCATCCCTTATGAATGAAAATATGAGATGCTACAATGAGCCCGCACCAATGATGGGCTTCAATGGGTAAATCCATTCCCATTACTCACAACTATATTTTCTTTACCAATCCTCCCGCCAAGAAACATGAATACTTGTTTTGTTGCTATCTTGTTTTATGATCCCATACTAGCATGTTTAAGATTATGTTATTAACTACAATATGCTATTATGTTACCTGCTAAAATGTTCCATTTGTAAGTCATTGGGGTAGGTACAATGCAATTCAGGTTTCTGGATAATTTCCATAATAATTCTTGATCTTTAACGGATAAGAATTTGCAAATTTGCAATATTATGAATTGTAATCAAAGCATGGACAAACCATGTCCTTAATGCAAGGCAGAATTGTAACAAATACTTAGTAATTCAAGGAGAATGATTTTTCACTCATAAGAGAGAAAAAATCTTCTGACCTTTTCCTTCTTTAAATCCAGTCTTACAGAAAGTTGGAATTTGGCAAGGAAATTGAGTTGCTTGTGTAGGAGGCATGCTATGTAATCCAAAACTAGAATACTTTTAATGGTGACTAGAGGGAGACTGTATCTTCTTGCCCAACTACGTGATGGTCTTTTTCAGTTCTTGTTTTAAAAGTTAATGTGGCAAATCTCTACAGAACAGAGAACTTCCAGATGCTGTCCTTGAAAAATGGATCTGAAACTGGAAATGGTACAGAATGTGGCAGCTAGAACACTTCTGGAAGCTAAGCACTCAGGTCATATTACTTTTGCTACATGCTGTATATTAAAGACTGCCTTCTTCCTTACAGACCCTAACAGTTCTGAAGATCAGCAGAGGGATCCCTCTTGGCAGTTCTACCTTTCACAAAAGTTTGGGCTGTTGGTGGTCTGAGAGTGGGTATTCTCCGTGGCAGCCCCTAAGTTGTGGCATTCCCAGAGATGAGTCTGGCTTCTTTACCATGCAGCACATGGCTTCCCACAAAGAATCATGGGAACTGTAGTTACCGGTACTTACAGGTGTTGGGAATTATAGCTTGGTGATGGATAAACTAGAACTCCCATGGGGGAAGCCATGTGCTTTAAATGTCACATCTCATTTAAATCTATTGAGTATGGCTTGGTTGGATACAGCCCAATATAAATAAAACAAAAGTTATATGCATTTCATAAATAATGTTTCAATTGTTCTAACTAACCCAACTTGCAGATATGGCCCAACCATCCTGTATTGTAGCCTATCTAGTATTTTACCTGTTAATCCAAATTATTTTGGCACACAATGTGAAAATTGCTTACAGTTGTCAGTCATGACTAAGTTAAATCCTATTGCTTTTGATAGGTCTACTCTGACGAAGATTGGATCCAACCCAATGTATTTTTGTGCAAATCACTCGTGATGTAATTATTTAGATAATTTTCAGCTCTCTAGGGATGTTGGATGTTTACTGCAGCAGCAGGTCAACTCTGCTGTTACTCATGAATAGAACACGTGATTATTCTAAACATAAAAGCTCAGAAGTTTTTATGAAGGAGGAGATTTAAACAAAAAATGTGGAAAATCAATTGTGTGTGTTAAGGATGCAACAGGAGAGAGGGAAGGTGCTTTGGCACTGCTTATGATTTTCATAACTCTTGCATTACCAGTTCATTTGCCATTTTCATTGAAGGATGTTTCTCATTAACTCTGTAATTTAAAGATTTCATTTTACTGGCCTTCTTATGAGTTTCTGGAAAAACACTCCACAAAGTGATTGTGCAATTTTTTACAGAAAGAGAGTCATTATGACCTACCAAGAAGACTGAGAACATGCAACCCTCCAACATGAATAGAATCTCCATTAAAAGCATCAATATTTCAGATACATTTTCCACTTTTTCCAGATGAAAAATCTCACTAGAATTGCTATCCAATGCACATTTTCTTCAAAGTAGGTAATATTGAATTCAGTGGAGCTTACTTCCTGGCAAACATGCATAAACTCAGGCTATAGGTGTCACAGCAAGAAGGCAGAAATCATGCATATGAGAACATTAAAGCAACATTTTTCCTAAGATAGCTGCGGCTACCTCAAATCTCCATCATGTGGTAGCTTATCATATATGCAGCATGTCACGTGGACACAGTACCAGTCAAGGGAAAGAGATGTTTTGTGTGCAATGCAGTTAACACACTAAAATCCCCATGTGACCTAAATTATACCCAAATGCATGAATCAATGAAAAACTTCTGTTGGGACCAGTGCACTTTGTAACATTTAGAATAAAGCTGGGGTTACAGTCCGCTCTCATTCCCACAATGGACTTAATTCCTTGCACTGTATGACAACAACATCATAAGGTATTGCGCAAAAGTACATTGCTTCTCAGTTGTTATCGCCACTACATCCATCCTAGTACAGTGGCACCTCGGGTTTAGAACTTAATTCATTCCGGAGGTCCGTTCTTAACCTGAAACTGTTCTTAACCTGAGGTACCACTTTAGCGAATGGGACCTTCCACTGCCGCTGCCGCTGCCGCATGATTTCTGTTCTCATCCTGAAGCCAAGTTCTTAACCCGAGGTACTATTTTGGGTTAGCGGAATCTGTAACATGAAGCATCTGTAACCTGAAGCGTCTGTAACCTGAGGTACCACTGTAGTGCCACGCGTTATCAGAAATAACAGCACGGGTGGCTCTACAGACCATTTGAATTGCTAACCATCTCCAATGTTCTGTACTTTACTCCCCACAAGATGACATTCAAAAGTTGTTTTCACATGTGTGTGGGCTCAGTGAAAGAAAATACTTTCTCCCATAGACTGCCTCTCTGGCAAGCTAAGTCAACAACCTCAGGATTCTTATTGGCCTCTGGAAAGAACTATCACAACGTTTACTGCCCTCTTGGCATCAAACAGCACAAGCTAAGCAACAGGCTGATACTCAGCCACAGATTCCTTATACAGTATATATTTCTGTTGCCTGCTTAGATTTATTTCTGTGGCTAAAGAAAAACTATGCTTCACAACTACTTCCTAAACATTCCTAAACATCATTCTTTGATGCCTTATTCTCTGAAGTGCAAAGTCCTAAACTTATTCAGAGGTCCTCACTTTTCATTTTCATTGTCAAGTGCATTCTTATACACATCTACTCAGAAGTAAGTGCTACTGAGAGACCAATTGGATATGTTTCCAGGTACGTGGGTAGAGGACTGCAGCATAAATGATTTAAGTGACACTTAGTGGTCACAAGCTATAGAACATAATCAATGCATGCATGCCAAAGTGTGATTTGTAAGTGAAGGCGAGTCTTTAAACTTCAGATTTTCAGCACATGCAACCTACAAACTAAATATTTTCCAGTCTTGAAAGGGGAGGGGGGAATGCCAAGTATATTTCACAAGCCAGTTAAGCCTCTGCTAGAACCTAATCATTGCCAGATGTCTAGAAGCAATACTAAGAACATCATGAAACGCTGGCAACCCCCCACTGCGCTCTCTGAAAAACTGCAGGGGGAGGGGAAAAGGGGGGAATGAAAAAAAGATAGGTGGTCAAGAAAAATGTGCTGGGGAAAGCAGAAATTGTTGTGTGGGTGAGTACTTCATTCTCCTGGACAGATTTTTCCAATCCAAAAAAATCCAAAAGGGGGACCTGTAAACAACTAGCAAGAAGCTGAGCTCAGACTTTTCTCGAGGAACAAACGGCAGCTTTCATCATTAATGGACTAGAGCACGGACCTGATGCAGCTCCAGTTTTACACACGCACACGCTTGCAAAAATATTTGCTCCTACAATAAACACCACATGTTCATTTGCTGACAGACTCCTGCTCCCACAGCCCAGGTCCTTCCCCAACACTCTCTGAAAGAGCCATACGCCTTGTTCCCTTGCTTACCTTTCATGTTGGCAGGCAGGGCAGCCACATAGGAAACTTTCAGACGCTGGAGAAGTTTGTTCCTTGTTGCACAGAACTCCTTTATGAGACTCTCATGCCGGGCAGCTCCCTGGAGCTTCTGATCAGCGGGTGGATGGAGCTCTCTGGACTAGCTGCTTGAAGCACCAGCCTTTCCCCCTCTGGTCTCTCAGAATAGTAAACTTTGCAACTCTCCCCACCGGCCTGAAGTCACACGACCAGCCTCTGCCCCTCCTCTCCAATCTCTGCTCGCTTTGGGAAACGACAGAAAGCTGCTGGCTCCACAGTTCTCCCCCAGCAGCTCTCCCCCCACCTTCACTCCAGTTTTCCCCGCCTCTTTCACGAGTTGGGCTGTAAATTGAGGCAAGGGAAGAGTCTGTAATAATAAACCCTCAGGCGAAGGTTGAATGAGGAGGAGGAGAGAAGCTCTGAAGCAGGGTTGTTCCCTCACACTGGGAACCGCAGCCTCCCCTGACTTCCAGGCTGTCCTGCAAAATCCCTGAACTCTCAGCCGCCCTCCCGTCACCACGACACGGGGTTGACTCTTCCACAGCGGGCTCCGAGGGAGGCGAGAAGCGGTGGTTTGGCGCAGGGCGGAGGTGTAAACTTTCTTGGCCCAACCGCTCTGAGAGGATGGACTTAAAAGCGAGGGAAAAGCCCAGCCACGGTCAGCTCTTCGCTGCTGATATAGGCTCGTTCCTTCCGTCCCATGGGGGTGGGGAGTCTCGGTTCTTGTGAATAAAAAATAAATAAATGGAGGAATAATCGAGGCACATGTATCCTGAAGGCTGAAGAATCACCACAGAAGTAGCTATGTCGCTTCAGCTTTGATTGGGTCTTCATTCGAAAATACAGCACAAATGGCTTTTTTTAAAAAAATGTTGACGTGTTTCCCCCCGTTTATAAAACGATGTGTAAAACATAGGTTCAATTTTTAATGTCAGTTTAAAATAAGAACAAAGGCACCAGACCGTCACACATGCACAAACCACATAGGATAAGTTAAGCTTCCTGCCAGTAAACATGCTCTGCAGTCTCACACATGTTGTAGTCAACATTCACAGCGCAGGTTTAAAGCACACGGCTTCCTCCAAAGAATCCCAGGGGCCATAGTTTACCCTCATAGAACTACAGTTCCCAGGATTATTTGGGAGAAGCCATGAGGTGATCTAGTAGCCACCAAATATATGGAACATTTGACAAAGACAGTCACAAAAGATCCTCGAATAAGTTTTCTAGTCATGGGCTAAGAGGGGTAGCCTATGTGGTGCCCTCCAGATGCCCCTGAACTATGATTCCCATAATCCCTGACCATTGGCCCTTCTGGCTGGGGCAGATGGGAACTGTAGGACAACAGCATTTGTGCCCTCACCATGTTGGCTACCCCTTGGATCAGAGGTCAAAGTGGGGCAGTCATCTCCACCCCTTGGCCATGACTCTAGCTACACACTCTTAGTCTGAGCAATTTCAGCATGGGCCGTGTTGCTTCTTTCTTTGTAGAGGAGATCTAGGACTGCATGGTGCAGTCTCCCCGGGACAGTACCATTTTAGGTTGCAAGCAACGTTGCCAAATCGACAGCCCAGAAACCCTGTTTCTCCTCCAAGCGCTGAGTTGGAGTTGGCTGCTGATACCGAAAAGCAGCTGAAGTGGAGATGACCTGTACATCCTTACCAGAAGAGATGCAAGGCTACAAGTCAACAGAGGAGATAGATGTTTAAATACTGTTTTCAATGTATATGCTGCTGCCTTCATCTCCTTTGATTTGGGGCTGCTGACTGTGTCATTTTTAATGGAGATTCCTTGGTCATTTTGTGTGCTTACAGCGTGTGTGTGTATGGTTTTTTATCCATAAACAAAGGAAACAAGTACCACAAATACCAACAGCTCCCCACAAAAATGGCAAAACAAAAGATAAGGAAAGGGGGGGGGTATCAGCCTAATATATGTATACAATTCTATCCCTTGGGTACATAATCAGAAGTAATTACGGTATATTGCATTTTAATTCACGCATTCCAAATTTCCGAGGATGCTGCCGGCAGGTGCACTCATTATAGTTTTTACTGGGCATTACACAATGCACAAAAAAAACTCATTTCAGAACTCATTAGATATGACAGGGCACATGGGGGTGTCATAGAAACAACACCATAAAAAATGTTGGAGAACCTTTGATATTCTGGCATCTGAGAAGGGGACTCCCACTCCCATTTCAATGTGTCAAAACTGGTGTAAAAAGAATAATATTGTTTAAGAATAATTAGATGTATTAGTAAGGATCGTGAGAGCAGAGATCTAAAATATTTCCGGATGAAGTATTTGTTGACAATATTTGCAATTGTTGAGATGTGATTTTTAGGAAATTGAGAACAGTAATGCACGCCTTGCTGAATTGTGCATTTCTTTATTATTATTTATTGAATTTAAATACCGCCATATACCTGGAGGTCTAACGGCGGTTCACAGAATAAACTATGTCTGCTTAAAAGAAAAATGGACATGGACATTATTTTTTAATAAGCCTGTTTACATTCTTAAGCATATTGATTCATTTATGTTGTCAGTCTACATTCCAGAAAGAATGACTTAAAGGTGAATAAGTTTTTTAAAAAAAAGGTTTACACAGTGTTAGCAGGCCGATCCACAACCCAGTTATGACAGAATGTTTGGACGTAAGATGATTTACAGTTTGCTCCTATGTAAACTTGCACAGGATATGGCTGTATGTCATCTTCATCCCAGTTACCTAAGCAATAAATAGAACTGATAATGTGCAGCCTGATCCTATGTTTGTTTAGGCAGAAGGAAGCCCCACTGAATCCTATGGGACTTACTCTTAAGTTAATGTCAGAATTTAGTCCTTCCCAGAAATTGATCCTGAGGTCTCCTCAGATGAACAAGGGGAGCAGGACCCTCCAGCATATCTCCACACTGCCTATGTCCCTGACCCCCAGGGCTTTGAACAGCTGTTGTTAAACAAGTTATGTGGGAGGAATGGTCCCCATCTGCACAGATAACCAGTTTGAAGGGAGACTGTGCTACAGCCTCGGACTGTTTGTAGTGCATGTGTTAGTTCCATCATTTGAACAAGCAGATATCATTACAGGAGCTGACACAATATCTGTGTGATGGACTTACACGTGCCAGATATGATGATTCGGTTCCGCTTTACCCAGAAACGCCTCAGTCTGGAAGTTCTTTAACTAAACCTGCATACATGCCATACTTTCAAAGCACATTTGAAGGATCAAACAATTCTGGGCAGTGTAGTTTACCCCTCACAGAGTTACAAATCCCAAAAATCCTTAAGAAACTACGGTACCCAGAACTCTTTGAGGCAAAGAATAGGCTTCAATTGTGGTTTAAAAGCTATAGTGTGTACACTGCCTAAATCACAGTGACGTCCCCTTAGAAGTGGTTGACTGGAAAGCCAGCAACAAGCCTAAAAAATGCAGAATCAAATAAATACAAGATATGAAGAACATTCCTTAAGAAATGATGCTGTGTACAAAAGCTGGATGTTTCTTTAGACGATGAAGCACTTATATCTGAAAGGCATTATAGTTCCTTTTATCCGCTATGGAATGTGGCCTCAATCAACAGCTATGTTTGGACCTTAGATTATGTATAAACTTGCCAAGATGGTAAGATCACTGCAAGAAAAGTAGATTTGTTACTCAAGTATCCTATTTTAATATTTGTGGATTCCAGTTGCAGCCATTAACATTTACCATCCAGAAAGCAAGCATAACTAAGCTTAGAGAAAATAAGTGTTGAAACACACTACTCCCTCCTAATTTGAAACTGGAGAGCATACAAAGGCTTTGTAAACTCTTTAAGCATGATGCTGATCATACAGTATGTTGGTCAGTGCCTCTGTAATTCATGTAAATGACTGTTTATGAACGTACTGAGCCTTTGATGTTTTGCTTTCCTGGCTAGGATAAATGCTTTAGTAAGTGTTTCTAGTCTTCTTTGACCTTGATTGTTTTGGAGTAGTGGTGAGAGGGTGGGAGCTGAGGCAGCTTCAGAAAGAACAGACATACAGAAGAAGGTTGCATACACACCATATATTTAAAACACACACACCAATAATCCTGGGAACTGTAGTTTGTCATTTATACCACAATTCCCCTTAAAAACTACAGTACACCCTTTAAAAAACTAGTTTCCAGTATTCTTAGTGGACAGGGGGAATGTGTTTGTGGGGAAGGAAGAAAGGAAGAAATCTTTAATATATTGCTCAATCTATATTACAGTAGCAACTCTGCCTCCCTTGTTTTCTCTTAGGCTGTATTGGCACTACAGTATTTCCTTTTCTGCTCTGCACATTTTGGATATGTGTTGCTTACACCAGAGATTTTTAATCTTTTGGGTCCTTTTTTGACAACTACATTCTTTCTGCGGCACCCCTGTAGGGCTCAGGAGCCCAGTTATGTCACCCCTTGCCTGCAGAGCCAGCAACCCTTCACCCCTTTTCAAACACCCTCCCTTGGGGAGTGTTCCTCAGTTTCCTCTCTTCTTGGGAGTTCTCTGGGCAGCTGTAACTGCCGCCGCTGGTCTCTGAGCTGCGCCCATCCTGCCCCAAAAAGAGGTGCCTCCTCACACTGCGCCACCAGGGCCTGAGAAGCATCCCTGGCCAGACCCAGAGACACCATTCACCTGAGCTTTTAACCAGGGCTGCTGCAACAAACAGGTGTGCAAGCCTTTGGGAGGCAGAGACACAAGAAGGCATCTGAAGAGGGAGGGAGGGAAAGAAGCTGTTGCCTGTAGCACCCTGGACTATCATTCAAGGCACCCCAGGGTGCCATGGCACACTGGCTGAAAACCACTGGCTTACACCATTTGCCATGCATCATCTATCATTCCCAATATCCCAATTGCTCACCTGTTAATTCCTGGATGAATTTTGCTAGAGGGTGAGGTGGGAAGACATGGAGATGTGCATGTTAAAAGACAGAGCAAATGAAGAAACAAGCATGCAGATACACACACATGCACAATGTAATAACGGGGGCGGGGGTGGGGAGATGGTGGCACACAAAAACACACCCATCATCGCAATGGTCATAGTCAAGCTTTCAGAATGCCCAGGCCCACACATTTGTGTAGTAAGTATAGCAGGCTCCTCTTCTGACTGTTAGCATTGAAGGGTGGTGGTAGCATTGCACCAGTAGTGATTTCCAGATGTTTACAGTGCAGATTACATAGATCAGATGTACATTACAGATGCCTCAAATTTGCCCTGCCACATGGGAAACAACTATCCCAGACACTGTCATAGATTCCATTCATTGTGCCAGTAAGGGAAATTGGGGCCCCTGTCTGGTGCGTTACTATTTCCATTTCTGACAGTGATGCCCCCTCCCCAATCCCTTGATGGAATTCAGTAACCCAGATCTCTGGGAGACAACATTTCAGCTCTGCTACACAACCTCCTTGATTTGCCTGCTGCTGTTCCATAGCCTAGTATGCAAAGAATAAGACTGCTACATTTGGGCAGTAAACCTGCATGCAGGTGTTCCAATGAACATATGGAACAACTAGTACATGCACATACAGATTCCTCCATTTACAGTGGTGCCTCGCAAGACGAAATTAATTTGTTCCGCGAGTTTTTTCGTCTTGC